ATATAGCTATAGTAGCTAAAAAGTTAGAGCGGGTGGACTGTAGATAAAAACTGTGCGTCAGGTGAGACCGTGCGTTAGCTGATTAATCACGGTAACTAGTTGTTCTGCCAAGCCGCCAGCCATCGGCGCTTTATACACCCCAGGGCCGACGACATGTCCACTCCAACCTATCTCCTTGTGCGCATTGTCCCCTCGAAGCCAGTGCCGGCGACCGCTTTCCACGATGCATTGCAAAATGTCACAGTCACGGCCTACGACAAGACTGTCGAAACCCCAAAAATGGACAGAGAGCTCGGCTCTGCTACTGGACTTGCTCCGGCACCGGACTTCTCGCAACCGCCGCCTACCTTGATACCAGAGCTCGAAATCTTGGACAATCCGACGCGGCTCAAGACGAGCATTATTCAGCATCTGAGACCAGGCACTCTTGATTTGTTATCTATGGCAACGGCAGTTATTGTCATCGACCCTACAAAAATTGACAGTGCACACGAGTACCCCACTCCAACTTCTTTTGATGTTCGCTTCGAGGTAAAGCAGTCTGGACCTACTACTGCCTTTCTCCACGAAGATGTTGTGGACTTCAATGTGACGCCGATAACGCGTGATCTGTCTATTGATCGAAGCGATTACATGCGTGCACCAACCGACATTTACCTATTTCTAGAAGTCCCTCCAACTTCTCTTCCAGACGGCAGTACTTTGGTATCTCTACCCAAGGACGGGCGGCCACCAAGCTTTGCTTCGCTTCGTGATGCAATCGATGCCGTTCTCCAAAAGGATCAGACTGAGGGCTCCCCTTCGCTCGAAGAGATGGTCACCTTCATAACTACTGATCAAGCCCACCAGATCGCTCTGGAGCTTATCTACAACCGCGCCATAGACCCGCCTCCAACGGCACCGCTTCCTACAGCTGATTTGAATGGTGTAGCTTTCCCCATCCCCGTGCCGTCCCTCGAAGACCTCTATACTGTAGGCGGTGTCGGTGAGCCTGATAAAATGGACCAGGCGAGAGAGAAATTTGAAGGAGAGAGGACTTCATATTATGCAATCCGTAATGCCAACGCTCTGCAGCTCGCCAACTTTGTTTTCTCCGTTGTTATGGCTGTTCGGCTAGAGCAATACACAGTGAGCGAGGGTCGAAGAGCTAACCTCGACGTCCCTGTGAAACCCACTGTTTCACACACATCATCAAATTCTTCGGCATCATTGTCTTTGTCTGGCAGTGCAGCGCTGCCAGCAACAGATATCACAGCACTTGACCCTCCTTTCACGGTGCCTGCCGCCTTTTTCTACGCTCTGACGACTACCTATAGCTTGACGCAAGACTTTGATACGCGCATTCAGTTTCTCATCACCAGTCCAACGACGACTCTTATCAGCCTCATGAACCAGGCCATCGACGCTAGAGTACTCAACTCACCCGATATCGACGGTATCGTAATGGAGCACACTACTCTAACCTCAAGCGGAGATGTTACTATAAACCAGTATCAGGCGATTCGACGAATTGTTGCACTGCGGCCATCTGTTGGTAACGCATCCCATATCTTCGTAGAACCTGCTAAGAATGTCGATGTTCGCTCAGTAGTAACACAATGGCTCGCCTATCCTGGCACGGATGACAAGATACTTGAAACATTTTGGACTCCACTCTTCTCCTCCACTCAGTATCTAGTCATCATCCTTGAAATTGTTGTCCCTAATGAGGAGGACTTGATCAGCAAGATCCTGGAGGACTTGAAGACTTCGGCTGGAGCCCCATTAAAAACTGTAGACGATCTCTTACAGGTCACCGAAAAATCTTGGCTTATATTTTTCCAAGCTCACACGACTCCAAACCTTCTACCAAAGAAGTACATACTTGGAAGCCTCGCAGACAAGGTCCATTCTTTCGTTCAAGACCTTAGCAAGATCCTCTTTGTCGCATCTTCAACTGAGCCACCCCCTCCATTCCAACCCTCTGGTATCCCATTTCTAAATGGCTTCCATGACAGGGATACCGTTGTGCAATTCTTCCATTCATTCTCATCATTTTCTTTCTCGAACCCCTTCGACGAATCGGAGAGACAGTCCGTTTACAACGCTGCCTTGAATCTTTTCGGTGGTAATACCAGTGTAGCAACATTTATTGCTACAGCCGTGGAGGAGCTCTGGACACTTTATAAATTGACTGACTTCTCCAGTAAGTTCTGAATAATTCCATTGTTGGATGTCATAATTCTTGTACTGACCCAGCAGTGACCCTCGATACGAAGCTGCGGTTTTCCTACATGGAAGCTCTCCATGCACGTGGCCTCACGTCTGCTAGCAAGGTCCTAGAAATCCCCCAGAACATGTTTCCCAGCGCCCTAGTTGGTACGGTTGCTTTTCCAAAAGCTGGCGACATCTATGAGTTGGCCAAGAAATTACCCCGGACTCCCGCTGATACCGACTCTGGTCCTGAAACAGGATTTCAGCCCATTAACACAGGGTCTCTAGTGAATTGCATCCCCCCTTGCCACCTGTCACCCTTCGGATCCGTTCAATACCTTCAAGATCTCCTCAACCTAACGGGTGTCGGCAGCCAGCAAACCTTAGGGGATATCCTAACGTCTCGACGTGGGGACTTTAGGTCTATTTCAGTCACAAGCTCAAATTCGGACCTGGTTGTACCGTACATCGATATTGTAAACGAAAACCTAGAGTCTTTTGCTTTGGGCGTCAGCCAGCAGACTCCCAATCCAGTTGGAGTCGTTTTCAACACCTTGGATCAAGGGCTCAAAAGCCTAGACATTGCCAACAGTAAAAAACTTCAGCTTCCTGGCTCTCTCACATCGATTGGGATCTTGGAGGCTCTTCCACAGCACTCTACACCGCACACAGCGCCTAGCCCGAATGCGTATGATGTTCTGAAATCCACCTTCGCGACTTCCAAGTTACCGTACTCTCAAAGTCTTGATGTCTGCTGGACATATCTCAAGGCACTTGGTACATCACGTTTTGAGACAATGAGAATGTTCCACAAGGACATCACGGAGCTTGCACAGGACGCGTCGCTGGAGCCACCTTCGTTCCAGAAAAGTATCTGGCGCTTTCCCGTCCGCCGCGACCTTGCTAGCGAATACCTTTGCATTTCAGCTGAAGAAGCTACTGTCATATTCGGTGGGAAGATGACCCTGCAAACGGCGTTACAGCTTATGAGCTTCCAGAATCTTGACAGGACACCCATTTCTTCTTCTATAACTGTGGCATGGTTTTTGGAAATCGCAGGAATCACGTACTGCGATTTCCTTGAACTGCACGGCAGTGGCATCGTGAAGTTCGGTCCGCGCCAACGCGAAGACTCAAATGGTGCCAGTTACCCTCCGTGCTTACCGTGCTGCGCAGAATCCTTGTTGATTACTTTCAATACCGAATCACCGATTGGGGAAATCATCAAACTGGTCGTGTTCGTTCGGCTCTGGCAGCGCCTAAGAGGGCGTTGCGGAGAGTGCTTGTCCATGGCTACCTTAGCCGACATTTGCTCTGTTCTTCACCTTTTCGATAACAACAACGTAAATCCTGACTTTCTTGTTCAATTATCGTCTCTGCTGATGCTGAAGGAGATGTGGAGACTTCCATGGACACGTGCCACGGACGGTGCGGCTACATCTCAGTCTGATCAACAAACCCAACTGCTAGCTCTCTGGTCTGGTGCTCCCAAAGATTCACCACAGCGCACATGGGCTGTTGAGGCTCTTCTTTTGGGTATAGAGGACTACAGCATGCAGAATCTTCATTGCTCAAAACGATCCGCCTCATGGTGTAAGATCGTCGCGGAGAACCTTGACGATCTCGCGAAGCTCGCTGGGTTCGATGGTACAACGTATAGATGGGACTCAAAGCCAACGTGTACCATTCGGTTCGCGGAGGTGCTCTCAAAGCTATACGCGTCAAAATTCACTATTGGAGAGATTGTGTTCCTCTTCGCAACCAAGGCGCATATGCGCGGTGACGATCCGTATCCTGTCACCGAGGAAGACGAGTCTGAAGACGATCCGCTCAACGTCCCGGAGGATGATGACATTTACGGACTTTGGGCCTTGCGTCGCAAACTTCTCAATGTACAAACCTCTGAGAAAGAGGCTAGCGAATGGCCTTGGTCGAAGATCGAAGCTACTCTTTGTGGTATGAGCTCTAGGGACACAGGGGGCAGTCTCGGCAACGTGTTAGCAATTTTTGCGGAGCATTTCTTCCCAGAGATCCTGGAGGAGGAAGGCCGTGTAGTCAAACCTGAACATCGGCGCTTCGAGGCACCAATTCCCGTGGCCGAGACCGCTGCTAGCATGTGGCAATTTGGCGAGTGCTCGCCTTTCCATTTTGAGGTTCGTGATAACAAAAATGGACTGTTGTGGGCGAAGTTGCCAGTCAGGAACAGCGAAGTCTTGAAAACCTTGCGGGACTTGCGCCAGCTAAATACTGCAGAGAGAAAAGCTCTTCAAACAGTTTACCTTGCGCCTCGGACAGCGATGGCTCCCCTCGCCATGGTCTTCACCAATTATGAGCATGCAGCTCAGTACATGATTCAAGAACCGAGTGTACATAAGCGATTCGGCTTCTTCCAGGTCGAATTTGCGCGCTTCCTAAAGCGCTGTCGTGTCATTGCTCACCACCTTCACGATGCGGTGTCTGTTACCACTAGGAATGACAGTGCTGAGTGTGCCTGTGCGGTTGACTATGGTTGTGAGTGCGTTGGTTTGAAATTAGCCTGGAAGATTCTATGCTCTCTCATTGCCGATGAGAACAGCGCCAACCAACCGTGGGAGAACCCGAAAGACTCCGGCAACCCACCCCAAACTTTCGATTTCAGCATATTTTCGGGGAGTGCCTTCGCTTCTCTACTTGGTCTCACGGGTACTGGACTGCTTGGCTGTTACTATGGGGCGGCAAGCGATAATGAATGGTTCGAAACAAGAGGTGGAGTGAGCGGTTGGGACCCAGCCAACAACTCATGGAACTCTCCAATCATTACCATCATTCCTAGTCTCTATCTCAACGCTAGCCAGGGCCAGCGTGTCCTTGCGTCCTTCAAGAATGGATATGCTCTCAATCAAGAGACGGGTGAGATTCTCTCCGGAGCGGAACCATTCTCGGTCACATGGACTGGTGTCTTATTAATCGAATGCGACGGCTGCTACCATTTTGCTGCTGGCTGTCCTGGACGTGAACGTGATGACGAAGCGTGTCACTGCGAGAAGTACAAGCAATGGTGCGTCAACCTTCAGAGAGGACAAAAGACATGGCCTTTACTTTCACAAGGCATGGAAACCGATGGCAATATCCCATGCAGCTACTCCCAGGCCATACGGTTGCGTCGCGGCGCGTATGACATAACCGTTAAGTTTAGGCAGCCAGAGCCGAACTTCGATGATGAAGACGACCTGAAGAGATTTCATACTGGCTTCGTGCTCAAGTACACGGGTCTCGATACAGAGCATTGCTTGATTGAGGTGCCATTGAAAAGCTTATATCTTAAGAAGAAACCCGAAAAGCCCCATCATAATTCTGACGGGCCAGAATCAAAGATTACAAGGTTCCATGGCTTCGACGACAGGTATATATCAACACTTCGTGACATTAGGAGAACGTACCAGCGCGCCTTTAAAGCCATTCTTTTCGCAACTAGGCTATGTCTCTCAGCATGCTTGAGTACCTGTGAATGGGAGAGTGAACTCGGATACATACTGGATCGTGCAGGAAAGTTTCATGGGACGTCGTATTATCTTAAAAGCGAGGTATTTCATCCACATCAGGTTGATTTTAATTTCAACTTCTTGCCTGTATACGACACTTATTTCCCCCCCGACGGTACGAAGGATCAAAGAGTGGCACCTAGTTGGAAACGTAGCGCCGCAATGTTCGATTGGTTCGAAAGATTGTTCGATTACACCAAGCTTCGAGGATGGGTAAGCGAGGTGTGTGGTCCACCAGTCTGGCTTCTCTTCCACCATGCGACCTCAGATGGGCCCCAACCTGTTTCCCAGCTTCTGAGATTCCTCGGCCTTGAGATTGCCTTGTCGGATATGGTCTTAGAATACTATCAGGCTGGAGGCCTCTGGAAGATAGCAGACGCTAATGTCCCGGCAAACCTGGGAGACGAGAGGTGGGTAACACGTCTCTGGATGGCATGTCGCTACATCAAAAAGCTCAAAGCTCATTTCTACGCTCCTACAATAGAGCTTGAGCACTGCCGCCCTGCCACTTGGGCAGCCCTAGATGGGAACGCACAGATCGACGGTACAACTGGTAACGATAATCTTACGCGATTTGTGCAACGCTCCTGTCTGGCTAAGAACGACGCGCCACTGCGCTTGGGACTAGTCGTTGACTTGAATAATGGGCTTCGGATGCGTGCGCGAGATGCCCTTCTCGCTTACATAGCCTTTCAAGGGCACTCATTGGGAGACCTCTCAGACAGACTACTGCTAGACGTTGGGGCTTGCATTAACCAGAAGACTACACGCATTGACGATGCAATTGCGGCAGCACAACGCTTCATGCAACGAGTGATCCTCGGCCTTGAGTCCACTACGTTCACTATTGACAATCCATTACTCAAGCGTTGGGAGTTCGAGCTCTCATCATTCGACAAATGGAAGGCTGCACAACGGAGGAAGTACTACTATGAAAACTGGATCCAATGGGAGGAAGCAGGGAAACTTTCCTTATGTGAGGGATTCCAGTCGCTGAAGACGTTTTTAGGAGCAAGTATCTCTACGTTAGCCCTACCGGGACGAGGCATTTTCTGGCAAGACAAAGCTCAAGGTCTACCAGGTACAGACGAGCTGGCAGGGGTATCGAGCGCTCAGAAGTTTGTCCTCGGGAAACAGACTCAGTCTCTCGATGAGGGTCTGCGACTCCTAGGAGCTCCTGGGCATAGCGGTCGGCCAACATGGCTCGCATCCCTCCCGATACCTGCCAACACGATTCCTGAAGATGGGAATGGGGCAATAGCTTCTAGCGTAACAGCGGACTCGCCCGTGTCCTTGAAGGTTTCGAAAGCAACACATGCCCTCCTACCTGGAGCATCTTCACTTGACCATATTCCATTATGGATCCAGGCAGCAGTCCGTATGGGAACTAGATTCCTGCGCGTGGCTGCTTCAAGCCTCCCTATCGCCACCCCTTACACTGGTTTAAACACCGTCTCTCCATGCTGTCTCTGCAAGGATAGTCATGCACCAGTAATAGATGAGTATTACTTCTGGCTCGAGGACGCCCGCTGGTTTGACGTTACCGACGTCCCCGCGCCCCAAAACGCGGACTTACATGTCAACACGCCTCGAATCGACCCTCCACTGGCCGATGCCGGACCACAAATTGATCCTAGAACAAGGGATGCAGACCCAACGTCTGATTGGGACGCACCAACTCCGCAGATGCTCTCTTGGAAGTTAAGCCCACTTGTTCATCTCCGTTGGACGCGAGTACATATGGGCGTGCTTCTGGACCCAAGACGCTCGAGTAAAGGTATCCCTCTCAAGGATGGGCAGATGAGCGACATCAACCTCGATTTTTGCGGTAGAAAATTTGACTCCCTTTTTTTTACTATCCTCGGGAGTGGTTCCGAACTAGGATTCCGATACGATATTGCCACCGACGCGGCGACAGTCCTTCCAGAGCCTATCACCCCTACAGAACCGCCTGCACTTCCTCTTCCAGCCTCGCTTCAATCAGTGCTCGCCGCATTTCCTTACTTCCTTTATTTTACTCCAGGCAAGCCACTTGCACCAGTTGGAACTTTCAGCACATCTTTGGTGGTCGCGAACACTCTACGCACAGATTGCCGTTTCCAAGAAGCATCCAAGTGGCTTCGAGTAGCATACGATCCTCTAGATAGAGATAATTCTTGGATGCGTTGCCTGGACAAAGAAAAGCAAGGAGTCCTCGAAGATCCACATGTCTCAGGAAAGAGCCATAACGACCCTTTCTCAAAAGACAGCGTAGATCTGTTTTCCATTGTTCTAAAGGAACAGAAGGCTGAGGGGGCAGACCAGGCATCTCTACGCACCGATGAGCGAGGGCTCCACCTAGACCTACCATGTTGCCCCGCTTCCCCTGTCGGAGCTGTAAGTGCACGTGCACGAGCGGCCACCCTCGAATACCTCGAGACGTTGTTGCAGGAGGCTAATACTCTTCGTGGCTGCAATTCACTAGAAGCCTCACAGCAAGCACTTACTTTACTTAAGCTCATGCAGCGCGTCCTTGGCTCAAACCCCTCTTGGATCAATGCCACGGATACAACTAATGGGGAAATGACTGTTTCTACCTTTGAGCCATATGCGGCACCACTAAACCCGAGGCTAATTGAGCTTTACGCCTCTGTTGAAGAAGGTGTCCATGCCATCCGATCTCAAATGAATAAGAGACGACAACCGAGTGGGAGCCTTGGTCTCAACATGGCGCATTTTGGACCGAACCAGAAATTTGACCTTCATGCAATAAATGGAGGTGACCAGCACACGGCATGTGACTCTTTCTGTTTTTCGTGCTGCCATCCTTACCGGTTTACCTTTGTTCTGCCAAAAGCTACGGCATGGGTCGCTTTGGCCAAGAACACAGCGGCAGCTATGCTTTCAGCTATCGAGAAAGCGGATACAGAGGCACTATCGTCTCTTCGGTTTACCCAGGAACACCAGATCACGGAGCTGGGCCTTGAGATCTCTAAAAACAACTACCGAGCAGCTGACTGGGACGTCCAGGCTCTCGATAAACAAATGATCAACGCGACTACCAGATTGCAATACTTCCAGCGACTCATCGCAACCAAACTCATCGATCTCGAACAAGCACATGTTTTCGGAGTGACAGCTTCAACAGCCAGCCGAACCAGCGCTACGATTGTCGACGGTGTCGCGCAGGGTATGGCTACCGTCCCGGATATGTGGCTTGGTGTCGCTGGAATAATGGGTACACCACTGCAGTTCAATCAACTACCAATGGGCGTAAAGATGGGCACTGGTTTTGCCACAGCTGCGAGGATATTGAATACTGTAGCTGAAATCTCAACAGCGGGCGCTAACCTCTCGCTCACAGAGGCAGGTTGGGCACGCCGTGAACAGGACTGGCAACATACGTGCGATGTCACCGTTTCGGAAATACAGCAGATAAAAAGGCAACGGCTAGCTGCTAGACGCCGGCTCGACAATGCTTTGAGAGAGTTGAATAACAATCAGCGCCGCATTGAGCACTCGGCTGAAGTGGAAGACTTTGCACGTGACAAGACGTCTAGGTACGAGCTGTACCTTTATTTGCAGCAAGAGAACGCGGCGCTATACCGACAGTGCTATGACTTGGCTTTGCAGACGGCGCAAGAGGCACAGCAGGCTCTCAGATTCGAGCTAGGATATCCATCATTCAACTTCATATCCTCCGCGGCAAGTAGCTGGAACAATCTCCACGAAGGCCTCCTAGCAGCCGAAAAACTCGAACTAGCCCTGTCGTCATTAGAGCGCGCACATATGACAAAGGACTGCCGTGAGTACGAGCTTGTCAAACATGTCTCGCTGCGACTGCACTTTCCTGCAGCATTTATCATGCTCAAAACTACCGGATGTTGTGAAGTTGATCTACCAGAGTGGCTTTTCGACTTGGATTACCCAGGCCACTACATGCGTCGGGTCAAGTCTATCTCATTGAGTATTCCCTGCGTCGCCGGACCGTACACCGGTATTCACTGCAAACTCCAGCAGCTGAACAGCACCATTCGTTTCCAACCTCGTCGCACTGGTCAGGAAAACTGTCAATGCTGCCCAAAAAAGAAGTATATGCATGACATCAAGCCTCTGTCGACCGCCTGTCCAAACGATCCAAACGTCTGGAAGCGCTTCGCAGGAACTGAAGCAATTGCCACCTCAGCCGGGGTCAATGATTCTGGCCTCTTCGAACTCAGCTTTAATGACCAGCGATATTTACCATTCGAGTATACAGGAGCTGTGTCATGCTGGCGTATTGAGCTTCCGCCCGAAAACAATCAGTTTGACTTTGATAGTTTGAGTGATCTGGTCATGCATATCAAGTTCACGGCGAGAGAGGGCGGACCAGAATTTGCAAGAGAGGGCAACGAGCTTGCGCAGAGACATACCCCAGGCGATGGTTTGCGTTTCTTTGATGTCAGGCATGAGATGCCTGAGGTGTGGAGAGTGTTAAGGAAGGAGGTTGGGTGTGAAGCGTGCAAGAAATTTGAGGGGGCAATCGAATGTATTTGCTGTGATCGAAGAGAGCATGATGGAGAGCACGATAGAGAGAATTTCAAAGAGGGGGACCACTATAACCACAGCCGCGGGTGCCGGGTCGAGGGCAAGGAGGATTACAGAAAGATATGGTGTAACAAGTGCAAGCAGCACCATTACAGCCATGAAGAAGCGAACTCTCACAAACAAAAGCATACACGCAAGAACAATTGCCAACATCACGGGACAAAGAAGAAACGGCCACACCACGCAAAGCGGGAATTTCGCCTCAGCCTCACACGAAACATGTTCCCCTTCCTCACCAGTCGTCGCGGCGTATCCGTCACAAGCCTTAATATCATCCTTGACACCAAGTGTAGCGAGCCCGCTACCACCAGAGTACACTTCATACCTCCTTCGGTTCATTTTCCTCACCACAAGGAGCCCGCCTGCGTAGACACAGAGGAGATCCGCCTCGTTCGCACTGAAAGCGGGTTGTTGAAGGGGTGCCTGGCTCTGAAGCAGCAGGTAGAGTTGGATGACGGGTACAAAGGTGATGCTAAGGGGAGTAGAGGCGAGAAGCTTGTTGGCACTTTTGAGATTCCATGTCAGATTGATGGAAGGGATGTTTGTGGTGCGTGGCTACTTGTGGGTTATTGTTCTACGGAGAAACGGTGCGAGAAGACGGCGATGGTCGGGTGCTGTTGTCCGGAGTAATGCTCACGTGAACATAATGTCTTGTGATTAATTTAACGCATATTGGTCTCCGTCGATTTTCGCACCGCATGCCGTATGGGATTTTGTCAGATAGCGGACCTTGTGAATCCTTTCAAGCGTTGCAGATATGCAGGTAAACTATGAGCGAGTGGCTGTTGTTGCCAAGGCGGCTGAGCAGTCCGCCGTACGCTAGTCTGATTCCAGACAGATCAGTGTGAAGGTCAACAGTGAATCCCGAATCCCGATCTACGCTCTCAGCTCACTCTCTCCACGCAGTCACATCCGCAACCGCGCCCCGAAGCGGGCGCTTACCCGTCCCGAGCACAGCTATCCACCGTGACGAGTAGCCGCAAGCCATCCCTTCCAAGCAGTAGCTATTACTCCCCAATCCTACATGGCGATCCTAAATTAAATAGATGGCAGGTATCCGTTTGAGGCAGGAATCCAGGAGAGCCTTAGACTCTTTCTTCACCCAGAGGTTGCGTGATGTGCTCCTTTACTGAATTTACGATGAACCAGCAAAGCAGATAGTGGGCACTTAGTACCCCCACCACTCCCAAGGCACGCGGCTCACCGCTCCGACCAGAGGGTTGCGGAGAGGCCTGGAGGAACGCGTCGGCCGTCCGGCTTACCAAAACGCCGACTCTCTCTTGGATATAGCTTGCCTAGCTCCTAAAATATCCGAATTCTTCAAAGGATAGGGTATTGCGGCCGTCACTCACTTCCTTATTGTCAGCCGTTAAACGGTTACTTATAGCAGGACCGCTGGTATCGTAAATGCAAAATATACAGCAACCTCTTACACCTAGCATGGCTCTAATATCGGACTTAAGAGCACACCTTCTGCGATTATATACTAGCTTTACGACAACGAACACCGCAGTCAGCACTCCAGCAACTGTTAAAGGCGAGCCTTCCAAGTGCCGCTACCGTCTTGACAACGATTGCTCGGATACCTTTACCCTCCCAGACGGACGAAAACTCGGTTATGCGCAGTATGGTTTGCAGACGGGACGGCCTATCCTTTACCTACATGGCATTCCGGGCTCTCGCATCGAGGCTGCCCAGTTTCATGACCTAGGCCTTAAATTAGGCGCCCGCATTATCGGTGCTGACAGACCAGGGATAGGTTGGAGCTCACCGCATCCCAGTCGAATACTCCTTGATTTTCCGAAGGACTTAGAACTCCTTGCGAAGCACCTGGAGCTGGATGAGTATGCTGTACTGGTACGTGCAATATGTTATCCCTGAGAATGCCTCAACCTATTTGCTAATAGTGCCGGCTGGATAGGGCATATCAGGAGGTGGTCCATATGCACTTGCTTGTGCGGTGTCATTACCTCGCGAGAAACTCAAGTGTGTTTCGATCGTCTGTGGCCTGGGACCGCCTGACATAGGTATGAGTGGCGCGAGATGGCTAAATTGGCTTGGATTCACACTGGGGTATCGCTATGCCCCCTCGTGGGCTAACAGGTGGTTTTGGCAAAGGCAGCCAATTGGACGATTGGACCTGACTGACGAAAAGCGTCTAGAGCTCTTGCTGCAATCTGCATCAGGTTCCATCGGGGCTCATGAGAAGGACCTCGAGGTTATGAAGGATGAGGATTTTCTCCGATTAATTTTGCGATCGACACGAGAAAGTTTCGCGCAGGGGTATGATGGGATAGGGCAGGATGGCAAGGTGATGTGCATGGACTATGGCTTTCGAATAGAGGACATTCGTGCCGACCTACCTGTGCAACTGTGGTACGCAAAGCACGATGTTTTCGTTCCACTCAATCACGGTAAGCAGATAGCCGCACGGTTGGGTGGTAGAGGGCATCTCCGAGTAGAAGATGAAACTCACTCAAGCATTGTCGTAAACTGGAGGAAAGAAATATTGGAAGATTTGGTCAGGAGCGCGTAAGGCATGGAAAAAGGTTGTATTTTAGTACTAGGAGCTTCGCATCTCAGCCGATCTAGTTGAAAAGTCGATACTTCTCTCCGCTCGACAAGAGAAGGTTCTAGACACTTTGGCAGACCTATAAAACAGAAAGGAACTAAAATGTACCCACCTCTAAAGTAATTTTTCCTGATTTTAGATTGATATTACTTAATTTCTCCAGAATTATGTTTCTATTAGACTGTCACGGAGTTGCAACGAATAAGATATAAGCAGTACAATTCTCAGGAGCCTAAGGTTTACTTTTGCTTTGGCTTCACACAAGAGTCAAAAGCTCAAAGAGGACTGTTTGTGGATTGTTACGTACAGTATCTGGTGAATGTAAAGACGCTGCGTGAAGAGAAAAGGAACTGGGTAAGTTCAGGCAAGTATTTTCAGCCTTTGCAATGGTGGGTCATTGCCTTATATATGTTCTAGGAATCAGCGTTTCCAACAGGAAGTAGTATAATTAATACTTTTGCTCTACCTATAATTATGTAAGGCAAATAAACGTAACTACATTTTTAACTATTATAATTTAATTAGTAAGGCTTAAAAGTAAGCAGTATATAATTAAGGTAGACTTTTTTAAAGTTGCAGTCTCTAATGTGTGTAAAGGCTAGAGAAGCGTGTTTATGCTACTATTTACATGTTAGTGTAGCTTTAGAGCTTGCCTTGTACTATAACAACCTTTTAGAAAACCTTATTATAGCAAAAGATAACAGTCTCTTGTATAGGGAACCTCTAGATTAGTAGCTCTAGGTTAGTTAGCGCAACTATCCTATACTCTTTAAAATAGCACTTAATTTCCTATGTATACCCTCTACAAGCTACAACTGCAAGAGAGCCTTTAGTAAAAAGAAAAAAATAGTTACTTATAACTATAATTATCTCTTAGGCTTTATAATTAAAGCTTTATAACTCTAAAAGAACTAGCTATATTATAAAGTTATTTTTAGTAAATTAAATAGCTTTACATGCTATATTAAAAGTAAGAGGGACTTTACTACTTTAAAAGCTTTAACAGTTATGTTATAACTTTTAGTAAAAAGTTAAGAAGTATAAGTAGCTTTAACTAAACTATAACTTAATTATATTAACTCCTACTGTTAGGTGAAGCAAACAAAAGTATATAATAAGTAAGACGTAACTTGTCTAGAAAGCCTAAGTTAAATCGTACTACTTCCTGATGGAAACGCTGCTAGGAATGCTACGAACGGATTGAGAAGTATCTTCTTTTCGAAACCAGATTTAATCCAAGATTGTGCACCACCCTAAGAGTGACCTTTTCTGAGACCGAGAATGAGAAGATACCTTCAATCGCCAATAACGGAGAGGTGCCCCTGCAAGGTTACAGTTATAAGCTTAGATATTACTTTAAATACTTATTTAGCTTCATCTAACTACCTACTTACTGCACTTCTTAAAAGATTGCCCCCTTACTCTATCTAATTGTGCAATATTATTAAGATTAGTATTCCTATACCATCTAAGACCTTGATTATACCTAGAAAGATTATTTTAGGGATTAGTTAAATTAAAAGCTTTACATCTATGTGGTTAAATAAGTATAAAGGCTTAGCGTAACTAGCAATTGCTTGATAACAGTGTTGACTTGACAAAGAAGAAGAACTGTGTCCTTACTATAGAACTAGGTTTAAATACCGTAATACCTAGCTAGCTTAGGTCTAGCTCGGGGATAGTGTTCTTAACAAGTTAGCTGTGATGGGTTGGACCCATGAGGGCCCGCCAGCGGGACAGATCAAAAGATCTGGATATGGACCCACAAGCGGGCCAGATCAAAGATCTGGACGGGACCCGGGATCCGTGAGACATCCCATCTCGCTCATCAATACCGACTATGCCAGCTGGATCCTCTCTGATCGAACTTGGGCATGCCCTTTGTCTGTCGCTGGGTGCATATAGTCGTGCCGATGATCCCATGGATCCGAGCGCCCGTTATAAAGATAGTCAAAAAACATAGCGAAAAAGCTATAATATCTCCAACTTGATATTATAGCACAACTAGCCTAGAAGAGGCACTGCTAAGGCTAACTCTACTAGAGAAGGATACACGAATCTAGGTCATGTGAAAGGCTGCCAAGGACGCTAAAGCGGTCATGTGCTTGTATCTAAAGAAGTCTAACGTATGCTACCAGTCATACGCCTACATTAGTTATCCGCCTGCCCTAAAAACGATAAAAACGATAAAAATCACCTTTAAAATTTTAACAACGGCTTAAAAGAGCGCTTAGTTCTTAATATGGTCTTTTCTATAACCATAGAGTAGATTATAGCAAATTGTTCTTACTGTCTCTAGCTTGCAACTTCTTTCTCAGCTAGAGAGGGTAGGAGTTGATCATGTGGTTTCCGATGACTTTAACCGTTTAATGGACATCTAAATCCCGAATCTCTTTGTCTTCCCACCATTTATATCTCCCCTGGGTTCGATCAATCCACCATTTCGCTTTGTATTGCTGGTTCGGTTTCCAGATTTCTCACTCTTTGCACATCCTCTCACGTTTCTTGCCCACCATGCTGATCTCTTCTTTCCGACATTCCACTAAAGTGCTCTTCCCGGGTCTCTACGTCGAACTTTTGGAGGCTCGTGGCTATGCTGTAATCGACAGCATCATGGCAGCACGCATGGAGTTCATGGACGAAAAGAGGTGGAAACAGACTAAAGCACCACTGAAGACTTCCGGTGAGTCTTAATAACCCAAACTTGGAATTGGCGTCACGACGACGAACTCGAGACTCCCTGATTTCGTGAGTATTATTGCCAACGACAGTTTACTCTGTTTCACATATCGAACATGGAGCCATCCATCCAATGATCAGGGAAGGCGAGCGCCATCGCTTCTTCCAAAGCCTCTTCGCCTGTTTATACCACGCTTGGATTCAGCCGCACACGGCAGCCTGGGAATCTCTTTATTGATAAACACCGCTGCCGACCTAGAAAACCACATCCAACTCCCATCCGAACATGAATCAGACAGACAACGCAGAGCCTTCAGCTTATGGCTATGGCTGGGGTGTGCCAGGGCCAACCACCGCAGAGCTCCTCCCTTGGAGTTGGAAGATTTCGCCACAGGCTCAAACAACTAAGTGTCCGCCCTTCGCCGAGTACGCAAGCATCTTCATCGGCGTCAATATCGTCGCTGCGATAGTCAGCGCTGTTTTTGGGAATCGCCGTGTCGTGAGAAGATTGACTTGTGGGCTGATGGGAAAGCCATTGAGCAGGTCCTTCCTGTATATGTGGATCGTGACTCTAGCACTGAATCTTGGAGCCAACGCGATCAATGCTTGGCTGATCAAGAAGACACCTGGCTATGATGCAACGTTCGGAATCGGGGAGCTGGTGCTATTATTCTGTCTTAGACCGAGGGTGGGCTGGATAGTCCTCGGCTTGCTGGGGCTGAATCCGAAGAGGTCGGGGAAAGGAAAGACACTGGACGTAAGAACACGGAAAGAGCTCCCAATGCTGAAAACTCGGCTTGACGAATCCGATTACCACACTCCTTCTCCTCGACGTCGTAATCTCATCTACGACGACTCGTACGCTGCAGACGACGCTCGGTACGGAACATACGATTCTGGCGTTGCCGTCACACCCCGTTACCTTGCGTCAGACGTTCACCCTTTCCCCTCCGATCACGACGGTTCATCAGATTGGTACCGCGTTCACGACTACACATACGCCGCATCCGTGTTTTCCTCGTTATTTGCGGAATATGTCCTGCAGGTGCTAAGCCTGATACCTCTAGGCAAGACTGTACATCTTGCAGCAACTAAAGGGTACTATAGGATTAGCAGCCCAGCGTATGAATCTGTGCCATTTGGTGCGCACATGATGTACTCTGGTGCTCTAGCCGCTTTGTTGATGACCATCTTCCTGCTTGTATCCTCCCCGGTGTACATCCACCAGTCCATCGATGAGATAATCTTGAATCCATGCAAGCACAGAGAGACCTTGCTGCACAAGACGCTGCATGGAGCGATTATGTTGTTTCCGCTGCTGCAATGCGGGACCTTGTGGATCTTTTGGTCTGGTCTCTTTATGCTTGCGGGTCGGCTGTAAGTGGCAGATATTGACGTCTATGAGGTCGGCTTTGGATCAACCTAACATACTGCTCTAGATACTGCCCTCCATATGTAGTTCAACAAGGCGGTGTTTGGGCAGGTCTTTCGAGTCTTGGGATCATTGTAGGAGCAGGCTTCTAGGTAAACACGCGTGGAAGAAGGGGGTAAAGAAAAACCGACTTTCTGAGCGATCACCTGCGGTAGAAGGGCTCCTCGGCGTCGCTGTCACATCAAGGACAAGCGTCAAAGGCCGTTAGTGGTGTTGATGGCGAGGGGTATCTGGATGTAAGCTGGAACCACATGTCGTTACTAACAAACATGTAAATAAACTTTACTCTTGTCTTTGTCCCAGAATAATTCTCCCCGATCATGCCTCTCGACCTTCGAAGGACGTACACGGCCATAGCTTACCTCTAACGGCCTTTAAATCCCATCGGTACGAGTTATGCTAGTCACGTCACATGGTATGTATTATACAATACACCACAAAAACCGCTCTTCCCTGCCTGCATCTTCGTACTTTACATGTCCAACGCACCTAAAGATTCTTCCATTCTTCCTCAATTGTAATGAATGATCATTGCTACGATGCTTCAGACAACCAACGCTCCCATAAGCTCATAACTTCTGCCCGATTGCATAGAGATTTTTTATTCTTTGCCTGGTAAATAATGAGTTAGCCTCCAGAATCGGCTGTATGCTCTACGCATCGTAGACACACCGTGCATAACTCAAGATAATCGATGTCCCTCTCACTGTGCTTCTTGAGTCATATGCGTAGGATGATCAAGCCCGCGGCTGGTCACACTGGATTTGAAAGCATTCGCGTATTGCTGCAGGGAGACGTGTGGATTTCAAGGCTGTGATCGCGTACTGTTGCAAGAATATGCGTGGATTTCGAGGCCGTGACTACGTGAGCATTGTACTTTGAACGAATTGGGGAGGTTGCAACCGATTTCTTTTCTCCTTTTTTGTTACTCAGCCTCATTTGGACTTGTACATATTGTCTGGTCGCTGCACCACTCGACCCCTCTGCATGCCTACCTTCCATTCTCACAACACAGAATCTAATCGAAATCCCAGAGTCAGACATCCATACTCCGACTCATTTTTGCCATCCATAGACTAACTGATCCGCATAATAAGCATAAGTCTGGTGTGCAAAACAGGGCACGAGGGACCCTTCTGCAAATCATCGTGGTCGGTGAGTAGCACAGAATCGAACCACGTCTCTGCCGAAATCTTTCTTTTCGTATTTTCTTTTCAATTCTCCAGGAATCAAGGCGTACCCACACTTTGTCGATCCTGCGCGATTCCATACCCTGACTTCAAATCATATTCAATTGCTCACTACCACCATCGCCTATCTACTCTCTACCTACTTCTCCCCTCTTCTCCCTCGCCTATCTCGAACTCTCTTCTACACTCCCACTCCCTCTCAACAACCTTGCTGTTTTAGGGTAAATCTACCAAATCATCTCCTGCACCCCCACACAAACAATTCTATACAACAAAACGTGCCAACCGGTGTGAAAAATTCCATCATAGGGAGGAAGGTGATACTGATGAGGAAGTTGGAGGGTCAGTTTCGTGGTTGTGGCGAGCGCGCTACTGAGGGAGCGGACGCAGAGGAGGAAGAGACTGGGAGTGTGCTAGATTTACGAGGTGGGTGGAAGAGGAGATGGGATGGGGTGGGATACGTACTCTGATTGCTGCCACGATACATTTCCCGTGCCGATTGCGTAGTTCTCGACGTGTGTTACCATTACTAGTAAAATTACTAACGACCAGACTTTATCGCTTCCTTCGCTTGCTGCAGCTTTGGCGGAAGCTGCTGCGGCTCGCTCTGTAGGCAACTGCATGTAGTCGAACGCCATATAGCACAGCACTAGCCTTATGATCATGGTTGGGACATATTGCACGGTTAGTTAAAGCTGACAGATAAAGGAAGTCTTATATGGAGGTACGAGTAGTCAATCAGGTAGTGAGGACCAAACTAGGTAGACTGAGTTGAGCTGTAAGGTCTTTGGAGCTTGAGAGAGCTATGAGGCGAATATACAGATGATAGAACAGCGGTAGTCCTCGATAAGAAGCCAGTGTGAGTCATAGACCCACATTCACCCTGACGAAGGGTCGCGTGAATTAAAGCTACGTACAACGCAATCCCATAGCTTTAACTCGGTAAATACTAAAGCATAGCTGTATAAACTAGTTGAATAATAAAGGGAGACGCAAATAGTTAAATTAAAAGCGTAAAAGGAATATAAAAGCAAGTCTCCTAAGGTTTTAATTTAGATGTTGATGCTATAGAGAATTAGATAGAGATAGACGCGTTCTCAGCGTCTTAGCAGTAGTTGGAGGACCAGTGCTAGGAGAGTAAGTGTTACTTAAGAGGTAATTCAGGTGTATAAGTCCTAATTATTTAATAAAAGCTGTTTAATTTTGATAAAAGAGAAGCTTTGTAAGACTATTGTAATGGGTTGGACTCATGAGGACCCGTAAGCGGGCTAGATCAAAGATCTTGATCGGACCTAGCACCTGGGGGGCATTCCATCTCGCTCATAAATTTCGACTATGCGATTTGAATCCTTGCTGATTCAACTTGTGTATGCCTTTTGCCTGTCGATTTAGCGCATATAGTCGTGCCGATGATCCTACGGATCTGAGCGCCCGTGACAAATCTATTAAAGTAGAAGCCAAAGATAACCTTTTAAGCACTTATTCTAAGTTCTTGACTTTCAGAGAGTCTCTAATAGACCTAAGTAGACGTGGAACTATCCATTTAAACTCTAACAGTCCTATAAATAATGTAGTGGCCTTAAAATAAAACATTATAAACTACAGTCTATTCTCAACCATCACCATGATACGCTCAATTTTACTCCTTAAAACCACTAAGAGAAGGCAAAATCCCTGTATAATCGCTCGCTCTAGTCTCATGTCTGTAGCTACTACCTTTCAACACTGCTACTTAAAAGAAGAGCCATACACTTCTTTCGCACCTTTTCATCCGTCACAAAGAGATTCCAAACTTCTTCTAAACTCAAAAGGACCTAAAACAGCCCTGGAATCTTTTGTATTGCGTTCTGCTTCCTAATACCGATCGGTCCGTTAATCCAACTCAACCTTGCCTGTATCACGTTGATATGTGAACATATGATACTTTGGTTCCCCGACCGCCCTAAAACAGTTCTGTCTCCTTAGTTCAGCTTCAGCTTAAGTATACTTACCAATAAACAAGGCGATTCTTTGGCTATACCTACATTCGTGTAGAGCAGATGCTAGTTTGTGGTGTCGTTAATAGACCCGTCTTGTGCTTCTGTGTCTGCGACTGCGGTCTCCCTGGGGACTGCCTAGGCATGTTCACATCCGCTTCATTTACATGATGTATCCTGTAATATGCTCGTAGCTAATTATGTTTCTTAACAGCCACACTAACATTAACTCCTGAAACTCGGTAATCAGACTAGATCCGGCTTCCATCTAAAGAAATTTAGCCAGGACTTAAAAGCAGCCAAGATGCCTGTAAAGTCCGCAATATATTATTGAATCACGGTAGTGGAGAGGAGACTACAATCTCGAAGCATGGGGTACGGATGGAGCGATAAGAGAAAAAAAGTTCTGGGTATATTAAGGTTTCAAGCGCGAACATATATAACAACAAAGACCCGAAACCCAAAAAGGTTGCGCCACTTCATTTGACTTTCCAGTCCCAAACCCAATCTAGACCAGCGCTGCTCATCCAATCCAGAAATTCAAATTCCATATATACCCTCTCTCCGCCGAAAACCGCAGCTTATCTCTCTTTTTACCTTGGCCCCGGGGCAAACGCGTTGGGTTGCTGATACTGCATCGGCACCTGCATCTGCTGTCCCGTATTCTGAGCATACACAACCCCTGTCGACTGCCCATTCGCATATACAGCACCACCCGGTTGTCCCGTTGCCAAGTAATACTGCTGTTGGGGTAGCGGTTGTTGTAGCGGTTGCTGTAGCGGTTGCTGTTGCGGTTGCGAGTACGGTGGCGGGAACCCTAGTCCCAAAGGCGTCAAGGGATGAACGTACTGGGGTGTTTGGGGACAGCAGTTATGGGGGGTTTGTGGGCCGGTTGGACAGCATCCACCTGTTTGCTGTTGGACGGGTTGAGAGGCGGGTGCGGGTGCTTGCAGGGGTTTCGGTTGTGGGACAGGTGGAATTGGTGCAAGGGTTTGAACGAGGTTGGGGAGGGATGGTGCCATTTTGTTGTAATCCGTCCATGTGAATTCTGGGAGATTGGAGAAGGCTTTCCCAGAAGTGAGAAGTAGAACGTAGGATTTTGGGTGCTGTGGAAAGAGGTATAATCCCTGTTACATCGAATCATAGATCAGCACAAATACTCAGGTAACTTAAGAAAAAATAAGCAAGACGCAAAGTTTCAATGCACTTACAGCAATCCCAGTAAAATCTTTCGACTCCTCCAGAAATTTATTCGTCCCCATCATCCCCTCCTCCTTGCTCTTCAAATCCCAACTTCCCCCTCCTCTCACAGTCCTCATGAAATAACTGCCATCGGCACCTAGACTAACAAAACTTGGTGCTTCCTGGCCGTTCTCTCTCCAAACTGTCTTCCACGGGTCTTGAGATTCTAGGCGTCCTAGAATGGCTTTGTCGAGGGTTGGGGGGAGATTTGCCCAGGAGGCGGAGGACTTGTCGTGCGCGTAGTAGGATTCGTAGGGTCCGAGGGTAATGGAGAGGGTTGTTAGATCGCGGATAACGTGGGGATGGGAGTGGTAGAGGTAGGTTGTTAGAGGGTTTGGGAGGTTGTAGTGTCCTAGAATCAGTGTGAGTGTAAGGTGTATGACGAGGTAGCGTGCGCTTTGAACGTCTTAATTTAAGGATAGAAAAGCTCATGTTGGTGAATCCAAGTCAGGCTCTGAAAAGAATCAAACAATAAAAGTAATAGAAAGATAAACCTACTGCAGAAAATCTGGCCATCGTGATCACGATAACTAATAAAATATGTCCCGCTCTCACCCAACGCGAGTTCTAGGACATCTTTTATAGCTGGAGTTTTTGTAAAGAGAGCCTCCACATCTGGGGGAAGGTTATGCCTATTCGGAGTCAAGTTAGTGAATCGTGATAACCGAATTTGGCCTCAGTTGCTAGATTCGACAAGGCTGGAGTCTAGGTCTTGATGGTGCAGATTGGTCTTGAAGTAGTCCATGAAGAGAGATGGCACACAGGCTCAAGATAGATAGGAGACTTACCATGCCCAATGTGTAGGGCTATTGAAGAAGTAGCTCTCCTTCGCGCCCATCGAAAATGTAACAAACACTGTCATTTTTACTTCGATACAGGCACCTAGTCGTGCCCCAACAGCGACTGCGTATGGACAAGAGCACTCAACGGGTATATCACTCGGGGGGGAAAGGAATCTTCGGTATAGATGTAAAGTGAATGATGTTGGAGGAAGCTGAGGGGTAGAGGCGGGAAGATGGCGAGGGTTGAGGTTGACAGTCCCTTTTCGCGCTCAGCCCCGCTGGGCGCTCGTATTGGTTTAGGAAAGATCAAGCGGGGCAAAGCTGAGGCTGAAATAAGCCTTGCACATCATCCGCTGCACATCACTGAGATCTTGGTCTTACCCTGGCTGTGGAAATGACGAAGGCTTATTCGGATTGATCGATAAAATTCATGGCTGATCGAAAGCCAATTTATACATGCATATTGTAGAACACGGGCCTGCACAAATCCGTCTAAAGAATCAGTCCTGAGACCTAGGAGTCCACACTGCGCCACACGTATAATTCCACTGTTTATATCATACAGCAGATCCGAGCATGTTCCCATCCAATTCCAGAATTCCAAAGCCGCGGTCTGTCCGCTATACCGACCTAGATAACCTTTAAGTACTCCAGCCCCTCAATAACTCAGTATGCTGCCGAGGAGAGAAACAAGGAGACCTACCGATTTCCACGCCGACCAGGCAACGCTGGAGGAACGAGTGGATTGCCATATGCGTCGGTGCCTAGTTGCGCACGACAGTCCGGACAGTACCATTTGGCGCGACGGGAAGGAATTTCCTTCTCAGTCATATGCACGCAATCAAGATGGAACCATTCTTTCTCGCACTATTGACAGTTAGTCTTTTGAACAGGAAGAAAGAGGTAAGGGGATAAACTTGCATTATTGTCGCACTGAATCATCTGCCCGAAACTCACGTCATCGCAAATGCAGTATCGCGGCTCATTGGGATCGATCTCTTCTAGTGGCTCGGTTGGCTCCTCGTCTGCCTTCTTTTTCTTCTTGTTCTTGCTACCCTGGGCTCGCTTTACATTTGTCACAGTCTTCTGTCCATCTTCAGCCGATGTAATATCACCTTTAGGGGGTGGCTTCTTGCGCGTACTCATACGAGTAGGCACAGGAGTAGCTGTAACTGCAGATTGACTGAAGATGCTGTGACGCCGAAGCTCCCGAGTGTTCCTGCCTAGGTCGTTGAGTTTGGGCTCTTCGCTCTGGGCTTTTGGTGTTGGCATGTGGCCTCGTGAAGATCGCGGGCGTGTAACAGGACCAGGCGATGAGCGAACAGGCTCGGGAGCTGGCGTCGGTGTCTTCCGTGCCTTCGGAGGCTGCACTGGTTCAACTGGAGCAGGAGGCGGGGTAGGAACTTTGGAAGCAACGGACTCTCGGCGAGGACGAGATGAGGCCGCTGTAACGGTGGGCTGAGTTGGCTGAGCTAGCGTTGGAACGGCTTCTTGGGGCTTCTTGTTCTGCGTCGGAGAGGGGAGCGCAGGCGTCACGTGTCGGCTGGGCGCTGTGGAAGCTGGTTTTGTGGCGCTTTTGGGGGTACTTGGGCCTGCAGGTGCAAGAGGCACTTGCACGGTAATCGTCTTGATTGGATCCGGGAGCGGAATAGGAGTGTGAACAACCGGCGTGGTTATTATGGGTGTTGTCACTTTAGGGGTGGTTACTGTTGCAGGGGTGGGTGCGACGGGTGTGGGTGCTGGTGCTGGTGCTGGTGCTAGAGGTGGGAGGTTTTGCAGCCGGAGACGTTTTGGATCAGGTGGTTTGGTTCCGCTGTCTTGGGAAACCGAGGATGCCTCTCGTGTGATAGTGGTAGGCGTGTCGGCTGCAGGTGGCGGGGGTGGAGTGCATTCGCGTTTGCGTTTGTTCGTTGTCTTAGTGGTCGACTTCCTCCTCTGCGCGGTTGGAGTGACATTAACACTGTCTGAAGCAAAATTGAGCTCCTTGAGGTTCTCCGCGGCCTCCTTGATCTTCCTTGTAGCATCTTCAAGTCCCTGTGCGTCGCGCATGGCCTGTTCTCGTTGTGATTCCCGCTTGACCTTCTTTGCCTCTTTGGCCTCATTTAGCTTCATGCCTTTGTTGACCGTGGCTGTATCCTCTCTAACAGTATCTTTCGGAGGCTCGACGGGAGCAGGTGCTGGGTTTGGGGTAGGAGGAGCGGCATCAGCGGGCGGATTTGGATTGACGAGAGCTGGAGGATTGACTTTCGGCACAGACGGCTCCTCAAGGTCTTCGTCAATAAACTCTTCACCAGTAGCCTCACAGCGCGCTTTTTCCTTATCATAGTTTACATGTCCACGGCCTTTCCTCTCCAGTTCACGACGAATCATGGTGTCGCTGGGACACCATATTGCATTCTTTTTCATCTGTTTCCGAAGTACTGCCATTTCATACTCTGTCAACTTAAACCAGGGCGCGAATTTGCTGCCGGGTCGAGCATCCGCTGGTGGGGGAGACAGCTTCGCCAGCGCATTGCTTGTCGATATGCCGGCAATCGAACTGTGAACGTTTGTACCTTGGCTACCAGGCATACGAAAGCGCGCAGGCTTCGGGGGTTTCGGCGTCTTCTCCTTGATCTTCTTGGGCGAATGCGCCGTTGCCAGGTCGATGGTCGACCTCACTTCCGACTCAGCATCAGACATATCTGAGGAGCTTAAACTATCTAGCGAAAGCGCTCTGGGCAGCGGCGCGGTTGGCTTCCGGCTGCGGTCCCTGGGGCGCGCTGTCGAGCTCGCGCCATGCCGTCCACCATCAAAGTGTAGATGAATGCGCGGGGTTCTCTCGTAGCCGCGGTTGGCTGATCGCGTTGCCTGGGGAGATACAGGGGCCGGGGTAGGGTCGCGCGATGGTGGCTGGGGCAGCGCCTGAAGCTTCCTCTTGATTATCTTCAGGCGATGGCAATGACGTTCTGCAACCTCGTAGAGGCGGGCGGCCTCGGCATAAGTCGATTCCCTGCAGTACACGGCCTGATCGAGCTGCGCGGCAATCTCTTTGCGCAGGTACTGGGGTCGCGGCCGCTCACTTTCGGGAATATGAGGAAGATTGCCATATGTCTTGGTGAGCTCATGGACGGCTTCGGTAGCATCAAGGTAGTTGCTGTCGAGGTCGCGGATGAGGCGCAGCGAGCGGATCAAGTCCGAGGGGAAGAATTCGGTGTAGTCGAGGAAGTCGTTGACGGTGGTTTGGGCGTCAGGGTTTGCAGTGGGTTGAGGTGACATGTCGGACAGCGCACTTGCAGTGGCATCGTCTGCCATGGCGCATCGCAGGAGGTGCGGCGGGTCAGGAATGCCAGACAGACGCGTCAGACACTCCAGCCACGCGTCAATAATGTTGCAGAGTAGAATCGGGGTAGAGGAGAGGGTAGCGGAGATGGGGTAGTCCAGCGCCGTGATGGCTCCGGGTGAGGAACGTAGCAACTTGTAACTTGTAACTTGTTGATGCGACCAGTGCACGGACCACTCGTAGATGCTTGGCAGGCAACCGCGTTTGACCTCACCTAGGCGCTACGTGAGTCCATTCCGCCTTCATCAACTGTCAGCGCCACAGTGATACATCCGCAGAAACACGACAGAAATGTGGTAAACCTAATATTACATTCCTTTCTTCAATACCCTCCCCTCCTGCACGTCCTAGCCTTCACCGCCCTTCGAGGGCAGAACAGCCCTTCCTAGTCCCCAGCATATTACACGTCTGCGCGTGGCCTGATGCTTTAAAGCGGACTGTGGGGAGTCGTAGTGTCTGGGTAGAACACTTCAGTGTAGCATATAGGGTCATGTATGGATTCTGTAGTCGTGGTGTAGGCAACGCTGAAGCTCCAGATTGAATCCTATGCCGTAAGCGGGAGCAGAAAAGAAATTCACAAGCGCCGTGTGCTCAATAGTGCCCGCTGAGTTCTGCTATCACAAATTCACAGAGCTGGGTCTCGCGCCTGCCTTCCAAGTTATTTGCTGCTTCCATCTGGCGTTAGGCAAACGCACCTTTCATGCCCGATCGCCTTCATCCCCCATGCTTACGCGCCCGCCCTTCATTCTCTACCGCCCGACTACCCCTGCCGTGACCGCCACCAAACCCACTTCCTATTACCTCCTTCGGTGCCACGTCTCGCAACGTCGAGCCCTTTCCACTGCTCAGGCCATGGCATCTGCATCGCGTCTTAACAGACTCCGCGAGCTTGTCAGCTCCGATTTGCAAGCATTACCAGATAAGTTCGTAGAAAATGACCATGGGCCAGTTAGCGACGATGATACGACTGGCGGCGTGTCACTGAGCCTCAGTGGAGGCCCTCCGCCCTACAAGCAATCCGAACCTACGAGACGCGTGAGCCAACCGGGTCGTCCCGAACTAACCCAGCAAGTCTCCACCACCCAATCTTCCGGCAATACTCAAGGTACAAGTACTTCATCTATCCCCTCTGTCCCACACCTGGCGAATCCTGAACGTCAATTTGTCTGGATGCAAGACCAAGCAAGTTCATGGAACTTGGGTTCTCAGCCAAACCTCTCCTCTTTTGCGACCACAAAGCTGCCTGCTCCCAGACTCCAGAAAGGAACTCTTGCTTCTGCTCGCCAGGAATATACTCCCATCTTCGCTCTTGCTAAATATCCATACAAATTCTGCAACAAGAATTTCAAGCAAGATATTGCAACTCATTTCTTTGACGCTGGCAAATTCTGGGCACGTGAGTGGGACCTGTGAGCCACCACTATCCCTTCAATCTCCCCTCAATAGTATTGATAAATCTGGCAGATATTACGTCTGGGACCTTGATGAGATCAAACCCCTTATTCTTGTTCACGAAGAACAATTCCAGACTTTGCTGAAGGAAATTAATCTACTTCTCAGGCTCGGATTGAAAATCACTGACGAGCAACGCAATAACGGCCTAGTGAGCCCCTTTCCAGAGCATCCCCGCTGCACTCCTCGATACTTAGGCCGCTCTCATTCGCGACAACAATTTGACGACATGGTTGAAGCAGTTCCTTCTCCTTCTTTCCGGGCTCCTGGAGAGAAAATATCGCCGCCACTGGAGAAGCGCACCCTGGAGTACTTCAAACAGCAGATGGAGGAGCTGCTTGATCTCCAGAGGGCTAAAGGCAAAGCACAGAAGCTTAAGAAGAAACAGGAGAGGATCATAAAACAGCAGAATATGGGAATGCAATTCAAACGCGCTCAGCGCTATCTCGGTCTGCGGCTAGCGAAGAAAAATGGTAAGTACTGTCGCCACATACGAACTACACATCTCAGCTAATCCTGAACTCCAGGTCCTAACCTACCTGGAAACGTAGACTTGACTTGGGAGGAACCCCGGAAGTCTGAAGAGGAAGGCGCTGGGAAACTTTCCATTACATCTATTAATGCCTCGCTGCCAGTTCCGTTCCCCTTTGAGAAAGACGTTGTTATTGTGTCGGTCGATGTCGAATCATATGAGCGAGATCACAACAAAATTACCGAAGTCGGAATTGCAACCCTGGATACCCGTGATCTCAATGGGGTTGCACCTGGCAAGGACGGCGAAGCTTGGAGATCCAAGATCCGAGCTCGCCACCTCCGCATCTATGAGCACAGGCATTTAAATAATGTAGAATTCGTCTCCGGATGCGCTGGGAATTTTGAGTTTGGTGACTCGGAGTTTGTCAGGCTCGATGAAGTATCTGAGGTGATCGCGACGTGTTTCAAACCGCCGTTCTGCAATCATCGGAAAGAGAATGATTCTGAGAAGTCAATTGCTGAGTTGATGCAGAAGATCGATCTCTCTGAGCAACGCAACCTCATCTTCCTTGGGCACGACCCGACTGGAGATATTCGTTACCTTAATCAGCTCGGTTTCAAAGCGATGGATTTGCCAAACATGCTGGAAACGCTGGACACTGCATCTCTGTACCGCGTTTGGAAGCGTGAGCCTAATCCAACGAAACTAGGCAACATTCTCTATGACTTCGACACCGTCGCTTGGAACCTTCACAATGCAGGCAACGATGCTGTCTACACTGTTCATGCTATGCTTGCTATCTGTGTTCGCGAAGCGACCATACGTGGTTCGCCGACTGCGGAGTCGATACGCGAAGCTTCAAAGGCCGCTCGACTTGCTGCTCTCACGGAAGAAGCGCGAGTGCGTGCTCAAGAGGAGATGGAGGGATGGAGTGACGGTGACAATGATGATGGTGGAGAACCAGTCAAGATTCTATTGAACGAGAAATCTGGTCAAGATCCAAAGAAGAGCGACAATCAGCACCAGCACCAATCAAATAAAACGAGACAACACAATACGTCCCCTAATATGTTTCCTGATACACATGGACAAGGTCAACATCAGGAGGGTGTACGGTTGACTAGCTATGACGGCTCCGTGGGTCCCAACGAGCGCGGACACCACCGGGGACGAGGCAGTGGTCCGCGCGGTGCCGGCTCCATCAATCGAGCTTCCCACCAGTCACCGGATACTGGACGTCGTGGGCGTAGCCGTGGACGATACAGCGGCCCCAGCCGTCCACGCTCTGCACGGTACTACACCAATCGCCGCCCAGCTAGCGATGGTGGGACCCCCAATCAGTTCGGGCACGCATACGATCCTACGGAGTGCCATGATCTTATTGATCATTACTAACCATGAGTTATCTCTCAGCAGCGGGAAACAACGGCGAATCAGCCTGGCATTCCGGTGTTGCCCATAAACTTCTTAGAACTATTTCAGGGCTTAGGCTGGGACTTTGAGAGGATCCTCCTGCAAACTTTAACAATTGAGAGGTTTTCGACACCTTTTTAGTCTAGGTCTAACTGGTAAAAAAGGCCATTGGACATCCACGAGCCTCACTCATGCCCTACTCCGATGCATCTCAAGACTCCGGTGGTTTATGGTTGAGTGTGTTTCTTCATCTAATGGTATTCCTTTCCTCTTAGCACTCACAATGACGGAGGCACGATTCCTGAATCTTCTGTGATCTGGCATCGTTCTCTCGTCGCCCCACGACTGGCCTTATTCAGAATCCCCCTTATCCTTTTCTCTGCTTGTATCACGGCCATATCACTTTCCCAATCCTTCATGAATCCTGTGCGATTTACAGGCACTCGACCTCTCTGAGTGCAATTCTCAAAGAGGTCCTTATCCCCATTCATCTCGGTACAGGTCGAGGTCTGAATCTCATGTGACTTCTGTGAGGGATTGAACGATAGATAGAAAATGAATTGAAACAATCTGTTATTTTGCCTTCTGAACCCTCCAACCTTGGCATCGACAGTTTCGTAGATCACATCTCTCGTAATCACTATATACCAAACACGCCTGGTGGCCAAGATTAAGGCCTCCAAAACCATGGTTTCAACTGCATAAAGCTATCAGCCAGTCCCTAATATCATCTGGCACCACCAAAATTCCTCTGCTGGTCCTTAGCCTCACCATTCTAGGATCCTACCTTCCAGGGTTCTGAGTGCGAAACCCTCTGTGCCAAGACCAGCTCGGCAATGGCCCTACAAACCCAAACACTCATCCTAACCCTCCAAACCTCTCCTCCTCGCAACCTATTCGTGTCCCCTGAGCGCTACAAGAAAGCAATGCACCTCACGGCATCGAATACAAACTCATCAACTACGGTCGCCGCTTCCCACCCATTACGACAAATTGAAAGCCGTGCATTCGCTTGGAAAATCGCCTGTTCTGACGCTCAAAACGAACAATGGGTTGAAGCCGCGAACGGTCCAATACCTTCGCGGCCTTCTCACAAAAAGCAAACTTATTCTCGAATAGTCGAGTGAGGAGTTTGGAGAGGGGGTTAGACTCCAGAGAGTGAGGAAGATAAGTGTCCGGATAGCTTTTTTCGATATTTGCTACGGGAACCCTGGGCCTTAAAGCCAACTTCGCCCTTATTTCGAGGTTACAGCGCAGCAATTTCCTTGGGCTGTTCGCCATCTCATCAACCTTCTCGGTTCCCCCATCGTCGGACATTCTCTGAAAGACTAGATTGCAATTTTTTAGGTGCTAGAGGATGCGTTAAAGAGAAGCCATGTTGTGAAGGAGAGAATATGGGGTTGAGTGATTTGAATATGAGTTGGGGATGGATATTGCGGATCAGAGGGGGTATTTTGAGAGGGCAGGGTTTCCGAAATTGAAGGAATGGCATGAGAGGGCTTTGGTCAGGAATGAGGCTGGGTGGAAAGCGTAAATGAGTTGGTGTTCAAGATTGAGGGATAAGCCCAATGCCAAAACAAACAAATCTTGCCCGTCGAACGAGATATCTAGATTGGCACACACTATGCACGAGCTTAGTCCTTCCTCTACCACACTAATAGATCCATGTGTACTCCACAAGGCGTACAGACCCGCATTCGCGAGTATCTCCCATCACGTCGCACCCACCACCATCACGACTTCATCGCCTGATCCCCAAATCCCCATTCCACCTCCTTCAAATCGCTCTTCCTAGCCCTCTTCCTTGTCCTCTTCCAGCTCCATTTATCCTTCTGACCAGCCTATCAAGTGGTGTCAAAGAGTTCGTGCGTCGTTTCCCACCCTTGCACAGACTCGTGTAGCTAGCCAATCAGATGCGAGATATTACTCAGACGACCTCATTGATATGTGTAGAACGGAAGGAAACGTGGTGATGGCGTAAGTACTTGAAAGAAACATGGTCGGGGGCTTGTCATCTTTCTAGATAAAGCTTGTTTAAACGACTACGAAACTTGTGGCTGTCAGGAGGGTTGCCTAGCTGCTATCTGATCTCCCCATTTTCATCATCCACCTCAGAATGGCGCTCCTCTCACCCCTCACACTCCTCCAAACCCTACTCCTCTTCACCTTCTCACCACCCACACTGTCCCAAAAATCATCCCCACCACCATCTATCACAGTCCCAATATTCCACCTCCCAGTAATCCAACCCTCGGGCCCAAACTTCTCTGGCAACCGCACTTGGCACGGCTCCATCATCGCCGTCAATGTATCCGCATCTCTCACTACAATCGCCATAACCTCAACCTACGAAGTCCATATTTCCCCCTATTATCATGGGCAGAGTGCGAAGAGTACGTATGCGCTTACCACCGGAACGCCGGAAACGATTACGCAGGGAGTGCGGAGGTGGGAAAAGACGGTGATGTTTGGGAATGGGAGCGATGTGGTTAGCTGCGGCTTGGAGGGTGTGACGGCGGCAGAGTGTACGACGAGATATTTCGGGGCTGTGAGTGGGACGGGGAGTGTTGACGCTGTTCAGACGGGGACGGAGAGGTGGAATGCGAGTGCTTCGAGTGGATGGGGTTGGGCGAATGTGACGGTCACGGGAGGTGTGGAGAAATTGGGGACTGCAGTGCCGGTGCAACCGAGTGGTAGTGGTATGGGTGGATGGGAGAGCCCGCTAGCGGCGAGATGGCGGGTTTGGATGCTGGGTTTGAGTGTTGTCGGGAGTTGCTTTATGTGAAGGAGAAGAGAAATTGGAAAGAAAACAGAGTTACGAGATGGATATTGGAGGGAAATTGAAGCTGCAACAGATGGTCTTGAGAAGGTCGGATTGGAAAGAGGTATTGAGAAGATATGATGAGAGATATGGTAGGCTGCGGCTTATTATGCCCGAGGAACGACAAGGGCTTTCAAGGACCCAGAGCTGAAATACCAAAGTATAGGTAAGCTTTGATAAGATTCGAGAATACATACAGCTAGGATTTGACAAACGGGATAAGAAGGGAGAATTGACGACAGTACGATAAATGGAGTAGGGAATGTACGTCTAATAGGACTTTTCTAAACAATATGCCAAGGATTTAAGAAGATTTCCCTTGTTAACAATATATCCGAATATTGCTGTGGACTTATCATCCGTAGAGAGGGCGGATATTTAATGCAACGCGTGAGTAAAAGTAGCAAGCGAAGCACAAGGGCTTGCGGCTGAAGCCTATGGCTCTTGATTCTCTCCGCCCTTCTCATTTGGCTACATCAAGAAACAATGGGTGCACAAATACCGTCGGTAGTTCTCGTTGTGGCTTGACATCCGAAGCACACTGTTCCCCAGAATAGTTAGCGTCTCAGCCTTGCCCCGCCATTCGTCTGTGTGTCATTCACTGGTGAGCCTTTTCCTTCGCTCACGAAACCATTCTTCGTTTTCAGCAAGCGAACCCTTGTCGAGCTGGACATCCGGAAATTCCGGACCCCACGTTTCATTGGGCGGTGGGGTTGAGTACCTTGCAGGGTCATCATGGCGAGACCTTGGGTTGTCGCGGTCTGCGCGAATGCGCAACTACTCAGCCTCAGTCGGTACATAATGTCTGCCTTGCGACTTGGAGCAACGGAGTCTGAATTCTGACATTCCCACCTTTCGCTCCTCTTCTCACTCGGAGGTAAGACTTTCACTGCTTTGTTTTTTGCTGCCTCTGCGAATTGTTGTTGTTGCAATTCCCTTTTCTTCCCCGCAATCCTGCGAGATGGAGACTGTGGTGTGGACAAACGTCGAGTACAAGCAGGCAGCCCTGCCGAGCCTTGTGATTAACGAAGAGATTGCAAGACGAGATTCTATTACCTCTTCGAAGACGCATGATTCGGGATATACCAGTGATCCGGATTGGGATTCGGTTCCTCCATGCAGGATATTGCTCCCTCCTCAAGTACCGAAGCTTCAACTAAGCTCGGCGGCCTCCGATAAACGTACGTTCATCTGTGTCTAAGGCACGTGACAAAAAGAGCAGTTGCTGACCTGATTATTCAGCTCCACTACCTTGTTCCATTGGCTCTGCCCTACCTCCCACATTTGCCAATTCACCACTATCAGAGGGCATCCATCAGCCGACATGTTCCAAGAAAGCGGGATTTCTATCAGCCAGGATACATGGTTCGGCGTTTCTGAGGAAGGTTGTGGATAGCCAAAAAGCAGTGATGGTTAGCAACCTAGTTCAAGTGACTAGTCATCCATCAAATAGGGCATCTGACCCTTCTTCTCCTCCGCCCTCTCGATCTTTTTTCCCGAGTTCACCAGATCTTCGAGTCGACGGCTACCCTAACAAGAATGATACCTGGAGTTGTGACTACCCCGGATGTACTGAGAGGGCGGTATTTACGAGAGGGCTTGATCTGAAGAAACATTATGATAAACACAACAAATTGCCTTCTAAAGGGGGTGAAGATCCTGGCAATCTCGGATGGTGAGTCTACCATCATGAAGTCGTCTTAATTGACTAACTAAGACGAATTGATAGGAAAAATCCATTTGGGTCCCTCGAATCGGACAAGATAGAGCCCTCGAACACGGCGACACTCGAATGCAAGCCTGACATCTCACGGAACGGAGACGTTAAACTTTGGATTGATGAATCTGCCTCTGACCCACCTCCGCCAAAGGAACGCGTGTCGTCCATTGTATCCCTTTCGTCGACAGGCAGCGGTGGAGACTATTCTATTACAGACGATAGCGAGGACGAAGAGGCCATCGATTCTAGGTCTAGTTTGCTATCCAAAGTCACTCGCACAACCATCGAACTCATCATGCGGAAAATAGAGGTCAATTTCGGATACGTGGCTTATGTTCAGAGCGCTGGTGGTCAATCGTCAAGGGGGCAAGCCAATACTGGTGAATCCTCTCGCGGTGGCCGTCGTGGCTCTGCTCAGCATGGGGCTAGTGGGAAGCGCAAAACAAGATCCGATGATGACTCTCCTCCCGAGGATCCAGACGAGGACGGTACAAACAAACGACGAAGGGTATCTCTCTCTGCCACGGAGGATTCTGAGGCGGGCCCAAGGTTTGCTTGCCCGTTTTACAAGCACGACCCTAATCGGTATCGGAACCGAAGAACTTGCCCCGGTCCAGGCTGGCCAACCGTGCATCGAATGAAGTAAGTTGGACTATGCAATCAAGACACCCATACTTACCATCTTCAGAGAGCACTTATATCGTTCCCACGCTCAGCCGATCTTCTGCCCAAGGTGCTACGCTACGTTCGATTCGGACAATGATTACGCTGCCCATGCCCGAACAACTCCATGTCAAGTCTCAGTACCGCAGCCCATTGAAGGCATCGATCGGGAGACTCTAAAGAGCATTCGCAAGCGATCGCCCGCTATGAGGCTCGAGGAGGACAAATGGAGGGATACTTACCATGTGCTGTTTCCAGATGTGCAGGAGGCTGACATTCCTTCTCCTTGTAAGTTCACGACACACCTGCCTCAAAGTTCTGGCACTGATGTTTAGTAGACTATGATAGCGATTCGCCTTCTGAGGAGTCGCGTCGCTTCCGACGTGAATTGTTGTCACGCATCCGAAACGAGCTCTTTGTGACAGCTGAGCGGGAGACCGGGCCTGTACAGCAGGACCTTCTCCGACAGGTTGCGGGGATTATTCAGCGATGCGAGGGCGACCTGCTCCGCTCGTTCCACGCGGACATTGGAATTGCTCAGCCCGCAGTTTATGGTAACGAACAACCACCTGCTGCAATTCCAGATTCCAGCTCACATCCCATTGCTCCGATCGATCGCTCTTCAGCTCAGGCTCCTTCCCAACGGATCCCTGCTCCCAAACCTCCTTCCACTTCTATCCCTTCGTCGACCCCAACGGAACAAGAAAGACGCAGTCCCTCTTTGCAAATGTCAATACAGCATCAACCTACTAGTGTTCCGGATGACAATATGACGCACTTCACGCAGTCCCCAACTCAGTTTTTTATGCAGCCTTGGGAAGATTTTCCTTTTACGCCCTCCAGTGAATGGATTGATTGGAATGCTGTATTCCCACCCGCTCCTGAGTTGGCAGCGACGGAGCCATGGGAGCCATTTCCTAAATTTTCTGTGCCGGTGAGGACCTGATGCTACTTCCTCGGCGACAGAACGGAAGTCTCAGCTAGAGGCAGGTCATCTGTAATACCAAAGCAAGAAAATATGATGACAATAATCTGCATTTGACGTAGATAGCACTAGTACCTTTCCATACCTATCAGTGACCATTTACATTCCATTCTCTTGAATCATTTCCAATAAAACAATTTAAACAATCCTCCTTGTAGTAACACTGGCCCCTCCCTATATCCTCGCAATCACCTCTGATCGCTGGCGAAATGTGGACAAGGTTGTGATATGACGTCAATTCCTGCAATATGGTCATGTGACCTAATAACATCGGCTTCCCTACACATCGCGGCGTCTCTCTCGGCTGAACCTCTTCAAGCTTTAATATTCCTGTGGTTTGTTTGGTTCCTATAACACCGTTACTTTCTTGTTCGTAATGCTTCCCTTTTTTATAAAGCATTAAACAATAGACTTTTAATATCTAATCATTGAAAAACGATGACTGTCTGCGCCAGTTTAGGAGAGCCTTCTTACTTGTTTCTAACTGTACACAGGTAAGTGCCAAATGGCTGCGGCAATGCTTTGCTGCACCTGCCTTGGGGAAGTCACCTAAGCGTGCTGTATTTGGTAGATTCTTCTCATTATGCAGACTGGCTAGACCACTGGGACTAAACTCCTCTTCTTTGTCGAACTTTAGCGGCAATTAGGAGGTCGTGATTTCGTATCACCTCATACCACACATGCTCCGACCGTGTATCTCTCTATGTCTCAATAACTCCAACGTTATCGAAATTGACAGTGCGCAACGAACCTGGCTCTCCCGCCTCAATTAATCGTCTGGAGCTGGTGCGTGACGCTCAACCCTGTCCATACACTGGATTTTTCTCTCACTACGTCTATAATCTTGCGTTCAGTCTCCCCATCTACGGGCACGGAAAACCTCATCGAGGACCAAAATTCCTCCTTCGCGTTGAAGGCTCTTCCGGAGAAGTAGCGCATACGCAAGCGCAAAAACCTGGCGTTCACCGGCGCTAAGTGGGATGCTTGCGTCAGCACAGAGGTCGCCTCGCGCTTCAATGGTTGTCCACAATCCCACCGTTTCCAGCACCGTGATAATGGTTTCGTCTGTACCCTTACTAAAAGGATCTAGGTTTTCTCTAATTGAACCCGGCAATAGCTCCGCTCTCTAGGGTACGCATAAGATTCGCTCTGGGAGAGTCGAAAGTGGGATGCTGCGGATATCGATTCCGTCAATGGCGATGCTTCCTCCTGCTATCTCAATCATTTCGAAGAGAGTTAACAGGAGAGAGGATTTCCCACTCCCGGCACGACCGCAGATTCCAGTGCGGGACCGTGATGGGTGGACCAATTAATGTCTCTGGGGGTAAATTCGGGTGTGATACTACTTGGCATCAACATTGCGGAACTCAATAGCACCTTGATGAGGCCAGTATGTGGGAAGCTCATCCAAGTTATTGGAGACGCCATTCTCGGATGGCGTAGAAGGTTCGAAATCCCGAACACGCAGCACGGCGCCGATGGATATTTCCATCTCTGTCCATGCGCGAATGAGATAGGAAAGCATGTTGCTCAGATTAAGCAATTCACAAGTGCTACACCGAGCGCGCCATCGACACTAGATAAACTCTCGTTGAGCGGTGTTGCTAGTGTGATGATGGCGATGGCGCAGACAGCAACCATGCCGTCAATTGAGAGCTTCAGCAAGTGCTGAATGCAATAGAGTAGGTAGACGGGCCGTTGTGACCGATCAAGTAACTCCCGGCTGCCCTCGTCTCATGCCGATTGCCAGTTGAAATCACGGGTCATGTGTAGGCCAGATAGGTTCTAAAGGAAGTGAGTATATATCGGTGATTTAAACTCCAGGTCTAATAGATGTATTTGCCGCGAAGTATGGAAGTAAAAGCGCTGTAAAAGGTACAAAGCAGCGATTGCTGCCGGTATCATTGTAGCCTCGAGCTTGGAGGAGGTTATATGAGAATAGCTTGTGCTATGCAAATCACGAGGCCGTCCGCGGTTTGGAGGAGGGTAGTTGTAAGTTGAATCTCGATCAATGACATGCCTTGGCTGGACCTTCATGCTATCAATCATTCTAATGACGTACGTGCGGTCTTCATACCTGTTAAGTATAACACCGGAGTCTGTCACCGCGAGAAAGGCGTAGGGAACGGAGATGACCGTATTTGGAAGCCGCTGATGTAGTTGAACACTTGAGCGCAGCATAACCCCAGTAAAGAGCGTCAGTATTACAATTGCCAACTGGAAAGGGCGGACCCGCAAACATTTGGTATATGCCCAAATAGAAACAGGTACGTTGCCCAGGAAGCTCGGCCTCAGCAGCCGACCCCCACGGTAACCATATGTCCGGAAATCCCATAAAAAAGGTAGTTATTACTTCCACACACAGATAGAACACTAGTAGCCAACCCACTGCGCTAGCATAGTAGGCATATATGTTGAGATCACCTGTCGACCTCGTGCTGGCCGCTTGTTTGTCCTGGGCTTTTGTCTCATCGCGCTCTGGGGGTAGCGCTTTAGAGACTAAGGCTTCATTCTTTGCTCCTTTTTCTTGTAGTGTAGATATCTCAATCAATTGATTCTGGAATTCAAGTTGTTTCGGAAGGCCTTGCTTGGATATACTCCCGTCCTGGTCGAAAACAGCGACGTAATCCGCATATAGCAGGTACTTAACTACATGTGTGGCTAGGACGATTGTAATTCCATGCTTGCGACGTAGGCCTTCACGTCCAAGGACTTGCTAGAAAACTACTTACTTAGTGTTCTTGTCAAGACCGCTCAGTATATCGTCGAGCAGTAAGATTCGATTGCGCGAGTTGAGTGCACGAGCTAGAGGGAGCCTCCAGTTGGACTTTTCACGTTCATCTCTTCCGTCGATGGAGATATTTTCCTGGACAGACAGCCTATACTATACAGGAGCGGACGATTCGTCAAAGGTACAGGAATCCAGCGCTCATAGTGCGAACCATGTCACTAACGACATTATAGGCATTCCGCTTGTCTTTGGGTGGACCCAAGATGACGGCGCTACAAATGCAGGACCCGCACAGCTTATTCAAGAAGAAAACGACCTGATACCAGCCATTCGAGGCTTCGCTCATGCTTTGAGTCAAGGTGACCTCTCCCACCTTTGGTCGCTTTATGACGTAACTGGCTTCTCCGATGGGCTTAACAACTATGAGGCTACCAAAGACGACAATGAGCCCACGGTATTGGTTCACTTCTTACGGCTTTCTAATTTTTTTTTAGATCTCCTTTTTACTTGCTTATCCACCGACTTCGGTTACGAAATGAAACAGCAATCACCATTGGCGAAGAACGCGCAGCATCCGGGAGTCTATATGTACGTGTTAAATCAGTGCATGCTCGCACCTCGCTGGAAAGGAGCTGGTATGCCGTATCTCAAAATCTCTCACGGATCGAATACGAAGTATATCTTCAGTGGTCTCTTTCTAGAGGGGACAAGCTCTGAAAATGACCAGGACCTGTTAAAAGAGTTTGCAACGGCCTTTATCAATTTTGCGAATGCAAGGAATCCGAACGGAGCGGTTTAGGAGAGACTGAAAGCTGGCCAGAAGCCTTTTCCTCGGCTGACGCGTCTGCACCACACTCACTACAGGTTCAGGTCATAGGAGGCCCTTATGGCACAGGACCGGCGTTGTTGCAAGGCTTGAATGAGCGACTTTCAAGCCGAGAAGATCTATCGGGTGAGCAGTAGATTCTACCAGGGGTCAACATTCGTGCTATGTCTTCCCGATCTGCGTGATTACGGAAAATGGTCATCGATCGCGAACAGCTTCTAGAGATGTGCTTTCGTGAATAGCCTAAGCGAGAAAGTGGGGGTGTAGGTGCAAGCAGCACGTGAAGGGATTCTCGTGGGTCACAGAGATGCCCAGTAATGTTGGCAGCGGCGAAATGCAATGGGGCAGTGCATATGGAATTAAATGAATGTTTTATCTTTGGGGTATGACTGTCCCTCAGAAGAGCTTGCTTGCATTCATGGTTGGAATATCGTCCGGACGTTCTGCATTACTATTGAGGTGACGGCTGCGCCGCGCTTGAGTGTTGATGACACAAAAGTTGCATACGCTACTACAGGAAAAGGGAAGTACGAAGAGGACAAGGCATTCTTTGTTGCGGTGTCGTCGGATCTTCTATCTCTACTGATTGGATTAGGCCCTATTTACATAGTACAGACTGTAGTCCGATGTCGAAAGAATCACAGACGCTGAAGACTAAAAAAAGCTAGTCTAGCAGGGGACAAGCGCTAGACGTGACATGTGAAACATTCCACTACTCTAGGGTTGATCCACGAGCTGAGGGTTCCGCTTACTCGTCTCATTCTTCTTGGTGGGTCGTATAACTTTTACCATCTCTCTACGCATTCGTTTCCATTCTCAAGCTGCCAATTTAGACATGCACCTCGTTATGAAGAATTAGAAATGACGAATGCCAAGCAACTAGTTCATAGGGCGGATCAACCCGATGTCGCAAGAGATTTCCCCACATGGAGACCCTCAGCTTTCTTACTCGCGTGCATTTCCAAGCCTTCTCCGCTCTTTTCCTGCATCTCTTCACGCCCTCTCTCTTTACTAGGACGACCCACATGTTCCTGTTATAAAAGCAATGCGTTTCACTAATCTTTTGTAGAATTAAGATCCAATCTTTCGCATGGCGCCCACGGAGACCTTGACTCTTCCAACCCCGCGCCATGGTATGTCCATGCGCACCTCTCCCTCCCCGAGTCGATCGAAGAAGTCGTGGCAATCCCGCGTTCCCTTCTCACCCTCCAGGAGTCGATACAATGAGAGCGAAGAGCGGCTCAGCCGCGAGAACACCCGTTCTCCGATGCGATCAGCCCGCTCGAAGAAAGTCAAATGGTGGAAGACACAATTGTTTCGTGGAATGATAAACGATCTCAGGAGGAGAGCTCCCTTCTATTGGAGTGACTGGACAGATGCGTGGGATTATAGGGTCGTCCCCGCAACGGTGTACATGTATTTTGCGAAGTATGTACATCAATTACAGCTCCATCCGCTACCTCTCGCCTGCTGCGGTGACAACTGATATGCCTTGACTACACCACTTACCCCTTATTTCTCCTCTTCGCGCTCGGTTGAAGGATGAGCATTTCAAATGCTCGTGTCCCTTTACTAATGCATTTCCAGCATTCTGCCTGCGCTTGCTTTCTCCCTTGATATGTTTGCGAAGACCGACCAGAGCTTCGGTGTCAATGAAGTTCTCTTGGCCTCAGTCCTTGCTGCCGTCGTGTTTTCCGTTTTTGCAGCTCAGCCACTTGTGATCGTCGGAGTAACAGGTGCGACAAGTTCACTTTGAGTTTGACAACTAGGATGCTAATGTGAAGGCCCTATCACCGTCTTCAACTACACAGTCTATGACATAATCACACCCCGTGGCACAAATTACTTTGCTTTCATGAGTTGGATCGGACTGTAAATTATTCCTATTTCCTATAGCTTTTAGCCCTTCACTAACAGTGCATCGTAGATGGTCATTAGTCATGCACTGGGTACTTGCTATAAGTAATGCATGTAATGGATTGAAATATGTCACCCGATTTTCATGCGACATATTTGGGTTCTACGTCGCCTTTATCTACCTCCAGAAAGGAATCCAGGTCCTTGCCCGACAGTGGGAGGTAAACGATGTGTCTGCGTATCTCTCCGTTGCTGTCGCCTTGCTCGTCCTAATAGCTGCATACATATGCGGCATGATAGGGCATTCCTCCCTCTTCCAGCGGCATATAAGGAAGTTCATCGAAGACTACGGTACGCCGTTGACCGTCATTTTCTTCACCGGCTTCGTTCATATTGGAAAAATGAGAAAAATTGAATTACTTACCCTTCCCACCTCGCGCGCATTCTTTCCAACGACGGACAGGGGCTGGTTTATCCATTTCTGGGATATTAGTGTTGGTGACATCTTCCTAGCCATTCCATTCGCTATTCTCCTCACCATTTTATTTTACTTCGATCATAACGTCTCATCCTTGATAGCTCAAGGTACAGAGTTCCCACTACGCAAGCCTGCAGGATTCCACTGGGATATTTTCCTTCTTGGCCTCACCACCGGCGTCGCAGGCCTTCTCGGAATCCCGTTCCCTAATGGCTTGATCCCACAGGCACCATTCCACACCACCGCTCTTTGCGCAACCCGAACGGTCTCTGACTCGGACGATGAGACTAACAAAGGGCATACGCGAAGAATTGTAGATCACGTTGTTGAGCAGCGTGTTTCAAATCTCGCCCAAGGGCTTCTTACTCTTGGGACTATGACAGGCCCATTACTTATCGTTCTGCATCTTATACCTCAAGCGGTTCTTGCAGGCTTGTTCTTCGTCATGGGTGTTCAAGCATTGGAAGCCAACGGCATTACAGTAAAGATTATATTCTTAGCAAAAGACCGTTATCTCACACCACGCTCGGACCCTCTCACTCGCATCGACCGCCGCATCGCCATCTGGGCATTCATAGCCCTAGAGCTGGTTGGATTCGGCGCTACATTCGCCATCACGCAGACGATTGCGGCCATCGGATTCCCCGTCTTCATTCTTCTGTATATCCCGCTCCGCACCTGGATTTTGCCGCGATGGTTTACGCCTCAAGAACTCAGCATTCTCGATGCACCTACCGCGAGTCCCTTCACCATGGAGAGCGTGGGCGGCAACCACGGGGAGACTATCGAGTGTAGTACAAGTGGAGCACCTTTGCCCGGGTTCGGGGGGCAGGATGTCCTTGATGAGAGCGACGAAGCGGAGCGTGGAGAAGTGGGTAGTATGAAGATTGGTAAAGACGATGAAGATCAAGGGATGGGGAATGGGGAGGGAGCAAGTAGGAGGAGGAGCAGTTTTAGGAGTCCGGTGCAGATTGAGCTAGAACATTTAACGAAGTAGTGGCATATGGATGGGAAATAGGTGGGAGAAGGAAATATGCACATAAGTCGGGAAATCGGATAGTGAACCTGAGTTGCGAGAAAAAGGGGACGTTGAAGTGCAGGTACTTATTCGGCACCCTCCTTGGTGAATCTTAATCGAAAACGCACATATCTGCCGTGACACATTGGTAGAGAAAAATTTCTCCAGACATAGCAAAATTGAGATATCAGAAAACTAGCAGTTCTATTTTCATGCCATTCGCAAAATCGGGCCATTTTTTCTGCATAAAATCTCTATCATAACTAGTAATATCTTTAACCTCGACAGTGAAAATATGTCGACCTCGCTTCGCCCCACCACTCTTGTGGATACAACATGTTGGCACACACCATGGAACATGTAAGTGTAATTCACAACAGAAAATTACATCCTCCCCACATTCTCAATAACTCTAGCAAGGGGATTGAGAGGCGAAATCTACCCTAGTTATGTTCTCTGCTTTAAGTGAACGTACGAGGTGTATGTTATCTATGCAATTTTCTTGCGACTTAGGCTTCACTGGACTAGCGTTTGTGTAATGGACTAGAGTAGGACATAACAGGGCTTAATTAGGAAGGAAATGTGCATCTAGGTTCCCTGTGTAGAATTCTAGTAATGTTCACCGTGTTTGCCTTATCCTAAACCTAGATATACATACACCTCTGAAATAGCAGAAACCCTCTAAAACGGCCATCTAACGAAATTTCAGTACGTAATATTGATACCTTCGTTAGTAGTTCTGCGGAAAAGAACATGCTCTTATCTACTCTAGCCGCTCCCCCTTATAATATCCCTGGAGTAATTTTACTAACGTATCGGAAGGTCACCGAAGAAGCTTTGTGTATAAATCTACGCACTGCCGATTTCGACTTCTTGATATCTTTTATACCTGCTAGATCAGGTGCCTCTGCTTCTTCCGGCAATTCTACGCTGTCATCTATACCTACGTTCTGTAGCTATCACATGACTAGATTAGACAACGTCTCTTGTCCGACTGGAAGAGGATTTAGAGCAGCTTTTTTCGCTAATGTATTGACATTTACCGCCGAAAGGTCTAGGAATGGGCTGAAAGCTAAGAACTAAGCCTTCGAAAATTCTCCTCGTCTGTTGTGGAGATTGCCCATATTCTCCGTTATGTCGAGCAATTGGCGAATCTTTCAGACTGAGTGTATCGTCCCTCACAACGCCCGCTTGCACACCTGTTCCACCTCAGCCAGCTTGCCTTGGTCTGCGTGAAGAATACCCAGATTTTTGACTGTGTTAAGTTTTGACGTGTACTTAGGACCGGGTGCCTCCTCTCTCTCTTGCGACGCTCGCTTTTATACAGCTGCTTGGCCTCAGTGAGCTCGCCTTTGTCTGCGTTAAGAAGGCCTAGGTTGCTGACTATGCTAGATTTCAATGGGCGCTTAGAACCAACTGCCTCCTCTCTTCCTTGTAGCACCCACCTATGCACATTTACTCCGCCTTGGCCAGTTTACCTTGATCTACGGAGAGATTCCCTAGGTTGCTGACCGTGCCAAGTGTTAACGGGTGCTTAGGACCAAGTACCTCCTCTCTTCCTTCCAAAGCTGCGCGTACGTCTCCTCCGCCTTATCCAGCTTGCCTTGGTTCTTATCGATATTGCCTAGGCTGTTGACCGTGCCAAGTATTAACGGGTGCTTAGGACCAAGTACCTCCTCTCTCCCTTCCAGAACCTGCGCGTACATCTCCTCCGCCTTAGCTAGCTTGCCTTGGCTCTTATAGAGATTGCCTAGGCTTTTGACGGTGCCAAGTGTTAAAGGGTGCTTAGGACCAAGTACTTCCTCTCTCCCTTCCAGAGCCTGCGCGTACATCTCCTCCGCCTTTGCCAGCTTGCCTTGGTGCTCGTAGATGTTTCCCAGGTTGTTGACGGTGTGAAGTGTTAACGGATGCTTCAGACCCATTTCCTCTTCTTGCCCTTGCAAAGCCTGCAAATACATCTGTTCGGCCTCAGCCAATTTTCCTTGGTTGGCGTAGAGAACGCCCAGGTTGTGGACCGTCTTGAGTGTTGACCGGTGCTTAGGACCGAGTAACTCCTTTCTCCCTTGCAGCGCCCGCTTATGCATCTGCTCAGCCTCGGCCAACTTGCCTTGGTCGGCGTAGAGAACACCTAAGTTGTTGACAGTGTTAAGTACTGATGGGTGGATGGGGCTAAGTGTCGCTTCTTTCCCTTGCAGCGCCCGCTTATACATCTGTTCGGCCTCAGCCAGCTTTCCTTGGTCGGCATAGAGGTTTCCCAGGTTGTCGATTGTATCGAATGTTGACGGGTGCTTAGGACCGAGTGCCTCCTCTCTCCCTTCCAGAGCCTGCGCGTACATCTCCTCCGCCTTTGCCAGCTTGCCTTGGTACTCGTAGAGGTTACCCAGGTTGTTGACGGTGTGAAGTGTTAACGGGTGCTTAAGACCGATTACCTCTTCTTGCCCTTGCAGTGCCTGCAGATACATATGTTCGGCCTCAGCCAATTTTCCTTGGTTGGCGTAGAGAACGCCTAGGTTATGGACCGTCTCGAGTGTTGACCGGTGCTTAGGACCGAGTACCTCCTTTCTCCCTTCTAGCGCCCGCTTATGCATCTGCTCAGCCTCGGCCAACTTGCCTTGGTCGGCGTAGAGAACACCTAAGTTATTGACCGTGTTAAGTATTGACGGGTGCCTGGGACTAAGTGCCTCCTCTTTCCCTTGCAGCGCCCGCTTATACATCTGTTCGGCCTCAGCCCGCTTGCCTTGGTTGGCATAGAGGTTTCCCAGGTTGTCGACTGTATCGAATGTTGACGGGTGCTTAGGACCAAGTGCCTCCTCTTTCCCTTGCAGCACCCGCCTATACATATTTTCGGCCTCAGCCAGCTTGCCTTGTTCTGCATAGAGGTTGCTCAGGTTATGAACTGTCTCGAGTGTTAACAGGTTCTTAGGACCAAGTACCTCCTCTTTCCCTTGCAGCGCCCGCTTATACATCCGCTCCGCCTCAGTCAGTTTGCCCTGGTCCGCGCAGAGAACACCAAGTAAGTCAATGGCAGTTAGTATTACGTTTTCTTCTTCGCTCTTACTAATGCCTACTCCACAACCGCTCTGACTTCTAGGACTTCGCCATATCTGGGCTACTGATACCCATTGAGAGCACGCCTGGGCGTGAGGGAGAAGTCGACGTTGTATGACCGAGGAGTCCTGAGCTGATCTGTCCGGTGTAGCCCATCCAACTGTAACTACTGCAAGCTGAGCCAGCCACGATTGAAAATACTTCCCCCTGTAATAGTATGCCCATCGGTGGACAACTGGATGGGTAGCGTAGCTTGCCAGCTGTTCAACATCTTCAATCAGCGAGTAGTTACGCAGAAGCTGCATCGCCCTACTAAACTTGAGCTCATCTATTGCCATGTCTCCAATCCATTCTAACAAGTTTCTTGCCGCCACTGTAGAAGCTTGGCATGCTGCTGTGAATAGACCATGCCACAGATCCCTGTTGTCGAGAAAAGACCATAGAAGGAGTAGATTAGCCGTCGCCTTGTGCTTGTCGCAAATAGCTTTGTAAGAAATGGCCCACGTTGTCCACACACTGCGACCTGGGTAATCTTGAAGCAGCGCGCCATCCTCGTTTTGTAACTCCATAAGCTCACTCCACTGTTGCTCATAAAACTTAAAGTAGTTCCGAAGCCCAACACCGCTTTCCTGAAGAAACGCACCGGCCTGTGCAATTGCTAGCGGCAGACCATCCAGCAGCTTGAACAAGAGTTCACCATCGGCTTTGTCTATGACTGAATTATTAGCTTTAACAGTTTATTTTAGCCTATCTGGTATGTTCGAGACCTTACCGTACTTCCTTTTATACAAACTCTTAAAGATAGCCTCAGCTTGACCTCTGTCAACCTTGCCTAGCTGCTGCGAATCACCTAGTTGCTCCAGCCTAGCTAGTCGGGTTGTGATTAGGACGGACCCTTGGTCGACCCCTGGAAGGTAGTGTTTGACATCGTATGCCTCGGGGTCCGCACTGCGCGGATCGTATTCCCGGTCAACGTTATCGAAGATGAGCAGCCAGGCAGTGTTGTCCGGCTGCGCAAGCCAATACATTACATCATTTACGACTTCATTAATATCAATGCTACCGTCCGCGGAGTATGCCCTACTCTTCTCTAGAATCTGCTTTTGAGGAATCTTGCTTGCACAACTTGCAATGCTCCGTTTAAGGCTGTCCTCGGTTCGCCCATCCAGCCAAAACACTGAGTCAAACCTGTAGTGGTGTCGCCGTGCGAACTCGACTGCTAGCTGCGTTTTGCCTATTCCGCCAAGGCCGTGCAGCACGTAAATCCTCTGGCGGCAGCTCTGTCGTTTGGGCAGAAGGACTCGTTCGAGCTCTGCCATTTCGGTTGGCCGGTCCACAAACTTGCTAACTTTCGGAACCCCCCTAAGGTTAAAGACTGTTCGATATTGTCCAGAATCTACATAGACATCTTAGCGATATTGGGGATACACGATATAAATAATAAGAAATGCGCAATGACTAACATCCTCGTCCTGCTACGTTGTCAGCACATGCCTGCATCTGCTTGAATACATCCTGAGACGCGATATATCGTCGTGTAGCCGCAGCAATATCTTTCTTCTTCTTTGACTCCTCAAGCCCGATGTCCTCAAGCCCGTGGGCCACATTAAACCGGTAGTACCGGCTGCTGTCGTCAAGGAGCGACTTGTCTCGCTGGAATCGCTCTGCCGTCTGCTCCGTCTCAGTTGCGATGGCAACGAGCGTCTTGTGAATGTGGAAGACGTCATCTTGGAATGGCTTCAGCGAAGGGACACCGGTTCCAATTGAGACCATGCATTTGATCCTACTCTCGAGCGGCTGCGGTCCCCATACTAGCTGGGCCTGGTTCCATACCTCCCACACTGGGTTGTTCGCTCCTGTGCCGCCGTCTAAAAACTCCTCTTTATACCGCCCGATAGAGATAGGATCGAAAAAAGAAGATGCCGCTGACGTGGCTCGGCAGGCTTCCCATATCGTCACACTATTTATGAGGTCACTGCTACTACGCGGCGATTTGTAGCTCGTGAGGCACACAGTCTCACTAGTCGCCTTACTCGTCGCGCACACAAATCTGTGGTAGACTAAGTCTGCACTCCGGGAAAGCTATAGGCCAACTTACACTTTGCAAGCTGCTTCCGGTGCATCTTTTAGAAGCGTATCCTCCTGTAATCCCTGCTGTTTAATGATCTCCTTCACAGCTAGCGCTAGCTCCTCTGAGTCGAACTTTCCCCGTATATCACCTTTAACAGTTACGTGGCGTCTCTTCTGCTGGAATAGCCGGTCTGACAGCGATAAGTAGGCGTTGATGCTCTCGTCGATGCTCATCCTCAGCCGGCCGAGCATAATCGCAATAAGCCTGGTCGGTTAGCATTCATCTCTACAGTTGCCAAAACAGCAACTCACCCGCCGGTGCTAGTGCCGCCAATCATGTCGAAGAAGTCGCAAGGCATTGGTGGAGAGTCTGGGTTAACTGTCTCCATTAGCTGCTGAAGGATCATCAGCGCAGACAAGCCGTGGACTCCACCACCGTCGAGCGCAAGCAGGCGAAGCGTCTTGTCGGCCATGGCTAAATGTCAGCTGCTAGTACAGGTGAAGTAGACTTTCTTGTGCCGAAGTGCGATGCGAGCGCTCGGACGATGTATTCTACGGCGGAGAGTCTACCGTAGTACTCGGTTGAGTTTAGGCAGTTGCATTCATCAACTCAGCCAAACAGCTGAAGCATTGTTCTTGTCGCAGGTGTGCAACTAAGTTAGCGGATAGAGTCAACCATGAGCTGCAGTCATCACAAGAAGGAGAATGAAGGACGATGTCGTATGAGGGTGGAGTTGCTTGTTTATCGCTAATCACCAGCTCGCGGGGCTTTAGTGATTGGTAGGGTGTTTAATGGTTGGTGAGAGGGCGTGGATAAGTCTCAAAGTTGACATGAAGAGTCGCTTTCTGTCCCGGTTGTCTAATCCCTGCGTAAACCAGCCACCCCCAAGGTAGGTCAGATCAGGTATACAAGCTCGACGGCTTCCATACACTTCTTACTCTATATTCCCTCAATGCGCCTTGTGTTTCCTGCTTAAATACCTCTTATACTTTCATGACGCCTAACTAGAGTTTCTTAGGCTTCTGCACTAAGTGTCGCGTTGAAAAGTTGTCTAAGCCTCTTCATTGGATCAACTGCCACCGGCACCACCGGGGATCCCTTACACCAAACTGATCAATGCACATGGAACAAACCTCGGTATATCTATCTGTAGGCCGTTTACCAAAAATACGAACCCTATGTCCAACGAACCTTAATTTTGATCGGCAAGAATGACTCTTGGAAGGCAAACCTGAAGAATGAAATATCAAAGCTTGCATCCTGCACAGGCCTCAAGCAGGGAGCAGCAGACATTCTGCGTGCAACCTTGCTGGAAGCTGAACACCCAAAGGTTTTTAAGTTGAATGTTTTCGCATTCGCGGCCTATATTTCCGAGATATCCAAAGAGAGCCGAAGCAGGACAATACTGGGCTTTATACCTACAGCATCGCCTCAAGCCCTCCTTCGAGCATCGCATTATCCGAGAGACGGTGTGAACTGGGCATGTTCGGTGACCAAATTCCGATATCTAGCACGGTTCCCTGACTATTCCACCATTCGTGAGATGAAGTCTTGGAAGGTCATCTAACTACCTTTTATTATCTTTGCTAGAAACGTGCTCATCTCACGCCTCCAATCTTTTCCAACTCGAAGCCCTGTACCCACTTCTCTGCACGGAGGATACTGAAAATAAGTGCATCGAGAAGAATGCTTGTTGGACTTTTCTCTTCCCAAAAAGAAGCAATCTATGATTCCTATGACCTGTATCATTTGTCGGCGATCAGCAACTAAGATATGATGGGGAGGTCCAAATGTTGAACGAGGGAGAGCAATATCTGCTCGGTCGTGCGGAGTTCCTGGCACATTGAGACTACTTTGGAGGTGAATGGTTGACCGCCTGAGTATTGATGGTGGAGATGCGTTCTTGACTCGGTGAATGAAGATGCACACTGTCATCGCCACTCTACAAAATCTTCGGAAATCGAGAAACTGCTGGCATTGAAGTATATTAGAATGCGACTCAGACCCCGCAAATACAGAAACATGTAAGACCTACCACGTACATCTAGGCAAACTCCCAAAGCCAAAGAATCATAAGTGATACACTCGCCAGGCACTCACCCCCACACTCCCCTTCCTACGATATAAAAGCAACTTCCTGGCCTCCTCCAGAAGACCACAGACCTCCAATCTCCAGTGCTGCGCAGAATAAAAGGGAGAATTTTTTGCATGGTTTGGAACTAGCTGTTGCAATACCAAAATGTCACATTTGCATGTTGGCTTGGACGACTAGCAAGTACACAGGCAGACAAGAATGGCTTTCTCAATACCAACCATCGATTCACTAATACCTCCAAAACCAGTATCTCACTCGACCATGTTAGGAGTTAAAGACTAGGGTTAGGCTGAGGACGAGAGATGTTGCGTAGCGTAATTCCATCTGGTACATCATGCACTTCATCACTGAGCACTACTAGCCGGCAGAAGTTAGGCGTAGTGGTTGATGATATCCACTGAGAAAAGAACATGTCAAGTTGTCAAGCAGTTAGTCCGAGACCTTGAGAAAACTTGCGTAGTGGCAAGACACTCTGTTCGCGTCAACAGAGTATGCGACTCAAGCTCTATATCCACCAACAGCGTATCGCTTGATAATCTAAATCGTACAACATGAATCATACTTCCTAGTGTCCATTGATATCATACCACATCGCAACCTATGCCCACTATAGATCCAACAAAACCTAGAAGCCTTCCTCGCCCCATTTTCATGGCCTAGCTCGGATTCACCTTCTTTCCCCCCAACCCCGGCAAATGCATCTTCCCAATCTGCTTCCCCCCAACCTTCTGCACCTGGGCCACCGCATCTCCCAACAGCACTCTCATAGCACCTTCAAGTCTTCTATCCTTCTTCCGCCGCATCCAGAGGAGTATTAAACCCAGTATAACAATATCAACGGCAACATGTTTCAAAGCGCCCCACATGAACCGTAACAGCCACCGAAAGAATCTATACCGGCGGCCATGGCTAAACAGGCGCTGCGATTCCAACTGCTCCCGTAGCGCGGCGACTTCAGCTGTCATCCTGACCAGCGCTTGTTCCACTCTTTTGCGCCATTTCTGGTCAAGAGGGGTTTCGGGGGGTAGGGATGGAGGTTTGATGAGCACTTTCGAGGACGAAGGGTCTTGGGCACCGAGGTCGGTTTGCACGCCGGCGTCCTCGGCTTCGCCTTCGCCTTCGGTGTTGGGGTTGTATTGCGAGTCCTGGGCGTCAACGAATTCTTCGCCTTGCTCTTCTTCCAGCTCGTCTTCTTCCGATTGCGACATCGGACTACGGATCTGCAACGGCGCGTCTTCTGTGTCCTGTTTATCTCTGAACATCCGCGACGCGCCAGACGTCCCTAGTTGCGGGTAGTTCGGCGGCATATGCAGTCCCATACTCCCTAGTGTTTGCAGCGGCGACGAGGATGACGAGGATGGCACATTCGACTTGACCTGGTCCCAGACGAATTCCAGTTCAGCGACGAGCTCGCGGGAGTCCGGACTCGGGGACGCATACTTGTGCATGGTGTCTATGACAGTGGTGATGTAGCGACGCTTGGCTTCTGTGCGCGAGAGCCCGTTTTGTTGTTTCCACGCGTCCCTGTCATACTTTAGTATTTGGCCAAGCTATCGCGGGGGTTGGTGCTACCATTTCTCTTGCGCTCGATGCGCTTCTTCGCCGCTGCCTTCGGATCGTTCCATGATGCCGTCAACATCCCCTTCTGTATCCTTTGTTAGAACTTCCGAAAAGTAGGCCGGGGACGGGTTATGCACCCATTGCTTGTTTGTATAAGCCATAGAGCTTTAGTCGTATCGCCGAGGGAGGTTTCTGCGATCCGGTGCGGATCTTATTGACAGTGTTGAGGGCATGACTAAAGACGCGATCTGCCATAACCAAACCATTAGCATCTGCCCCACAATCCTCAAAAAGAGTGCAGGTACATCGGGCGCGTCCACCCATCAGACATACCCACAGAATCTGACATCACAAGTGCCAGTCTATCTCCTATCCTTCTCAACAAGTGCTAGCTTCATCCGTTGGTGTCGCAATACGAATAAAAAGGCTGACGATAGCAGATATGCGAAGGGGAAGTGATAGCGCGACAAAGGGTGTAGACGTCGTGCATGGCGAAATGCGATGTGGAGCCGTCTGGTGGAGAAGTCGTCGGGGTGGGCTCTCTCGACTTGGAGGGCCTCGGCACGGAAAAGGGCCGATGGGTGATTCGTTAGCACGACTCATTCACGTGTTCGCCGGTTTTATTGGTCAGGCTGAGAGTCCTCACCTCTTAGCTGGCGGATGGATGGTTCTTAACTAAGCATAATTGAGAGGTTGAGTGGCGGTGAATCTAGACTGAAGAGAAGGATATGTTCACTAGGAATGCCGTCGCACTCTGCAGCTTGAGTACTCATTCATCATTTATTCACCGCGTCTATCTCGCCACACGCCATCTATCCTCTCACACAGCTTTCTATCGCACACTACTGAACATATCAAAAACATTACTGGATTTAAAGAGGAAATATCAGGGTTTAATTATGTATTACAGTCTAATGTATTCCCTATCATGGGACAGTCTCTGGAGAGAGTTGGTTAGTTAAATACGTTGCTAGAATTAGATAGGTTGTTAGGAGGAGGGTAACAACTCTCTTCAACCAGGTCTATCTCAATTAGGGGTTAAGAGGATCGGATTGGACGGAGCTTTGGTGTCATTGACTACAGTTCTGCCTTCTGCTCCGCCTTCGCTAGAGGGCCTCCGTCAGGCCTCCACTATCTTTCCTGTAGCTCTCTCTTACCTTCTCACTTGCCTTCATGATAAGGTCACTGTATTTAAAGTGAGACAGTCTTGACCCCTCTTCGTAAGAATTTACAGATGCACCCGCTAGATTCCAGCCCCACGAGGCTTTTCTTACTTCTTGTTGAAATACTCCATCTCGGATTCACTCGCGACCTGGTATACTAAGCAGCCTTAGCCCGGACTAGGGATTTGTCTACCTATACCGGATACACTCTAGAAAGTTACAATGGTATTTGCAAGCAGATGTCTTTCCGCTCCAGTCAGCGATGATGGCGTAGTACTGATTGTGCTTGAGTATGACTTCTAGCCATTAATAGCCATTTTTGGGAACATTGTTAAGGTAGGACTGAAAGTTGTCTGGGCCGTCTGCATATTTCCGTCAGTCCACTAATCTCTCGGTGCTTCCCGCAAGAGGATATGTGATGTACGTGTTTAGCACCCCAGTTGCATAGCGATCCTGGTAGATATCGCAGACCCACAACCTAGAGTTGCACTAGATATTTGTATCTCATTGGTCCAACGACGCATTTAGGGTGTCGAGAGGCTCTTCGTTTGGATTCTTGTGTTGTGTCATGCCTAGAGACCATTCCATTCCTTTTAGGTATATTACAAATATGTTCCATATAATCCTGGCACAGAGGGTATAGGGTACAGCAAGGTATCGCACAACACCAGATGTGATTACAGCAGAGTCTATCTGTTAAACCAATTGTTGGAATTATAGAAAATATTAACAGGTTTCAACATTCTGCCCTGAACTAAACCCAATGTCATGTCTCATATTAGGCGAGAAGGCTAGTAGACTTGCATCTGAAGAAACGTCGTATCTGAGTGGAATTAGCAGTAATTTCAGACGTCAACAATCTCAGATAAGGTTAGACGCAGTGCGAATCTTCAAGAGCACAAGGAGTCAAAAAGGATCTTGTGTGTAGACTCTGTAACTTGCGGGTATTCGAAAGATCGGACTCATATTTTCCTACCAGTAGCATACTCATAGTCGAGCTGCAACGGAACCACAACCCCTTCATAGAACTTCTCCCTGAACTCTCTATCTTCAAAATCGTAAGTAAAGGTATCGAAGTTGCACCTCACACACCGCAGCACTGCCTTTGCATAATTTTCCGATTCGAGGTCGTTGATCTCGTCCGCTAATCTAGTCGCAATAGATACCTCGGTCATGATATCCTCCTGTCCGAACTCATTGAGGTCTTCGGGTTCTTTGAGCGAGAGGAGAGGACAGCCGTGTGTCAGTTCCAGAAGGGCGACACCGAGTGCAAAGATCATCTCGTTCTTAACGCAGCGGCGTCGCTTGCTGGCAGCTTGGCTCGAAGCAGATGAGTCAAACGTGCGCGAGACGTAGAAATGGGAGGATATTGTGGCGCCTGTACGGCTTTTAAGAATAAAGATGTCTTTGGTGTCCCAACTTCGTGGTAGCCAAGGAGTGTCGTGAAGTTGAAGGACAGCGGACGCAAGAGTTAGCGCCAAGGTGCATCTATTGATGTCAGTCTCGTGAGGTGCGTAAGAAAAAGACACTCGCACTTTTGTCTTGTTGCCAGTGATTTGGGGCTGCAGATGAGCTCTTTTAACGAGGCTGCCTCGCAGATTTGATTGCCAGTATCAGGCCCGGAGACGGAGTATATGTGGTGTTGCCAAGGCTGATCTTCAAGGAAGCCAAGACAGCATCCAGATTGATATCCATTCATGAGGGCCTTGCAAAGATTGTCTATCTTCGAAGCTAAGGATGGCGAAGGTGAGCGAGAATTAGGCTGCGTTGGTGAGACGGTTATGGATGGGGCAAATCGGGCGGTCTTTTTCGTCCCGCCTGCTGCATAAGCCGGGCTAGGAGCTGTAGGTGGTCTTCATTTCGTTAGCTGAAGGTTCACCATGAAAACCGAGCTACTGACTGAGTGCTAAGACATTGAGAAGCTTCAATCTCAACATCTCTCCAATCCCAAGGTAGAGCTTTCGGGACACATCCAGACTTCTCAAAGGTAAACAAAAATGCAAATCGAACGGCCTCATTTTCCGTATTGTGGTTCCTCCGAACATCTAGTCGCAGATTTGCCTTGTGAGGCTGTTTACAGGAACACGGGCAGAAGCGGGAGCTGAGGCTTTCAAATAGACGCTGGGCTTGATCTCGAATATTCAGCCAGTAGGTCGATTGAATTTTGTTCTTCTTTTCGGCGCGGAGGGGCTCGAGTTGGGCGGCACCTGACGTCAATTTGGAGATCTTGTCGATGTCTCGGTCAATGTCCTGCAGAAGGGTTGCGTACTTGTCTGAATCGAACCCGCCTCTTATTCTTGTCCAGGAATTCTTAAAAAATTTCTTCCGCGCTTTCTCATCGGTTGACCCGTCTGGTACAATCCATGGAGGCTAGATATTTGTTGGTCACGTGCAACATGGCGAATGGATAGCACTTGCCTTCAGATCGTCATTCAACCTCAATTTCTTGCAAAACATTACGATCCTACGATTCAGCTTGTCCATCAACGACAGATAGACCTTGCAGTTTGATCCGAGTCGGATCTCGAGGGCTTCCTTCAATTCCGAATTCGACCATGCATCTATCTGCCGCCCTTCCAGCAGTTCGTTCATCTGTCGGTCTGGGAGGTTGAGCGGACTTAGCAACTGGTAGCACGAATCTGTGTAAATCCCCACAGATGCCGCGAATGAGGTATGAATGTCAGAGAAAACCATCTCATAATCCTTCATATTTTTCATCACCGCGACCTTTCCTTACAATTAGCTTTGCTTGGGCCACAGCCTCGCGAGATAAGCAACCAGAACTCACCCCTTCCCCATAGTTCTGCAGAGCATTGACAATGAGTGGAATCGACCCCAGCACGACGCCTGCAATCTCAAAGCCGGACATGGTGGCGACATGGGAATGTGGTGGAGACGTTGAAATCCGGGTTGTCGAGCTCGAGCTCCCCGCGTTTCGTCCTGGTGTACGCCTGTGACCTAGCCCCCAAACGCTTTACCCTTTCTGGAGCCAACTACAAGCTTCCCCACTCCGGCCCTCAGCCTTATGACATCTAAGTTCAGTTCCAAGAACCTCAAGCCGTCGTCTGATACCAATGGTGACCCTGATATCGGAAGCGCATGCGAAATGCTGGATCGCATTCGAGGACCTTGTTAGTGCCTTGAATCACCCAGTCCGCGATTTCAGGGCTCAGCTCCCGCCGAAAGAGATACATGACGAATTCGATAAATACAAAATCTGGGCGGGCAATACCGGTGCTGCCCACTCTGGAAAGCGGTTTGAGATTTCCCTTGACTATCGGCTTCGAGAGGCATCTTTCTTCAAGAATCAGGTGCTCGGTCTCTTGAAAACCTTGGAGGAGAAAGTCAGGAGTACTGCTAGCCTCGTTCGCAATGAGAGAAAACCATTCGAAGAGGAAGATAACGAGGAGGATGAGGATGATGCTAAAGCATCGGCTTCGGATGCTACTGAAGAGGACGATGAAGAATCGGAAGAGTCGCCGTGGGAAATTTCCTCGAACTCTGACCGCAGCGATGTGCTGGTGGAGAAACAAGTTTCAAGTAGCAACACTCAACCCACCGTTGCTATCGGCTTGCACTCACACTCCAGCATCGATATACCATCAAACCCAATTTTAACGCTTGGGAGAACCCCAAAGTCAGAAATCCCTCGGCTACTTGAATCTATCAAGTTTACTATCGCCTCGCTATATCGAATTCCCATCCGAAAGCCAGCTCCTCTCGATCGCCTTAAGCATAAGACGTCGCTAGATTCGTCATCATATCAGCATTTTGATGTTCTCTACGTTGTGGACAAGTTCAAGGATCTAAACCCAGATCTAGCCACTCGACTAGGGAAGGCTATCACCCGCCGACGCCAGGTTCTACGCTACCGAGAGGATCACAAAAGTAGTCTTGATACTTCTCGGGTACAACCCCGTGTAACATCGACTGCATTCCCCAGTGATAAACCTTTGGGACGTCCGAGCGAAGCTCGTTCAACTGTTGGTAGTCAGGCAACATTGAGTCACGCCCCTCTTAGTCAGGTAGCAAGTAGTCGTTTTACTCTACGCTCAAAAGCTACTACTCTAATACCTGGCGACACATCGCTCATAGTCTCCGACACTGTGCTTGATTCGACTGCGCTATACCCGCCTAGTGTTGCAGAGTCAAAATCATCCATGGCATCCAGCTTTGCCGGAAATGACTTAGCTGTAGAAGTCCCTCCCAGGCCGAAGGGAGAGGATGGATACGAGTTGGACTTGTTCGAGTGTCCGTACTGCTTGATCACGAAAAATATTACGACGGATCGTCAGTGGAAGTAAGTTAAATACTCATTCACTTCACAGCGTGAAATCGCCAACATTGTAGCATGAGAGGGATAATGCAAGCAGAAATTTCTACTCTGTTGAAATCTTGCCCGATTTCAGCAAGTGGGTTAAAAAAACGTCCCCACTCTAGCCATATTCCCTTTTATGTAATAATACGCTGTAATTACCGCTGTCATGATTACATAAAAGATGCGGTACAGAACTGATCTTATCTCTTAGGAAGCACGTCCTTGAGGACCTCCAACCGTATATTTGTACATACGAAGATTGTGACCTGTATGACCACTTTTTCGAGAACAGAGATGCATGGTTCAAGCATGAAGCACAGCATCACCGGGCAAAATGGTTCTGCAATACTGACCATCACCCTGAATACGACATGGAGACCGATTTCATCAAACACATGGAGCTCGACCACAATACTACGTTCGATCACCAGCAATTTGCCCTTATCCGGGACATGTTTCGTCAACCATCACGAAGTATCGAAGGGACTTGCAATCTTTGCAGACGACATTCGAAGAGAATCAAAAGTCACGTCTCCCGGCATCTACAACAAATGGCACTGTTTGCGCTTCCAAGAGTGAATGAGACAGCTGGCAGTGGAAGGGCTGAAAGGTGGAGCCAGTCTTCAGCAAAGGAGAAAAGAAAAAGCGAATCAAAAGGAACTGATAGTCAAGGTAGCAGGCAGTCTTCTAGAAGCAGCTCGACAAACGAGAATGGCTTTGAAGAAGAAGTAGAAACGTTAGATCTGCCAGATATAGACGACGAGTTCGAGGGAGCGGAAATTCCGGAAACCGACCAAACGAGCTGGGATGATGTTACCGACAAGTTCTCGAAAGCCAGAGATAAAGAATTTCGGCCCTTACATGTTCTCGTCTGTGGAGATCGTCCTGCGTTACGAACGGTCACATATCACCTACTCGAAAAGTTACGCTGCAGAGTCACAACGGCCTATGATGGCAAAGAAGCTTCCGGCTTCTTGCATGGCATTAAGTTCGACGTCATTATGATTGATATCGACCAGACTGCACTCGATGATGATGAGATCCTCAACAGGGCACTACGCACAGTTAGAACCAGCCCAAATGCTAACGCAAACACTCCCATTACTGGCATTACCAAATACAGGAAGGAAAAGAAAGAGGAGGATTACTTGGATATTTTCGATGAAACGATCCAGAGGCCCGTTAGTGTGAATAAGCTAGAGGCAATTCTGGGGAGACTCTGTTACTGGAAGCCCCCTGGAGAGGACGTTTCAGAACCGTTAGACTTAGGTCAAACGGATGCTGCACTTCATCCCTCGCACAAACTCCCAGACAACCTGCCGGATCTGGCTAGTGGATCTCGCGACTTCGAGGTCCCCTTCCAACCTACGGACGTTCAGACCAGACAGTGGTATGCTGACCATGTCGAAACGAAGTTTCCCAAGGCACCAGCTTGGCTTGTTGACCGTCTTGTCAATCACATTATCTCGCTTAGACAAGGGATGAAGTTAGTGCTTGATAATGTACAAGCAGCCGCTGCCCGAGTGATCCAGCGGTACTATCGCGGGTACAGAGTGCGGCGGCGACTGGAAGGCATGGGACTAGATACTGCCACAAGATGGGGCCGCCCGCTCCATACCCACTCCACTGACAGGGGGGAGGATGCTACGGCTGCAGATGCAAAGATTTTCCAGGAACTCATGAAAACCAGGTTTTCATTTTCCAACAAAGATTTCCAGGTTTGGCCCTTTTTAGGAACACCCGAAATAAGTCACTCTAAACATTCTGTTCGATCATGCCCATACTGCGGAAAGCACTTCGCTCTGGTTTTCTCTGGGCAGGTTCCTCCTTTCAGTAAACAAAGCTGGTGGTATGTTAGCAACACAATCCTTAACATGAAAGGGATGGGATAGTACTAACCGAGTTAGGCGACACGTGCTCCAAGACGTCCGGCCTTTCATATGTCTATATGAAGGTTGCCAACAGGTAGACACGCGATTTGGCGTACATCGTGACTTGGTAGATCACATGAAGAACTGCTCGGGTGGCAATTTGGACGTACTTAATGAATGTCAATTATGCGGTGAGACTCATACCCTTGACAACCTAATGTCAGACATTGGGCTCCATCTTGTGCAACTATCCGCATTCGCCCTTCCTGTCGCTTTGCGAGCGGATAGCCAGCAACCAGGCAATGGCGAGTCCGCATCAAATCATGATGCACTGGTCCATGGATCTTCAAAACCATTCTGGGAATTCGGAAAAACCATTACATTCGAGGACGAGGGCCGTAGCGTCTCTGGGGATGATGGCGAAGATGAGACTGAAGCTAAAGATTACGATGAACTTCCGACGACTAACCCCTCAGACGTAAAGGAGGACCAGGCTAGATTGCCTTCCAGTGCCGTCTCTCAGACGCCGCAGACGGACCAAACTGGGGATCCTACTATGCGATTCACCCCGTCTTCGCCGGGACGTGATGGTATGTTGAGTACATCTAAGAATTCTCAGTCGGCCCCTGGATCGAGAGCAAATACGATTGACTTTTCGACAATTCAAGCTCCAGAATCAATTGCGCTTGTTAGTCGCTCGAGATCAAATGACATTGCATCTAAGCCACAAGCTGGAACCCGCTCACCCACCGAGGAAGAGGAATCTGAGCCAAAAAAAGCTGGCAGCCTAAGTCCAACAAGTAACCAAGGAGACCCTGCACAATTTGTAGCTACATCACTGGAGGAGAATCAGCTGGTTCCTAGGGGACCTTCTCAGGACTCCAAGGCCGACAGGGCTCACACACCGAGTTCACCTGGTGATTCACAGTTTCGCATTACCGCCGGCGGACTTCCAGGTCATAAAGAGTCCGCCATCAACGACTCCAGTCTACGACACGGAGCAATGTCTCTCCTAGAAAAGCGGAAAGAGATTGTCGAGATATTGAGGGAGCTAGTTGATGGGTAAGAGGTTCTATGGACTTAGAATTCGCAACTAATACTAAGCTTAAAACAGTACCAACCGGGAAGATTGCAAACGTTATATCTCATATATCGAAGCCGCCGAACCTTGCGAGAAGTGGGATATTTTCCGCGAGAGACTATTGCTTGCGAGTGCATTAAAGGTACCTAAAGAGCTGGTGGGAGAGTTTGCCGCAGAGTTTCAGGTATGTGGTTTCATTAAACTTAACGGGAAGCCGTTCTCACAGGCAGTAGAAGAAAGCAAGCAATCTGATTAGCGAAGCAAGAAGACATTGCCCAGACAAGGTAAGCGAGCCTACTATGCACACACTTTCCATACCTCCCGATACTGACTATCGAATTAGCCCTTGGCACAAATCGGCGAAGGTGCTCTCTGTAGCGGAATCCCATGGGGACTAATCAGAGGTCGTGAGTGGCGAGAAGGAAACTGGTGGTATGAACTTCGATACACCAACGAGCGAGGCTTAAGACGCTACATGTGGGTACACGAACGAGCGATGTTTTTTATCGGACCCTTCCGCTGCCACAATCGCGACTGTGTGGTTGCTCGTCGTGGATTTCCAACCAGAGAAGAGCGCGATTCTCATGAAGAATCATCGTCTCACCAAGCTCCGCCCTTTACCGGGGTTGAAGATTTGCAGGGAGAGGAACCAGCTTGGCATATCTGGTGTCATTTTGGCTGTGGGAAACCATTTGAGACTTGGGAGGAACGCGATGCTCATGAAGACAGTAAGGAGTGTAAACAACTTCCTCCTTGGGAAATGATACCGCCGCCATCCGCTAGCGAAGAAATATATTACTGATACAGAAGGGTTGGTCGAAAGAGGAGGCGAGGAGGACCTATCGTAGGACACTATCCGTGTGGCCGAGGTTTAAGATTCGAAAATGACGAGACACCACTTGATGAGAGTGCGATCCTTCCCCCAAAAATCACAATCACAGAACACAAGCCTATTTAACGTATGGGAAAATCAACCAACAGAAGACCTCTCGGTGTTAGCGAGAAACAACCAAGAGGCACTCTCTGGAGGATTTTTGAGTCTGTTTTTTTGGATATTAAGAAGCGCTGTTCGAACCCTGGGCTGGAGTCGTAAGGCATGTCAGTTGGCATATTCCAAGGTTACCCCATGATTTCGATGTCAGCGTAGGGCAGGATATTCGGAATAGACTGCCTACCTTCGATAAATGGATTTACTCGCTGAATGAGGCGACATTCACGTTTCTCTCAGTTAGATAGAATAGCTAGCCTGGCGGGGGTGGTATGACTTGCTATCATGACCTCATTAACGAGGGCCCATGCTCGATTAGTGAGAAGGATAGTGTTCCACTCCTACACTATGCTACATTTATTCCGCAACAGTGTCGACTAGATTCGCCTTTTGGTTCTAGGACTACTCGTTTCCCTGTAGCCAGCCTATGTATACATACACATCTCCCTCTATTCATGTGCTGTACCGCTACGAGCTGCACGAACACTGCAGCATCCCCTTATACTTCGGTACATCGCCACAGAACCTCTCTTCCTCTGCTTCATCCCAGCCCCAATGCTCCTCAAACGGGTTCAGGTTGAGCCTCATGATATGATCTAGAATCTCCCGCTCCTCTTTCTTTTCAACGCGTTCAATCAGCTCGTCTAATATCCAGGACCGAGGGACAAACTACGAAAATATCTGTTAGCATCGGTCCGTCTTCCAATGCGAGCACTTAATTCAGGATTATGAAGCTTACTTTTGGATTCACCTTCTCCATCTCTATCTTCCTTTCCCCATCCCTCCCCTCCCCCCAATCCTCCCTAACTCTCGCCGCCCATTTCTCAAGCCACTTCGCAATCCTCTCTCTCCTCTCACTCTCCTGCCGTGGCGCTTCATCACGCTTGAAAAACCGACCTGCAACATCCCTCCTTCCTTGGTCCGTCTCCAATTCCGCAAGACTGACATATCCAAGTCTCCTAAACGCATGATGGAAATCCAACTCGTACGCCTCCAACCAGTCCAAGAATTCCGAGAACAATTCCTCGAAATCTGAAGTTTTAAAATTTTTGAGTCCGAGACGGGAAGTCATGAGACGTCTGTATTCAGCCATGAACACGGCTTTGTATTCTTCGCCTGCGCGCTCGATGATGGACTCAGCGCGTTTGACGAGCTCATCGGCATCTTCTTGCTTGACGCCCTGTGAGGCGAATACGGGGTCGTCGACTTTAGATCCCGCGCCCATGAGTTCGCCGACCGCTTCGCCGAAACGAACCAGGTTCCACCAGATTATGGTGGGTTGGTTGCGGTACGAGTAGCGGAGCATGTGGTCGTCGTGGTTGGGTGTGTAGGAGGGGTCGAAAGAATCCAGGAAGGCGAAGGGGCCGAAGTCGATAGACAGGCCCAGGATAGAGGTGTTGTCTGTATTAAGCACACCGTTCATGAAGCCGTAGGCTTGCCACGCTGCTGTTGTAGTAGCGTTGCGGCGGATTACGGCGCGATAGAGACGCGTGTAACGGTTTTCTTCTTCCACACCTGAGCCTTCAGTAGTTTCTTTAGGGATGCCGGGGCTGACTGAGGTAGAAGTAGTGTTTGCGTCTCCGGGGGGGAGTTTGGAGGGGAGGGTTTCCCATCCTCCGTAGATGTGTTCGGCCGTGTAGTCGGCCAGTTGTCGGATTAATGCGCGATCGCTTCTCATTCTTAGGAGATCGAAGGTCCCAAGCCGGACCCAACTCTGCGCAAATCGGGTTACGATGGCGCCTGGTTCCACCCTTTCTCGCATGACCTTCGACCTCCGCGCTAGCGTCAACGCTAGGGCTCTTGTAGTCGGAATACCAATTGCGTTCAAATACTCGCTGACGACAAATTCCCGAATACTACTCCTCAGCACCGCCTTCCCATCGGCAAACCTGGAGTACGGTGTCCGGCCCGCTCCTTTTAACTGGACCTCATACCTGGTCCCAGAATCCGGATTCGTAGTCTCGAATAGCGATATAGCCCGTCCGTCACCCAACTGGCCTGCCCATTGCCCAAACTGATATCCACCATAGCATTGTGCCCATGGGTATATACCTTCTTTAGTCCCTTCGTCCCACGTCAAAATCTTATTCCCGGCAAATACATGCTTGAACTCTTCTGTATCTGCCTCTTCTGGCTTTAAGCCTAGGTCTCGTAATGCGCGACGACTGACGCATAGCAATTCGGGAGAGTGGGTTATCTCGGGTCGGACATACGTGTATAATGCGCTTTTAACGAGGCGTGGGCCGAGTGTTTCTCGAGGAGCGGCGTGAGAGTCTGCGGGAGTGGCGAAGACGGCATCTGCTGGGAGGTTGGAAGTGAAGATATTGGATTTGGGGAGGGAGGAGAGGGTATGTGAGGAGTGAGTGCTTCCGTTTGTGATGGAGCCATTTGTGGAGAGGTGTGCCATCATTTGAGAGAGGGGCATTGATGTTGGGGACGTCAATTTAGATAGGTATTTGTGTCTTGGAGAGAATGCTCGTCCGAGCATGAGCAAGGCAGAAGGGAGAAAGGAGCGACAGAGGCCAGGAGGGAGATAAAACGCAAGATTGGGTAGAGGGGCAAACGTGCTTCAGGTGTATGTCGCAGCTGTGAACGTCTGTCGTCATGCCTCGGTCAAAACATGACGTCTTATCGATAACGAAATTTCATGACATGACTCGCGTCAGGAAATCCCCAAAATCAACACCATCCCCGTGGCTACCATCTCACTAACACTACAACACGTGTCGAAACTTAATGGACTGCAATACTGTTGACCCCTTTTCGGGATTCCAGTGGTCTGACTGCATAATCACCACATACGGCTCGTGCGATATACCGGTAAAGGCACTAACCGGATATCTGCGCTGTGCTCAGGACTGAACGCAACCATGGACGGACGAGAGATACCTGGCTTCTACTTTGGTGAATCTGTTACTACCCTACTGATTGAAATGCTGTCTTGCTAATCTAATTGTAAAGATGAGGACAAGAAAAAGTACTTCAGAATCACCACTGGCCATACTGGGACAACCACGGTCTACACTGCAGACAAGTTAAAGAGCAAGGAAAAACATAAATGTGTACGCCTTTCCAGCACACCTACAAATTTTCCCGCCGTATGTCTCCATTGACCTAGTCTTCATTTCATTATAGAGGGCTACTGCAAAAGCCGACAAACAGAAGCAAGCACAGAAGGAAACGATTCGGTCTCACAACACGTTCCTCCCATATCTTGCCCGCTCTTGCCTCGCACGGGAAATTGGTGCCCGGCCTCAGAGGTCTTACTATGCGCAACATGCTTGGTCCGCGGCTGTTGCGTCTGGGTTTCAACCTGTCGTCCTTGCGCCTGAATCACTGCCTCGATATTGGGATATCGACCCGGTTACCAACTGTCTATATGTGGCTTGCGAGGACGGGAGCGTCAGGCATGCCCGCTTGATGACAGCTGCGCAGAGAAGGAACCAGCCCCAGCACAAGCGAGCTCCTTCCATACAGTACGAAAACTTCAAACTTGCACAGATGCTGTCTAGATTAACCTCTCAGATCTCTTCCCTTAATTACGTGCCAACATCCGGTACCTTGGTAGTCACAACTCTAGGCGGAGATCGCCCTCCCATTGTCCATTTATCAGACCCTGGACGCGACAGCCCCGGAGTCGCAGAGCAGTTCACCCCCCGCAACATCAGCACAATCTGGACGTCCGCCCCCCGCCCATCCTTCTCCATCTCCGATAACTCTGTCCCGGAAAATGCACTCGAATACGTCGCCGCAGGTGCCTCTCAATCCCTAATGCTCTTCACTCGGCGCTCACTCGGAACTTGGACTCCCTCAACACCCCTCAAACTCTCCACCGACATCCAAGCACTCACCTGGCTCTCTCCAAATGTCCTCGCCCTCGGTTGCCGTGATACCGCAATCCACATCTATGACTTGCGCTCCCGCGGCTCGTCCCACATCCTCACGCACACGTCACCAATCAGCTGTCTCCGCCCCGCAGACGACTTCACGCGTCTCGTGTGTTCCGGTCTCAACGATACGCTCATGCTGTACGATATGAGGATGCCGGCAGCCTTGTGCAAAACCACGCGCACATCATTTCCACCACCTAACGGTAGACAAGTGAACATCAAGCGTAAGCGCAAACGCCCCATAGCCCTCGACCCCCTGCGCACAAACCCGCACACGCCCTCTCAGCCTGTACTCCAATTCCCATACGCTAACGTCGACGACCCTGAACTCGGTTTCGATGTTCATGCACGACTTGGGCTAGTCGCTGGAGTCGATGAGGATGGTAGGATGATTATTTGGAGCCTGCGGACAGGGGAGGAATTGCGGGTGTTTGAGCGGGACGCAGCTGGGAGCGGGCATAATCGGAAGCCGTCGTTTGAGCGCGCACGGTGTGTAAGATTTGTTGAAGAGGAAGGGGGTGGGAGGGATCAGGAAGTTAGTGTTTGGAGTGTGTGGAAAGGTGGTTTGACTAGTTTTAGGTGGTGAGGCGGGAGATGCTTTGCAGTGCTGAAGTCTGTGGAAATGGGTGCTTATTGAACCGGAGCAGTCGCGAGTTGTAGGGAAATAGGATGATCGTTTCCGGAGTTTACCTACAGGGCATCTGAGCGGATGTGGCAATAGTCTGGGGATGGGAATGGCTGCATAACTTGGTGTTCTAAATCTGCATACTCTGTGTCAACTTCTCCTCAGCCCCTGTACGCAATACATCCATTCTCACCACGTTATCACGGTCAACCCCCCAACCCCTTCCCATATCTAACCCCGCTCCACCCTATTCCACATCTAGCCATCAACACCCCCAACAATATACTCCCCAACCTCAATCCCGACTCCTCTCCCAAGCCCCCTAACCCACTCCCACCCAAAATTCACCCTCCACCTCGCCCCCGGCTCCAACACATCTCCTGCTCCCTGACCCACGCCTCCCACTCTCACCAACAACCGCATACTCGTTAAAGTCGCGATTTGGGTCGCCAAATCCGCAACCTGAGCCACCTCCCCCTCTAACAAGGACCGGAAAATCGCGAGTAGGCGGTCGAGAGAAAAGGGAGAGGGGGTTAGGAGGTGGCGGGGGATACGGCGGTGCTTTGATTTTGAGGGTTTGAGGGAGGTGTTAGTATGGGCGCGTCGTTTGTTTTTGCGTTTGTCAGTGTGTTTCATGAAATATGTTGTATCGGTTCGTGAGGGATTGTAGGACGCGAGGTAGGCGGAGATTAGCAGGTGTTTCGTGTAATAGGGTAGCTCGTGCTGTGTTCCTGCCAATTTCCTTTGCTTTGTTAGAGGTAGAGTAGAGCTAGGCGTTGGGGGTATGCCTCTTCCTCCAGCTCCTCCACCTATTTTTTCTGTATCTTCTGATGCGCAGGAGATTATGCGGTCTAAAACCGCATCCTCAATCTGAAAAAGATGCCGTCGATTCACCATCAGCCGACTAAAATCCCTCGTGCCAAACTGGCCTTCAACAACCGGTCTCACGAATTCTCGCCATAGTCTCCCAGCCGTGTTTCGGAAGCTAACGAGATCCCGTCCCGTGTGTTTGGAGAACGAGTCCCAGACGGCGCCGAGGAAGCGGTTCCAGAGCCAGGTGTCGTCTTCGGCGGCAAGGTCGGGGGTATAGTCTGGGAACTGGTCTGGGGAAGGGGCTGTGAGGAAAATCTTGGACGGGCGGAGGGAGAGAATGGTGAGGAGGGAGGAGCGGGGATAGGCCGGGAAGTGGAGGTGTGGGATGCCTGGGCGGTGGAGGACGGTGCTGAGTGGGAGGGTTGAGACTAGTAGAATAGCTAAGTTCGGGATCTAGGAAGTAATTAGCAAGGGTGTTTGACGATTGGTAAGGGGAAGGGTGCATGTACAAGTTCTCCAAATCGCGCGAGAGCGGGGAGTAGAGTGGGTGGTGCTTCGCGCTGCTTGTCTATTCCATCGAACACGAGGACGAACTTTCCTCGTCCTTCTAGCATTCGCTGCAAGTGGATTGCTAGCGCGTTTATATTCTCCGTCCTGAGGTACTGTCTTCGATCTATATTCTCACTGTAGTGGACGGCTAGCGCATCGAGGCAGCCAGACACGGTGCGTTCGAGGAGATGTCGCCCAGTAATGCATTCGCGCGAATGGACAATGGCGTGTGCAAGACGGGATTCGGAGAGGTAGCTTTTGATGATGGAAGTCTTTCCGGTTGCAGTGAGGCCGTGTGCGACGAGAAGGGGTGGGGATGGAAAGTCTTGCTAGAAGATGTTAACAACCGGCTTTTAAAGGGAGAGACCGCGAATTACAGAGTACAAAGCAGAAAGCTGGCGAATCTGCAGCTCCCTGCACGGGAATTCCTTATTTAGTTGGTCTAGAAGCTCGTCGGGCAGCATTGTGGTTGCGTGAGGGAATTGCTGGAGGCTTGGAGGTGGTTGACACTAGAGATCGACACAACACGCCAGGCAGCGCGACCGCACGTGACATATTTTCAAATTCCAGAAATGCTCACGCCAGGCTCAGGCAATATACGCCGAAGTGAGATATGAACGCGACGTACCTAAGAAACTTCGTGATAATCGTTACAGTCTATGTCTATGCTTGTAGGGTATCTTCAATATGTGAATCCGAGTCTGTCGCATCTGCGTTTTCCCACTCCCATGCCAAAAACTTCCAATTAAGCTCCGAGGGGCGCCAGAATATACCATGTCCAAGACCAGCCCCATTCGTTCCTCCTTTAATGTTCTCATCACCTGCAGGCTTGGCGCCATCAGCAGTCATTCCTCCTGTTAGTGGCATCCTTCGCCTGAAAACGCATCTTCTGAAACGTGAATGCAGAATCGCCATGGAACACATAACGCATGGCTCGTGAGTAGTATATATATCCAGATCGAGACAAAGATATCCACTAGGCGGGGCATTGTTCAGGTAGTAGAATTGATCCTCTAAGTCGGTGATTGGTAAGTTGCAAAACATGGGTGAATCGCAGACGGAGTCTGAGTCGATCCCTGCAGCTCTTAGCCTTTTTTTGGCAACCATAGCAATTGCCCGTTGCACGGCGTGAGCCATGACATTTCCCGGTCCGTCTTTTGACATCGGTTTGCCAGTTGGAGATCGCCAGCGACAGTCTCCTGCCACCGTGATGATTTCTTGGGTCGTGTCGGTCTTGCTCACAATCACACAACCAATTCGCTCACCCAAGTCCATATTATTAATTTGACGGGCGGCGGCTTCTGCCAGTGCCAGCCAAGTCCCTGCAAACTTCTCAATGTCTGCCGTATTCCTTGAGACGATGCTTGGATGAGGCCCGTATGGATTCGAGTTCTTGTAGGAAATTGGCCAATAGCCTAGGCTCCAGAGTGCAGCTTGCTCATGCGAGGTAGGTGCGAAAGTCGGAACAGGAATCGTAAAAATCCTAGGCGGCATACCGGCCTTAACAAAGGGATGATTCCGCGCTAAAGCATCTTCGAGATCGGACTGCTGAATACAAGCAGCGGGGCAGATCAAAATGAATCGCACCTTTCCCTTCAGATGCTTTTGGAGCATGACGTCGTCATCATCGAGGGTTTCTGGGGTTTGAGCAGGGGAGACTATTGTCTGCAAGTGTTCAGGAAGAAACTCAAAGCCGGCGACGCGGCGAAGGTGTTGAAAGTCCGCAGTCTTCAAGTCCGGCAAAGTGTTCTTAATTACGCTGAATGAGGTTAGAGAGAGGCCAGTGGTGAATTGACCATGGAAGTTTACTTCAGAACAGCCCCAGCCGTCTTCTCAGGCACTCCAACAATGTATGCGTCAAAAGTTTCGAGGGCGGCTCGAACCTCATCTTTTGTCTTCAGCGGCAGGAGCCGGCCGAGTTGGGGAACAACGCCAAGCCGCTCAGCGCTGCTCGAGGCAGTCTGAGCTGAGCTTGTATTCATGACATGATCAGGCCGCTGGATCATGAAGAAAAGTCGAGTCAGGATAAAAGGTTTGGGAAAGGGTCGCGGTGTTTAGTGCAAACAGAGCAAACAGACCTCACTCGGCAGTTAGAGCCTTGCAGCTTCCCGACGCTTGGCCCAGAAGGAGCAAAGCACGCAAGCTCGTCCCACCTCTCCGCACACTACGACCATCGTCGTCTCACAAATCACAGTCAAATCATGGAGCCCCACGGCTTCACCCCGGAAATCTTCTCCCAAGAGAGTGGATCCTCTCTGCACGGTCTGGACGATGGCCTTGTCCCTCGTGTTCATCTGCCGAACCACGTCTTTCATCCGGGTGTGTGATCAGCCTGATATAAATATTCTCCTTCGCCATGTAGACTTGGAGAGACTTCTAATTATCGAGTTTTGTCTCCTTGCCGTTTCATTTCATTGCGTTGCTCGTCATGGACGCGAAGAACGACGAGGTTCATCAGGTTGAGGCCGTCAATCATTCAGGCCACTCTCATTCTCATGATGCCCACATTGTTCCCATAGAACAGGAAGCAACTGAAAATGCCAGGCATATCAATCTGTCGTGGAGATCGTGGCTCGTCGTCTTCATCACATGCTTCGCGTAAGATTGTTACTCACCTATCGCGATTCCCTCATTGACGTCTGCTAGCATTATGGCTCAAGTTTATGTCGTCGTGGCCGCAGGAAGCTTGATTGCTTTCATCATTCGCGACCTTGGAGAGCCTGCTATAGCCGGATGGATCATCCAGGTGAGATCCCTTCCATACAGCATGAAGTTCATGACCAACCCGTCAAGGGCCCTCTCCTCATGCAAAGCGTTCTCTCGCCGCTTGTGGGTCGGCTCTCCGATGTGCTGGACCGAAAGTATCTTGCGAGTATCCCGCCTCTCATCGCCTTTGTGGGCGCCGTGGTGTGTGCAAAGGCAACCTCAATGAACATGCTCATTGGAGGTGGTATCTTGATTGGAATCACTTTGGCCACGATTTCAATTGTCCAGGCCATTCCATCAGAGATTCTACCGCTAAAGTACCGCGCACTGGCAAATGGTTTTGCATTCTTGGGGGGAGCTGTGGGTGGTCTGTAAGCAATTCGCCGCCCCTTCAACATCTCGTACTGATTGATACAGCGTCGGCGGTGTGGGTGCAGGAGGTGTAACGAACGCAAATCAAGGCGGCTGGAGAGACATATTCTGGATGCAGGCCGCGTTCCATGCCGCTACATCTGTCGGGCTTCTAGCGTTCTATTGGCCCCAGAAGCGGTCAGACTACCCAAAGATGAAGTTCTCGGAGTATGTGTGGGCTTGTGATCCGATTGGTTCATTCCTATTCATCTGCTCCGCGACTCTCATGCTTCTTGGCCTCAATTGGGCTGGGGGAGACTATCCGTGGTCTGACCCTCATGTTGCTGCTCCACTCGGAATCGGGCTTGGGCTTCTTGTCGTATTCTGTCTTTATGGTGAGACTTCCCAATAGCCAACCCTAGCGGAAGACGAGCTAACGAGAGCAGAATGGAAGGGCAGAGATGATGGCATCGTAGCTCACGTCTTCTTCCGAAATGGTCAGAATTTCATTCTCTCTGTATTCGCATTTGCAGTTGAAGGGCAAGTACTTCTCCAGTGTTGAGGAAACCCCGCTCATAATGTATAGCTGGATCTTCTACTCTGCCGTGAACTCCGTCACCCCCCAAATCGTTCTCAATCTCGGCTTCGAAAACAACGCGTGGGACATATCCATCCGCCAACTAAGCTACGTCCTCCCCTCCCTCGTCTTCTCCATCCCAATCACCCTCTACGCCACGAAATACAAGGATATGAAAACTCCCCTCATCGCGACTTTTACCATCTTCCTCGTCGTCACTATCTCTTACGCATGCATCAAACCCACATGGAACAAAGCGCAAATCGGACTCAATGTTCTTTCTGGCATCGGCCAATCGGGGCCATTGACGTTACTAGTCGCTTGCGTGCAATTTACCGCTCCCCACGCCTTCCTTTCCACAGCTACGGGCCTCGCGTTTTCTGCCCGCGCGATCGGAGGGGCGTTTGGTTCAGCTGTCATATCCGCAATTGTGAATGGGCGAATTAATTCGCACTACGCGAATGACGTGTCCTCTGCTGCAATCGCCGCAGGGCTTCCAGAATCCTCTGTGCCTAATCTATTGGCGTCTCTTGCGGAAGGTGGCGTAGAGACGGTGCCGGGCGCTACGCCTGAGATCATGGCTGCGGTGATGAATGCGAGCCATTGGTCGTATGCGAGGGCTTACCGGTTGGGTTGGGCGAGCGTGATTCCGTTTGTGGTGCTGGCGTTGGTCGCGGTGGCGTGTTTGAGGGGTGTGAAAGAGTTGATGACGGAGAAGGTGGAAGCGACGGTTGAGCATGTTCCTGAGGACGAGGAGAAGGTTCAAGCGTAGGGTGGGGTTGGAGTGTTTGTCGTAGGGTGCTTACGGGGGAACGATGACTGGAGGTTGGGTAAGGGGCAGGTGGCAGAGGCTTATGGAAGTCAAGTATATATGACTACCCTTTCTTCCACTTTTCCTTGCTCTCTACATCTTCTACTGCATCACCCTGGCACAAATATTTTAGAAATTGGAACATGTGCGAACCATCCTACCCCCTCCCCATTCTTGTCGGATCCAGAGTTCAGCGGCCAACATCCCTGGAATCCCTTCCCCCCTCCATCCTTCAGCAACATGGGGAGCCCGAAAACAATAAGACTCGGTTCTAAAATATCTGGAAATTTTGTTACCACAACTCATAACGCGTTATGCACTCTCGGTTGTTCGAAAAGAATTAAAAACAGGAACCAGACAGCGACATGTGCTGTATGGATCTCTGCATTTCCTGGAACAAATCTGGGAAGCTTGCAAGAATGTTACGAATTTCTATAATCACCTCTTCTTTGCTACGATGGGCGGGGCTCCCTCTCTGGAAATCGTTGAAAATGTGTTCTTCCGGATGTATGCCTGGATCTGATTGGAGCCCAGTCTTCCGGTCCTTGAGGATTTCAAATTTCACACCAATTCGAACAATGGCTCTCGCCGAGCTAAATAGCGTTCACTGTCAACCTATGATCTTGGGCCTGTGTCTTGCATCCTCCTTCTTAGCCCGAGATGAAGGTAAGAACGTTAGCGTTTAGGAGTCGCCTCCTAAATGGGCCCAAAACAATCTATGTGGGTCTTGCTCTAGATTTACGGACCCCATTAAGTGGCTAAAATCCGTTGGAATCCCCAATTATGGGGATCCGGTGGTGGACCTAAAAATACCTCTCAGAACCTACATGCAGTTTAGTCCAGACCTAGAAACTCTTCGATTTTCAGGCGTCTAAAGCTGCCTCGTGAGCTTCTATGATTGATACTTTGTTGATTCTTGGAGTTATATGGTTGGAATTACTTGGCCACATGACTAGGCCTTGGGAGTTTGGCAAACTTTTCACACTGGGAACCATGACATGGAATACCACCTCTGAAGCATAAACGATGAAGGGAAATTTCGAAACCGAGAACACGGATGAGAATGAGGCAGCCGTTGCTACGTTCTTATATCTAAATGGTTAGATATTGGGGTAAGGTCCGAAACTCTTGGACTCCTGGACAGGGCTTCCAACCGTACGTACTACGACTCAGAAAAGTGAATAGCTACGGTCACGTGAGCCGTACAAACGTAAGAGGATTGTCAATCGTAACGTACGACTGAGAGAGGTCCCCTTACAGTCCGTAATACGTCTCAGAAAGTCGATTTTTCCTAGTAATATAGGACCTGATTAGACATCTATGGGCAAGCGTTGGGAGGGCGTTTGAGGGGGCGTTTTTGAGTAACAATTGGTGAAAACTCTGTTGTGTGCTACAAGCAAGAACGCGTTAGAGAGGGGGGCTAGGGTATTAGATCTTATGCAAACAGTTAACTTTTTGCCCTTAATATTGTCCTTAAGTTATAATTTGCTATTCTCTCTTACTAGCAATTGCTTATATAAAAGGCATTAGAAAACCTTAGAGTTGCAGCAATATTATAACTCTTATTAGGAGGACTTTGCTATAGCTAAGGATAACAGCCCCTTGTTCGCAGATCCTCTCACATGGTGGACAAAAGCAGGACGTTTCTCCTACCCCACGCTCTTTAAAATCGCCCTTGATTTCCTCTCTATCCCGTGTACGTCCTATGACTGCGAGTAGGAGAAGGACTTGCCACCTTAACAGGAACCGCCTCTCTATTGCAGAAGAACTGGCTCTGCTAGAGGGCAATTTACTAAGCTCTCAGCTCTCTCAGATCATATTTGTTCCAGCGTTACGTCGTAACTTCTGCCAAGTCGTTAAGCCGTACAAGGATTCTCAATCGTTACGGTTGAGACTCGTAAGTGGTCCTCATGTCAATCGTATAGTAGAAACGTACTAAGAAAGTCAGACGTAACGTGCCGGATTTGGTCGAGTCGAATCGTATTACGTACGGTTGGAAGCGCTGCTCCTGGATGCGATATAAGGGCTTTTAACAGGACGGATGTACGTCCAAACAGGTGCATTAAGGGTATGACTCGACCGGGATTTCTTCGTCTATTTCTCGTCTCTAGCTGCTGGATATGGGCCAAGATACACTCCATAGATTCCAGAATCACCTAGCTCTTGACATTATGGGTATATGCTGCCAGATGATAAAGCGATCCCTGCAACCTGCATGTCCCTCGGTTGGTTTGTAAGTCCCTAAACAAACTTTTACGCCGGGATTAACCATCCAAGCCGTTACATACCATGTTGATGACCGTTTGCTCCCTAAACTCCATTTCTCTATAATTCGCCAAAAACAACGGTAAGAAAGTGTGTTATGGCGCACTCCGTTGCCGAATCCACGACGCTCCATTCTACAAAAGTTACTATTGAAAAATCTGTAATTCATAGTCCAACTAACCCCTTTCCGTATTGTTTGGAACACTCCAATACAACTATATTGTCCCAATTTCAGTAGAAACCACCGTCTCTCTCGAGTCCTCCAGCACTTTGTGTGAGCTTTTAAGCACGGAGAAGTTCAATACTTTTCATCAACGACAAGCTTCAAAAGTGATGCTTTTCATAACCATATAAAGGTAAAAACCCACTAGATCCTGCGCCATGGAAGGACAAGTCTAATTTCTCTGCGCACTACGCGAGGATCCTAGGCATCGGATAATTTCGTAATGATCCCGCTACTTGGAAATCTTCGCCGAGGAGGAAAACAGGAACTGTAAACTGCACATGCGATATGCAATTCATAAAGTCCCCTTTTTCCTCCGATTTTTTTGCAGGCGCTGACTTCTGCTGTAAAATTGAGCTTTGCTTGATTTTGATATGTCTTCGGAAAATGAGAATGTGTTTTTAAAGCAGAAGTGGTCCTCTTTCTTTCTACTGGAGCGTGACAGAGATCTGACTTTTTGGGGTAAATTTGGTAAAATAGCGTGAAGGTTGTTGATATGCTTTGGAATAACCTAAAAATGTGAAAAATGGTGAAGAAGCTTCCACCTGCAGGCGCTCCCCAGAAGGCGGCGATTCTAGTATCCGCGAAGCTGAGAGAGGGTCTGGACATCGAAGCATTTCGGTTGGCCGATAATATCAAAATAGGGGAAAGGTCCCTGAATCAAACTTTGTGTCTACTATTTTCTTCGCCGCATCTTGGTCTTGAAGATCACCGCAAGAGTTGCAAGATAAGGAGGCATCGGGATTTGATTGCCTCTTCTTGCCGCCCCTTTCCGTCTAACTCACGGGTATTCGCAAAGCTTTAATATGTAACTGTAGAGCGCTGCCTAGTCGTTCGACTAAAGGGCCAAGCGATTTCCCTGATAAGGTGAAAAAAAAAAAAGAAGAAAAAAGTAGAGCGTGCCTCTAAAAGCTTAATATGAAAGATACCCCGCCAGCTCTGAGCCTCATGTGGGTCTCTGAGCGCCTTTCAACACTTTTCGCAATCAAGCATGTCTGAAGTGAAAAGCGCGAGTGGTATATCATCAGCGAAAATCCATGCTCTCATGCCAACATCAATCAAGCAAGAAGAACTCTTGACGATTGGGATGCTGGATTTACTATTAACAGCTCGGAGTCACAAGGCTCGGCTCAGGATATGGACTCTCAGGGCCTGAACAGGAATGCGGTGGACGAGTTCCAGAGGGAGATCTGGAAAGGCCATTGGAAATTGTGGCTCCGTGAGTATGAAGATGTGAAGTGCGTATGTGAGAAGAAGGTGCAGAGAGGCTACCAAGGCGATGGCACTAACTGTATCTAGTCTAACTAGAAACGTGACTAACCAATTCACTAAGGATCTCAGAACTAGAAGGCAAATCCCAGTGCTCAGATCCCTAAGTCAGGCATTACGAAACAAGGTTGTACAAGAGAAGCAGCACATGCAGCGCACAGCTCTGTATAATTTTTTGGGGGAGTTAGTAGGCGTGTATAGCGCTACACAAAGGGTTATTCCGTACAGCTACGTAGCTAGTAGCAGGTATTCTGGTGCGATACGTTGGAGAAATGCTGGCGCTGGTACAGGAACTTCTAATCAGTTGAGCTGGGTAAGCCTGGTGTTGTATATTACCTTAATTGCATTTGCGATCCAAAGCCTACACCAATCAAACAATGGCTATCAACTTATGATCAGAGAACTCCTTGATATGCAGGGGTATTTCAGTAGCTATGCAATCCCAAATGCCACGAGACGCCAGTCCATCTCCGCACTGAAGCAACCACCTCTCAAGAACGTACAACAGTCCCAAAAATCTCCCAAACCCGCAACGAAAAGCCAACGCATGTTTTCCAGATATGCACTAAGTAGTCCACCCCCTAAACACTCACGAAAGGCCCAACAAAGTCCCGCAAAATGGCGACAAGCTCGTCTTCTCGGCCTAACTGAACCCAAAGAGCCTCTTCTACCCCTTGGAACCTTTTCAATGCTTCTCTCTCGCCTGGACTAAGATACTTGTCTTCGTTGCCAACGACATCTGATCGCTCCGCTTTCGCCAGCAGCTCCTTCACTTGCTCCTTCTCGAATGCCAGACGCTGCATTAGGCGAACCATACCTTTGTAGGTATCATGCAGCAGTTTTTCGCGCGTACGCTGCAGATCAAACCACGCCAAGTGCCACGAGAGCTTAGACTCTCGACGATCAACCTTAGGAATCTCTTGTGTCTGGACGAAGCCTTTCATAGCTAGATCAGAAACGATGGCCCGAATATCATTCGGATTCATCATCATTGCCTCGCCCATCTCCATTTCGTCCAGTCTTCCCTTCTTTTTGAGCGCTCGGACCAACTTCACACCTAGCTTATCTGCCCTCGTCCCAATGGTGTTGTCGACTTCGCGCTGAATCATTGTTTTCGCGATTTTGTCGTATTCGATGTGCCATTCAGTGCATTTGCCATTGAGACTGGAGTGCCAGGTGACGAAGTTGAACGGGTCAAAGGAGAGTTGCCAGATGTGTTTCTCGATCAATTGGAGTCTCTGTTTGAAGGGGATATCAAATGGTTTTATAGGCGGTGCGATGTTCCCTTTTTCTTCAATGCGGTGACCGGGGACGACCTCTAACACGGCCTCTGGGTCAAGCCCTTCACAGAGGTCAAGATGCCTGCTGAGGATCTTGACAATATCTTTTGCAGTGATGAGCAGGCTGGGATCCACATAGGTAGCAGCAGCAGGATCCGGACGAACGTAGGGATCTGGCCATGGCTCGTAGCAACGCGGCTGGTTGTATTCGAGCGTCCAGAGCATAGCTTCGTATATTTTGGCCGTCACTTTGCTGAGTCGCTTCTCGACAAGACGGACAAGGTGTTCAGTGCGCATGGCGACAGAAAGTTTCTCCATGTTGACACGGACGACAAGGGTTTCCTACAAGCTATAAGTGAAAGATTCATTACCAAGCCTGGCATCTTACATCAAGCTCAGGGACATCATCTTGAGGGCCTGGGTGGTTTCTAGGAGTCCACTGGTCCACGCCCATCGTTTTCAGGCGCTTGCTCGACCGATCGAGCTCCCGGTCCTCGCGTTTACGCTTGCGAGACTGGCAGTGTGGTGCTGCCAGCGCCTCGTCACGGATCCTCCGCTTGCGCCGTGCAACTTGCCCTACAAGATTATCTTTGTCTTTTGTTCCAGTGGGCATATTGCCATGATATTCCTCTTCGAGGATCTCTTGTCGCGCAATTTCATGGGTATCACCAGGTGAAAGGTAGTGGGCTGCATTGACTCTGACGATCCATCCATTCAACATTAGGAGGTGGATTAGCTCATGAAGCTCTGCAATAGTGCGAATGTTGTTTTCATCCTCCTCAGCGTCGGCCATCTCGTGGTCATGCGAGGCGTTAGTGTCTGACACTCTCTTCGCCTTATTGTTCACAGAGCTGTTCGCGACATTATTATTAGGAAGGAAGGTGTTTTCCTTCTTAGCCCCATTTGTTTTGGAACCACTGTTCGTCATTGGTCCATCGCCATTCGTAAGAGAATGAAGGGAATGGTTCGCGACTTCCAATTCATCCGGAAGCTCTTGGCGCCTGCCATTAACGGCGGCGCTTCCCCCATTAGTCAGTGTAGCTAGGCCGATTTTGCTCGAGGTTTCTGCCGATCCTTCAATACCATACGCTGCAGCCTTCGGTAGTGTACTGCCATTGGCTTCTCCGTCCTCCGATTCGTTGTCGCTATCCGTGTCTGGAGGCGGGAAATAGGCGTTGTTCAAGTCTGCTACGCTAGCGTGGCCAAATGTCACGAGGTTGAGAAGGATGTTGGAGGCCTTCTTGCCATAGCGGTGTTCAATCATCGAAGCCATTCGCCCATAGCGAAGCAGAGAATACGCCTGCTGCCAATCGATTTCATAGAAGGTAACACGGGGGTCGGCGGCGTAGTGGAAGATGAGGTGCTGCTGGATGAGGGTGACAAGACCATGTTTGATTTGCTTTCCGGTTAGATAAGAGGCACGGGCAAGTGCTGCGAGGGTGGATCGGCCCGTTCGACAGAGGACAGAAAAGACTTTCTGGGGGAGAGTGAGCTGGACACATTCACGCTGAGCTTCCGGAGGGTGAAGTCGCGACAGGTGGGGCAGAATTCGCGACACTTCAGGGACAGAGCAGTAAGCACTTACCGACGCGAGCTCGCCATACTGGTCGTTAACAAGAAGAATGCAGAGCTCCTGCAGAATCTGGGGCTCGTTAGCTGTGATTCATCCCCACTTGACACCAGAGGTAGCTTACTGGGGGATCGCGCTGGAGCGGAGGCATGGTAAGAAGAAAAGGGAGGCTATATCTCGAGGCAGCACGGCTCCCTCCGTCGCGACATGGAGAAAGAGAGAATGGGGGAGTGATGAAGAGCAATTCGAAGAGAGAAATTGAAGGCCTTTCAGTGAAGGCGGAAATCTGGCGGGGTTTGGCCGACAATTACCCGTAGGGTTAGCACCCGAGCAAATCGCTCAGGCCTGAGATCATGAACCTTCACCCCATCTCGATTCACAGCTCCCAATTCCATCCATTGTCCGCCCCTCACGCCTCCCAGCCCCGCAGCACGGCGCCCGCTCCACCATGTTTCCCCGTTCGACTGTGTGCCGCGGCGCGCAGCGTGCTCTTCGACGGCAAGCCGCCCACCCGGCACAGCGCCGAGGGCTCGCTGCCCCGGCCTCAGGATCGTTCCAGTACCAGTCGGGCGAGGCCAAGGGCGTCAAGTTTGCGAGCAGAGACTTCGCCGGACCCACCACGACGCTGGCACTGGTGTCCAAGGCCGGCACCCGATACCAGCCGCTTCCTGGGCTGACGGAAGGACTGGAGCAGTTCGCATTCCGGGTATGCCATTGAGCAACACTACTCCTTGACGGAGCTTCGCTGACGCTCAATTGGGCTGCAGAGCACCGAACGAAGGTCGACATTGCGCATTGTCCGCGAGTCCGAGCTTCTTGGAGCCGAATTGAATGCCTACCACACCCGCGAGAATCTCATCCTCGAAGCTAAGTTCCTCCGCGATGACCTGCCCTACTTTGTTGAGCTCCTCGGGGAGGTTGCCTCTTCGACAAAATATCTCCGTATGTCTATTTGGCCGTCCAGTTGAAGTGCAAATGATTGACAGCTCTAGCGTGGGCCTTCAACGAAGAAGTCATTCCCCTCATCCACATGGCCCACAAGAAATTCCTGGCCAGCCCAGTCGACATGGCCGTCAACTCCGCCCACAGCCTCGCTTTCCACCGTGGTCTCGGGACCCCCACCGCATCCGCCGCCCCCACTCCCTACACCAAATACCTCGACCCAGACACTATCGAGGCCTTCTCCAAGTATGCCTACGCCAAGCCCAACTTCGCCATAGTTGCCAATGGCGCCGAGCAGGCCGAGCTTGCGAAATGGGTAGACCAGTTCTTCGACAATGCACCTGCCTCATTTTCAGGCGAAGTCCCCGGCGGAGCACCGTCAAAGTACTTCGGAGGAGAAGAGCGTATTGCCCACGACGGTGGTAATGCAATGGTCATTGCATTCCCTGGCTCAAGCTCCTCTACCGGCCAGTTTTACAAGCCTGAAATTGCCGTCCTCGGATCTCTACTCGGCGGCCAGTCAAGCATCAAGTGGTCTCCTGGCTTCTCTCTCCTTTCCAAGGCTGCTGCATCCCCGAGCACCCACGTCAAAACTACAAGTGCCATCTACTCTGACGCAGGTCTGCTCTACACCACAATCACCGGCTCCGGAGCCAACGTCCGAAAGACTGCAGTTGCCGCCGTGGAAACCATCAAGAAGGTCGCCGCCGGCGAGATTACCAAGGAGGAAATCCAGAAGGCAAAGGCGGCTGCCAAGTTCAAGGAGCTGGAGCACGGCCAGGACATACTCGCTGGTCTCGAGCTTACTGGCGCGGGCTTGGTGCATGGCAGCAAGGCTTACCAGATTGATGAAGTTGCGAAGGCCATTGACGGTGTTTCGGAGGCAAAGGTCAAGGAGGTAGGACAACCCCAACCCCCAATCATTTTCCCATATCTCATATACTAATGTTCGCTACAGGCCGCCAAATCATTACTCGACAACAAAGCCTCAGTATCCGCGGTCGGTGATCTCTTCCTGCTACCATATGCCGAGGACTTGGGGCTCAAAGTGTAAATATCGCTTGATGTTGACTGAAACGGGAAGGAGAGCAAAATTTTGGTCGCTTGGGGGAATGCATGGATGGATGTGTACCATTACTCTGTGATTAGGATCAGATCAGATCAGATAGAAGTGTTTTATATGAAGAATATCATTTTGCTTTTCTGATGTCTTGCATAGCAGCACTTGGAAGAATGACTATTGCACAACGCTAATTGGCCGAAGCCTGCAGTGCGGACACACGTGAGAGGGTGCTGAATCCGTGGTGCACGGACCAACAAATCACGTCCTCACTCAACAAGCAAACAACGACATCATTGATCCTCCCCGCCGGGACTCGAACTCCTCTACACCCACAACCCCGCCCACACATCCTCAAACCACCCACTCCCGCCCAAGCAGAAGGGAGTCTTTCGCGAAGCCCGGCGTGCATCCACAATGGCAGGCGGTAAAACCCTTTACCCACGCGGCACCCTCAAGAAGATCGTCAAGGCAAATACAAATCAGAAATTAAGCAAAAATGTGGATATCCTCGTACGTCACCTTACACCGCCCCTAAAATAAATAGAGAAAGGCATTTTGAATATTAGGTTAACTAATGAGGCGGTTGATAGATCTTTCTGAACTACGCGCTGTTCTTACAGGAGTAAGTGTAGCTTCCGCCCTACTTCAACATTCCCTCCTCTCCCTCTACAAACCACCGCAGAAACTTGATCGGGGATGGATGTCCGTAGCGACATAGGCCCGCCCAGATTATACAAGACTATCCATGCGGTTAACTGCGCGGATGTACTTGTACATACAAGCACATCTATCCACAAATCCTGCCCCCACCATGCTCAAATCTATAAACACACCAGCTAACACACCCAAAACAGCCTTATTAAGGAAGCTGGAATCGCATCTAAACAATCTGGCGAGCGCGTGATCACAGCCCGAAGCATACGCAAGGTGCGCGCGGATTGTTTGGCGAAGTTCGCGGGATAATGCCATTACGAAGATGCGTATTGCTAATCTATGGAGACTTTGTGGCAGGATATGGACGGGTGTCAGGGCGAGAAATAAGGAGTGCTGTTGTGGGAAGTGGGGTGGGACGGGACGGACTTCTCACTCGTCTCCGACGATCAAGGTGCAGGCCGTTCAGGTGTGTCTGATGTGCAGATACAAGAGAAGACGGTGGATCAATGACTGCTAGAGGATGGAAGATGGTGTTTTGGCGTTTTGGCGTGCGGAATGAATGGACGGGTGGTTATGGACGGATTGTAAGGGACGGACAGGTGGATATACCCATACCCACACCGATTCGACAGACAGATACCCAAAATGCAGGTTATGCTACTTAATTAATCGCTTCATACGTATGCAACCCCAGGAGACTCTTAAATCCACCAAACCATGAGCATCGTCCAGATTTGATATCACATCAGAATTACCTCTAGTTTCTACAACCTTATACACATCCCACTTTAAACCGCATCCCTTTGCTAGAACCGAAACTCTCAGAAAGTCCCCTCCCCACCTACCCCTTAACAACCTTCCCAACAACCCACCCCTCTGCATACCTCTTTCCCGTCCCAATTCCCGGGATCTCCACCTTAACCCCCAACTCCAACCCCAACCTCATTCCCCCTTCCGCTTTCCTCTTTCCGCCCGCTTTCCCACCCCCTACCTCTTTCAATGCACCTTTCACCCCAGCAGCCCCCACCCCAAGCGCCACACAACTCGCCAGCACACCCTGCACCTCCCTCCCCCAATCCCGCTCCACACCCCCCGCTCTCGCCTTCTTCGCACCCGCCTTCTTAACACTCGCAAACGCCTCCTTGGCATCCCTCACACACGCATCTATCTCTTTCCACAGCCTGCCCCCACTCCCCCCATCCGCAACCTCTTTCCAAAACCCCGCATCCGGGGCTACATAGTCACCAAACGGCCTTACCCTTTCTCTAAACTCCTCAAACGGCAAAACCTCCGGCGGCTGCAGTGTAAGAAACGGTTTCATACGAAGTTCATACCTTAGAGTTTCGGAGCTGAATGGCCGGTTCGGGATAGGAAGGAGACGGAGATACATCAGCAGGGTATAGAAGTGAAAAAGTGCGGTGCTAAGAGACCATATACCGGTGGCTCCTGCGTGAAGCGTTTGCAAATATCCAATACTTTCCTCCACCTCGGCTGCTTTGGGGAGGTCTGGTTCGACGCACGAGAGCAGGCATCGATGTCGGTATTGTAGGTGCGCGAGGATGTTGGATAACAGGTCTCGTCTTCTCGATGAGACGGTAGATAAAAAGAAGTATTGTCCAGCGTACTCGTCCGGGAGGTAAATGTCCTGTTCGAATCCCAAAAGGATCATTTTCTCAAGCATCGTTAGTTTCTTAGCATATGTCCAGCTTGTTAGCGGATACGCTAACACTTGGTCCTGAACCTGGGTTCCCATTTCTTCCAGCGTGGCGTGGATGTCTTCGTCCACAATCCCGGCGTCGTTTTGAAGCTGGTCCCAACTAATAATAACGTGTCCGAGCATGCGACGTAGGCGACAGCGGTTTTGGCCAAGGGCCGTCCAGAATTCGAGATAGGGTTGTCCGGAGCGTTCGATGAATTCGTCAATATACAGCGCAAGTTGGAGACGGGGGGGTTTTGGAAGCATTAAATTTCGCGGGGGTGACAGAGTCCAGTTTGTGGGGTCGAGGAGGGGAGATGCTGGAAGCACGAGTGTGCGGAGGTCGGCTAGAGGGATCGAGGTTGTTGCGTTTAGGGTTGTGGGATGGAAGAGGAGAGTTGCGAGGTAGGATCTAGAGTATGGAAGAGGTGTGGGGTTTCGAGATGCGTAGGCCCATAGGAAGGATTGGTATTCGAGGGGATCCGGTTCCAGCCTTGTGAAGTGCGTGGCTTCTTCGCAGTCGAGACAGAGTTGTTTGAGGGTCTGGAAGGCATCTGCGAAATCGAGTTCTACGATTGGACGGGGAGGGACGGTGCTAGCGAGCCGACGTTGGAGTTTTGTACTGAAAGCTCCTGGAACAGATTTTCCGAGCTGGTGGGTAGCGTTGAGGCTGATGAGGTTTGAGAAGATTGGTGGCCAGGATTTGTCGAGGCGCTCGATTGGGCTGTGGAAGTCTAAGGCTACGAGGAAATCCTTCCGAAAGTTAAGGCGGGCTATTAAAGCTTCTTGGAGCGCTAAATTCATTTCTAAATCCGTGCTATGAAGGTTAGTAAGCTTCTTATCAATAGAACAGACATGTAAAACCGGAAGAGCACTCACTCTTCCATCCGCTCCACCGCAGCATCTAGCTCCCTCGAAAATACATCCACCGGCGTGCCAACAAAAAGCACCCGATTATACGTATGTGTACAGAAATCCTCTTCTTCATAGTAATCCCTACTCGTGACCTTTGCATTGACAAAATCACAGCACTTGATTAGTGCAAGACAGTATGCTCTCAGTACTTCTAGCAGCACACCCGGCCTCTTATTATCGGGCGGCCCATCTCGGTAGAACTGCGCTTGCTCAAAAGTCTTCGGTTCAGGCCAAAGCAGTTTGTCAATATACACCGAGGTGAAGAGCGTTTGGGATAGTGGGTATCCTCTATGCCAAGCCATTTCGTAAGAGAGGAGTTGGTCCATGATGCCGATTACTTCTTCTGGAAGGAGAGGAGCAAGAGTATCGTAGGCGTCTTCAAGGGTCTCCCCCGGCTGGAGGAAACCACTGTCCATTTTAGGGTCCATGATCTTAAATGTGAGGTCAGGATTAGTAGCAAATCTGGGGGTAGAAATACTCACTTCAAGAGCCCCGATGGACTCGAAGAGCGTGAAGTACTCATCTTTGACTAGCTGGCCAGTATCTAGAGCTATAACATCAATTAGCGACCCATACAGCCAATCTTGGTCGGGGAGACGAATTTGATAATTTGGCAGAGCACGTGACTGTTGACTAGCTCAAGTAAAATCCCCGGATCCATAAAACTCAATGAGAGGAAAGTAAAAAAAAAACCCACGAACCGCTACAGGCCCTAATAAACTTTTCGGTAATATCACGAAATGTTGGCTGGGGGGCAGGATGGAAGGCCTGCCTCAAAGGTAGGTCGGCCGGAGGAGATCGCAGGTCGGAGCTCGCGCCATCTTTTGCAGAACCAGAGTAGTGTCAGTATTTCCCGCAACGTGAGAATAATGAATAGGGTAATAGACCTGATATATTAAGAGACTTGACAACAGCTGTAGATTCTCCGGATGTTGTGCCATGGTTCTCTGCCATGTTGTGTGGAAGGAGTGGTTGCCAATGCGGCAAAGGATTTAAGACAGCCGAGTTCCATGCAGCTGCGACAAGTCCGCAAAGAGCTCACTGCAGTGCAATTCCCAGACAAGGAACGGCCACAGCATCACGACTTGCACAATTACATACAATCATATATGGCAATACATTGAAGCTCAAAAGTTTTTGTGCATTGGCTATTTTTCGCAGCCCTTTCGCGGGGTTTTCGATAGAGTACAGAATATACAGATCCGTCTATCCATCAACCCGAATAGCTTTCCCGCCCCACTCCATCCCATTTCCTTCCTTCCACTGCTGGTTTTCGGTGTATGTGTGTCTACGAGCTAGAAGATGAGCTCGCCTGCTCTGCCATCGCCGCCTCATTCGCACTCGCAAGGTTCTTAGTCTCGCCCTGCTTTCCGTTCTGTTTTCCATCAGCCTCTGCGCCAACGGCCATCAGACTCTCATAGTATTGCAACTCACCTCCCACTTAGCAAACCTCAGATCCATCTCTCCCCTCCGCTCAACAGCAACTCGCTGATCCTCCTTGAGGGAACGGCGCACGACGCGAGATGCGACTGCGACATAGCGGTTGTATCTAGGAACCGAGTCAATTGAGATGCGTCGGCGGGACAGGGGGAGGAGAGGACTACGTGAGGCCGGCGGCTTTCCAGGCGAATGCCATTGCGATGACTGGAGGTGTGGTTGAGGGGTTTGGTAGGTTGTGGTTGGGTAGGTGGGTGGGTGATGGTGTCGAGCTTGAGGGTTGCCGAGAGATTTCGGGCAGAGCTGGAGATTTCCGGGCACGTGACCTGATCGGACATATCGACAGGCGGATGCGATTGAGCAAGTTGAACGGGGATTTTGTACAAGGATGATTTATTTTCATAATGCATGATTTGGATTTAGGTTTCTTATAACTGCATGGCATTGCATTTCAGATTTCATACCAGAAACCCAACTCTATCGTGACACCAAGCATCTAGCCTTAGTAGCTACCCGTAGGAAGTGAATCGACAGCAGTCCGCTATCCGAGATCATCCTCACGAATCCGTCTCCATTGCATCACCGCCCTCGTCATCTCCACCTTCCCGATTCTCGAACGTCGCATCCAGCCACTCAGCGATGTCCTGACCCTCATATAGGGCGAAGTTCTCTCCAATGCCACCAATGCCGACACTCGTGTTATCTACCGTAAGCTCCTTGTCCTGGCTCAGACTCTCCTTCAACGCCCTCAACGCATGCTTGATCAACTCCTCCCGTCCACAGCCCCCAAAGCTATCCAGATGCCTCTCAAGATACGTCCTTGCCATCTGACTCCTGGCACCGATCCCACACGCAACCATCTCCTGCGTAACCCCGCTCGGCTGGAATTCGAACAGATGTGGACCCTTGCTATCCACGCCCGCAATCAGCAGGCCTACACCATAGGGTCGCTTGCCGTACTGCTGCGTGTTCGTCTGCGCGCGGTCGGCGATGCGCAGGGTGATTTCGGAGAGCGGGATTGCGCGGTCGTACGTCAGACGTGAGGCGAGTGATTGCTGTTTCATGAAGTTGGAGAGGACGCGGGCGTCGGAGGCGAGGCCGGCGAGTGCGATGCCGTAGTGGCTGTCTATTGGGATGATTTTCTTTTGGTACGAAGAGAGCTCTTCTGCATTGCGCTGGATTAAGATGTTAGATTTGGGGTGGCTGATTGGGATTGGGGAGGCGGACCTTGATCGCGGCTAGCACGGCGTGGGTCTTGCTCACAATGCCTACGACGACGGAACCTTGCTTCACAGCTTCTGATGCATATTCGACTTGGAAGATGCGACCTTGTGGTGAGCTGAAAGTGTCAATAAGCGCAAACACGGTTGGTTGTGAACACATACAAGGTCACCGAATCGTTGTCATAGTTGTTTCTGAACATGGTGAATGCCGAAGCTGTGATTTGACGGCGGGGGGAGCGGTGGAATCAAGTAGGAGAGGGGTTGATGTAGCTCAAGGAGATTGGGCGGCCTTGAGGAAGGTGAAAGAGTAGAAGAGAGAGACGTGGATTGCGGGTAAACAGCTTCAGTTGGTGTGTTTGTGGGTGTCCAAGGCACCTCTGAAGTTACGAAGCTTCGCGAGCTCCAAACGGCCCGAGCGCGGAACGAGCAGGGATCCGCAACCCCAGCCTCATCGGCGCTACGCAACCTCAACCTCACCACATTCACTCCCGGCAACCCCTCTAGCACCGCTTTGCAGCCTGTAACTACTCGTCTTCTCATATACTAGTGTCTCTCTGAGCTCCGGCGCCCGTCCTCCCCCATCAGCAATCCCTCCAGCCCTAGGCTCCCACCACCAGCTATGGCAGGGCTAAAGACCATCATTGCGCTTTCATTCGTATGTCTGCGTCCTCTACACCCCTCCCCTCCCCTCCCTGCCATTCTAACTTGTCCCCCAGGTCCTAGCAATCGGTTTCCTGCTTGTTATCCTCTCGGCCGCCCTCTACCACAACTACCTAACCCTGCTAGTCGTGGCCACTTATGTGATCGCGCCGCTACCAAATTGGATCTGCGGACGCGCCGCAAACCCCGACGACTTCATGGAGTCGTCTGGCTCGGGGGTCATTGATTTTGGGCGATTCTTGACAGGCTTCCTTGTCGTTATGGGGATCGGTAAGACTAGCCCTACACAGCCCCGCTCTCAGCTCTACGCTTGGAAATAGTAGATGGGATAGGGAGAAGGGATTTTTGTTGATGGGATGTGTGCATGCCTGCTAATATGAAATCGCAGCTCTTCCAGCGTTACTGTACCACTCAGCGCAGATTCTAGGCGGCGCCATGGTCATGTCGATTATTGGTGGTTTACTGATTTACGGAACCATCATTAGCTTCACGCTGTTCTTCCAGGAAGAGCAAGAATTCTGACTAGGCCAGGAAGGGGAGGAATGAGGGGAAAGGGTACGAAGATGTGGAACTCCCGTTAGAAAGACCACCTTCGTCTCGGACGCCGTGTTGCGCTGGAGTGGCACGCTCGGCCTCGTTTAGGCACGGGTTTGTGTGAGAATTAATGACTTTGGTCCTGAAGTATGGAGTACGGAAGGGTTTCTTTTGGAGTGGGATACTTGTGTATGAATATAGGGCTTATGTTGCATTTGTTCTATTGAAGATATAGCACGGCATATCCAACTTGTCCAACTGCGATCGTTGGTGCTGTAAATGGATGATTTGACACAAAAAACTGTCCACTACGCCTTCCAGTTAATTGTACATATAAGAGAAAATGCTCAAACGTGATATGGTGAAACCGTGGATATACTATTGATATCACACATCTCGACGTGCTGCGCCACACTTCAGCCGTTGTCCACTCTTCTCCAAGATATCTCCTGTGTGCTCAAAGAGCAAGGTTGTAAGTATACTCATCCTCCATATTCTGCGCAACCCAGAGCACAGCAGAACTACTCTTGAGTTAGCAATCAAATTCCCAGCCCAACACAGCCTTGCCCGTTCGACTCACCTAAGCATAACCAGCCCATTCGCAACCACATTCCCCACTCCCATCCAGATCGTCGGCCACGTGTACTCCGGCACCACATACTTCAATACGAGAATCACAACGCTCCCCGCCAGCCCGCCTGCCAGCAACGCAAACCCCAGAAACAGCACCAGGCGCGCCTTCCACGCAACCCCGTTCCCGGAGTAACTAAAGCTGTCGGCGGACAGCCGTGATTTGTCGATCGAGTTGATGACGAGCATGCCGAGTGCGGAGCAGATCCCCGGGATCCAGTCTACGAAGGTGATGTGCACGGGGGGGTCGGACGGGTTCATGGCGGATTTGGAGAAGACGGCGCAGTCGATTAAGAGATAGAACCCTAGGGAGAACTAGGGATACACGATCAGCCACTCTTCTCTCACTCCAATATTTGGGAGTAGAGGGGAAGAGGCGACGGGGGAGAGGTTAGCCTACCAACGCTCCAGCTGTATAGACGCCGAAGGTCCTGGTGTTCGCGCTGTTCAGCCAGGCTGGCCTGGGGAAGCGGAAGAGGCGGTGGGAGGACATGTTGGTGTTGCTTTGCTATGTAAGAGCAGACAGTAAGAGGTCGTGGGAATGAAGTTGTCGAGCTGTGGACTCGTAGTGTTCTGTTCTGTAGAGCTGTCGTTGCTGGCTACGGCTATGCGAGGCTGGGGGCTGGGGTGTCGTCAACGCGTGCCAAGACCGCGGCGTTTCGACATCCCGATCGCTGTCTGCGCTTAGAGAAAAGTTCAGACACTGAGGAGGAAACCTGCATCTCTTCACCACTGGGTTTAGGATTTTGTAATGGCGCCCACGCGCCCCTCAAATAGCGCAAAAGGCAAAGGGAAATCACCCAGCCCCTTAAAAAAGTCCTCAAGGTCCTCAAAGCCCACCAAACCCGGCGCAGCGCCCACCGGCATCTCAAAGCGCAAGTCTAAAAATCTCTCGCTCGCCAAGCCTGGCGGAGCGCAAAAGACAAAGTCCAAATCTAAACTCACCGACGGCAAGAGAAAGAAGCGTGTATACTCCGAGGCCGAGCTCGATATCCCAAAACTGAATGGGATTGTTCCCGCCGGAATCGCAAAGCCGAAAGGTCAGAAGAAAGGCAAGAAGTTTGTGGATGATGCGGAGAGTATGATGGCGATTATGAGTATGGTGAATGCGGAGAAGGAGGGGCATATTGAGAGTAAAATTATGAAGGCTAGGCAGTGGGAGGAGGTGCGGGAAGCGAAGAGGAAGGAGATGGAGAAGCGAAGTGAAGTTAAGAAGGCGCAATTTGTGAGTATAGCTTTAGTTTGCTGAAGGTACTTGCTGAACGTATCCGTGGGTGTGTGCTAATTGTTAGCAGGAGGTGACTAAGCAGAGTTTGAAGAAGAAGCGGAAGGGGAGGCAGTCGGATCCTGTGAGCGTGGAAAATGTCGAGAACGCGCCACCTGAAACTACGAAGCCAAAGAAGAAGAGGGTGTCTTTTGGATGATAAGAATATAGTGCCATTGCTGCAGGTCTAGGCCTACGTTGGGATTTCCATGGTCTATACATTCCAGACTCCAGAACTCCTCCACCTTTGATCATAACGGAAGAATTAGCCGCCTATGGGACGGGTCGAAAATCGGATACTTGTTGGCCGGTACAACACTTCCATTGGTCTCTCTACTTTCTCTTGGTGCGGCCAGGTCGATGTCCTGCATCTTCTTCAAAAATTCTGCTACCGCACTCGCGAACCACCTCTCTCCACCCAATTGGAACCAACTCAAATGCCCGCCCCAGTTGGTGGTGCAGAGTACGGTGTAAGGGTTCTGCTTGAACTCTTCGTACGGGATTGCCTCAATGGAAGAGACCTATGTATATTAGGACAAATCGTTTGAATTGGTGGAAGCAGCGTACTGGGTCATCTTCAGCATTGATCCCGAGGAAAGGAATCTTAATGGCGGTCACTGCATCGCAGGACTGAGCATCCCGATAATATGCTCCTTCAGTAGGATAACCCCATGTGGGAGCCTGTACATGCCTAACGCCCAAGATATCAGCAAGGACTCTATCAGTAGGAGTCGTTAACCCACCTGTCGAATTCATACAGATACCTGCATGCTCTAACCTTCTCCCGGTCGATTTTCGGATTCTTCAATATCTCCTCCTTGTGCATGTCGTATAGCTTCTGCAAGTTTTTGCACAATGTCCTCGAATAAACCTCCCGCCCTAAATACGTCCTACTCAGTGCATGATGGCATACCTCTAAATTCCAGGGATTCGAACACACAACTGCAGCTTTGAGCTCGCAGCTTGCGCCCTCTTCACCAACATAATTCGTCAGCACATTCGCCCCTAGCGAAAAGCCAACAGCATACAACGGGCGATTCGGAAATGTCTCTCTCAGCCAGCCCACCGCCTGCCGAATATCCCACGTTGATCTCGCGTTGTACAGCTGGGGACTCGTGATCTTGACCCCAGCACACCCCCTTGAATTCACCACGCAAGCCTCCCAACCCGCATCTTGAAGGGGCGCTACAACCTGTCTTAAATAAACTTCATGAGATCCTCCGGTTAGCCCGTGCAAGCAAATAACCATCGGCTTCTCATCCTCAGAACGAATCATTTCTAACTCCCCATCTTCAAAATACGTAGTCCGTTCCGGAAGCTCCGGATCCTCAGGGCTAGATTCGCGGACAACAATGTCGATGCCGAATTGTCCGGGATAGACAGAGTGCGTGGATTGGAAGATATGGCGTTTATAGTAGATCGTGGGCCCGGCGTCTTTGACGGCAGTCCAGACTGTCTGGAGGTGGCCGTTGAAGAGTAGGGGATTTAATCTACAGGGAGGGATCACTGCTTTAGAGAGGGATGAAAGAGAGGTTTTGGAACCGGATTTTGTGGTGAGGGTTATGGAGGAGTTGTGATGGGTGTATGTTGTCTTGGCATGGCCGATTAGCCAAGACATGTTGGATTGCTGAGTCTTGGTGTGGTGGCTCCAGGCCTGAGAAGTGAAGACGCCGTTCTAAATGCTGAATTACCAAACCACGCAGTTGTTAAAAAGCGGAGAAGAAAAGTTGCAGTAGGGTTTTCCCACGATCTCTCTGAGCACCTGCTCTGTCAAAGCCTCGGTCCGCCCCCACTATGACGATTGGCCTCTCAAACGCGCTAGCCGCCCATCCGCGGACGCGTTCACGCCGCCCAGACATCGTGACATCGTCGCAATCCTCGCTCTCCGCATTCATCCCCCAGTAAGCACCCTTCACGATGCGCTGAACGCCCAACCACCACCGGTGATCCTCGCTCTCCTCTACACCCTACACAATGGATCCCCGGTACCAGTGGCCTCCACAGGCGCCCCCGAACAGCCAATATGCACCTCCTGCGCCGCCGCAAAATGGCTATCAAGCAAACGGCTACGGGCCTCAGTACCCTCAACAACCTCTGCAGCAAGCTTATTCACAGTCGCAACCGGCTTTGAGCAATCCTCGCATGGTTATTGCGCCCAGAGCGAGCCACTATGAGACCATGCAGGATGAAATGAGAGTCCAACCACGGACTTTGAAACCGCAGGTTGTGATACCTGCTAAACCCCACGCTGGAATTCCTCACATGCAGAACCCAAAGATTAGGCAAGTTCAAGTACCAGTACAGAGGCCGGTCCAGAGGGCAGGCAGTGGAGGCGTGGGCAACAGAGACTTGATCAATGTTCGCCCGGCCCAGGCTCCGGTATCGAAATCAGTACACAGATCGCAATCGCACCAGGAGAATCCGCCGAAGTATCAGCAGAGAACGCAGAGTATGTCGTCCTCGAGCCAGCATCGCGCCCCGCTGCAACCGCATGCGACACCCCAGAAGCGCGCCCCGTCTCAATCTTCGTCCAGCCAGCATCGGACCTCTTCGCTGCCGCATACGTCGTCTCAACAGCGATCGCATCCACAGGTCGTGATTAAGAAGCAGACGCCGCAATCGACACCTACCCCGTCGAGGACGCAGCATGCGCCGCCACCGAATCCTCTTCCGACCGACTTCTCAGTCCTGCTGCTTTCCATGGCAGATGAATATATCAATGCAGCGCGGGGTATGGGTCCGATTGCAGCCATGGTTCAGAGGGAGGCGGATCTGGAGCAATACTATAAACTAATGGCGACCGGCCTTGGGTGCATGGAGGCTGTCTTGAAGAAGTACAACCAAGCGCCGCGTGATGAAGCAAAGCTGAGACTTCGATATGCGAGTTTGCTTGTGGAAGAGACGGACAACGAGGTCGAGATTGAGGATGTCCTGATCAAAGGGATTGCTTTGTGTCAAAGGAGTCGTCTGATCGATCTAAAGTATAGTATGCAGCATCTGCAGGCACGATATCAGTTCAAGAGCAATCATCGCGCTGCGCTGAAGTCTCTAGATCAGCCTATTTCAGAGACAGAGACGTAAGCTGGCCCCCTAAACTAAAAATGACGCAATTAACGTCTTTCAGGTTCCAACATATCCCCTGGGTGTATGCTTTCCGCTTCCTGAAAGTCTCTCTAGCGCTGCAAGTCCCTGGTCGTCCAGAAACAGCATCCGCTCTACAGCAATTACACGCCGTAGCAAACCATGCCGAGAGACGTGGTGACCGCGCTATCTACGTCACGTGCTCTGCCATGGAAGCCATGATTCACCTCCGAACCTCAGCACCAGATCACCTAGAGCATGCCCAACGAGCCATTGCTGCTGCACGGAGCCTCCAGCTCCAGACTACGACGAAGCAGCTCGGCCAGATTGCAGCCTTGGTAGATAGCATAGACATTGCGTGTAGTTTGCAGCAAGGCATGCCGGATCTTACCAAAATGTCCGCGCTACAAAAGAAGGTAGACTCTGAACCTGGTCCTGCTAATGGAGTCTTCTCGGTCTTAATTGAAAAGAGCTTTGGGGGTAACACAACTCTGTTTACTGGTGGTATCTTACGAAAGGCTCAAGATGGAAGAGATGAGCTGACGCTGTCATGGTTGCCCAAGAACGACCTGAAGATGTTGGCGTATTATCTTAGTGGGATGACGTCGCTACCGCATGATAAAGGTGTAAGCTATCTACAGGAAGGCTTCAAGTTAACTCAAGGTATGTCATTTGAGAGAATCGCTCTTTCCCGAGGCTGATCCGGTCTAGACGCCCTTCAACGACAGCCTTCATATGCAATGTCTATTCCACATGCACTCAGCAACAGAAAATGGATTATGAGCCTCGACTGGCAAGTCAAGTTCGCCCTGGCTCTCGTTGCATGCTATCAGGACGATAGAGCTACCGCCCAAACAGCCTTGTCTTATCTCCGCAAACAAGAAATCCAGGCACACTTCAATTTCACAGAAACCTACAATCGGCTCACCACGTATCTCTCTGGCCTTCTCGACCAAAGCAAAGGCTCCCTCGACTCCGCTCTATCAACCTACCAATCCCCTCTCTTCGCCCTACCAGATGCAGGTGGCGCCCACACAGACTTCGCCACCGACATTGCCATCCTCGCAACCATGAACCGCATCCTTATCATCCGAAACTCCAGCCATCCCAAACACTTCCTCACCAACACACTGTTCAGCCAACTTGAGCCCCTCTGCGTTAATCACTCAAACAAATTCATTGAAGGCGCCTTCCGTATCATCCGCGCCCTCACAACCGAAGACTCCTCTATCAACCGCCAAAAAACCCTCATCCACAACGCACTCAGCCACTCGCAGAAGCTACAAAACGGACAGTTCATCACGATGTGTCTGAATTATATGACCAGCAGATTCTTTGCAGATACGATCGGCGACCAGGCGATCAAGAGTGTGAGGGCCGCGAGGAGTATGGCGAAACAGAGTAAGAGCTTGCTTTGGCAGGCTGTTGCGTATGGTCTTTGTATGAGGACATTTCAGAATAATGGACTGTACCAAGATGCGGCGCAGAGTCAGCAGGCGTTTGAGGCTGTGAGAGAGATGTTACCCGGACCATTGAAAGGAGATATGGGTGAAGATGAGGATGCAGATGCAGACGCAGACGCAGATGCAGATGCAGACGGAGATATTGAGATGGAGTGAATGGTGAGTGGGTGGGCAGTGGGCTTTTCTTCGCTTCGGCTCGGACTACATTGGAATGGATGCATTGGCGGCGTTGGAACACCTCTCACATTACATCACATCACAGCATGGCGTTATTTGTTGCTTTGTTGGTCTTCCCCTCTGGCGACAGATATCATCTGAGATGGGTAAAAGCTCGGCGCGGATTTTTCAAATCTTCCCAGATCTCATTCAAATGTCGTATGGATGGATGAGCGGATGGAGGGTATGGGATCTTTGTTCAGTTTCGGGACAAGATTTGCACAACTGAGGTGGTATGGTTGTGCATTTACGGGGACTCACTTCTGGTCCAAGGATCGGCCTTATCACAGGTCCTAGTTTAAAGCTTTCATGAAGGGGTATGGTACTGTTGGTAGGATATATTTAGCGCTAGTATGGCTGCCACCAGGTAATTACTTGTTGAGACTCGAATTCCGAATACGGTGGTAGTCACAATACATACTCAGGTCATGTCTTTCAGCTTTAGCTACCTTCTACTTCTTCTTGTTCTTCGTCTTTTCTACTATAAAAACTCCACTCTCATTTCCTACCGCTGTTCTCCTTAGTTTAGCTTTTTTTCAGTACCAGCTTCATTCCCTGCCCCTTCAACCGTCCACTTCAACAGCAACTCCTCAACGATCTTATCGCCAGGCTAGTCTACCTTCCGCATTCCCTCCTCATCTTCCCCTTTCTCTTCCTTCTTCTCCTCTTTCTTCTCCTTCTTCTCTCTCTTTCCCCCCTTCCCACCAATCAAACCTCCAAATATATTCGCCTTCTTTCTTCCCTTCGAGCTCCTACTCCTTCCCGACGACGAATCAAATCCTGCGTCGCCCCTACCAAATAACCCCAGAAACATTTTAGGTCTCTTCCTTCTCCACAAGCTACTACTTGTTTCCGTGCATACTTCCCCGTCTGAGTCATCCATCTTATCATATGTGACTGTACTAGGTAGAAGCACGAATGACAGAGCCCTGAGACGGCGTTTCCAGGCTGGCTCTTCACGCAAATTGACGTATGGCGATGAGGGTCGCGGTTCTGGGAAGATGAGGTCGTCGTCAAGGACCGCGAAGCCTCCCGGAGGCGGTGGGGGAGGTAGAGCGGGAGGGATAACTCCGCCGGCTTTCATCTTCCCTTTCCCATTTTTTTCAACATCATAACCAGGAGTTATCATCGGTCTCGCATCTGCATCTGCATCCACATCCACGCCTACCGCTCCTAGTGACGGCGGCTTTCCATCCCGCCCTTCAACGTATTTCCGCATTTGTTTCAATGAGTGGGATATATGATCACTGTTCGGGGGCCACATCATCATCGTAACGGACCATCCGGGTTCGATTACTGATTCCCAGACTTGTGGGAGGATAATGGTGTTGTCGGGGCCGACGAGGTCGTAGTGGCCTTCTTGTACGGCATAGGCGAGGGTAGGGATGGGGAGGAAGGCACAAGAGATTAGGGTTTCGATGCCCTGGTTCTTTGTGTCAGTATCAATGGATTCTTCATCTGTGAAACATGGTATATGTAGGATACTCACCTTCCATGTGCTAACCAAATGAAGCGGGAACTGAAACTTCCTGCCTACAGCGTCTTTAAAATCAATGCTCTCTTTCTTCTCACTACCGTCTTTAGGCTGCATCCTTGCAGCAAGTTCCTTCGCAGTCGCCTTGTTTGCAACCTCAGCTGTTTTCCTAGCCCTCTTTTTCACTAGGAGAGCAGCTTCGAGAGACGATCTTCGGGCCTGCACTGCTTTTTTGCCTTGCACGTTTACGAGATGGTCGATTCTTTCCGTTACTATCCTGACCAGTTCTTTCTCCTCGGCCTTGCCTTTGCCTTTCCCTCTTACTAGCAGTGTAAATTCACTTTCGCCCACTGCGTCATCCCCTCCCCATCCTCTCCCTCTCGCCCTTGGTGCCGTAGTAACCCACATAATCCCCTGCACTTCCAACTCCCCCAAACAGTCAACAACTTCTCCCTTTCCCACATTTCAATATGCAACAAATCTGCGCCAACCTCACTAACGTGATCCAGCACTAATCGCCGTTGGTAGGCATTCAATTGTTTCAGGAGATCGAGGGGTTGGCTGGGTGTGGATATGTGTTGTTCGAGATGGGCATGCAGGTCGGCGACTGATAGAGTTAGGCGGTGGATGGAGAGGGAAGGATCCAGGCCGGTGGTTAGGCCGGGGAGGGGGCTGGTTGTCCAGGCGTAGAGGGAGGGGGACGGTGATGGGGGTAGGGAGGGGAAAGAGGGATCTTGACTGCCGTCTTCTTGCATGATTTTGCCGAATTCGGAAGAGTCTAATTCGGATATTTGATCCGAGTCTTGGGGTCGGTGTGTTGAGCGCGAAGCAGGGGTTTTGGAAGGGCCTCCTCTAGGTGATGCGGATCGGGGGGTTTCTGGTGGAATAGAGGGGAGGGGAAATGTAGATAGAGTTTGGGCGGCTGTATCGATGGTATTTTTGTGTGGAAAGTTCGCAGCGGCTTTAACACTCCTAGGTTCGAGTGTTGGAAACCCTGAATTCGGTTCGTGCGTAGTGGTAGGCTTGGGAATGCTGTCAATCATTTTACGGTCTGTAATTTTGGCCACCTGAGTCTCTGAGTGCATTTCCGTTGTTCCAGTGACTTCGATATCCAAGAGTTCCTCCTTCTTTTCGATGGTTTCTAGGGTGTTTGGAAGACGAGGGGGTCTATTCGAGTAGTAGGGAAGTTTTTTGTTTCAAATTCGCATCTATCTTCATCTTTGCCAGCAGGTTTTTGAGATTCGCCTTCTTTTTCGGGGTCCTTCTCTTCTATTGAAGGCTCTTTGTCTTGTTCCTTAGTCTGTTTTCCTATATTGTTATTATCTTTCAAAGACTCCCCGCTCTTTTCATTTGACAAATCAGCAACTTCATCCTCGTCAATCCCTCTTAACCTATCGCCTTTCTTCCCGTCCTCTCCACCCTTTCCCGCAAACTTCTTGAACAACCTCATCCCCCTTCCCATTTTCTCATCCCCCACATATAAAGCTCCAGCCTCCCTCCTCGCCGCCCCCGCCCCACCCCTCTCCAACCTCACAATAACCTCTCTCATCCCCCTCCTCTCCTCCTCCCCCACCACCCTCCCCTCAACCCCCTTCTCCGCCAACGCCAAACTCGCCACCGCTACCATCAACAACAAATTACCTTTTGAATCCCTAAGATCCATCCTCAGCTCATCAAATTTGGGCTGCAAAAAAGGCCATTTCGCGCGCTCTGATTTCGACAATTTGATTTTATACCCTCCACCTGTCACTGGTTTTAGGTTAGTGAGTTGCTTGCACGGGCCAGGGACTCGGCAACTTGTGTGAAGATCCTGGAACAGTGGTGGAGCGCGACTTGGATGTCGCGGAGGCTAGTGGTGCTGAAGATAGAGCGGTGTGTCCTATCGGGACCGAGTTTGGGGGAGGCTAGGTCTTTGAGTTGGTTTCTAAAATCCCTAATATCAGTAGGGGCACGTGGGTGATTATTAATATCGGGGTGGTTGTGGTCATCGTACAGAATCCCACAGGTACTTGAAATATCGTTTGCAATACTCTCAATCCGTTCATGCGCGGTAGCAACGGTTTCTGCGAGCGCGAATAATGCGATCGAGACTTTGACTCCGGCGGCTGTGATGCCTACCACGGATGCTGTGACGCTGAGTGGATCGGCCATTTCCGTGCCGACGGTGTCATTCTATGCATGTACGGTTTGCAAATATTATGGGCAGTTATCAGATGCCAGCAGGAAATCTTCTTGAATCGAAAGTAAATGAGCCATGATTTTGCTAGAGTTATAGCAATGGAGTAAGATAGGATGAGGTAGGATTTCCTCAGCCACCCATACCATACAGGGTTGAGTTGGGGGCTGAAACATGTTACTCATCAGCAGCCGCCGTGGAACTCCTCCAAGATGGATCGCATTCTGGTTCTTTTTAGTGCATGATTCAAATGTCTTGGAATAATGAGAACGAGAACCTAGTAGTTAACATGATCGTGGGAGCAAAAGACCTTTCTGCTCCATAAGATCATTACCTCCACTAAGATCGAAAAATCAATGTTCCCACCTTCTCACAACCCATACAAAGGCCTTCCTTCAAGCAACTTCTTATGGGCCTAAAAAATCCTCGTGATACCTCTCAAAACCAGAACTAACAACAACAAATTCCTAGCCCTTAGCAAGTCATGACCCAGACCCTGTGCTACGCCTAGGATATGGAATTGAAACAACGCAAGCCTTGTATTGAACATCTTGTGAATTTCTAGCTTCTATTGTTTGAAGTCTAGCGGTGACAAGTAAAGATTCCGGATCCAAAGTATTCGGACGCGCAATAGGACACGTCGATCATGTGTAGGCTAGAGTCGACTCGAGGATTCTGTCACTCCGGATCTCCTAATTGCAGGAGGTTTTGGTATCGCGTGTGTCAAATGGTTTTAGATTTGGGGTGGCGGATTTGAATACTATCGGCGCATGCTAAAGTGGTTGAGCGCTGAGAGGGAGTGGAATATAAGGGGTCGCCGTTGCAGTGGAAGCGGAGATGACTGTGGCGGGGAAGATAGGATCGGTGCCGGCGGTCACATAGACTAGTTCGGCTAGGCGAATGGAGTATAGGGAGCTCAACTCTCTAAGACGTCGAGCTCTAAACACCATTTTGCGAGCGAGGTTAGTTTGTTTGGAAGTTAGAGTTTTACCACAGATTTCACTGATGATTGTGTTAAGCATAGCACGAACTCGCAACATCCTGGTGGACATGCTGAATGAGAAACAATACGCACCGAATCATATACTGAGGAGAACGTTATACTCGAGAGCTCCACTCTCAGGATAGCCGCCTCACCCTGCTGACTAGTTGTGCTGGAGTAGAACATCCAACACACATCTCATAGAACGACTAACGCTGGCCAAAATATTCCATGGCATAATTGTACAGGGCGGACGGTTCTTACCTGGGGTTTCCGAGAAGTTGCTGAAGAAAAGAAGGGGTTCAAGAAGTCTTTCCAGCAGCATCGCAGAGAAGAGTAAGCGCGACATTTAAACATATGCCCCTTACCGTCGTTTCTCCTCCTCTTGTAACGCTTCTTTCTTTCCTTCTTCTTCGTTTTAGAACACCCCTTCCTTTTGGAGCTTGTCTTCCTTTTGCGGAGCTTCCTCCTAATTGAGTCGATATGAGGGCTGCTTGACTAGCTTAACCTTTTGATTTAACTTCCCTGAGAGTGCTATGCAGAAGATCGCTGAGCAATAGCCCCCTTTGTTTTTGGGTAAGAGTCCAGTGTGCGTAACTCCAACCTTTTACACCAACGTGCTTGCTTGTCCTGGACTTACACCTTCGCCGCTAGGAGTTTACTTCCTAGTTCATCCCTAGGACTCGAGGAATTCTAGAACTTGAAAATTCACGACTCCTCCAAGGTGCCCTTTGACCCGGTTGCGGATTCGGCATAGATCATTATTCAAGGCGAAGTTGCTCGTCCGTAGCCTCCATAGTTTTAAAAGCAATGCTCTGCACAGACGCGATAGTTGGACAAGATGTGAACATGTCGAGTGGAAACGTTTAGAGAGGTGCGGTTCTGCCCATTATGTAAGTGGAAAGCTGAACACCACATCAACAAGATCCATGACGATTGTGAGAAACAAGAGGAAAATGGAACCAATGTGATTCTGGGTCAAGGTATAAAATGGGGCTCACTGGAGAGATCCATGGTGGTCGTGGAAGACGAAGCAAAATCCACAACACAAAACGCAGCCTATCCGTACAATACACACCGCCTTGCCGGCGCACCGCAGGAGGGTTGAGATTCACACAAGGCAATAAACGTTCGCCTTGGGGTTTCTGAGGGCGTGAAAAGCAAATTTGGTAACGCTTCGAGTATTTTTGGCTCAGAGCCATGATTGGCCGCGCAACGGGGATAGCCTACTAGGCGGCAATGGAAACCTGACTGTACCTAGGCAAGCTAAGTCCTAGAGTTCGCCAAGAGCTGAGTAAAGGCCAAATAACGTTCCTAGAATGCAATGTTCAAGCTAAGATTAAGCCACAAGCAGTATCTGAAACAAAAATGACAGCTTCAAATGATAGCGAATGGCCCAGGACAGGATTCAGAGGAGAACGAGGAGCTGTGACACAGGGGTAAATAAGACACAATTGGCTCGAAGGATACAGAACTCCTTGAATCAGAAGCAGAACGAAAAGCAAGAAAGACATGCAGGTGCTGGTCAGTAAAGTGACAACCTTATTCATTGCTTCATGTTTGCCTACAACGGGGGAAAGCGCCATAAGTGCTACGTTGTTGGTGCGTCCCTAATTGATGACTTGAAGTGTTCCTGAGGGTTTCAGTGGCAAGTAGGTGGCGCAGGGAAGATTGGTGAATAATGTGGCCGAGGCTGAAATGTCTTGGCACCCCGGACCTTGCGTTTCCCCGCAAACCTCCGCACATCTCTATTCCCACCACCACGACTGAGTCCCTGCGAGTCATCAGCATGTCTCTACCGCTACAACCGAAGAATGTCTATATAGCATTTCAATTAAACAATTATAGCCAATTATTATATCTTCATCGTTGAATGCTGCCCAATCTCACTCTTCAAGATACTTCCCTCTAAAGAACTGAATAGTCAGTTGATCCTCTCCAACATCAAACATGTCAAGCATGAATTTCTCCATCCCACCCGATCTCCAGCAATACCTCATAGACCTTGATGCCTTCATTGAGAAAAAAATCAACCCTCTCCAAAACCGCGACGACAACAACCGCTTCTTCGACCATCGTCGTGAGCACGCTCGCACCGACTGGGACAACGGCGGACTCCCGCGGCCAGAATGGGAAGCACTTCTCAGAGAATCTAAGAAGCTTGCCGATGAAGCTGGATTCTACCGACTATCCCTGCCGAAGGAGTACGGTGGCCAAAACTCGAGTGATGGCAGGGGAAGTAATCTGTGGATGGCAGTGATAAGGGAACATCTTGCGAGCAAGGGGTTGGGGTTATTTAATGATTTGCAGAATGAACATAGCATGGTGGGGAACTTTCCCACGATAATCATGCTCTTGCATTTTGGCAATACGGCGCAGAAAGAGGAGTATATTGGCGGGCAGTTGGATGGAAATGTGCGGATTACATTTGGGTTAACGGAGCCGGGCCACGGGAGTGATGCTACGCATATGGCGGCGAAAGCGCGGCCCGAGAAGCGGAATGGTGTGGATGGATACGTGTTGAATGGGTATAAGAAGTGGCAGACGGGTATGCATGCGGCGACCCATTGCTTTATTTTTGCGAGAACAAGTGGAATGAGTGGAGAAGCTACGGGGATTACTTGTTTTATTGTTCCTAGGAACAGCCCTGGGCTCAATGCTGATAGCTATGAATGGTACGAAGTCACTCTTCTTATCCTCATCTTCGTCATTGTGCGGATCCGGATACTGATATGAGGAGCAGGACCCTCAACATGCCCACTGACCACGCCACCGTCTCCATAAACGACGTCTGGGTCCCTGCGACCTCTATTCTTGGTGCTCTCGACCATGGCCTCGGCGTCGCCCAAGCCTTCGTACACGAAAACCGCATTCGACAAGCTGCTTCTTCTCTCGGTGCTGCCGTGTACTGCGTCCAACAATCCGTACAATACGCCAACGACCGCGCGCCCTTCGGCACACCCCTTTCCCACAACCAAGGCATTCAATTCCCACTTGTAGAACTGCACACCCAATGCGAAATGCTACGGCAACTCATCCGCAAAACCGCTCTAGAAATGGATTCAATGCCGCATGTGGAAGTCGAGAAGAAAATTGGCGATAAAGTCTCCATGTGTAATTACTGGGCGAACAGGCTATGCTGTGAGGCTGCGGATAGAGCGATTCAGGTTCATGGTGGAAATGGGTATTCGAGACATTTTCCGTTCGAGCATATTTGGAGACATCATAGACGTTACCGCATTACGGAAGGGAGTGAGGAGATTCAGATGAGGAAGGTGGCCGCGTATTTGTTTGGTTTTGGTGGGAGGAAGACCTTGAAGGATGCAAGGGCTGGGGAGGCTAAACTCTGAGTGAGCGAGGGAGTGGTGGTCTGCTTGTAAATATATTGAATTGATGGCCTCCGGGAGTTCGGTGGTGATAATGTTGCGGGGATCGAGCCGAGAACTACCTGAACATTGCCGACAGAATGGTTGGATGGATGTAGAACAGTGCCCTAACAACGCAAAGGCTAACCCTTTTACAAATTAGTTCAGCTGTGTTTTAAGATCGAGATGTGAACTTTACTGGACCCCTTAGCAGCGTTTGCAATGTAGGGACAAGACTATCCGCCAAGAATTAAAAGATGCAGCATCATTCCACCATCACCCCAAAATCCACACTTTTGCCCGATAAAACCACGCCTTCAACAACCTATTCAGCCCCGGCATGGCGTCTCTTTCCGTAACAACCGGCAACAAAACCACAATAGCTAGGAACCAGATCCCAAACCCTCCTATCCAAAGGCCTAGAATACGATAATCCAGCTTCTGGGTTTGGGAATCCTCGTCTGGAACATCTGGAAGGGGTTTTGGAGGTAGGGCTTTGTGATGCTGGTGGTCTGGAGGAGTTGAGTGTGGGATTGATGGGAGGGGCTTTCGTTTGGCGGAGTTTGGGAGTGGAGGACTGGATGGATTGGATTGATTAGACTGGGCATTTTGGAAGTTGTTCCGATATCGTAAGTTATATTCTGAGACGTTCATCTTGGACAGCGAGGGCTTGGTTCTAGGCTAATTCCGTGGTGTGTTTATACAGGGGTTTTCTGGTGGTGGTGTCATGGTCGCACGTGCAAGGAAACGTGGTTGAGGCAAGCTATTCTGTGCTAGGCCTAAATAGATCTAGCAAGTATATGTCACGTGGAAATGATCTTCACCTTTGTAGGTCACGAGGTTAATCTGGATATAAGAACTCCTTTTAATGATCCTAAGCTTGAATGAGGTTGAAAATATTATCCAGTTGTTTGAGGTAAGCAATGGATCCTGGTAATGACATTGTATTTGAGAAGTGATCAATATTATGACCCTGCTCCTCTCAGGCTAATCTTCTTTGTCTGTGCCCCTTTAGATATTGATATTACTGATCCTAAGCTTATGCAGACATAATTATGCAACGCTCCTTTTATAGCATTATATTTTATTGCCTGTCCATTGAATTAGTGATCAAAGGAGCAAGGTTTGGTTGCGGCGGCGAGAAACAGTCAAAAATCCATGATCTGCTCCACAAGGTCTCCAAAGCATTTTAAATCAAGAAGCCGGGGCGGCAGTAGATGCAGCGCTGAAGATATCCGTTTCCTGCCAAGTGTGGCCATCGAATCATCGGATTTAGAAGATTTGTCCAAAACAACAGAATCTAGCTCGTCGTCTTTGATATTCCCGGAAGAAAGGTCGACTAACTCACTAGGTTCGTCGCTAGACGTGCTAAGTCTTTGGTTAGAGGGTGTAGAGAGATCTTGAAGTAAGGGGTTAGCTATGTCTAGAGAAGAACGAAGGGAAAGAAAATAAAGGGCGGCAATGGGGATTTGGGCGGGATGAATTGCTTGTAGATTAGATTTATTGTTCTATTCGAGATTTGTTTTAGCCATTATCGCAGATACACCAGATAATGTACTCAGTGCTAGTACTAAGTAAGCAAGCGTATTCCCCTCGACTTGCTCTTTTTCACCTTGGGCACCTAAGGCATCACCGATGTATTCTAGCTACTTATGCTTACGGCTCTGCTTTACATCTCAATTACAGTCCTACCCTCACTCTACACTTTATGCGACTATAGTAGTTGTTCCAGTTCTGCGCCGCCTTCCTTCTTTCAAATACGCAAAAATTCTCAGTATCAATCCACTCTGGTCTAAAAACACTGTTGGAAAGGCTTCTATTAGAACAAATGGAATGGTAGACCTGAAAACCGAGGGTGACGAATGACTATGCCGTTTTTGGCTGGCGGAATGTTCTTCATGAAGAAAAGGAAATATTTACCTTTCAGCGTCTGGGAAATAGCTCGCAATGTTTTCGAATACTGTACCAACTCTTTTCGCTTACCCTTAGGTGAAGCTAGCAGTACCGCGCAGTTTAGAACGATATGCTAGCGTTCAGACGACTACATATAGAGCTCGGAACCGTTTGATTCCTTCTTCAGACTTCGCGAAGAGGCATTTTTAACCCCCTGGAAAACTTATTTGCTAGATTCTTGGAATCGGGACCTAGAGATGAGCCAATTCCACGGATTGGTGAGTTAGGGATCGGCTATGCCTCCACTGACTACAATATCGAATCTAAGTCCCAACTTTACACCTCCTTTGACGGTGGATTGGAATGGTAGACCAAGTCCAAACGCGAAACTACTGGATCCAACTCTCGGAATCTTAATAAATACATTAGCTCACTTCTTCAAGTTTAGTAGAACACAAATGCTGCAGCCTCAATGAAACTGCATCTAAATATAGCGACGGATTAGTCCACCTTTATCGACAGGGTAGCCCTCAAACCAATAGAAATCTCGAGGCCTGTAAGGTCTTTCTCAATAAAACCACTTTTGACAAGACCATCATTTATCCCACTGATAAGAGTTTCTAGATTATTTAACTCGAAATGAGCTGCACTAAGAGTTAGGGGGCCTTTACCGCTGCAAGTGTTGCACCTGAGGTTGGAGGGGAGATATGCATTTCCAGGTAATTTGAAGACGATATCAATCTCCTAGAAATTCAACGATATGGTGTGTATGGTATCATTTGGTTTACCGTTGCAGTTGGTGTAGCTGGTGAACGTTCGACTGGGATTGAGACTACAAGACATGGTCCTGATAACCATCGTGTTTATGTATGATGTAGGTTTTGCTACAATGTCTAAAATCGAATGTTTTGAGAAACAATGCCTTTTATAAGGTATTGATTTCGAACTTAAGGGCGATCCACAAGGTTTTTATGTCAAAATGAAGTCCTGAAATCCGGGGAAGATTTACTTAGTTCATGAATATTGAGGCTAAGACTCTACTAAACTTACCTGAAACCCAAATCTGCTCCATCGACACTGCAAATTAAATGCGATGACGCAACCAATCCGTTTGCTAAAGACACATGTACGCTCCTAAATTTGTCGTAGGACTCGATATTTTGAATGGTTATGGTCACTGTAGACTTGGTACATTCGAATGTGTCTAAGAGGTGGTCAAGCTCTTCGAGAAAGAGGGTTGGTTTGTAGACTTAATCCTGAAGTTGAAAGGTAACATTAGGCCGTCATAACTAATCGGGGTGTCTATAAAACGATGGTAAGCAGACTTCGTGTGAGTTTGAGTTAGATTACTCAAACGTTCCGCAGATAGGAGGGAGAACATCTTAGTTAGCGAGATATCATCCCTTTTTATAACTAGGCTGTTATGACTCCTCGCCGCTTTTAAACCATGGTGTTATAGGGATTCAATTGGATGCCTCGAATTCGCCAGGGACGGCGGCACCGGTACGAGAAAGGTGAACGTGAATAAGGGGAGAATATTTTACATGATAGAGGAGACCATTCTATGAGAAATTCTGCAACGACTTAGCTAGCAGATGAATATGAATCGAGTTCGTGCTTCTCAGATCTTCTAGCCAGAGAGAAGTTACAGGCCTAGAGAAATGCTAGAATACCAAAATGGCCCATTGATTGGATTGAAAGCGTTTCATTGGTTTTATTTAACGCTGAAATGGCAGCAGCGAATTAACAGCAACTCACCTCAGCCTTTTTTCCTACAAAGATATTACATACGCCTGATCGGACCTCTGGAATTTCATCGCAAACAGTTCTAACGCTCACAGCATCCAAACGAATACCAGCACAATCAATACAAACCCCTTGTATAATCTGGATTCGTAATGAAAGGTCGGGACTGCCTGAGTAAGGAATATCCCACGTAGGGCCCGCTTTCAAACTTTGCTTCGCCGGAAACGGAAATTGTGCGAGTGGGCGTTATATTGGCGTCAATCTATTCTTTTTGATAGCTAGAAGCATTGATAATGATGAACTACTTGGTAGGGAAGTTGCTTAGAATTCTTTTATCTAAATTTGCCGGGCACAAGACACTTGACCCATGGCCCTTACTGCATGGAGCGGCTTTCGATGAAACACCACCGAAGCTGGGGGGAAAGAACACAGCGGTTGTTAGGCTACGTTCCCTCAGCATTCCCCTGTAGCACTTCCACCCTCGCAGACTTTCCCCGTGCATTCCCATCCTTTATTCTCCTTAACATTCCCACAAAGATAGCTCTTGGCACTGGTCCCATTCTCAAATTTCAGGTCGACATGAGATAGTTCAATATCAGTGCATGGCGCAACTGCACTACACTGTAGACTTGCCACTCTTCCGGACTTAGTCGTCCCTTTCAAACCGTCGATACTAATATTCCTCAATTGAAATTGCGAATTGGTGCAATTTCCCTGGCCAGGTGCGCCTTTAAACCTCGTGCATTGACTTATGGAAAATGCGGCTCCGCGCATCCCTTTCGTTTCTAGGTTCTTGAGTCTAAGGTTCTGGGCATACCCGAGGCCTCCACCGCCACCGTTGGGAGGGTATCCGTTTTGATCGTCCGTCCATGTCTTGACATAAAATGAGTGCAACGTATTCTCAAAGTAAATGTTTTCAGCGCTAATATTCTCGACTGTTTCGCTGACGCCCTTGAGTTGACCGATCGAACCGATAGCGATGCCGAGACCACCATAAAACCTTGAGTCTTTAAGAACGATGCTCGTGCTGTTTGCTTTAAAAGCTATGCTGTCATCACCGTTATAAACAGTCCAGTTTTGGAAGAGAATATGGGAAGAGAATATTGTATCGGCTCCGTCGGTATTTGCTACTCGCCCTGTTAGTATTGTTTCTTTAACCTCCTTGTTCGAGAACCATACAGCTTTGGAAACGATTTCCAGTATTATTGACCAAGATGTCCTGAAACTGGCTATAATGTGAGTGGATTATCGACATCGTCCACATCTGGCTTCGAAGAAAGTTTACGCCTTTGACGACTGAATTTGTGAGGCCGTTGAATGTTATCTGATGGGGTCGACCGGGATAATTCGACGTGTTTGGCTGTTTTCGTATCCATTCATACCAATAGTCGCCGTTACCGTCAAGAGTCCCAATTCCATGGCCGTCAATTTCGAGGTTGTCGCCTCCGAGAATGAAAGCTGTGGATTGGTTCTGGTACCCGACGGACATGGAGTGATTTAGCCAGTATTGAATGTCGGTGCTCCACTACAGTCGATATCAGTCTCGTGCTAGAAGGATTTCATCGCTGGAGAAATACCAGCAGCTTTCCCTGGATATCAATTTCCACATCTTGAAGGCCTGTAATGTTCAGAATTGAGTTGATGTAGTAAGTTACTGGGTTGAACACGACCCTTCCTCCGCGATCACATTCTTTAAAGGCAGCTCGAATAGCTGGGGCGTCATCGGTCACATTCGTACCGCTTGCTTGGATGGTGCATGTTTTCCTTTCGTTTGATGGGGTCGAATTGACAAGAGATGCAGCGAGCGCTAGTAACGAGAGACAACGGACTTGCATATTCGGCGATACTGATGATGCATCGAGGCGACAAACGTCTAATATGGGTCTCTTCGATCTACATGCTTATATGGTCCCTACTTCGAGGCTTTGAAGGGAAAGATAATTGTACCGTTGGCCGGTACATTTATTCCACGCTTCGCTGTTCTTCCCGTCGTGTCGGAAAGTGTTTGGGATATGGTTAAATGGAGATCCGGGGAATGCTGAGGAATAATCTGAAGGGTAATTTATGACATGAAGATGACTGGCGATTCGAACGAATCGGATTATTTCCGCTGGTTTCGTCGCGGAACAATTGTTCAGATTTTTGTAGATCATATGTCGCATCCAGGAGTAGTTTGCACCGAGTGCGAGTGCGAGTGCAATTTCTGTGTCGTGGGTTTCGAGGTCCGAGCGGACACACTCGTGGATAGAATGACTTTCTTTAGAAGCTGCCTCTGGTATCATCGTGTTCCGCGCCTTTACCGTTTCAGTGGTTTCCATTCAACAAATTGAGTGTGGAGGCCTTGAAAATGGAATCTCTGGATGACAGCGAGGAGCTCAGGCCAATGCCCATGCTCGACGCCGAAGTGCGTCTCACGAGATTTTTGCAATCTCAACACACTCACCTTCACTCCACCTCCGCTTCATCACCGCTCCATCAATATATCCATTGCCGCCTACACTTCGGCCATGAGAAAATCATGGATACGGTAGTGACCAAGATGCTCCGTAGAACCCCAATATTCGTTCCTAAATCGACTAAAAAATCGACTAAAAAATCGGCGTTGGAATTAACTTCGCAAATCTTTCCAGTACCAAAAAGTAGTGAGGCTACACTAGAGGGACTGGAATGGCAGTCTATGGCGAATAGAGGACCTCCCCAGTTACTTGGGCGGACTGTGTGGGAATTCATGCAACAGGTCACTCAGCCATGGTTGCGCCAAGGCCGACCATGGCTAGGCCAGATGTGGTTGGTGCTGCGGGGATGCTCAAATCAGTTAGCGCGCCCACAAACGAAAGCGAGTTATCCTCCTCCTAACACACTGCTATCACGATGGCTGCCTCGCTGAAGAACTACGTGAGTATGATAACATGTGGGAATTTCACGAAAGCTGGTCCGGTTTGGACGGTGCACAACAACGGTTCTTGAGCCGAACCCCGCTCAGTCTAATCCATCATCTTCTTGTATGCCAAGGAAAGGCCATCCTGAGTGAAAGAAGCGCTAATCCATTTCATCGGAATTTGACCGGGCTGACTTCTCTTGACTACTTGCTCCAAGCTTCGCCTCCACATCCCAGATCACCTGCCCTGGCGAGATCTTTATAATATGTTGTACGACTCTTAGATAGATGCTCTTGATTGAGGGGATATTTGATGCTTATGATCATTCAGTACCGTGACTTTCTGTTATTTTGCACTCAGGTGCAGAGACGCCACCTCTTAGTAGAAAGGCGAGTGCTTGATGATGCTCGACCGAGACTGAAGGAATTCCAGACGGCGTCGAAACCCAGACTACGAATCTTTAATGGCTGGCGCTCAGTAAGAAGATAATATATAGATCGGTGATCGCGCAGCGCAATACTGAGTTAGACCACCAACATTTGAAAGAGCTATATGCTTCAAACATCCTATGTTGTGGACAGCCTTCAGTTTCCATGCGCCGTGGGTTTTCAGCCCGATGGCTTCCTTTATAATTGGAACTGCCTTGTCTGTGTTGCAGGGTTCGCTTCGCCTACTGAACATATGAAATCAAGAGCGGAAGTTACTGAGCGAGTTGTTTCGGCTTTTCGCTTCGGTTAATTCTAGTCCCCATAGCACAATCAATGAAGTTTTCCACTTGGCCTACGAGTTCCTTGAAGCGCGGTGTTTCAGAATACAATACCGGTCCACGCATTGCCTTCAACGAGAAATCTACTAAGGACAAGAAATCCTAAACAGGGTCACAGGAAATTAACCAGAGCCGTAACCAGAGTGCATAACGCCCTCAACCACATTCCAAAGCCTCTTAACAACTGCGTCCACTCCACCCAACAATGTCCAGCTACGTTGAAACCAGAAAAATGGGAGAGAAACGACGATCTAATCAAGGTGGCCCAGTGGGTCTTCTACGGTAGAAAGGAGAGCAAAGTCGTTAACACCCGAATGGATTCCTAAAACTCCAACACCCACCTTCATCGACCCATGTGACCCGCTCTTCCGAGTCCCAGAAAGAAATTCGCCGACAGCCGTTGCTTTAGCGAGTGTTTACTTCGAGAAGAACGCTAAATGACACAAGGATTCGCCGGACATACGTTTGCGATACTTGAATTCGGAAGTTATCCGGCGGCTGAATTTGGATGGGGGAATAATGACGCCTACTAATATGGCAAAAATACGAACTACTTCCACACACACTCCACCATGAATGCCAGCTTCTAAGGATCGATCCACCACTTACGACGCCTCTATCGTTGCCTAGCGAGCCAGGACAGCGAATCATGGCTCCAGTTCAAGTGTAGCGTCTTACTGGCACTTCAGAGAAATTTGGGATCCCCTGTCATTTCCTTTTCAAGATGCGACCATCTCACACCAACTGTTCTTGGCCGCTTTTATACCAGCCCCACAAGTTGACAGCTGTTCCAGCGCTTGAATACTAGAAGCATCTTACAGTGGGGTGGGCTACTGGCACATTCTTCGACATTAAGGGCCTCCTCTGCACCACCACTGAGATAGAGCGGAGGAATGGTTCTTGTAGGAAGAGACCTCTTGTCTGAAGCATTGGTTAGCTGGGTTGGTGGCCACGTATAAGATATTGTTAAGAAAGCTCCAGGAAAGAAGCAATTTTGGTTCCGAGTCCACAAAGATGGCAGAACAGGCACGCCTCGACTATTTCAGCACCTATATTGACCATCTCTGTATATCGACGGGAATACCGACTTCCTTCATCCGAGTCAAAAGATCGACTCTTAGGATTGTCTACTCCACTTGCCCAGCATTGGTAAGCTCTGCTCGGCACATCGACTCCCGGCAATTATCTCGCTGACCGCACAGCTTCTAGCGTACTCACGTTTAACAATGGTATGTGTATGCTTTGGATCCACTTGTCCGATTTTTTATTTCTTGCAACGCCTCGGATGCACTGGTAGGACCAAAGTGGAAACCTTCATTTACCTTTATCATTCACACTTCGATTCCTTTCTCTCGCTCTCATTCAATCACGCATCATGTGGGCTTTCTTCGCCATTCTTCTTCTCCATGTTCTTAGCCATGGTGTTCACTCAGAGGATGCAAGACCCCAAAGCCCAATAATGCTAGCAAAGTCTGGAGGATTCGAAATTGGTGGAAAGACTGTGAGCAGTCCCGCCTCCCCTAATAGAACACTGTCCTGCGATCATGGATACATGGAGTATTTCATTCCTTGGCGACCACGAAAGACCAGCCTGGTCATGTGGCACAGCTCCAGCTCTCAAGTATGGCAGAACCGATGGGATGGTGGCGAAGGCTACAAAGACATGTTTCTTCGTCGAAACTACCCCGTGTACTTATGGGATGGTCCTCGAGTGGGACGCGCAAACTGGCCCTGCGTGCCTATGAACTACACCCCTTACTACGGAGACCGTCTCAATTTCATTTCCTGGAACTTTGGCCCCTCCTACATGAACTGGTGGCCCGACGTACAGTTCCCGACCCAAGATAATTACGCCTGGCAGCAAGCAACTAGCGCTCGCTACGTCGAAATCGACACCACCGAAAACGTAGAGCTGCACTCGGACGCTGCCTCCATCGCAGCCGACTCAGGCAAGATTGGCGACAACATCGTTTATCTCACCAACTCAGCCGGTGGTCTCCGCGCCCAGATGACGGCTGTGAAAGCCAACAACACCAACATCAAAGGTATCGTCGCCTACGAAAGCATCGGTTACGTTTTCCCCGACAACGTCAACATCACAGCCAGGCGCGGTGGCTTCGGCCCTTATGTCGTCCCGCTCGAGCAATTTAAGAAACTAGCAAAGCTATCCGCGATCCAATTTGTGTGGGGCGATCACCGTGATGAGTCGTGGGACTATGTTCGGCAGTCGAGGCTTGCGGCTAAGCTGATCAATCAGTATGGAGGCAATGCGACAGTTTTGAAGTTGAGGGATGATGCAGGGCTGAAGGGGAATACGCATATCCCGTTTGCAGATTTAGGTAATGCCAAAGTGGGGGCATTGTTGGATACTTTTCTAGAGGAGAATGGTTTGGATGAGTATGCATATGACAGCAAGTAATGGGCTCTGCAAGCCACCTCGATTGGACATGACAGGACATTGAAAATGCATATAGCTTCCGTATAAATCAAGGAATGCGCCTTGTTCTATGATCCTAAATCTCCCTTTAATAGATACATGAAAAAGAAGTGCATCACGTGCCCAGCCCCAGCCCCGCAAGCCACAACTTGCACCTCGACTTCCCAGCACCCGAACTCAACACCAACCCCCAAAACCAATAAAATATTCAGTGCAAGCCAAAATGTAAGGGTCGCAATCACTTCCAAGTGCAAAAATAAAAAATGCCCACTCTCGGAATCGAACCGAGGATCTTCTCATCACACACACATGATCCGTACGAGTGAGACGCTGTACCACTAAGCCAAGCGGGCTGTAATATGTCGAATTTTAAAATTGTTGCCTCTAAATAGTTATAGCGTAAAGTTGTGCTTACGCAACAAAAAGTTTTTTCAAACCCGACAAGTGGTAAGTGGGAAGAAGGGTAGGAGTGGTGGTTAGTGTGGCAACGAGGTATATGAGTCATCCTCCTAGCAAAGCGGGGTTATAAATAGCTTTTGCAGAAGTGGGTGGGGCGAACTGTTGGCTTGGCGGGTTGGGGAGAGCAAATGCTCTGTTTGTATGAATATCAAGATGAAGCAAAATATTATTCATTTGTTGATAGAAGTCTACCAGATCAAGCACTTATGCATAGATCTGAAGAAGGGACCTCAACAGGTAATCTTGGAAGAGAGAGAGGCTATGGCACGCGAAGAACGTAACCTCTGCTTGATCAGTGTCAGAATTTGGAGTATTTAGCCCGAATCAGAAACAAGAAGCCATCTGAGCTGATATGTAAGTGCGGTCATTATTGAAGTTGGAAAGAGGTGTGACTTCCTGCTGAGCGGACACTTAGGCCCTGGGGATATCTCCCTGTAGCATAGCTTTTCCATGTCCAGCTTAATAAGTGTCCAAATGCTTGCAATAGATTTGTCTCGGCTTGCTCGAGAACCCTCTCTTGAGAATTATAAAGATACAAGAGAATATAGGTGAATAAAGGATGTGCTGAAATTCTCGAGCGATAAAGGGACTAAGTTAAGATTAGCTCAGCACCGCGATCCCAAAGCCGCGGGGTTTGCACCACCACTCCCCTCTCAAACAGCATCGCTCACCAGGCCTAGCATCGCGTCCACATCTTCGTTATGGAGCGCAGCGTTTATCATTTGGTGCCTGCAGGTGCTGACGGTCACGATTGGCTGAACGAGTCATCGGACGACTGTCAGAAGAGCGCCGCGTCGCAAGCAACCATCATGCCTCGGCGAATTGAGCGCAATTCACCCACTGCTAGAAATGCGGGGTGGGCATCATAGTGCGTAAAACATTTCGCGGGGTACTCGCGAATGTTTATAACCCTATTAAAGCTTGAACGTCATTCCCACTGCTATCCCATACCATTCATCCGGACTAAATATAAGAGACTTCAAGACTAACATCATGGCGGATCAAAAGAGCACTGCGAACCAGAGGTTAACGCAAATTAAGGACTTTTTAACAATGAACAAGACCGCTACTACTATCCCCTGGGACCCGGATTGCACCAAGTTTCCAACGCGAAAGGAGCTTCCTGAGATCCCCGGAGCTCCACCCGAGGCTGCCTGGGTGTGGGGAGATAATGACTACGTGCGTGTTGCGGCTTTCGTCCGATAGACAGCATTCTAAGTGAACTTTAGATCGGCCGGATAAACCTTCTCACTCCGACTCGAGTCGCCGCTGCGTCGAAAGAGATTAGGACAGGCGAGATCATTCCTGTGAAGTAAGTGGTGTATCTAGAAGCTTGTTTGTTTTCGCTCCAACAATAATTAGTCTTCCCCTCGACACCCCAAATCAGCCTGCCTTTGGGCGTGAGATATTCAAGCACGAGATTAAGGTTCTTGCAGAGAACTTAGCTTATGATGACATTTACCACATGAACACCCAGAGCGGCACGCAATGGGATGGCTTCAGACACGTACGGGAATAAGTTCCAGATTCTGGTGCCGTAACCTTTGCTAATAGTTATTTTAGTTTGCACACCTGTCTACAGGAACTTTTTACAATGGAGTAAACGGATACCAGCCACCATTACTGTACATGCTGACACAGTCGTAGACCAAGGGCTCTGACATTCTAGGTCCAAGTGCAAATCACAAATGCTCCATGCACCACTGGGCCGAACACGGTATCGCAGGTCGAGGCGTTCTTCTAGACTACAGAGGTTACGCTCACAAGAAAGGTATCAATTACGACCCATATGACTACTACCCCATTTCGTGGGAAGAGTTATATCAATGTGGGAAGGATCAAGGCATTGACATTCGGCCTGCGGCTCAGGGTGGGGACATCAAGATTGGAGACATGCTCTTCGTACGCAGCGGGTGGAAGGAAGCATATGATGCGAAGTCTCCTGATGATCGAACAAAGGCAGCGTTGAGGCATGGAAGCGGAAAGGACGGTGAAGACGGACAGCGATATGCAGGATTAAGCCAAGAGCAGAAGATTTTAGATTGGCTTCATGACTGCTATTTCGCTGCTGTTGCGGGTGATGCACCCGCATTCGAGGCGTGGCCCACCCACGAGAGTAAGTGAACCGCCACCGCAGCCCACCTTCACTGGTGCAAACTAAGATGGCACAATAGGTTATCACCTGCACGAGTATATTCTAGCATTGTGGGGTATGCCACTCGGGGAGATGTTAGATCTCGAGAAACTTGCCGCGAAGTGTCGAGAGAAGAATCGGTGGTTCTTCTTCTTCTCGTCTGCACCTGCGAACTGTCCAGGTATGGCCCTTACCTCTAGGATCAAAGCTCGGCCATCTAATATATCGTCAGGTGGTGTCAGTTCTCACATTAACGGAAACGCGATCTTGTAGGGTTTGGTTTAGTATGCTTCGCTAATAAAACTCAGTCAGACAGTCCAAGGTTGTTTAAATGCACTGTAACATCACACGATATTACAGCCTTTAGTGGCACAATTTGAATTGCTATATTGGGAACTCGTTCCCCTAAAATTAGTACTTCACTTGTGTTGATAAGAGAGAACAAGTGTACTTTAGATGTCCCGGCCACAGCCACTTCTCTCTGGGTCACTTTACGCTCGTCATGCTATTTCTTGCCAGAAGCATGAAAAGTACTTTAATTCGCGAATATTGCGTGGATATTCACTAGGATTACAATCCTAAAGAAGAAAAAGGTTCAGGCTAAAGACGTATAATACCCCTTATTGTTGTATATTTTGAATCTGACATGAAAAATGGGTATCCCTGCCGTGCTCATAGGCCGCTATCTCCTGAGCATTGGAGCCGGAGGCTCATACCAAATAACACGCGAGAAGTTAAAAAGGACCTAGTCTTAGAATACTTGAAGAGAGATGCAGTGCGATTCAACCACCATTTCTGCACCCGACTTTATCACATCTTGGATCATTTCCAGCAAAAGAAACCTAGGTAGAAGAACATATCTACTGCCCGTTCAACCCTAGCGACAAATATTTTCACAAGGTCTAGAGCAGACACGCTTTCATCTCATCTAGTGTAAACATTCCGCCGTAAAGATCAGCAATGAGATTTTGACTTGAAGCCTCACAACAACAGATGTAATGCGGCTGCCCCAAGCTGGCCCCATATTCTAGCGATAGAAACTCATTGTCCGGAAACCGCCACTCAATAGCTAGCATCAGGCTTGCATTTATCTTGACAAAAAACACATACCATGACCAAACATTGGTCTTCTTTGTGGGTGGCGCTCGCTCTATGCCCCGGTGCAAATTATTTTTCTGTACCTTGTGCGGTATCAATAGTAATAGCTTGTCCCTAGGCAGTCAAGTCAATTTCAAGGCCAAAGTCATCAGCGGCGACTGTTCCTTGATTCAGTGAATGTTTGCTTGCTTAATATCATAATGCCTCGCTCTTTTTCCACGAGTGAAAGTCAGGATACATACTCAATACGCAAATGCTTTCCTGTGAATATTAGGGTCTCTTGGTGTTGGCAAAGACTTGTAGCTCCGTACGAAATCTTGCAGGTTTCATCTCGTACAGGTTTGTGGTTATCACAAATTCTTATCTTTCCATGTCTGATCTCATACGATATCCCCGTCTTAATTAAATACAAGTGTTGAAGTTCCTTCTTGACCATTACCTCGCATATTCATATACAACGTATGTGTGCACACTCCCAGAAGGAGTCGAGGTAGATTTTCTTTAAGGCGTAGAAGTTTCGTGTTCCTATCCTGAACTTTAAGACAAAGTCGAAAGCGACTGTACCAAGTTCGCCAATCTCATTGAATGGCAGCCGGCTAGGATGGGCTCCTTCACGTGTGCGCCCTCTCTCTACTCGCTCTATGGTATGGTAGGCTGCCTAGCTTCTATATTTTAGTAGAATTTGTGCAACCCCCATAGAAGAGCTCCGGGAGCCTACAAAGATTTAGAGCAGTTGTACAGGAATATCGCTCAATGTATGGGTACATCAGCTCCCTGTGGCGTGAAATTAGGTGGTCGGCTTGGAGAGCCGTTTAGAGACAATAAGATGCCCGCTAGTTGATCATCGTTCAGTACAGTGGACTCGAAAGAAAGAGCAGTAGAAGGGTGAAGGTATCTATTAGAGAAATAGTGCAAAGCATATATACAATAGCTTTTGTCCCTTATGCGATGAAGACGAGACTAGAAAACTCAAGGCACTACCTGCAAAGTTGAGAACGTTTGAGTGCATGAGCAACAAATAGGAGGGAAAACAGACAGAAGACCATGCAGCCGAGTAGATAGATAACTGGCTTCTTCTGTTGGGCGGAGATGCTAGTTACCACTGCGGGTACTATCGCAGGGCTAGTTAGATAGCTGACGGATGATGGGGGCATGGAATTACTAGTAGTCAATTAGGGCTCCTTCGCCTAGGATTCTTACATATGACAGCATTATTAAGTACCTAGAGAGCTTTGGGTTCTTGTAGATTCCCGTCTTTCATAACCTTCGCATTTTTCTTTAAGAAATAATTTCAGCGGTGAACGGCATCTACGGGTGGACTACCGGTGCAAAAGAACAGTATTCAGAACCATTCCTTCCACCCATGTTAACTCCATTCTTAGTGCTGCCGAATACCTCATTCGCCGTACAAGCATCAAACCAGGCATCAATTTAGATCAAATTTCCTCCTGACATAAGACAAGTGCACCGTTTAGGCCCAACCCCACCACCCGAGCATACGACATCCGGTTTGTCAGCTGGGCAATTACAATCTTTTGTTTGTTCACAGATTGGAGGGGGTTCGTAGCTATCCTCATGCTGCGTGTACTCGGCAGTGCGCCATGTGTCGCGCCTTATCTCCCATTGGATACATTCGTGCTTATACTTACCACCAAGCTTCCAATGCTTAAATCCATTCGAAGCAACGTTACCTGGGACTACCGTTAGTGCCAGAGCTAGAGAAATTGCTTAAGTATATTCTTACATCCGTCAATGGCTTGGTTCAAAAATTTCTTGCACTTCTCTATACTCTCCTTCGGGTCCCTTGAGAAATCAATCAAGGTCGAACATGCTGGGTTCATGTACACTCCGATAAATACCGGATCATACATGTGATCACCCCAATTGTACACCGCATGTTCGGGTCCGGGCCTTGATCCGTTAATGATGTATTTTTTCTCCGCCATCCAGTCGCAGAAATTGTTTCGGGCTAACTGCATGCTTCCTAACGTCATCCAGAATTCGGTGTTCCCTTGATCGGTTCTTTCAATTTCGCATGTTAAATCTCCGCCGTCCACAGGCTTCGGCGTAGGTGCTGGTGGAGTTGTCGGAGTCGGAGTCGGAGTCGGGGTCGGTAGAGTTGGAAGATTTGTAAAGACTACGTTGGACGGTATAAATGTGGGCAAGTTGCTGTTGATGAAGCTGTATATGTCATCATAGAGCTTGCTAGCGTCCGTTTCTGGAAGACCCTCTTCAAATTTGTACTGTTTGTCAACCATGTGGTCGACGTAGAGGCCAGGAGCGAGAGTGATGGTCGACACTGATCCAGTAGCAGTGACCGTACAACCCGTATAAGTTGACGTGCATGTTGTCTGACACGCGCCCCCCCCTTCAATACATTGTGTGCTACAGGCTGATGTAGTTATAGCAGAGCAGCTGCTTGATGATGTCGTCGTCGTCGATTTTACGGTTGATCCTGAAGGGTCTGGATCAGTAGGATCTCCCCCACCACCACCGCTACCGCCGATGAGAAGCTGGAGGGCTTTAAGTTCGACTTTAATATCTATGTTCTTCGCTCTAATCTTCATCTTAATCTCCTCCATTTTGTTGACAACACATTTGACTGCCTTGATGAGCGCTTTGAAGATATTGGTATCTTTGCATTTACTCCCGCCTCCATCATCCTCGTCATCCCCACCGCGCTTGATCAGTCTTCCCCAGAAAAATAGTGCCCAGAACCCGGTATCTTCGAGGACCTTCTCGATTTCGCCATCAAGATTTTGATCTTCGGGATGTTTGATCCATTCTTCGATTCGGGGGAGGATGTTATTGATTTGGGTTTGCAGAGCGGATGCACTAGAGGAAGCTTCTGTTCCTGATGGGTCAAGTGTCCCAGAGGGAAGAGGGGTAACCCATGTTCCAATATCAATAATCTCGCTAGTTGTCACTTGTCCGTCTGAGAGAGTAATAGGCTCAGTAATAACTGGGCCAACGGTCGGCATGGTTGGCGGCAGAGTTGCTTGGGAGCTTGGTTCAGGAGTTAGCGTACCCGAAACAGGCGGTGATAGCGTGCCCGAACTTCTAAGCGAACTTGAGGAGGACGTAACATTCGAGGAACCACCAGAACCACTTAGGACATCCGAAGTACGAAGACCACTAAGACTTGAGGGTGTCAAGACCAAGGTGTCGGAGGGTGATGGTAATATGGTGTCTGAAACCCCCTGTATCCCACTCATGGGTGATGACGAGATCCCAGAATTCGAATAAGTCAGAGTAACGCTTTCTGAGAGAATATGTGTCACAGTGCCTGCATCTATGGTGGTCTGGGTTTCGGAATGGCTTGTGAGTAGGAAGCTATCCGACTGGCTGGGAAGGTTCGGAAGCGAGCTGATGATCGATGCTGGGGAACTACCGAATATTGAGGATACCGAAAGAGAGTCAATCGCCGAGATTGAAGAAAATCCCACGGAGGAAGAAGAAGAATCTATCGAGGATATCGAAGTTGGAGCCGCCGGCCCTGAAGACGAGTCCATAATTGTAGACACTACGTTGGATATACCAGTGGTAGATAGCTGAGATGCACTTCCACACCAAGATGGGGGAAGAGCACTGGTTACAGTAACAACGGTCGAAATTGCTCTTGAACTCTCTAGTGAAATTGGTAGTGTTCCACTTGATAAATGCTGTGAGCTAAGGCTGATTAATGAAGAAGATCTCGGTAGATCTGAAGCAGACCTAGTAGAACTACCTAATTGAGAGGTCTCAGGACCAGGAGAAGATGGAGGCAAGTTTTCGGTAGACGAAGAAGGCGGGCTTATGCTATTCGTTGTGCCTGGTGCTGGAGATTCCACAACCGTAAGACTAGTGGAAACTAAATCCGATGTTTGAAGCGTTGATGCTGGAATAGTTCTAGATGATGGTCCAATAGCAAACGTGGTGGATAAAGAAGGTGAGGGGGGGGCTGTACTGGACGCTATAGGAGAGTTGGATGATCGAACAATCACTGTTGCAGGAGCTTGGATTGAGGTGGATTGAATTGGAGCCCCAACTGCCGTAGATGAAACGGGCAGAGTGGTCTCCAAGCCGGGAGAGGACTCTGGAATTCCTGGTAAGGATATCGACCCTGGAGCCGGGCCCGGGCCACCTGGGGCGGTAGGCGAAGCTTTACCCGTCGAAAAATCGGATGGCCGTACTGGTGATCTGAATCCAGAAATGCTAGTTGTGCTCTGCACGGTGTCTGTGCATTGTACGGATTGAGGGGGCTGACCATACAGAGGTGTTGAAGTGGGCAAGGCACCGCCTCCACCGCAATGGGTGCATACTGGAGGTCCTGGAGGCTCATTTGGGAGCGGCAGATGACTGAACGAAGTCCCCCAGGCCGACCACACTTTAAGGAATCAATAGAAGTTGCTGACATATCCACTCTAGGTACTTGCCTTGGCCTAATTCACCAACAGTAAATATTTCCACTGCTCCATTACAACCCGAGCTAGTAACCAAAGCAGGAGCAGTCAAGGTTATGTAATCGGTGATGTAAGTTGCAATAAAGGTTGCAAGTCCTGCCGACCCGGAGTTCGTGAATTCGCTCGTCGTAAGGAAGGGTGTCATGAAATCTCTGCCAAAGGAAGAACAAGATCCAGTCGGCAAAGCAAGTGAACTTTTGTATGAGCAAAGATTCCATTCCTGTTGTCGAATGATTGATGCTTGAACCTCGTTCGTGTTTACAAGGACTGACGTCGATGTACATTCTAGCGGAAGGACAGATTTCTTGATTGCTTGAAGATGAAAAAGGTGTACTGGTGAGGCAAATGAAGAGCCTATCAAAGCCACACTAAAAAGAAGAAACAAAAAATAACGTGCCATGAAATCGAAAGAAGGGGAGCAGTTTCTAAAGAGAAGGAGAATGAGCTGAGAAGTCATTTCGAAGAGATGAACCCTGGAGGTGTCGATTATAACTACGACCCAACAATGCCCAGAGTCAATATTCTGCAGTTGACACAAATAAAGCTTCCCACTATCTTTCGTGATGCTAGACAACGTGTCATTGTCGTTCTGAAGGATAAGCCCCCGTTTCATGTGGAAATTTGATGGCTCATGATCATCCCACTGAAGACTCCGAGGACCGCTGCAAAGAACAGGATTGAGGAAGTAACATCCGACGCTATATTCCTCACAGCTCCGTGAATCATTTGCTCCAAGGTTCCCCACATTTGGCCCCGGGCTCTCAAGAGCTATGCCGCGTCGCCTACTGAACTCCCAGATTTCGGTTTCTCAGCCTACTCTGCAATGGTCTAGTCGCTCATAGAGTGTACCCGCTTTAGCCTGACTCCGTACATCACACCCCGTTTCCTTTGGAGTTTCTATATATCCCTTCGGTAATCTTTTACATGAACGGACCCTCAAAAAGGCCTCAAGTTGAGAATATCTACGCCACATGAAAATCCACAAGATATTTCTCTACGCTAAATGCGGCACGGTGATACCATTCATGGGTTGGGGGTCAAATGTGAAGTCCGAATTCGCCTGGTATGTCGAATTATCTGATAAAATATGGTGTCGTACGCCGCATTCGCGAAGTGGGTGAGGCAAAGTATGGCACAGCACCCCCAACACCTCACCATTTGATGCATCCTTTCCAAACAAATCACGCATGTAGAATCGAAACACTCTGAGTGTATTTTAGACTGAATAGAAGAATGATTCGTCTACGTGGCCTGTCTGTACACTTCTGTAAGTCCGGTGCTGGTCCGGATTCCACCTTCATGTGCACTCGTGTATAAATAGCAGTACGAAAGTCGTTGCTTGAAGATATTTCCTTCCAGGCTATCTTCTCATTTGACCTTTATTTTTCATTCAATCTAAAATCTGGCATAATGCTCACAGCTCTCCCCAAATACGGGTGCCTAACTTTTTTCTCCTTAACAATATGCTTGGTCAATATGGCATCTGCAGCTGGCCCTCAGGGTGCCAAACTCAGCGATGTATTCATTGTCAAGGGCTTACAAAGTGGGGGTGACCACAGCGGCGACTGCACAAGAACGTATAACGACCCTAACTTAGGCAAGGCGATACCTTACCTTGACACATTGGAAAAATGGTGGGAAGATACCACGAAGCTCGTTATGCACGCATATGATGGGCTCAAGAAAGTGAGCGACAACGATTTTGATGGACTCCAAGTGCGGCGCAATCTGAGGGGATATTTCGGAATCGAATTTGACGCGAATAACCGTCCACTGGCCGGTGACAATAAGGCTAGGCTGGGCGAAATAGTAGGCATGTATTCCATGTGGTAGCTCCATCCTTCAAAGTGTAATTAACTGGTTAGCAACTTTCGGTAATCTCAATCGGGTGGTAAACAACCGGATGCCTGTGGGCTTTTCAAGACGTCTCTATTGCAACACGGACTGGGCAGCAGAAACAGAATCCGTTTTTGACGTAAACGGGGTCGAGCAAGAGAAAGTCGTGAATGGTCAGACGGTGAAGAAGAACGTTCATGATCCAAACGACTTCAGCCAAGATCCAGGATTATCCCAGAAATCTGGTAGCGGATGTAAGGGCCTCACAATCTTAACCCTTGGTTAGTCGCAACTGAAGTTTCTTTGGTGTAGGGGCAACTTATGCGTACTGGGTTCACGATCTTAGAAGATATTTCTTCTTGTCTGCCAGTGATCGCCCCCCGGGGCCAGACCCGCGGCATTATTGCAACCATGGTACGCTTGCGGTAACTGATGATGGTAGTCTTCCGGGAACTGTCACAGTCAGCTTTTGTGAGATTTCTTTCGTCGGTGATTGTCATCCGAGTCAAAACGCACAATGCTTCCACACCTCCGACGAATCGAGTGGCGACAGGAGGGTCCGTGACAGAATTATAAAACGACAACCGCGGTCATTAACGATGCTCCATGAGTTCGTCCACCTGGTCCAGGGAACTTCTCTTTCTCCCGATCATGTGGCCGGAATCCAGGATTGCTGTACGTGAACTCGGGGAGAAGGGAGTCAGAGAAAGTTTGGCTCTAATTTTTTTTTCAGATGGCGTAGAAAATGTTCTCAAGTCAATAAGACTCAAAAACGACAATAGTCACTTACCAGAAGCATACGCATACTTCGCTTATGCACTCTGGCTGAGCACTGCGAGGGTCCTCATAGACGACAACAACCCCAACGGTGGATATGAGCAGCTTTACGATTGGTCTGATGGAACAGCTAGGAAGGCATAAGTGAGAGGCAAACTACGGAAGAGCAAGCAGCATACGACATATTTAGGAATTTCCAGAAGTGAGGAAGCAGAGCGCTATGATGGAGAAATATGCTAAGGATGAAATGGGTTGGAAGTAAGTAACTTATACTGTTACATTCCTGCAGTGTAGGTCAAGGTTCAAAGAGTGAATGCAATTTGACTTGTTCTGTGACTTTATGATTGGTGAATCCTACATCGCAAAAGGTGGACCTACCTCGCCGTGCGGGGCTCGGGTTCTCACGTGATTTTGTTCCCTGTGGCGTATGTGGCGAAGAATCTCACTTGATATCCCAAATTTATTGCCTTACTCTTTCCTCAAAGACAAGTCCTCATGGCAAACCGCATCTGCGAGTGGATTACTCTTACCGTAGTCCACGACATCCATAGCCCTGGAACACTACCTAGCATAGCATGGGTGGAGGTGTTGCGTGCTTTGTGGGCAAGGCATGACTTCGAGGGATATGAGGATACTCATTGGGGCCGAGTGTTAGAGGAAGAGAGTAAATTGTGGATTTGGACATGTACAGTTCATCCTCTCTTTCGTTCGATGCAGAAAGCGGACGAAAGTATAAATTGCCGATTGTACTAATGGATTATGATTCTAGCATGGGGCACTAAGAAAGCCTACGATCAGCAAAGAGAGACTGAAATTTATCGATCCCTGCGGAAGAAGCTTTCCATACTGTCGCTCACGCCTCCGGTCACCTCCCTTTTGCAATTCGACGACGATTTTACCTACCCTCAACTTTATCTTCACCATTGCTGGCCGAGCATCACAATAGCCTACTTTCGAACCTCTCCCTCGGTAAATGAGCAATCAGAAGAAGAAGAACTTTCACGAATTCGTGGTATTCGAGGAATGTGGCCGTCGCGGCGAATTCTCGGCGATTTTGCCGTGTACGGCCCACCGGCACGCGGCTTCCTTCTCCATGACATCGATTCCGTCATCCCGTCATCAAGCGCTCCTGCTAGAGTCTATGTCTTTCTTGACTATTGGATAACGCCGGTCCGTGAAGAAGAAGTGAGAGGACCTGAAGAATTAATTCCCATCAATAACGACAATCCTAGTCCGCTGAAGCGACTTTCAACATTGTTTGAGGAACAGTTGCAGGAAGCTGGATGCGTAAAGAAGGTTGTTCTCCATGCTCGTTTTGAGTGGGCCCTTGGAGTGGACTTCCCTGATGATGAGATTAAGATGAGGAGCCTTGTATATGACTGGGAGGAAGGCCGACGTGAGAGGCGAAGGGTATTGAAAAAAAAGTATGGTATCGATAAAGAGGAAGACATCGAAGAATCATCAGAACAGTATGGTAAGCCTGAGATATAGTTCTACGATATCATAGATCTTTCCATTTTCGGCGCAAATTAAAGCGAAAACCTTACGAGGGGTTAGAAATTTCCAACACTAAACACAGTGTCACACTCTATTACATTCTTAGCTTTTCACCTCCAGAATCTACGAGCTGATAAAGGTTCGCACTAGCGCATGTCAATAGCCGCCATTCTTTTTCGTGGTAATATCAAATACGGTATTTTGTTCTAATTACAGTTAGATAAAACTAACAGCTTCGCTCTCCTTACAGTAAGGCTGGGAAGACATGCTGTAGTACCGGAATACAGACGCCGACACACCGATTCCGGCTTGGCGACACCTTAAAACTGTGAACAGTAAGAAAGGGGCAAACTTTAGCCCACTAACAACAGAACACAGCATTATAATATTGCATTAAAATATCTAAAATATAGTAATAGACCTAGTAAAATATATTTATTTGCCTTAAAAATCTAGAATATTTGCAAAAGTGGTGGAAAGTTTTATAGGCCAATAAGACATTAATCCGGCGCTTTTTTAAACCAATAAGAGAAAAGGCTTGGCAAGATGTACAGTGAATAATAGAGATGACGGTGACAAGGTTGAAGGCGCTATTGCTGAGTCATTGAGGCCCAAGCTTTCTCGCGGCGTCAATCAGTGTGTGTTTGCCCTCGTCTTTGCCGCTCGCAATCATCGTCGATAATGCCAACAAAATGCATTGCCCGGTCAACGTCCCGCTTACTAAATTTTATCAGCCGACGCACAGTCTCGCCTGACGCACGGAATTTGCCGTACAGCGGCACCGCGACTTAAAGCTCTAGGGCAACATATAAATAGAATATAGGCCTAGTTTTTTAGTAGATTAAGAAGCTAATTACAGCAATTAATTTAAGGCTACTAGCTAGTTGCAGAAGTGTGCAGGAAGCTTAATAGCTCTGCCTCTGCAATTTTGCTTACATAGCAGCCCTACTACTTTAACAATTAATTAATCCTTAACTACTTACTCTAGCCTACTAGCTATAGGCTGTGTAGTCTTTTTAGCCTTTTTAAAAGTTTTAATGTTGCTTTAAAGTTAGCAGTTAGCCTTTTTAGCTAGTTACTTTTTTTCTTTTTAAAGCTTTTTTTCTTTAGCCTTTTATAGTTAAGCGTTCTTAGTAGCTGCCTTTATATACTTTTTTTTCTTAGCTATATAAGCTTTCTTACGCTTTTTAGCCTTCTTACGCCTAGTCTTTTTATTTTTTTATTAACATAAAAGCTTTGTAGCAGCTTTCTTCTTAACTTATTAATTATATGCTTATTAAACCTTTCTAAGACTATAGAATATAGCTCTACTATAGTACTGCTTAGAAGCTATAAGTAAAAAAAGTTTACTATGCTTTTACTTTTTCTTTTTATTAACTAAAGCTTTTATAAGGCCCTAATTCTTTATCTAGAGAGTTATAACCTGCATTAAAAGACTATATATAGTATTACTAAGCTACTTAGCTTACTAGTTAGAGATATTACTAACTACATTATATAAAAGCTTGTTTATATGTCTCTAATCTTAAGTAGTAAGAGCTAACTAAAAGCTCTTACTAGAAAAAGGTCTACTAGTACTAGTAGTACTAAATTAAGTAAAGACTTTTTTAGAGTTAAATAGCGCTAGGCTACAGGCCTTAAAGCTAGAAAGTATATTCTTTTTAGTAAATAAAGTCTACTAGGCTTTATTAAATAGGTAAAAAAAGTCTTACTTTATAATAGCTATAAACTTTATTAATTTATACATAAAACTAGCTAGTTTATTTAAATAAGCTATTACTAGTAGCTTAAACAAGCTAATATTAAAAGGCTGTAGTGTATAAGTTAAATAAGGTAGATAAATAGCTAGCAAAATCCTATTCTAGTTATAGTAGTTAATAAACTTTATAAAGACATAAAATTTATAGCTATCTAAAATTAATAGCTTATACACCTAATAAGCTTTTTTTTTATCTATTTATTAAACAGCTGTTTAAGCTAGTGTAGGCCTAAATTATTATTTATTTAGCTACTAAAAGATAAAGTAAAGAAGCACTTATGTACTGCTAAGTTAAAATTTTATAACTAGCTATCTTAGATGTTACTAGTGCTAGCTTAGTAGATAAGGCCTAAAAAGAGCATAGAGCTGTTAGTATAGATATAAGCTATACAAGTTATCTACTTATAATTACTGTCCTATATAGCTTACTTAAGGCTACCTTTTTTATATCTCTGCCTAGAGAAGATCTGCTTTATTCTTAATAGTATACTAATAAAAAAGCCTTTCTTATTTATATTATACATATGCTGTGGCTCTATCTTGTACTTCTAAATCTTTTACTGTAGTAGCTTAAAATAGAGCTTATATTTAAAGGCTAAATTAGCTTACTTTTTATCTTAATTTAGGCTAAAAGTCTAGTAAGTAACTAGAGAGATTTAATGCTATTAAAGAAAGTAATTAAGCTAAACTTTTTCTACTTCTTTACTATAAAGTTTTAAAGCAAAATTGCGTAGCTATTACCTTATAAGTAGTAGGCTACGCTTATAAAGCTGCTTAATATACTTTATAAGCTTCTTCTTTTATTACTTATTAAGTAGTTGTTAGTTTTTATACTGCTCTGCACAAGAGCCCTAGACGCCTTGCTAACGCTTTAATAGCCTAGTTCTTTTAACACTATACTTTTTAGCTATTATAGTAATATTAATTAATTTTTTTAGTTTTAGCAATTTTAAATATGCTAGCGCGTCCTTAATACAGTCTATATTAGTAGAGTTGTAATAATGTTAAAAATTAGCAAAATCTAGTGTGTGCGTGCGTTAGGCGAGACCGTGCGTCAGCTGATTAAATTTAGTATACATCCTTTTATCAAACCCTCCGCTCACTCTGTAGTCCGAAGATTATTGTCAACCTCCATACCACGAAAAGCACATCAGACCTTAGCATCCGGAATGGGTGAGTAACGCTTTACTATAACTCACTGACAACTGTTTACATGAACTTGCCTACCTAGATACCACTGATAATGCATCCTTATTCTCGTACACCTCCGGTCGATATCTGTTCAACGAGAACGTGAGGTTGAAGGAACGTCATGTTGAGTTCAACGTCGAAGCTCTCCAACGTGCAGCCGAAGCCTCTGTTAACAACAAACATGGCAAGGTCATCAGCATGAAAAAGCTAGCCGAGGGAGGCTTCAATCGAGTCTTTGTCCTTGTGCTGCAGAACGGTTTCGAGCTGATCGCCAAGATCCCATACCACATAGCCCGACCGGAATACTTCGCCACCGCCAGCGAGGCCGCCACTCTTGCGTTTCTTCGGCTGAGAGGTATACCTGTCCCAGAAGTATATAGCTACTCTGCAACGGCGGAGAATCCTGTCGGTACTGAATATATCCTCATGGAGAAAGCTCCTGGAGTTTGCCTCGCATCTAAATGGGTAAATCTCCAAGACCTTGAGATACGAAGACTCGCGCATAGCTTCGTTGAACTTGAGACAAAATTTTTCCAGATTCCATTCAGTGCCACAGGTAGTTTGTACTTTAAGAAGGATATTCCATCTAGTCTACAGGCTCCACTAGACACAGAAGAACATGCTACAGAAGCAAATCAATTTTGCATCGGGCCTATTGCCGACTATATGTTCTGGTACGGTAGAAGAGCTAGCCTAAAGTTGAACCGTGGGCCATGGAAAAACCACGTTGAATATCTTCAATCGATAGCAAAAAAAGAGATAGATTGGACACAGCGTTACGGCAAACCGATGAAGCCCGACTTCCCCCACAACGATTTAGGACTAGGAATTCAACGTCCAGGGGACCATCTTAGGCTTTTGGAGTGCTACCAGTTGTTGACACCACACCTGCTACCAAAAGATCCCGCACATCCCTTCAACCAGCCTACTCTTCGTCACCCTGACCTCACTCCTAGTAACATATTCATAACGCCTGAGACCGGTCGGATTTCATGTCTTATCGATTGGCAGCACGCCATCATCCAGCCACAGCTCCTCGCCGCTGGCTATCCTCGCGCATTCGAGAATCCAGACGACGAGCTTTCCCCCGAGTTAGTGGAACCTAAGCTTCCGGAGGACTTGGAATCCTTGCAAGTGGAAGAGAAAGCGGCGGTGTGCGAGCTCTATCGTCGACGCCTCCTCTTCTTCAGTTACCGTGTGCTCAACGGCCATTTCAACCGGCACCACATCGCGGCCCTACGTGACCCCCTTCTTCTCGGTCGTCAAATGCTTGTAGATAGGGCCGGCCGTCAGTGGGAAGGAAATCTCATAACACTTAAAGGAGCTATCATGCGCACAGCCCAGTTCTGGGAGCACTTGCCCGATGTTAAGAGTGTTAAGTGCCCGGTACAGTTTGATCAAATGGAACTAGACCAGTTCTCGGAGAATGAGGACGACTGGCTGAAGATGAGTGTAGCAGTGGAGCAGTGGCGGAAGAGAGTTTGTAATATTACTGAGGAAGGGTGGGTCCGAAATGAGGATTATGAGGAAGCAAAGAAGAAGCTTGGAGACTTAGAGGAAGAGATTCGATTACAGTGTGAAGGGGATGAGGAGGATATCCAAGCGTTTCGGACGGGCTGGCCATTCCGAGATCGTGAAGAAGTCGATTGAGACTTGAAAGGATTGTTGTACATAATGATCGAACCCTACGCTGATCTGACGTCCCGCATGGGAGTCCTCGTGGGACTCTAAGTTCCTTTCGTCTCTAACGTTTCTCAAGGCATTAATCGAGCAGAAGTATGTGATGACAAATAGTGTGGCGACGCACTAGGGAGGCGTATGAGGGAGGCAGGCGTAGTGAGGGCAGATGTGGGTATTCAGCTACAAATCCGTCGAAGGCAGATATCTAGACAGGTTCAAGGCCCCTCTTGTGCGAGGAGACTTACGGACTTGCAGTCGACAGGCTCGACAGCTAACTAGCATGAGAACATATACGGTCGTCATTGAACTGAGGTGTGGAGCAGAGTTGGTAACAATTAAGCCAGATTCCCGAGGCTTGATTAGTTTGACTTGTGTAAATATGTGATGCTGCAGAGATGCACAGAAAGCACGGCCGGTGTTGAGGTTTCGAGAGTCAGTCGAGCCTTAGATCTCTAGTCTCTAATTGGCTCGCTGATGCCAGACTTCGAATCGATTTCTCGCCCAGCCAAACTTTTTCCTGGAAGCCGAGGTTTCCTTGTTTAGACACACAACCCCATTGTTGCGTGTCGATTGTATTTTCAAGCATTTAATGGGCCAAATTGCACGGATTGAAGTGCTAAACTTCTCTACATCTATTTATTTATACCCACCCAGCTTACAATTAGGATATCTTAGATGTTCACGATGAACGAATAAATTGAATCACGTGGAAACTGGACATGTTTGTAGATTTCTAACCTTGATACTACTTCATCCAACAAGAGGATATGCATGGCCACGAGGTCCAATTAGACGATGAGTATCAAGTGACAGTCGTCCCAATACACTTCGCAATGAAATTTGTCTTCTCCCACAATATAGTCGAAAATGTCTCCTTCACGTGTTCAACCCATGATCATCGTCGATGGGCATGCCCAATTTGACGAAAGATGGCTCTTCCTTATCTTCCAGCTCCAATAGTAATATATAGATGTATCTGTAAACACCTGTATGTGCTATCGCTGGCAAGCAATCCAGGACTACCCTCGGGTTCTACTTTTGAAAATCTTGATGGAAAGCGTCGAGCTTGAGCGTGAGATTGCGGTTGCGGTGGGTTCCCTATCCGGTTTCCATGAACCGACCAAAGCAGCCCACACTCCAAAGGATGGTGCCACATACCAACGACATATTCGCCTTGTAAAATATTCACAATGACCTTCAAAATGGAGGAAATAGCGATGGGTCTGTCACTAACAAATGTGGCAAGTTGTATAGGTCATTGCCACTTTAGACCGAACGAAGTGTGCCGCAAAATTCGTATAATCTTTGTTGTTCGCGATATTTTCATCTGAAGTACCGTACCTGATCCGTGTGAAGAAGGACAACATGTCAAGGGGAAGGTCATCTAGATAGATTTTGGCGACATCTTTCTCCCGGCACTTCCAGAGCACCTACCGCTCCTTGAAGTATACAGTGCGAGGATATAGAAGCCACTTTTAAAGAACCCCACAGCAGGTGTTAATTAGAGCGCTAGAGCCTTCACCCTAGAATCAGTAAACAAAGGCAAAGCATAGAGCAACATGACTATCAAGGGAGGGATTTACAAACTGTGGATAAAGGCCCTCCGAATTTTGGGGTAAGAACATAAAGTGAGGGCTATCTGATGCATCCGCGGCACAGATATTGCAAATCAAGTTTGGGTAGACTATAGCCATAAGTGATGCCGAAAGTTACCAATCTGCGTACTCTTTTCCTCACTGGACGATGAAAAGAGAATCTGTGAAGCTTTTGGCAGTGCCAAAGCCATGAAGAACTAAGCCAATTGCTGAAAGGTGTACATAAAGGTCTATATATGCAAAGAAGTCAGCTTGGCAGAGTGGTGCTCAGTTAGGCAGCATATAACCAGGGTAGGCATTAGTGATTGGCGAATACAAGCAGGTAGTGGAGCTCGGAGAACTCCGTAACTGCAAACGATATTACAATAAGATTACATGGCATTAGAAAATGTCGCACGTGACAATTGGAGCGAGTGAAACTAGGTCACATGACGTAGTGCTTCACCTCAATGTGAGTCAGCGCAGCAGTACTCGCCCTTTGAATACTAACGCCTTCCTTTATTGAGACTAGCGTCTTTTGGTCCTCACTATATAGTTAGCTCGGAGCCCCTCCAAGCTCCTGAGGCTAGACCTTACACCTTTGCTCATCGACTAGTTTGGTTCTCACCACCTGATTGATAACTCGCACCTTTTCATATACCCTCTATCATCCGTCGGCTCTAATCGTGCGATAGAAAACGGCTGCTAATTAGCCTTCCTCCTACCTAGAGTCTATCACGTATTACTGTATACGGTATAGTGTGAGGTACGGCTATCTGATATCTTACGGCTGTATTGAGAATACAGGGAGTAAAAACAGCAGCATACTATCCGTACTGCTGACTGCTTGCTAAGCCGAAATTGGCAAGAGAATATTATGGAGTAGTTGGACGTGGTTCTCTATCGGTAGCGTTACGCATTCAGCAAACCCTCAGCAATATCTGAGTGAAATGTATGGCCTTGAGAATTGTGGTTTTTATCTTAATGAGATAGCAAATATGTATCTGAATCCATTAAGGGCCTGCGATCGAGGAGGCAAGTTGGAATCCAAAGCTTTTCACCTGTGGAAGCTCTTCATTGTCTATGCTTTGCTGCGCAATCTGTGATCTAATTCTTCACAAGAAGCATTGGCTCAGCAGAATTTGTGTTTTGACAGAAGAATCTGCCTGATATCGCTTGCCTAAGAGCCGATATCTTCCTCCGATCAAGGCAATATTGTAATGATGGATGGATGCTGGCTTATTGAAGACGTAATAGTCCACGACGACACCTGACTGAACAAGAGGAAATAAACTCCAAGTCTACATGGCCCATTTCATAAAAGCTCTTCAGGTTGTTAAAACTAGAGAGCCGTCGTACCATCGTGAGGTCGCAACATTCACTTTGCGCGCCGTTTATCCTTCCAGCCTAACGCAGCCAATACTGCACTGGTGTTGAAGGTAGATATCGCTTGGAAGCATCCAAGACCGTCCGGATCATGGCCTGAGAGCAACAACGCCTTGATATAATTTCCGGGATGGATGCATCCAAATGATCATTCGGCACGCGCGATTTAATTGGGTGGTGGGTTCTGCATTTCGGGACACTGTGAAAGGGAGCTCCTTTGATTTTGACTAGAAAAAGGTAGGAAAGAACGACAGGAGGAATTGCGTGAGATATGGGAACCCTAGGGAGGGAATGCGGATCACAGTGAGTGAATGAAGTGTGTTCACTTCAAGCCTAGAGTTTGGAATTCCAAAAATGACTAGCAATGGAGAGCGCGGTGACTGTTTGACCACAAGCATAATTTTCACTGCCAGCTCACCTTTGCACATCACCTCAACGAGAAACGCAAACGAAAGCTCCGCCGCAAGCTATTTTCAAAATTCACCTGGCGGGTTTTCTCAGCTGCAATAACACCAACTATTTTATCTGGAACGACTACAGTGAGCAATCCGACGACTATGGCCAACGATTTGTCATTAATCAACTACTTCATTGCGCTATTTGAGGATTTCTTTGCCAGAGCATACAGTTCCCTTTTAGCCCTCTCGGACGCGGATATGACCTTCACAAACGCCCTTTTGTACACAGTCGTGTGTCTCTTAGTTGTCACGTACCATACCTACCACCTTCGCGTCTTGTGCCGCTCTATCGGCCTAGCCGCCTTTTGCTACGCGGTTATCGCTCTTGATATCGCTTCCATTCTCTGGATCCTGGATGAGAACGCCGCCTGGTTTGCGTACACGGGATCTGTTTACTGGGCTCCAGTCGCTCGACTCCCTTATCCTGTATTTGAATGTATTGGGCAAGCCAGTGCACATTTGGGCGCGGCTTTCGGCCTCCTGGCGACAGTGTGTCGGATATGGGGACCCTGGGCATTCCAGCTTATTGTCTGCGTCGCTTTCTACTTGGCGATCATTGCCTTCGCAATCTCCGTCTTGAAACCCTGCTCCGGCGAGGACGACAGCGAGGACGATACCTTCGACCTCCTCACTGCCGCTGAAATCGCACTCACTATTGCCGACCTCGAAATCTTAGCATCAGCAATCATCCCTCCTCCCTGCACTGGCGGTATAGGCTATGAGAACTGCGCTATGGATCGTGTGGAGCAACTAGAGAGGTTGTTGGAGCGTAGGAGGTTTGATCCCCTTTTCTCCCCTTTGGGTTTGAGGAAAGGGTCGATCGAGCATCCTGTGTCTCTGCCAACCTCTCCGCAAGCTTCTGGGCCCGCTGGCGGAACAGTCTGTGAGAGGGAGGGGGACTTGGTGGCTGGGAGTGCTGGGAAAGTGGGGTTGAACGGGGTGAAGTGTTCTGTGGCTCCGCTTGCTATCCCCGAGTGGGTTAAGCAGTTTCCTACAGCTGCAGACTGGTTTGCGGGAGATGGGGGAGGGGAGTCTTGCCCCGGGTATCCCTGTGGCTTCTGACCGCGCGACTAGCGGTGCTGCAGAGAGTTCTGGAGGAGGAGGAGGCGAAGGCGGGAATGACTGAGGAGTTTGTGAACGAGAGCGGTGACGGCGACAACTTCCCTATTTTTGTTTTTTCTTTCTGTTCTGGCATTTTGTTCTGGATATCTTCTTTGGATTTGAGTTCTGGCCTATGGCTTTGAGAATTAATTGGTAGTAGCAAGTGGACTTTTTGCATTGACCGAACAAGAAAGCTATCAACAAAACACAAAAAACCAGTACCAAGTAACATGACATTCCTTTTCTAAGCCTAGACTATGATGGCTAAGCGCGAAGCTAAGCCTCATTGACATGAGGTTCAGGGAGTTGAAGCTGATTCAACAGTGAAGACTAAGCTAGACGATATGTTAAAAATAAGTGGAAGAAATGAAACCGAGCGAGCTCGTCATCTGCATCTAAGGCTAGAAGAGGGACGCTAAGCCCAACCAAATCGCAAAATGAAAATCATAGACTTGTCACTTACGATCTCGAATTCTAGACCCGAGTGGCTGCAGGGGGTTAGGGTTAGAAGTGAGAGGACCTTTCGATTAGCGAAGTAAGTGAAATAATTGAGGCAAAGGAGCATAACAGCAATTAAGAAACCAATGAGTCTCCACGCGAAGCACAGAAGCCCCTTCTAGCACCCATCTGACGATGTCAATTCCATTTTAGCAGAGCCCCCGAACTGCAATGCTGAGGATTTGGGCTCTTGTTGTATTTGACGACTTTTATCAGAGCGGTTTGGCTGGCACGTCCCCACAGTAATCTCTTCTAGAATAATAGCTGTAGCAGGCAGCTACCTGCCCGTGCCGGTTAGTTAATTTTCAGGCGGTATTATTGGGAGTCATGGACCCTTCACTGTACCGAAAGATATGTTTTGGAATGATGCAGATATGGTCCCAAGCTGCTGCGAGATAGTTATGGGTTCTCAACGTGGTACAGTTGATAGAGGACAAAGCCCGCTGCTGCCATACCGAAGCGTCAATGTAGAGTTGAAGTAACAATGCCAAAAGCAGATATTGAGGCTATCATATCTGCGCATTGGATGTGATTGGTGGGCTATGTTTCAGTGTAGGATGTGTGACGTGCGATGAATGCTTGGCGCATTGGCCTTTGTCAGGTGACTGGGCCAAGCGGGAATTGAGGGACCCATTCGATGTCCTCCATGTGAGGAAGTGATTGTTCATTGAGACTGATAGAGACACCATTTTGAGGGGAGAGGAAGGTAGGGGGAGGTTTATTGATGTTAGAACTTTGTCATTGAGGACGAGCCACTTTATTGGGGGCACGAAAGCCGTGCGCAATGAAGCATACATTAGTACCATGTGCAAGACGTTGCATTGCCAAGCTAGGCAGGCGGTGGCACGGCTCTAGGACTTGCTCCTATGCCTGGATTTGGTAGCAACCGCAACTACTTCCCAAGCCCTCCCACCAATCTGGTCGGCACATTTGACATGCAGCTCCCATGCACCGGCAAAGCAACCTTTGTAGTCCTCCCAATCAGCCCTCGGGCCAATCCAGATCACTATCTTAACGACACCATTCCCAAATTTCTCCAGGTATTCCTCCACTAGACCTACTCTCCTTGGATATATGAACATCCATGCAGAAGCCTCGGATGCAAGCTCATGTATACCCCGTGTTCCATAGACTTCTCGGTGGTGGTCTCGAGCGAGATAGCGATTTGGGCTCGGCTGGACTTCAATGCCCACGAGGCTGGGAGGTGGATCGGCGGCGAGGAGGAGCGCTTCGAGCAGACCAAATCCACTACCTATAGATAGAATGAGGTCCGGAGGCGGCGGAAGGAGAGAGTGGATGTGCGAGAGGAACGGTGCACTGAGCGCGAGACAGCAGCCGGAGTGGACGGTGGCAGAGGAGGTGAGGACGGGCATTGGGAGCAGGGACTGGAAGCTGAGCACGTCTTCCGAAGCACAAGACTGGGCTTGAAGCTCTGGATCGGCTTCATCGAGGGCTGGGGCCATGGGCACGGCGTTGCCTTCGAAGGCGCGTGGATCCCTCACAATGGCTGTTTATGGCATCCTGAGTCATCGATCGTTGTTGGTCGGACAAAACATGTTCGAGAATGCCATCACAAATTGTTATGGACTGTGATCGAAGTTAGAACGAGTAAATTAATTACAGACGATAGACGATAGAAGATGAATGAGTGAATTGTGGCGATGGATGGGAAATAATGCTTAGTAATTGCTTAGTAGCTTTGCTGCTTCTCGACATCATTCGTCTTCCCCGCAGCCTCCAAAGCTTCTGCCTCCAACCATCATCCGTCCCGGATGCAGTACAAAAGCCACTCCTTGTCGTTTCTTCATGTCTAGATAAACGCATCGTGAGCTGCATATGGCTCGTCTCAGCAATCCCTTGGCTTTTATGCCGCTTCCCGTCATTGTTGTAACGTGCGTTACCTACATTGCTCTCTTTGCTGCCCTGCTCGTGGTTCACCTTTCCGTGCCTCACTATCCCGCGTCCACCCCAGCAGGAATAAACCTGACCCAAGGATGGCTGGATCTGGAAACCATAACACAACGCTACCATCCATACAACAGCCACGCCAATGATGATGTCCGGAAATACCTCTTATCGCGCGTCCAGGACATTGTAGCTTCTAAAAACCTTGGCAGCGACCGTGTCTACATCATCGACGACAATGTTTCCAACGTCACCTTTTCCTCGTCCAGTACCACTGTCTACTTCGAGGGTACTAACTTGATCGTTGCTATCCGAGGATCAGAAGACAAAGAATCATCTTGGCCCAGTTCTCAACTACCCCTAAACTCTCCCAGGACGATAAACAATGGGGGAGTCCTTGTTAATGCACACTACGACTCCGTGAGCACAGGCTTCGGCGCTACAGATGATGGGGTTGGAGTTGTGTCTGTACTCCAACTTCTTTCCTACTTCACAGACTCACACAACTGGCCCAAGAGAACGGTCGTCCTCCTAATGAACAATGGGGAGGAAGATTTCTTAAACGGTGCAAAAGCATTCATGAGACATCCAATCTCCCAAGTTCCGCATACCTTTCTTAATCTCGAAGGGGCTGGAGCTGGTGGACGAGCAACTCTTTTTCGAAGCACCGATACTGAAGTCACGAGATTCTATCAAAAGTCGAGTCACCCCTTCGGAACAGTTATAAGCAGCGACGGATTCAAGAAAAAACTCATCCGAAGTGAGACCGATTATGTTGTATTCAACGGAGAGCTAGGGTTACGCGGACTTGATGTGGCTTTCATGGAACCTCGAGCGCGATATCACACCTTCCAGGATTCCGCCCGCGAGACGTCGATGAACTCGCTCTGGCACATGTTATCTGCTTCCATAGCAACTGTATCTGGGCTTGCATCCGATATGAGCTCTACTTTTAGTGGCAGTGGGAAGCCGCGCGATGATGGGAAAGTCGATGCGGGATCTGGGACCGATGCAGTGTGGTTTGACCTCTTCGGCAAGGCTTTCGTTATTTTCCGTCTTCATACGATGTTTGCGTTCTCCGTTACGCTCCTCGTCGTTGCTCCCGTAACCTTGATACTGCTCACTGTGGCTCTGTCCAAAGCCGATAAGAACTATCTGTTCGCTAGGAAAAAGTATATTCACTCTTCCGATGATGACCAGGCCATTGAGCTCAATGGATGGCGTGGTTTCTTCCGCTTTCCAATTGTCTTCGTCGTGGCTACTGCGGTCGTCGTTGCTTTGGCATATCTGGTTGCCAGAGTCAATCCATATGTCGTCTACAGCAGCCCGTTTTCCGTATGGAGGTATGTTTCGCTATCGCCCCTACTGCTCGCTCCTAACTTCGACATAGCATGATGCTCTCCGCGTGGGTTGTCTTTGCTTGGTTCTTTCTACGAGGGGCGAGTGTTATGCGACCATCCGCCCTGCAACGGATGTACAGCCTGATCTGGCTGTTCATCGGAGCATTTGCGCTACTCATCTTGGTCACTATCATGGCGCAGAATTATCAGGTTGCGGGCGGATATTTTATCATGTTTTACTTTGCGGGAATCTTCTTCGCACTTCTAATCTCTTACATCGAGCTCTTCTTCGTCCCGAGTAAGACCACGTACGTAGGACGTTTTGACAGCGATGGCAACACTCGCCGCAATTCGGAATCCGTCGGTAGTAGGCCCTTAACAGGCACGACTGGTGGCGCTCGGTCCGAGGACCGCCCAATTCTAGATGATGATGCCACCGAGACTACCTCTCTCCTCCGTGGCGATCGTCAGAGCTTCGCAAGATACGGTAGCAGGCGGCAGTCGACCAGTGAGGGCACTGATCATGAGGAACGACGTGGTCTGCTGGATCTGGGGAAGCCGTTCCCAGGAGAGCAAGAGTGGAGCGGTAAGCTGCCAAGCTGGCTTTGGATCATACAGTTCCTCCTCTTGATTCCCTTCGTCATCATCCTAGTAGGACAGGTGTCTTTACTTATGACGTCGGCGTTGTACCAGACTCCTGCAGATGGAAGCTCCACGCTCTTCATCTATATTGGCTTCGCCGCTCTCGCCACACTCCTCGTTGCACCAAACGGACCCTTCATCCACCGTTTCACTTACCACATCCCAACTTTCTTGTTTCTCGTATGTGTCGGAACGCTCATCTACAACCTCGTCGCCTTCCCATTCTCCAGGGATCATCGCCTCAAGGTCTACTTCGTGCAGCAGGTCGACTGCGACAGCGGGGTAAATACGGTTTCTTTGACTGGGCTCGATGAGTATGTGCAGAGTATTGTCAGGGAAATCCCCAGCGCGCAGGGACAACCCATGAACTGCACGACACCAGACATTGCGACTCGCAAGGAATTAAAGAAATGCGCGTGGAATGGGCTGCCGGCTCAGGTAGTGCCGCGACAGGATGCACCATTCAGTAACAAGACTTATCATGATACCTGGCTCGATTATTCTATTGTCAAGGGCAAGAATCCCAATGAGGCGACAATTCGCGTTGTTGGGCTGAACACACGCGCGTGTCGTGTCTTTTTCGACTCGCCAATCGTGGATTTAGTGGTCGAAGGTGGTGTTTCAGACCCCCGCTTCAATGCAACTGGTGACACCGGCTCCCGCGAACTGCGCCTTTGGCATCGCAACTGGTCTCAGCCCTGGAACATTAGCGTCAAATGGGATGGCGACGCGAACTCGACACTTTCTGGAAGAGTCGTCTGTCTGTGGTCAGATGCGAATACGGGCGCGATTCCGGCATACGATGAAGTGCTGCATTATATGCCTGTGTGGTCAATCGCGACGAAACTTGGAGATGGCTTGGTCGAAGGATCGAAACGTTTCAAGGTATAATCAATCCTGCTCGCCCAAGGGTTTGGGTCAATGCTGACTCCTTTTTTTTCCTTTTCCTTTTCAACCATCCCCCTACCTGTGCATTTAATCCTGGCGTTCCTAGGCCATACTTCTCGACACGTCACTTATGACGATTAATCTGCCCTCTTCTTGTTGAACCTTTCTCGACCCAAATTCCCATCTTGCACTTCCTCGGGCGTTAGGTTGGGCATGTCTCATTTGGGTTATCCTACTGTCGCCTTGTATATCCTGACTTAAACATGTATCAAAGTCTAGCTGGCCTCTAATGGAAACGGTTATCACAACCTTCTGGGGACCACGCGCACTGCATCTAACTACATGAAAGCCACGGCCAATAACGTCCACAAAAGGGGGTTTCAGGCCATCTACCATTTCTTTGTTCCTTAGCCTCGACTGGTCAATTCCTGCTCACAGCCAATTATCATCGGAAGTACTATTCTGGGAAACTGCGACCATGGCAGGTGTTCTTGACTCTGTCCGAGACTATGCACAGAGTCATCCGATGTCTCTAGCTGCCGGATTAATCATTGCGCTGCCCGGGACATACCTACTTTTGGCCGGAAAAGCTTGCGCAGCACCTGGAGCGGAGACGATTGCGAAGAAAGTGGGACTCTGCAACGACGCACCTGTGCCCTCTTACTCCCCCGCGGTTGGAATAACGAGTGATCTATCTGTGTATGCCGGTTCTCCACTGGATATCCGGCTTCACCTGCCAGTCTCAAGGTGGAAAGACAAGCCAGCGTCAACCTTCCTTCTCCATTGGGTCGAAGGCACCCGCAAAAACATCCAAAACATCCGGTCCCTCCTAGCTACTACCTCAGGCCAGATGGCACCTACCTTCAATGATCTGGGCGCAGACCTTTCACGGATTCTGAAAAGCCGCTGGGAAACTCAATATCCACTCCATCGCTTTGTCCTCGTCTCCATCACAACCGCACTCCCAGGTGCATTCCTTCTCTTCATTCAAAACAATCCGGACTCTTGGGCGGCGAAGCGGCGGACTCAGGTTGTAAATGCGTTGCATGTGCTAGCTCTTGTTACAGTCGCCGGTCAGAGGATTTCGGTGCAGGACATATTAGTGGCGGCTTTGGTTATGACGTCGTTCGAGGCGTGGCGGACAATCACGCACAGTACGATTGAAGGCAGAGACCCTGATGCGCCTTCAACTTTAGCGGTTAAAACACTACTCTCTTCCACTCATTCCACTGTTGCCGAGTCGGATATCGCAGTCTGCCCAGGCAACAAAGCAAATAACGCACAGGGAAGTGTAGCAGCGCGCACCTTCGCCACTGCAGATCCTAAGGACAAAGAGATTATGCACCTCCAGAACACCTTGATTGAGGTGAAAACAGCGGAAAAGAACAAGGAAACCGACCTCAAGCGAACTCAAGTGGATCTACGGAATGCGCGGGAGACTCTTACGGAGACTTTTGCTGAGTACACTAGCTTGCGAGATGAGATGAAGACGATGAAGGCCAATATTGGGCGTGACCAACAGTCTGTTATCTATCGCAAAGACATTGAGCTGTTCGCGCTGCGAAAATCGATCGAACAAAAGGAGTCATATATTAAGGAGAAGGACGTGAAAGTGGATGAGATCAAGAGGCAACACAAGGCTACTTTAGAGCTCAAGGATGCGCAAATCCGGAGTCTTAAAGACCGGGTTGCAATATTCGAAAGTCACGAGAAACAAGCTATCCACAATCGATCCAAGAGTGAAGGCCAACACCAAGCAGCGCTCCGAGTCAAGCTTCTTAAGGTAAATGGGCGAAGCTCTGAAGAGATTGAGCGCCCGAGCGAAGAGAAAGATGCCGAGATTGCTAGACTTAGAGATTGTCTAGCGGGAGCAGAGAAGGCTTCGGAAACTTTGGCACATGCCCAAGCAGAATTACGCAGGGCTTGGGATGCAACCTTGGAAGCAGAACGTGCTTTGAATGAGGAACGGCGGCATCATGCGCAAACCCGAGCCGAACTCCAAGAGACTGCGAACCGATTTGAGGATGAGCTTAAGAGGAGCAGCCAAAAGAGCTCCCCAACCAGATTACCTACCATCGACGAACAAGATCGAAAGGAGCTAGAGGCCATGTTTAATGCCGCCCAACAGGACAACCTTCGACTATACTCCAATCTCGATGCCGCGGACAAGGAGCTCCGCGAAATTACTACCCGGTTATCTACTGCTGAGCAAGAGCTCGATGCACTACGTGAACAGCTTAAACTTGAACAGTCAATCAGCGCTGATATGGAAACGGCTCGACCCAGCATCGTCCACCGTGTGCACTTCCAACGAATGGAAGGCCAGCTAAAAGAATCAAGGGACCTTCTCACAGCCAAAAACGACGAAATTCAGCAACTGCAGAAAAGCGCTTCTGCAAAAGATGCAGAGATTAGTGCCATCAAGAAGACCAAGGAAGCTGCAGAAACCACACAATTCCAACTCCAAGCCGAAAATGAGAATCTCAAGAAATCCATCACTGAGCTAGAAGCTACCAAAACCCAGCTGATGATGGATCATGAACGTCTAGCGAAATATAGAGCTCGAGATAGGAATTCGAATTCGAGCTCCAGTGCCGATCACATGTCCGCGAGATCGAGTGGCGCGACGTTGATTACGGAGCCGGTACACTTGGTTATGCAATCTGAAGTCCCGCTTCCAGATCGCCCCGCGACTGTTGTAGGAGAGAGCGGCATGGTTGTATCTGCAGCTGATACTCCGAAAACAAATAGCTTGGTAGATAGTCCTCGGGCGAATGGCTTCTCGATGATATCGAATGATACCCCACCACTAGAATTACGCTCTAGCCGCCGCAAGAGCCTTACACTAAAGGGCCTAATGCGGAAGATGGGCAGGAAGGAACATGATGAGGCGACTGAGAAGGAGGTGGAGCGTAGAGATCGACCAAAAACAGCATTGGCGTTAGGACCGAAAGATAAGAACGCGGCGTTGAGACCGAAGACGGCGTTGGAAACAAAGGATAAGAACGCCCAGATGAGACCAAAGACTGCAATAGACGTGCTCTCGAAGAAGGGGGGTGATGAAGCAAAGACTGCAGTAGTACTCAATGATGCAAGTCGGCAAGAAGCGGTGGGACCGAAAACGTCGACCGCTGCGCAAAAGGAGAATGCTGGCGCTCCGGACTCTCGGCGTCCGAAGTCTAGGGGCTGGGGAAGTCAATCGTAAGTCATCTACTGAGTCCTTCCTTGCCGAGTTGTGTCAGTGCTAATATTGGTCAGGCGGAAGCTAGTCCGTAAGTCAATGGGTTGAGGGCGTGTTGAAACTTTCGCCTTCATGTGCAAGGTTCGATACACTATGATAGATGGGATTGGGATGGTGGGATGGTCCTGGTGGTAGTGAGTATGTAAATACGTTAGCGGAACGGATTCAATCATTTCTTGAACCTCATTCTTCGAGTAACAATTTCTAAGGTCCTGATGGGCTAGTCACGTGCTACTTAACAGGAAGTGGCATCTCAATCTCACTACCGCACCACCTCACCAAGTATAGTTTGCCAGGCGTGGTTTACGATAAAATTTGCAGTTTTTTATCTTCAGATGTGGTTTATCTTCCATCCCCAAATGAATATCCGACCAATCCGCCATCCCCCATTCTTAACACACTCAACCCCTGAATTTGGGGCAGGCTTTCTATTCACCACGAACCCCCCAAACTCATCCCTGGCCTCATTCCCACACCCATTCCCGCCTATTCTCCTCCTAGCCATACTCCTAACATTCCCTTATTCATTAGCTCAACTCCGGTTTGCATTCACTGCACCTGAAAGCGGGAATGACCTCCGCTTTCGAATGCAACTACACGGTTGATTTGGGTTTGAGTTGAATGATTAGGAGAGGCTTCTAGTCAAGACTTCTGGGTCAACGCCTTGAGCGGATAGTAGCCGGAGGCATATTTCATCAATAATATAGTCCTTGAATGCCAAGTTCGTGAATGGCTGCATGTATCAACCCCTCGCGTCTATCTAACGAAGGGATCTCTCCGTCTCTCCAGGGCCACTGCCAGGAATGTTGTAGTACGTGAACCCAAGTTAACCACTACATGTATAGCTCAAAAGCGCTGCAGTTGATTGAGCGAGTTCGAGTCCGTAAGGGCCGAGGTCGTATGGTCGATGATGGATTTATGAACGAAGATAGGGAGGCCGGTTAACGATTTATGATGGGAGGAAAAACGAGTGATGCGGGATTGATAACGCAGGGGTGAAGGGGCTGGCGATGATGTGCACCGCATATTAGGTTCTGAGGGCGCTTATGGCCGGGAGGTAGGACGGAGCCGTGGGGTCATTTTGTTTGGCGAGCAGCGGAGAATGTGTTTTGGAGTGCAGGCCGAGAGGTTTGTAGCACGGGACCGAGTGAGATGTTGGTTGTTTGAGGATCGTGCAGTGTTTGGTGTTGGGGAGCAGTTTGCGAGACTTTTTAATACATGTCGTTTGCATGAGCTTGTTTGCATTGTGAAGGGCTGGGCTTTTTACGTCAACGCAATATGCAGATGATGGTTTTGGAGGAAACGGCGTCACGAGAGTGTGATGGGTGCGGATTATGTGTCTGCAAACGAAGCGCGCACTTCCACTTCATCGGTCTTTCTACCTCACAACAACCTACTGAAACGCATAAACTTATCCAAATATCGCACCCTACGCTCACAGTCCCCGCAACACTTTCCTGTAACCGTCATTGTTCGAACCCTCCGAAATGCCTTTCCGTTTCTTCTCCAGCAGAAAGAAGCCGAAGTCCAAGGGTCGAACCCTGATTAAGGAAGCCATTTCATCGCCAGCTGTGGAACCAGCCGCAGATACCTCTAGGGAAAGTCTGGAGACAGTCTCTATGGATATTTTTCAACCTCCAACACGAAGCGCTCCCAACCCTCCCGAGCGACCTTCTTCGATTCCAGAAGAGACAAGAACCGAAGCGCTCGAAAATGAATCGCTGGAGATACATGCTACGTCGACACCAAGAATCGGAATTATCCCTTCGCCCTCGCCTCCAGAGCCACGAGAACAAGACCTCCGGCAGGAGCCGCCATTTCTTGCTGTCTATGTTGGAAAGAATACCCCTGGTTCTCGCTTCATAACACAATGTTGCTTCCACATCTGGGGCTTCCTCCTTCGCGACTCCAAAGTGCTGTCCAAGTACCTAAACCGCTGTTGCGAAAACAAGGACCACGTGCCAAACATCATTCTTCCGGATCTCGATCCCCAGTCCTTTGAGATCTACTTGGAGTGGCTGAGCAAAGGCAAGATAACATTTCCCCGGTACTGTGGCGACCCCCGAGACCGATGGATGCGTCGGGGAAATCGAAACTGCTCTTGGACGGAGGTTGTGCCGCTACTCAATGCACACATCCTCGGGACAACAATCGAAGATTCTGCATTCGCGGATTTCATTATGGACAACCTAGGCAAAAAATTGTTGCCCAGACGTATGCCCAGTTACAATACTATCCAACACGTATTCACCTCCACCGATGTCTCCGAGCAGCTAAAGCGATTCGTTATAGACCGGTCTCTGGAGGCTGGGCTAGCGGACCTGCGTACGGAACAAACCGCCATTTTCCCACCTAATTTCCTGGCCATGGCATGGCGAAAGGATATGGAGATGATGTTTGAGGAGGATAGAGACTCCAACGACGGATCGGGCTGCAAGTATCATGTGCATGGATCTGAAGCGGAGTGCTATAGGCCACGATATGAGAGGGAGCTGAAGTATCGGATGGAGAGAGAGGCCATTACAAAGAATCAGAAGAAGGCGGTCGAGGCGGCGGAAAGAGATGGTGTGCTTGCGGAGGATTGGGCAGCGAGCCGCTTTGCGAAAGTACTGCATATGGATACGAATTGTCCGGATTCGAGCGCGAAAGATGCTGTGAAAGGGGCTCCAGTAGAAGTGATTGCTCCTTTTAGCGCTCAGGCTCCGATGGGTACCAATATTCCAACTGTTTTCAATGCGCTAAGTTCGTCTAATGCGCCGGCTTCTTCCAGTGTACCAGTTTCTTCGAGCGCGCCAGTGCAGTGCACTGTGCCGGAGGTCCCAAACACACTGCCGGGTGGACATCCGCCATTAGATTCGAATCTGGTTGTCTACCCAGATGTCCCAGTGAGGGAAGATACACCAGTGGGGTCAAACGCGCCGGGAGTCATGTCACAGGTTAATGAGTTCCGGAACGACGTCCTTGAGGGTACCAACGACGCGAATAGAGTCTCAACAACCATGGATTCCGGTTCTGTGATAATGGACCGCTCTCTTCCTCAATCCATCGAGGAAGTGAATGCCAATAGTAGCGGCACTGAGCAACCTGCAACACTCGTCGCTTCGGCAGAACTACTCTCGGAGGTGGAGAGGGGGGATGTGGAGGATGTCATTGTAGAGGTAGAGAGAGAGGGGAGTATGAGGTGGCCGGGGGCCTTCCCAGAGGACGAATAGGCTATGTTCTTGAGTAGGTTGAACAGGCGATGGATGTTCATAGACTACTTCGATTAATTTCAAGATTGTTGTTGCTGGGTCCCCAAATACTCCCATGGGAGCAAATGGGAAGAAGTCGCCCTCAAAAGGGAATGCAGCCACCTACATCCCAAACGTCCTTCACAGTGTTGGTCCGTCACACAGCAATGATAATGCTGAGAACTCCCAAGCCAATTTCAAACAACTCAGCATGCAATGCAACTATCACCTACGTATCAGTCTATCTAGAACACACAAAATAACCGCGCAATCTAGCTTAATTCCTCCTGCAGCAAGTCTCAGTCTCTCGGCTTAGTCACGAGACCCGTACACAACAACCCATGACCAATACCAACCCTGTGCTTACAACAAAACCGCAGGTAATAATGTAGTTGGGGGCTTTTTTTCTGTGAACCTTCTAGTGCTCTTGAGATTGTACCTCAATCTTGTCAATCTAGAGAGGTTTTTGTTCTTCCATCAATGGCGGACCTGCATCACCTCCACTCTCTAGATAAACTTCTTCTTTCACTGCTTCCCGCCTTATCAGGATGGAAAACAAGGAAAATCTTCCAGAATCACGTATTTAGCCTTGATCAAGGGGTATCTCTACCACCAACTCGCGTCACCGCCTCTCTTCCTCCAGAGCGCCACCTGTTCTTCCACTGTTTGCTCCCAGATCCACAAACAACTCGAAAATTTCACTCACAGCAGCGAAGGATCTCTCTAATCTCAACCAATAACACCACAGTCACTACCTCTTGCCAGATTCTTAACCTCATCCACCCATGCACATCGTCGTGCTAGCTTCATCTGCGACGATAATGCGCTTCAAAGCCCCCATGCTGCTTCCCGCAACGCTGCCGAGAAGGTGAACTGTACGCTGTAAGACGTCACCCCCAAGATGAGTTCTTTCAAGACCAAGACTAGTACCCCCAAGAACGGGCTTCAAAAGTCTCGTACTGCTGTCCAGTTAGCTGCCGGGAAGATAAACGCATCTCAGGCTGCTATCCGTAGCTTCATCTCCAAGATAAACACCCTCAATTTAGAGAAAGGTATCCTCGACAATGCCCTTCAAGCCGCTTATGCTACTGTCCACGACGCTACCCGCAGGGTGAACGCCTCAAATGCCGAGAGCGACAGGTCAAAGTGCAAGCTGCAAGAGTCTAATATTGCTCTCCGCACCGCTATCAACAAGATAAACACTTCTAAAGCCGAAAGGGACACCTTCAAGAGCTCGCTCCAAGACTGCTGGGCAGCCATTCAAGATGCCACCAAGAGGGACACCTCCAAAATTGAGAGCGATATCTTCAAGAGCCAACTTGAAGAGTCTCATTCTGCTATTCGTGACGCTATCACGAAGATAGTCGGCTCCAAAGCTGAGAGCGATACTTTCCAGAACGAGCTTCAAGCGTTCCGAGCAGCCGTCATAGACGCTACCGAGAAGATGAATGCCACCAGTTACGAGAACGTACTTCTCAAGCAGCAACTCATAGACCTCCAGCACCAAGATGATGCCACCAACATCGAATACCAAGCCTTCCGAAAAGGAAGCAAGACCCTCCAGCATAAGAACCTAGCGCTCCAATCTGAGATCGACGCCATTCGTCTTAAGCTTGCCACCGTAAATCAGGAGCTCTCCCAGAGAGACTCAGAGGTTAGGGGATATAAAGCCGCAATGGCAATGTCTCGCGCGCAAGTCACTCAACTCGCCACCCGCCGACCAGATGCCGAGAAGACCCTCAAATCGGCACAAGCCGACCTCGTCGCGAAAATCGATGAACTCAAGAAAGCCACTGACCGCACTGTGGTTCTAGATCGTCAGGCGAAATCTTGGGAATGTGCAAACAATCCGGAGTGCGAGAACTGCCAGTTTCATCTCTTGCGCGCGCTTAAGGTGGCCCGCGCCGGGGAAGCCCATCTCGGCCACAAGCTGGATGAGGCGCACCTGAAGTGGTTTGCTGCCGAAAACCAGCTTGCGACCTGGATCGGCACCGCCGAGAACTACGCGGTTGTGTGGGCGGACGAGACCTGGCAGTTCTTGGGAACGGAGGAAGTTGAGCGTCGAGAGCGTTTAGGGGAGGCAATTTATCGCGCCAATATCTGGACCCCGCCGGCTCCTCAGGTTGCATCAGAGACTAATAAGGAGAAGGAGGCAGAGGAGGAGGATATCGATGAGGATGTTGAAATTATTCTCGACCGCCCTGAATGCAGATCCTCCAGCTCTGGTATTCCAACCTAGGTCCAAGGAGCCAGAGGAACTGGTTTGCCGAAGGCTAGGTGCCGGCTACGATTAAGGTTAGGATTTAAGTTGGTTTTTGGAGATTTGTTCTAGAGTATCACTTGTTTTTAGTTTATAGATAATTTTAAAAAGAAGGGAAAAAATTTAAAGAAGTAGAAAATCCGTTCCCCTTTGCATGCATTGGTGACTCATTTTACAACACTTCAACTTTTTTGCTACAGACCAGAACCCACTTAGGACTAGATCGCGGCTTTTTAGCTAGATATGGTAATATTAAATGTTTGGTTGGCACGGCTTAGTAGGTATCTTGAGCTCTAGGATACTTGCTAGGTCAAGGTCCTAAGCGCTAAACCAACAAGGTTTAGTTGAACAAGTCTCCACATATGCTGAAGCTTCCGATCATATAATGAAGAGAGAAAAAAATCAATATAAGGCAAATCTTGGCGTAACATACCCGGACACTTTTAGGGTATTTTAGAAAGATATACAACCTTTCTACTGTTTGCTGGCCTATTACTTTATGCAGCTTCATTTGGAATAATGCACTAAATTCAAGTCGATCTTCTGCGAAGATTCTCAGAAGAATATCCTGTTGGAAGAGCCTCTGGATTTGTAACAGCTAGGTAGTATAGATGTAGGTTAGGAGTTGTGCTTCTAAGACTATCCAGAAGGGATTACAGTTCACAAAACTAACAAGGGTGTGCTAAGGAGAGGGATAACTAACAGATGACGTAGTCATAAGATGCTAGGAGTCTTTTCGTTGTTAATCTAGAAAGGTAGTAAGGCTCTTGGATACTTCCTGAATGGTGATTGTGGTCAATCAAAAGTCAATATGTGGTAAAATAGAGATGTTACGGATCTAGGGAAATAACCATGTCGCGATGTATTCATGCTCCTGATGACGCTTAAGATGCCTACGATAAATCCGATGGCTTATATATATCCACTACAAGAATGCAGAGCCCAAGTCTTAGACAGCCCTACAGCTACGAAGATGTCATCCGTCACAAACATATCTAAGCTACCTTCTATCTACGTCGGCATCCTTAGCGAGACCTCAACCTCAATTCGTAGGATAAACCAATCAACAGCACTTTGCACATTCTTTTCTTACCCACCAAACAGCAGTACATAGGATGTAACTCCTTGCTAAAGACCACAATATTAATGACCACGGTAAAAAACAAGACGTGGTATGAAATGTGGACACTGGGGGATTACCAGGATGTTTCCTCACTGGGGATGCTGACAAGGCGGTCATAGGAACTTTTTTTTTTAAGAAAGTGGGCTCTAAGAATAGTACTACTTGAAGGAGGGGAGAATGTAAGAGTGGGGTCTAGAGCATTATTTCATATAGATTTAGGCAGAGGGGCATGGTGTCAAACTATGGATATTATCTTTATGTAGTGGGGCTGCATGATTTCATCAAGTCAGATCCTTATATTGTGCTACAAATCTTGAATCTGCAATATCGCACCTGATTGAGACACGAAGAGTGTCGAATACTCTGAGACTGCGACCGGATGACATGATATTGCTGGCACCAATACATTATGACGGTAGGTTAGGCTGTAATATTTCCCTAGAAAACATGCAACGCAGTGGCGTTTGCATAGATACATTTGAATGCTGATGTGCCGTGATTATGTAACTGAGAGTAGATGAGATGTGGATTTTTTTGTGAACATAGAACTTCCAACACCTCACCCATAACCTAGTATGACCAGCATGCCTGAAAGAATAAACCGGGTGTTGTCGCGGATCTTCATCGTTCTTCCGGCACCCGACTTTGCTCTCGTACTTGTTGCCGTTGCCTCCCAACCGCCTATATTTCCCGTTCCGATAGAAGCCACATTTGTTAATGTCATCTTACCCGCATACGTAAGAGCAACTGGCGACGAGATCGTAGGCTTGGGGCTAATCGTGGTCGTCAAGGTACCAATAACAAGCATTGTTGCACTGGAAGACGTGATGATAGATATCGCTGTGCCGTGGATAGTGATTGGGTGGCCTGGATACAGGGTTTGTGAGCCGATGATATATTCTGTAGCTCCTGAGACTACCGTTGTGAAGATGCTCAGGTCGTTGCTGGACATGGTTTGTGGCGCGACTGGAAGTGTTGTTGTAGATGAGCCACCGATGATGAGGACGGTTGAGCCTGCCGAGTCGGTGGCCAGGGAGATGACAGTGCCGTCCATAGTGATTGGGTGACCGAGAAGCAGGGTTTCCGGACCAAGTGTATATTGATAGTCTGCAATAGCTGTAACAGTGAAAGTGCCTATTGTGAATGATTGCGTTGCAGGTGGAAAGAGTGTCGAACTGACACCATGAGCTGCAACAATGGTTTCGCCCCCAGGGCTGATAAAGAAAGTTGTTGGATCATCTCCAGAACCAATGGTTACAGGAGAGCCACCTAGCGTGAGAACTTGACCATCGACTGTGATTTGTCCTGATGGGGTTCCATTCATGGTCGTCGTCAATGATCCTATGGCTATTACTGGATGGCCACTTAGATCGACATATATTGCCGTTGTGCTTGAGCCATAGCCGAGAGTCGCTGTCGTACCACCTGGTAGCAATGTCGTGCCTGATATTACAATAGTCGTTATTAGGACTGGGATTAAAATTTGATCTCCGAGAGTGACAGGCGGTGGTGTTAATGGCGCAGGCGTGGTTCCTGACGCAAGGCTGGTAATGAGGTTATTCTCACCAAGGCCAGCTGCTGTACTTTCGAGATGTGACCCTTTGCCAGATTGGGCAACTCCAGGCGCGATGGTGGTTTCTGGATTCTGCACACCAATGTGGGGAGTTGGTCCAAACCCGCTTTCTGTTGACTCCACGTGCACTAGGTATGTTTCATAACCCGAGGGGTTGAAAACGCGAGTGAGGACAGCTCCGACGTCCTCTTCACTTGTAGAGCTCTGAATGGCTGAACTCTCTTTCAGACTACGAGGTGGTTCCGTTCCCTCTGATTCAAAGCCTGTAACCGAGCTCTCAGCATGAAGCTTGAAGTGCGAATTTGCCCTACTGCTGGTTTGAATTGCTGCGTTCGTATTCGTGGTATTCGTCGCCGGCGAGGGAAAACCGGTTAAAGATGTCCCAGCATCAAGTTTGGTTGCAGATGTCGTGGAATTAAGGATTGCTTTCGAAAGATTAGCGAATCCGATCCTGCTGAGAAATACGAGTACGAGTTTTGAGTAGGCATGGCTCATTGACTTACACAATTCTCGCGTAGAAGATGCAGGGGAAAAATTAACAAAAAGTAGAAATAAATAAACGGGCAAAAACAATGAAGACATCATAGCGAGAGACAGCGCTCACTCAAGCACTTTGGTGAGAGCACGACGAGCGAAACAAAGAGAAACGCGACGGAGGGCTAGAGGCCGGCCGGAGTAGGTCCCAATATCCCTATCTTCCGATATCAAAGCTCTTGGGGTGGTCCAAGGCGAGGATAAGCATGGAGATAGCGCATCCTTCGGCAGGGAAAAGAGTCCACAGACCTGGGTGTCAGCATCCCTCCCCGCATCCAGGAAGTCCAGCTCATCCACCAATCAGATTGCGCAATCCATATTGAAGAGCTGCGGTGCGAAACTCCTTCCCTTGCTGAATGGCGAGGAGCATAAGGAACTAAGAAGGCGAAAGGTGGGAGAAAAACATGTAAGGTAAGCACAATATGAAAGACTCCGTTGAATCGCAGGAAGAGGAGAGATATTGCGGGTTCACCCAACTCTTGGGAAAGTTTCCCGGTTATTCCAATTTAACAGGCGATCTACCTCCGGTAAAGATATCCAATAGCATAAAGTTCTCTATCTGGAAAGTAGAATTCGGGGCCGGTGATGCTTGTGTGATGCTTCTTGTGTGGTTGGTCGGATGACATTCATACTTGAGAAAACATGACTTCGCTACAGGTTTCCAATGCTCAAGGTTAACGATAAATCGCTCTAATTTTGAAGGAACGTGAAGCTGCACTCTTATGTACTGTACAAGCCGCTGCAAGAATAGAAATAATTGCCTGATTGAGGTGGTGAAGCTCGAGATTGGTGGCGTTATTTTCCCCTTTTTGCATGACACGTAACGTAAGCGCTAGACCACGTGACCAATTCCTTATCTCCTGGCGTCGGATTCGTTTAATCAACTTTTCTTCGGGCTTGACACCAGCCAATACCCTCCGTTCCTTTAGGTAGAGAGTTCGGTTAACCTCAGGCCATAATCCCAAAGATCTCTGAAAGATCTTTGATAGTTGTTTCAAGTTTGCACCGATCCCGATTGGCGAAATCCTGCTCCAGACATCGTACCTCACTCATCCCACATTCCTTAACAGACTTTATCATTATCCAACATCATCTGCTGAGCGATCAAAATAAGGTTCTTCCAGCAACTTGGACGAACCTTTCAAGCGTGCGCCTCCATGCGTGTCCCGGAAACTTTACCCTGTCCGTTGGGCTCTAGACCCCAGAAGACCCGACGTGGGATGAACGACGGCTATTCACCGGCATCAACACGAGCTCAATCACGTAAAGTTTGGCTCCGCACTGCAGTAATCCGGCCGACAGGTTGTCAAACCCTGGCATGACTCAAGCCATGGCTTTGATACATGCTTTTTGGCGGTCGATTTCCTTTAAAGTTTCCGTCGCGCGTTTCTTTTCAAGCCAATCTTTTGACTCTTCTTCTTGCCTCTTCCTGTTGCGAACACATGTCCCTTGAATGACATCACTGTAGCTAACTAAACAGCCTACTCCATTTTCACGCCCACACTCGTATCATTATTTTCCCATCATGAGCAACAAAGACCGTGTCTTCATTGCGGTCTACACCCGTCCCGGCTCATCCGAGCTCGATTCTTTATCCCCCACGCGCTCTAAACCGAAACCCCAAAATTACCGCTGGGGCATCTGGGTAGAGCCTAAGAACAGCACCGGGGCCGGTACATCCTTCGACCTCGAAGATTCCGTCGCATACTCATCAGTCACTAACCCGTTCGGCTGGCGCTTTCATTTCGACGACCACAAATCACCACCACCGCGGATGCTAGGGCGGATAATGATTGGGAAGTTGCCGGAAGGAATGAGCGTGACCGATGTCACGAATATTCTGAAAAGGGTACCGCTGCCCTGTGACCCTGGAAGTGCGATTACTGATGTGGTGATGTGGATCAAGGCAGTGATTGAAGAGCTGCAGGAGGCTGGATATGCGGAGACATTCTCAATTGAGACGTTCATGGGTGATGCACTGGCATTTGCGACAACATGGCACTCGAGGAATTCGCGAGACATCGAGAAGGTCAACTACACCTGGAGTCGAGCATTCCCTTGAAAGATCTAAGAGGCGACATTTCTGATCGACAGATATCCCCCCAAAAATTCGGCGATCTGTGACAAATCGCGCTTCAACTTGCTGCGGTCTAGTTGCCGTGTTCATTCAACGACCGAGGACAGAGTCGCATCTTCACAGGGGAGGATATACACGAGAGGGGACAGACGTAATTGATGTAGCTTGGCTGCCTATTTGAGTCAAGAGCCTTGGCCTTAGCCTTTGGTGTGCGAAACTCCATCCAAAGATCTTCAAGGCGGCCAGCTTCTGCAAGTGAAATAACGCTAGACTGCCGTCATATCCCGAGAAGCTTCGTGTTCCGGATGAATCTAGCCAATACCTTCTCTAGTCCCCATGGCATTAGTCAGCACCCTGGAAATATCAGAGCAACGGAACTTGGCCGTTTGCTAGCATTATTCAAATTACATCACAAGCGATTTGTGCAAGCAAATTCCTTGATTTACTAGCTCGTTATTCAGGGAATAGCCTAAAATTTGAGGGTTACATGGTTTACGTCAATTCCGCACCTCCTCCCTTGTCACTGAGCTTTGATCCTCCTCACTTTTCCTTTGGCCCACATGAGATCTTTTTCCATCCCATCAAGGCATCGATTTTTAATCAATGGGGCGAATTGATTAAGAATCATATCAGCCACAAAACATGCAGCCATTTCTATCTCCAAAGCCGTTTCTGTAATCCATGGTCCGAGGCTTGCATTTATAATGGCATTGCTATCTAATAGTGTAGGAACCAATAAGATGTACCCGTCCGGTCGTGGTTCGCTACAGGCTAGCACCTCCTATAAGACATGACAAGAACTAGATCGAGGGTTGGAACCAGCTTCCTATTAGTAGCCTCCCTTATCCCACCCAACGCTAAACAGACCCATTCCATCCTAGCCATGGTCTGCAGTAAACTATAGAACGCCGTAGAGAGCCGTTCAAATCATTCAACTCAAGGCTTACCCCAAATATCACGCCCCAATAAAATCCCACTAGTCCAGCTACGATTTCTTTTCATCTTCCAGCGGCCGATTCGACCCCGTCCACCAATTCTTCACCAAGACCCTCATCGATTTTTCGCTACGAGGAAGATGGAATCCAGGCGCGCCATTCTTCGCCTCCGGAACCGCGGCGATAGGCAGAGCCTTCTTATTTGTGGGGTCGCCGACACGAGGCCCACTTTGACGTGTTGGACCGTTGCTGAGATCAACCCAGTCTTCGTCGTTGCTGCCGTCCCATATCTGTGATGGGACGAGGTTGCCGAAGATGGCCTGGTCGTTAGGGCCGGTGCCGAAGGAGACAGTACTGATTGATCGGGTTCTACTGCTGTCGGGGGTTATGGACGTAGACGCGGGTGCAGTCGCCGGAGATTTCGTACTCGTTGATGGTGCAAGAAGATTGAGCCATAATTGCGTCTCGCCATCGCCATTTCCGTTAATGGTCTTCTTCTCATGCCTAGCCACCATGGAACCCATAATGGCCTTTTCCTTGCCGTCACCGGCGTGCCCCGTAGGTGCATTCATTGCCATAGGACGAGACTCGAAACTCTCACCCTCAGCCTCCCCAGACGGTTCCGGCACGATAGTGGCTTTGTCTGCGAGTGAAGAAACATTCTCATCCCCGATCACACTACCATTGACACAACCTTCACTTGTAGCACATCTAGCTACAAACTTGAATGAAATGCTCCCAGATTCGTCATGTATAATCTCGGCCAATGGGTTTTTTGGAGTACGACCAAGAATGCTCTTTACATCTCCCGTCTCGCTGCCGGCGAGAAACGATGAGGAGCTCGATTCGCATTCAACCCTCGGAAACTCGTCAACACATTTAGCATACTTCGCGTTCAACTCTGAAGTCGAAGGCGGATTGTCGGATTTGTACTGGTCTTCGCTTCTGTCAGGCACGTCTTTCCTGGCCTTCAGTCTAGCCTCATAGGCATAGACACGTTCCATGATGGTCATATGCCCCTCACCATCGCTATCATGGCGATAGGAACTCTCCAGGGACCGCGTGTTATCGGCATTGTTGGCTTTGCTCTTGCACGAGGACCCTACGGGAGATGGTGTTAGGAAGAACCCTCCAGACTCTACTTTCTCCGCGTCTAGAGCTAAGGATGGGCTGTTGACATCTTCCACATGAGCAGCCTTGGCTTCTGGTAGTGGTAACTCCAGCATAAATTTGAGATCGTTCTCCAGCGATGCAAGCAGAACCTCCGGATCAGTGCGGCCCTCGATAGCTAGCGATGAAACGGTGGCAATAAGGGCCTCCTTAGGAACGACACCGCCTTTCACACAGGCATAGAGTGATGCGAGAGTCTCTCCGACGATATTCTCTTTGATCGACGTAAACAAAGCCTCTAGGTAAGTACGGTTCACCATACTGGGAGACGAAGCCGTGGCATTCACGACCTCTTCAGGAGCGATGTCATCTTCCACTGAATATGGCTTGAAAGCTGCGATGGTGGGATCCTCTTTGACTGATATAGATTGTATGTCTTGGGTAGTGTAACTCTTAACCGTGCTACCATCCTCCATAGACTCCGAGACGACCCGAGCGCGCCATCGCTCGACACCATCAACTCGGCGGTTGGGTTGCACTCCAGTTTGAGCATCGACGCACCACGTGTGAGTTGGGATTTCAGGATCAATGACAATGTCCGGCTCGAGGGCATTAATAAGCTTGTCGAATGAACCAGATATGTGTACCGGGCCGTAGTACTTGATAGCGGAGTCCGTAGCCGAAACCTCATTCTGGGGGTCAGTGTTGAGGGGTTCTTTGATAGCCATTGTCGATGGAGTCTTCGAAAGAGTAGGGGTGTCGGATAAAGCTTTGTCCGGGAACTCATTGTGAGTTTGTTGGGTTGGAGATGGTGGGGTAATCTCAACCGTGGTTTACATCTGTTCTGGTTCATCTGCTCTGGGGTTGGAGAAACTACTATAATTTCATTGGCTATCTTGACAGTCTCTTCTGCGACTGCCGACAACATCGATTCGGGTGTAGCTTTGGCAGATCGCGTAGCTTGATCGGAGTCCTTTGTACTGTCAGATATGGAATACTTATCTTCTACCGACAACTACTCCTAGAATATAGACGGGATTAATAATGGCGCTTCCGTGACAGACAGTTTCTGGATAGCTTCAGCTTGCTCGATATCCTGTCGGCGACCTTCGACCCAACGTTGAAAGAATGTCATTCACCTTGAGCCTCTTGATTGGCTAGAAGACGAACTTCTCATTCTCCTCGAACCATAGTTCCAGATTCATCCCCAGGCGGTATCGCATCAGACAAATTCTTGTACGCGTCGTTGACCTCAGTCATCTCGGCGACTGCGGATTTGACTATCGTTACTACCAGATGAAACAAATAGCGGTCAAAAGGGAATGAATATGCTTATAAGAATTGTTGCTGCTACTGGAGTCACTTTACGCTCACAGTGGTTATTATGCCCTAAAAATCTAGAACAGCTGGGTGTGGAATGGGAGATATAATACGGATGTTATACATAAAGAGGGAGTTGAGATGCACGTAACTTTGCCTTGGGGGGGCTGTGTTGTAGGTTTCTTGCGAGGAAGAGAAATGAGGTGTCACGGTAAAAAAAGGTATTATTCGCTGCCACAGATTACTCTTACCGTCGCTGACATCCCCGTTTGGTACAAATAGATCTTCGGAGACTTGCTTACTCTATCAATTTCTCCACGTCAACAAGACAGTTTCGAGGTTCCTGCCAGGCCTTCATGAAAAGTGTGATCTAGGTTGGCCCTGCCTAACCCTTAAAGGGGGTGTATAAAGATCTGTAGAGGTCGACTTTGCACTCTCCTAATGGCCCTAGCTTTATAAACGCAAACCAGCTTTAGGGGAGAGCTTAAAGGGGTGAAGGCGACATAGTCTGATATGTATAGATACACTTCCTCTCCCTCCTCCACTATCGCCTCCCAAAACTCTGTCTACCGGAAGAAACATGGGCAGTACTAGCTGATAGGTCGACTCTCGCAGCATTCACTAGCACCAAACAACAATATCGGCGATTTCTCCAATGGTGTTCCTTCCGCCAGACTGTGGAACCCGGCGAAATGAAATCTAAAGCAGTGAAAAGCGAGGCCCTGTGGTTAGTCTGGTCTACTGCAAATCGATAATTAGCTATCAAGGACTTGAATATCTCCTGTCTTGCTCTCTTAGATGGACAACCTCATCTCAATCAATCTGAGATAAAAACCATGGTGAATTCCCTAATGAATTTTCTCCGATAGGCACGGAATGTTAATATCCCCGCTTTCAAGTTACCGTGGCAACTTTTCATTAGAATTGATCGAAAATAAAAGTGCGGTATTTCCATTATCAGTTTCCTTCCAACTAAACAAATGAATTCGCATTCTTCACACCAAGTCCAGTCTCCTGGTTTCGTCTCCTGGTTTCACTGGAATAACCCATATCGTGAATATGTCAAATGGACGATTGCCGGCAGCCCTAGTAAACGGACAATAAGAACCAGATCTTATGAAGTGGTCATGTTGAGTGCAGGTGACGCTGAGGATCTTGACTTGGTTTCTGAGGTTGATATTGATTCTGACGTTAGGCTGAATTAGCTTGGGAGATTAACTATCGATAAATCCCGCTGGTTGCAAAGATCATGAGTTATGGTAGTAATGGTACCAAGCCTCATTCCCACAAGGGCGATTTCACGGATGAATTTGAAACTGCAAACAGGGATGGGAGATATATGTGGATTGTGTAGTGAAAGGAAACGAGACGAGACATGCACTGAACCATAAAACATAACAAGATCATCATCCAAGATTGAAGTTTATGTACCGAGCTGTTACCGGCGTGACTGAGATGAAATCCTCACGCGTGGTCCGCGCAGGCACGAAGGGTGAAGTTCATTGACGGAACATCTAGAGAACTAAATCCATGATAGACTCAGAGCTACTATGAGCCGAAAAGAAGGTTGAGAGAAAATTATAGGCCACAAATAACACACGAGATGTTGCTCTAAGGAATAGATCCCGAGACGTTCGGAAACCATGTTGATGAATCCGGATACCAACGAAAGGAAGAAAAACCAAAGAGTAAGAGCCCAACAGATTCGTGTTCAGAAATCGGCAATCTCGTAATTCTCAAATTCCTTCTGAAGATCGGCCACGGTACGGAACTCACGTAGAGGACCGGCCGGATTAACAATACTATCCGATGGAGATTTCATTGCAACTTTCCAGCTGTCAGTACAGAGATAATCAGGGATGGAAGAAAGCCTACCACTTCCATCACTCCTGCTGAGAATTGGAACCACATTCGGCTGGGCCTCCTCCTCGTCATCCTCCTTATCTATCTGGGCCACCGATTGGACTAGACTGAAGTCTCCTGATATGCCGCTTGGCTCCTCATATATAGCGAAGAACGGGAAGCCATATTGTGTGTATGTACGGGCGTCGAGAGGTAACATTGGTGGACTGGCTCCAGTCACAGCGCGGTAAACAGCAGAATTGACAATCTGGATATTGAAAACGGTTGTCTTTGAGCCTAGCCATCCATTGGGGTCCGGGTCTTGTGCAATCACCTGTTTGATCTTTCCACCAGCTGCCACGCTCATCTCGTGAACAGGGCCACCTCCGCCTCGGAGCCGAAGAACGACGTTGATGGTAGCCTCTTCCCCAATACCGGATTCACCAACCAGCCATGAATCTATTACATGTTAGTCTTCACAATTTGTTACACATTCAAGTGACTACTATAGAGTTGTAGGAATCATGAGTACCTTCAAGTTGCCTTCCCGCGAATATGAGACGCTGTTGGTCCCGGGGAATTCCCCACCGGTCTTCATACTTCGCCTTCAGCTTAGCGACAGTGTCATGGTGTCCTGTCCGCACGATTAATGTTTTCCCAGTCAAACCCTTCATGATAATTTCAAATTCGCTTTTCCCGAAGAAAGGCGCCCGATGAGGAGGGGTGGGTATTGGGCGGTTATAAGGAGTAACCTCAATCTGGATCCCGCCCGTTGCGTCCAACCCAGTGATTTGGGACTCGACTGAATATCCACTACCAAATGGCATGGCCACAAATTGACGGACAGTCCCATCAGTATCCGCAATGCCATCCAACCACAACTGGGCTGGAACAACCACGTAATCCTGCAACGGATTGACTGACGAGCTGTAAATGCTCCGCGACGGCTTAGATGCCGCAAGTTTTGCAAGACGCCGCAGCCTCGTCGCAGCCGTCTCCACGGCTGGTTCGCCTGAGATGGCGTTGATTCCGCCGACGTAGATTTTGATCATGTACTTCTGGCAATGCCAATCTTGCCCAGTGCAATGTAGATTGATCCACATGGCCTCAGATTCTTCACAATGTTACATCGGCCCACCTGGATAAATTCAAGGAAGCAAGACTTACGATGCATTGGAAAGAAAAGCCCGCCTTTCACCGCCATGTTCGGGGCAAGCTTATCAGCATAACGCGAGACAGGGCTCAGAGGGAATGCCCCAAGATCTGGTGGTAGAAAAGATGCTTGATGATTGTCTGGGACTCGAATCGTACGACGAAATGAGATATGAAGGTCACCGCCAACGCACACAGTATCCTCGCCTTCGAGCTTGCACGTGAGGCTCTCGGCCGTCATAATATTCAATGCAGCTAAAAGACGAGAGAGTTATTTGAAAAGATTCGAGGGAGGGAATTATAAAGAATTGAGGTAGAGGTGAGGCTAAAACAGGTGTTGAGGCGGGGTGTCGTGTTCTAGGCAAGCGCGACACGGTGCCACATCACGAGTTTTGGCGAATAAGCCTAAGAAGGAAAGAGAAGACGGCACGTGAAATACGAGGCAAATATACACCAACAAAGCTTGAAATTGGTAGGCTTGAGTGAATTTAGACAGGCCGAAGAATATAGTTAGCTTAATGCAGCTACCTAGTACGAGTACGGTCAACGATATCAAGCAAGGATATCACGCGTCCATGGATGTGGCCTTCCTCTTCTTGCTCCGCTTCTTCTTCTTCCCATCACCCCCTTCCCGAATATCGACGCAGCCGTCCGCACCACCCTGCCCGCCATTGCCACTCACAGGTCCCCCCTCATCCCCAAGCAGCAGCTCAAAACCACCCTTCGGTCCCTCCTCATCCCCAAAAGTCTCCATCCTCCATTGCCTTAACCTCGCCTTCTTGCTAAGATACTTCTTGTCTTTCTTCTTCTTCCCTGGGTCCCGGAACGCCGCTAACTTCTTTAGCCCCGCGAATTCATTCAGCTGCGTGTCGTTGGCAAGGAGGATGTCGCGAGGAGTTAGACCGAAGGTAGTCGGAGATGTTTCTCGGTAGCGGAATTGTGTGGGTGGTTTTGGCCTGGAGGCGATGGTAGTCTCATAATTTAGGGTAGAGTCCACGAGTGATTCGATGATGCGACGATCACGGCGGGTATCTCGTTTTGTGTCGGCGCGTTCTTGTTTGCGCTTTTTCGAGCTCTTGGTAGGGCGGTGATGCTCTTCTTCGTCACCCTCTTCGGCTTCGGCAACAGCGTCATCCTCATCGTCAGAAGACAGTGTGAAAACAGGCTGTTCGTTGTCGTCATCGAAATCGGGGACTAGATCCTTGATATCGATATCGTCATCCCATTTCGGTTTCTTTAGCCTCTTATACTTTCCTTTGATCTCTTCATCGCTGCCCGACCCTGCCTCACGATCTTCCGCATTGTAATAGGCGTCACCGAACCGATTCCGCATCTCGTCATCCCACTGGTCATCTGACCAATCCGCTTCAAGGACATCTCTCCACTCGTCTATTTTGAATTGCTTGCCGCTCACTCCAGCCGTCTTCCGTATCCGTTTGACCTTCTCTTCCACCTCATCGATCCTCAGCTTTCGCAGACGCGCCAACTCCTCTTCTCTCTGCTTCCTTTCGGCTTCTCGCTTTGCCCTGGCGGCGTCGCGGGCTTTTTGGCGGTTGCTTGGCTTGTCCCGGCGGACCGACGTGCTAGCCACTGCATCACGAGCATACGTGACGAGCTTCTCGTTGGCTGTGCTTGGGTCCTCGAAGTACAGATTGTATGCATTCTCAAAGTCGTCAGCACGATCATCTTCGTCGTCATCGTCGGACTCCAGGGGCTTGAAGTGGGATCCATCGGTGGGGACCCAGGCTCGGGCAGCCATGAAGTTGGATAGGAACGTTTCCGGATCCTTGTCAGCATTCTCCACATCCTCCTCAGTAATCTTCATGCGCTGCTTCTTCGAGGACTTGGATTTGGATTTGGCCACTAAGAAGTCATCACCTTCCCCATCGGAGTCTCCGGCAGCGTGCATCTCCTTGACAAGATTCTGGCGGGCTTCTTCCTGCTCTTGTGCATATGTCTTCGGCAGTGTGTCATCCTCATCTTCTGGATTGAACTTTCCCTCTAGTAGATTCTTCGTGTGGTATTCCTTCAAAGTCATTGGCTTCTCCCTCCTTGTCGCATTGGTACCGTGCACATAGTCGTCGTCTATCGGCCGGTAGAATGTGGCGTCTTTGTCAAAGACACGGGGATCTTTAGAGCGAATAGCCTGCAGCGTGGCCATGATGTCTGCATCGAGGGCTTCGGTCGCAAGCTCACCGTCATCATCTTCATCCTCGTCGTCCTCGGAGTCTTCTTCGGAATCGAGGACTTCACTATTGCGGTTGGACAAGGCTTCGGATTTGCCGTACTTGTCTTCCACTGGAATGAATTAACGATTAGCGGAACAGCATGCAGAGAGGGCACTCTCACATCTGTGCTTCTCCTCCCGTTTCTTGTTGTGTTCGAATCGTCGTGCAAACTCCTCATTCACCTTTAACGAACCCCCGCCTTCAGCATCACTCGAATCATCGTCGCTGCCGTCAAGCAATTTCGCTTTCTTGGCCGGTCGTGGTGGAATGGGCCTATCACCCATTTCATGTTTGATGCCCTTCACGTGCTTAACTACTCGATCTTTCGCCATGGTGTTGGATGTTGCGAATTGCACTGGTGCAGTAGAGGCTGCTCGTGTAAAATTTCGCTGGGCAGCCAAGATTTTCTGCCAGGCGTCGGGCGGTGAAGACGCGGCGCCAGCCTGCGGCGGCCTGACGTCGGCAAGCACAGCTCGACGCGCTGTCAGTGGGAAGGATGAAAGGCCACCAGCAGCCAGAGTCGTACGTACCCACGCCTGCTGCGCATGTACAGTAGCTTCAATGTATACACTCTTTGACCCGTCTTGCACGTATCAAATATATTCCATACATCACAACTCCAACGCGCGATAATATGGCGGAGGAGGCAAAGCAGCAACCAGCGCTGGAGCCGGTGGGTAAGCCGCTGAGCTTGATGTATGAACTATATCTCCCGTGTATATCATGTAGATGGTACTGATGATGCATCTAGACCCGTTGTCATTAAAGAAGCCGCCCTCGACTCGCCCACCTTCCGTGCTACCGCGGTCCACTTCAGCGACCAAATCGAGCTGATCGAGAGATGGCTCGAAACCTTCATCAAGGCCGTCTCCAAGCTGGCCGCCGAGATGAACGCCCTACAGGCCCTCTTCGACAGCTACATACAAGCTGCGACGCCTCCGCTCCAGGTTTCTGAGGCGGTGCTCGACCACGATTACACTGTCTTGGCATTGAAGCGCTTCGGGGAAGGCGCACGCGACTTCTGGAATAGTAACTTGAGGGGCATGAAGCGTGCCGAGATTACCGTCGTAGATCCCATCCGCGCGTACATACATAATGACTTGCGCATGCTGAAGGATGCGCGCAAGAATCTGGACCAGACGCAGCGCGCATTTGATGGCGCCATTGCGCGATATGCCGGTCAGGCCAAGACGAAGGAACCATCATCATTAAGAGAAGATGCATTTCAGCTTCACGAGGCGCGACGGGCGTATCTGAAAGCCAGCATGGACTTCTGTGTTATGGCACCGCAAGTGAGAGCCACGCTGGATAAGCTGCTGGTCAAGGTCATTGCCGAGCAATGGCGCGACATGCGGACTGCCAGGGACTCGTCCACCACTAGCTTTGCTAGGTGGAGCACTGATGTGGATCGCGTTAAAGGCTGGAGCAAACAGATGGAGAATGGAGAGAGGGTGTTCAAGAGAGAGCTGCATCTCGCGAGACAGCAAATTGAGAACAGCGCCGAGCTCAGCACCCGACCGTCACGGGACCTGGATGACTATGCGGCTTCTACAGTGCCATATCTTGGGACACAGGCGCCTTCGACCGCAAACCTTCCCTCCCCGGCGAAACCGGATCCTGGGAAAGAAAAAGCAGAGAAGCAGGGATGGCTATTCCAACGCACCATCACAGGCAAGCCTGCTCGCACCTACTGGGTTCGGAGGTGGTTCTTTGTGAAGAATGGAATCTTCGGTTGGCTATCACAGGGAGCTCGATCTGGCGCCGTCGAGGAGTCTGAGAAGATTGGTGTCTTGCTCTGTGGTATTCGTCCAGCCTTTCAGGAGGAACGACGCTTCTGCTTCGAGGTTAAGACTAAAGACACCACCGTTCTGCTCCAAGCCGAAACACAGAATGATCTCACAGAATGGATTTCATCGTTCGAAGTGGCCAAGCGCAAAGCCCTGGAGGATACTTCAAAGGATGCTGGAGCTCCCGGCAGTATTGATGCAGCTTTCTCCATTAGCCCTCCTATCGCACCCGAGTTTGCTGCCAAAACATCCGAAGGGCATGCCGCGCATCCAAGCGACGAAGGCGTTGCTCTAGAACGATCGGAAACATTAGCTTTCCCAGGAGGAGATGGGCTGGCGACTCGTGGAAGCTTTGACGTGAGCCGGCGAGGGACTGCATATGAGAGAGAGGGTGAGAGCAGCCGTAGAGACCATGCTGCTAGGATTATGGAGAAGCTTGATCTGACTAGGAAATCTACTGCAGGACCTCAAGTTTCCGGAAACAACCAACCCTCAGCAGGCGGTGGCATTGCTAGTCTCATCTCCGCAAGTCTTGCTTCTGCCAGCCATAACATCATGCCGGTGGGGCAGATTGCCGCACCTGCTCCTGGTTTGCCTGATACTCGTCTCATTATAGGCCAAACTCTTCCCACAAGTAGTCTTGCGCCTTCTACCCTCGCGAATCCACCTGCGCCTACAAACCTGAGCAAGGCTGCCGTCGCTGTCAGTGGTGAGCGAGGCCTTGGCCTAGGTCGATCTGGAGGCATGCCAGGCGGTCTCATGGCGAACTTGTGGGGGTCTGTGAATTGGGGCTATATTAACCGTCTAGAACGAGGAGAGGTGACGACCGCTCGAGAAAGGAGTGCCTCTCAGCCACCGAGCCCAATAGAACCACTCGATAAACCGAGCGATGGTTCGGTCGATCCGTCTCCCGCAACTGCTACGTCTGCTGTGGCAGTCCACCGCAAGTCGATGAGTATGGGTGACCCCACCCAATCGCCGGTGCAGAGACCAACTATCGTCACGGACGACTTTCCAAATTACTACCCGCTGGCACTGAGAGTACAAGATGCACAGTTCCGGATATTATTCCCGAATGTGCCGCGGGCAGAAAAGGTTGTCCTCGTCTTCCGAGCTGTCTGGAACCCAACCGAACAGCAAGAATTTCCAGGTAGAGTTTACATTACTGCAAAAGACATTTTCTTCTTCAGCAACCACATGGGCCTCGTTCTTATCACTGGCATCAGCCTCTCTTCTATTGACGAAGTTACTGCGGCTCCCGGAAAGGAGTGTGACTTCCTATTCCTGCACTTCAAGACGGGTTCTCGCGAAGATGGCGCAACACGTCTCACGGTCAAGACCTTCCTTGAGCCTCTTAGACTCCTCCAACGCCGTCTAAACTTCCTCGTCCGGAATGCCACCTCTAGCGAACATGGTCTTGAAGAATTAGTAAAGCGGTTGATTAAAATGGAAGTCACTGACGGCGACCACTCCCCCAGCGCCGAAAGCTGGGAAGATGTATCCGTCTCCACCCCCATGGACCCGGGCTACGGCGGCAAAGATGTCAAAGCGAGCCTGCGCATCGACGGGAACCTCTTCGGCCCCCCGGGCATTAACATTAGTAAAAACGCCACAAAATTCAAACTACCCACTCAACCCGTCATCCACACCCCACACAACATGACCCAAGTTGTCATAGACAAAGACTTCGATATCAGCGCCAAAGCCCTCTTCCACGTCCTCTTCGGTGACAAATCCACCGTCTTCCAAATGCTATACCGCGAGCGCTGGGCCCAACGCGTTGTCCAGGGCCCCTGGCTAACATCCGACCAAGGCATCCAACGACGAGACTTCGAGTACGAAATCGCGGCGCCTGGAAGCGCGTCGGCTATCGTCATAAATGACTACCAGGTCATCGAAGTGCTCAACGACCATCTCTGCTACGTCGTGGCAAACCGTCAAACCCCATGGTACCTCCCTTCCTCCGACCGCTTTATGCTGCTCAGCAAAATCGTAATAACACACGTCGCAAAAGCTCGCTGTAGACTCTCCATCCACACGAAAGTCGACTGGTCCCGCAACCCACGCATCGCGAAATCCCTCATCGAACGTCAGGCCCTTCAGGATCTGGACCTCGAAGCCCAGGACCTTGTCGACGTCATCAATGACCAAGTCGCGCGTCTCGGATATAACCGGTCCACAGGCAAAGTTACGAGTATATTCGGGCAGATTGGCTTGCAAACGCAGACGGCGCAGTTCAGTGCCGCCGATATTCCACCACCAAATCGTCCCAGGAAATTCAAACTCACCCCTCAGTCCTTGACCAGCGTGATTGTGCAGCTCGTAGGCAATGTTGTCATCTCAGTCCTGAGCACTGGCATGAGTTGGATACTGGCGGTGATTGCAAGTGTGGGGAATTTTGTCTCTGCCCATAAGCTACTTATGGTGTTACTGATGATGAGTAGCGGTGCGAATTTTTGGTATGGAGGGAGGGATGGGTGGGATTGGTGGAATGAGAGGAATGCGGGAAGGTTTATGAAGGGATTGGGGGTGGGGCCGAGTACGACTATGGCGAGAGCGGTGTGGTTGAAGGATTTGGAGGTGGGGTTTGTGGGGGGGAATGGGTCGGATGCCTTCGTTGATGCTGTTTTTTTGGCTGGGCTAGATGAGGAGGCGCTGAGGGGAGGAAATAAGTGGTAAGACCTTACTCTTCTTTATTTCCTTGCCTTGCCCCTTTAACCCTTCATCCCTTTCCCTCCTCGTACTATTCTATACTAACCCACCATCTGCACAGCCACCAAACTTTCACCTCACTCTTAACCTCTGCCACTCAACCTCAATCTCCTTTATCGTCTTCAACACACACATCCCGTCGTCTCCACCGCACACGCCAACACCTAGGCTCCCACCGCCACGATCTTCTTGTCGCACTGCGTGTTGTTAATCGCATTGAAAAGGAAGTCTTGGAAGCCGAGTATGAGAATTGGTTGCTCGATGAGACAGAGAAGTGTGGGAGGGTAGGGATGATGATCTCAGATGGGGGAGTGGGAGATGGAGGCGGAGGGAAAGAGAGGGGGAATGGAGGGAAGCCGGAGAGGGAGGGGAGGGGGATCAGAGAAGTAGAAGAGTGGGTTAAAGGGTATTGTGGAGATTGTGAGAGGGCGTTGGATGGAGTTAAGGATAGGAGAGGAGGACCGGTATTGATTTAGGAGTGTTGGTTAACCATCTGGGTGGGATTGAATTGGGGTTGGAGGTCATCATGGCCTAAGTGCATCGTTTTGGAATTGGATGGATTGCTCTGTAGGTTGGTACGTAGGAATGTGATGATATCCCGATCAAGAACATAGTTGACGTACTGGAGCATTTAGGGCACAGTCTTAGATGAAACGAGCGAATTTACATTGCACCCTAGGAATCTAGGTGATTCGAAGTGATGTACATCATGAGAGTACCGACGAGATAGCTAAAGCAAGTTAGTCTGGTTTACCTGATAGATCTTTACAGACCAGACTAGAGTTTTGCGAAGCTACAATGATTATATGCACTCATGTCTAACTCGTCCAAACATAGTAGCGAGCTTCTCTAATTCACTGTCTGGCTAGCCAAACCCCATTCTAGTCCCACATAGGCATTGGTAGCTACTCTATTGTGGAGAACTGTCATGTATGCTACGTTTGATAAAGTACGTGAGTAGCCATTATTTGATTATCAAAACCCAAAGTACGTACATGTTGTTTCTGGACATGTAGGTGACCAGAAAAGCTAGAAAACGGCATGGTCACGTTTCGGAAGGATTGATTGCTTAACGGTGGGGGAATTTATACTAGTCTGGGAAAGACAGATGGTGTACGAGTCATCGAACTCCTTAGGCTCTCCCTCGAGATATTTCCTCCTTTACCTAGCAGTGATTAGCGGGCAGAAATATCTGCAGAGGAAAGCAGTATTGATGAAGGCCGGGTTTTTCAGTATTGTCCACGTCTCGAGCGAATAGTAAGAGTTATTTCTTGTGGAACCGGCAGTGATTCTATCAGTGCTCAGGATTAGGAGGCTACTAGGATCGATACATTTACCTTCACGCATCACTTTCTGGTATATCAATCTCAATAGAAAAACCAAGGGACTAGCCGACTACTAGCTAGCCGGCCACTCCATACAAATTAGTCGCTTCTGCGATCATTTCCCCACCTTCCTCCCGACGCCCTTTTAGCGACCACCCACATCAATTCCAACATCTTCCTCCCAGCTCATCCACCAACCCCTCAACCAACCCCATGGCTACTCCAACTCTCCAACTACCCCGCCACCAAGGTCGCGACTTCCGCCACGCTTCCTATCATCCACCCCCGCCCTATACTACCCAGTAGAGGAATTCAATAACATCCAATCCATCTCCGGCATCAACAATTCCATGCTACAACTCTTCTGCCTCAACACCCCCAGGTTTCTCACCCTCAGCGGCATCTTCACAATCCCCCTACAATTCTATTACCTCGGGGGCGGGCCGTACGGAAACTCCGTACTACTTCATGACGGCTATCCATCCTACCAATATTTCGAATGGATTGAGCAAGCATATGCAGCTAACGACGATGTGATTGAAGTCGTGCTTCTGATGCGAGTCGACGAGTTATGTGGGTTCTACACCGCATCAAGGTTTCTAAGCATGCACCAACAAGGCCTGTAAATCGAGCGTATCATTGTACACATTTTGCACCCCCCCCCCCCATGCCCATACCCACATCCTCAGCGTCACGGATGTCCGCGAACTCTGGGAAACGTTCCAGGATCGCTAGACTAGTAGGGGAATGATTGCATTGATTCAGAATCTCCAAGGCATCACTATACCGGCGGGGAAAGTGGCGGAGAATATGGGAGATAATACTGCGAGCTACCAGTTGGCGAATTTTAAGGCGTTGGTGTTTGGAATCCGAGGTTGGAGGGGCTGTTTGAGCATAATCATTTGGGGGAATGGGTAGAGAAGATGGAGGTAGGTCTAGTTCTAGATTGGGCGGAGATAATAAGATTTGAGCAGTGGTTAGGGGAGATTGAGATACTGATGCAGGAAGGGGGGTTGGAAGGCGTAGATGGGGAGAAAGGGGGGTAAGTAGGGTTTATTTGTTTAAGACATGTGAATGAAGTGTAGCATATCATATGATGCAGATATTGAGCCCAGTTTCAAGAAAAACGTTAGGACGTTAAACTAGCCATTGTAAAATGGACATGGTGGGGCTGGGATACGACGGCGAGTTTGCGAGTGGAAGTATTCTATAAAAGTGTGATGTATGATACTGGAAATATGGAGTGGATATGCGCATGTATGGAGTGGAAGAGGACTTGTGATGGGCCAGGTCAGAGAAGATCACCCGAGGATTGTGTACGAAATCCGCGCAGCGTTAACATGAGCACGGTGTAGGGAATATTACAGGACGCTATAGGACCCTTGCGTCAATCCACTCTCCATGTGCTGATAAGGCCTCTTCTTTTCTAGAAGCCTTTGAGCTCTCAGATAACTTAATTTTGTTATTATTAGCCCTTAGAATTCTCAGTTGAAACCATATTCTCCGCGCCTAACATAAAGTAGTGTGCCACTCCCTTCCCCAAAAACAGGGCGTCGATCAGTTCCGCGTTTCATAAAGCGAATCCGAACGCGATACCCTGTCGATCCCGAACGCCGAACATGGGTTCCATCCCCACATATATATCGATAGCTACGCCACCTTTAGAATCGCACAACAATAAGACAGGCCCCAAACAACGTTGAACCAAAACCACAATAAATCCCATTCTACTTCCCTCAACCCTGCACTCATCCCGATCTTCAGCATCCCCCACTCACCATGGCCACCGAAACCACGACCACAGCGGCACTTTGCTCCCAAGAAACCGACATAATCTCAACCACCCTCACATTCTGGAAAAATCTGACTTCCCCGCCAGCTCCTCTTGATTTCACTCAGCCCGGGACGGAAAAGATCTTCGACGACCTCAATAAACTAAACGAAACCGTGCCCATCATGATTCACGACATTCGCGGCTGCGAGTCCAACTTTAGCTTGGAGAAGAATGGATTCCAATACGTCGACCACGACATCCCAGGGCTGGAGAAATGTAAGACAGATGATGAGATTCGGGAAGTTTTAATTCCTGCGACGGAAGAGCTAGTGAAAAAGATGTACGTCAGACTTGCAGGCTGCCAGCCAACCATACTACCAAGTGATATCAGCCGCAAGGATAAAGCGCTGACTCAATCCCAGTACCGGCGCCTACAGAACCCTCGTCTTCACCCACCGAATCCGCAACCTCGCCTCTGACACCTCCAAACGCGCCGACAATCGAGCTCCGGCGCACAGCGTCCACACGGACTTCACCTCAGCCGGCGCGCTCCAGCACCTCTCGACCGTCATCAAAGACCCTGACACCCTTACCTCGCTTACAAATCCCAATATCCGTGTCTTAGCCATCAACGTCTGGCGGCCTTTGAAGCGCATTCAAAAAGACCCTCTCGCAATCTGCGACTGGAGATCCTTCAATCCCTCTTGTATCATTCCCAATCGCATGATTTTTCCTGGGGGTTTTTGGAACGAGCTGGGAAAGGTTAAATATGAGGCGGGACAGAAGTGGTATACGTTGAAGGGACAGATGCCGAGTGAGCCGGTAGTGTTTAAACAGTTTGATAGTAGGGTGCCTGAGGGGGGCATGACGGTGCCGCATTCAGCGTTTGTGGATCCTGAGTGGGTGGATAAGGAGGCGAGGGAGAGCGTTGAGATTAAAATGTTTGCTTTTGTGGAGGAGTAGGTGTTGAGGGGCCCCGGGATGGGGAGTGGTGCAAGAAATTTCGAAGTGCTTTGCACGCGGAATGGGTGGATCGGGAAGCTAGGCACAATAGACAAGAACACTGGTCTATTTCATGAAGCATCAAAAGTCATATATTACATCTAAACTCCTTCCAGCTGGCAAGAAACCACCACTCCGTGGCCGCATACTCCAGAATCTTAATATATTGCCCCAGTACCACCATTGCGGCCGGCTCTTGAGTGCGTAATATATCTATATACGCCCCATTCAGTTTGATTGGCCATAGCATCGCAGTCCTCATCGCGGCGTGAGATGAATTCTCAAGACCAGATTGAAGTGCATCTCGAAGATTCACCATCGCCATGTACGCGACTTCAGACTCCGGCGTAGGGCCTTGACTCGATGCTGTCTGCAGCTCCCTTAACAGGGAGGAGAGAAGAGGAGGAAGCCTGGGAGGATCAACTGCAGGGCGAAATATAGATGCGAAGGGACCACTTTGAATCAAGGGTTCCGTCGTCTTGAGGACCTCGTTCATGCCCCTCAGGAGTTGGAAAAGGCCGATAAGGACGTCCAGCGTTTTAGGTCCTGAGTCTGCAAATGAGTTGAGAGTTATTAAACTCGCGGCTGCAAAGAGTGCGTGGCAGTTTTCTGGAGTAATGCTCGGTAAGACACCGTTGATGCCGGTAATGGCAGAGCTTTGATGGGAGGAGGCGAGTAACCGGTAGTGGCTCTGAGACGAAGGGTTAATATGCGCCAGATGGTAGGCCGAAAATGCTAGCAAGCTGTGCATGAGAAAGGGGTTTCGAAATGCTTCTTGTGGTACAGCATAGCCCCAAGTTTGCTTTGCTTGCTCGACACCAGGCATCGTGAGATGCGCGTGGGCGGTATAGTGGTGCATGAGCTCCAGATCTTGTATCCAGTCGCATGTGCCGGGATGGTCTTCCGTGCACTTATGATTGGCCGGCGTAATTTTCGTTTTGGCCAACCCATGTGCTAGGTTTGGAAGGGCAGGACTGCTCACAAGGCTGCATTCAGCACCATATTTGGTGCAATTGGAACATGGTACTCTCTCGTCGCACTGCGAGCTGTCAGCATGTCGGAAAAAGATCCACACACGACGTGTTTCAATGAAACTTTCGTCAGCGACTGGCGTACGTACTTTCACGTGTCTGGTTTTGCATTGCTTACAGCCATTCCGCGACTTCCGAGATCCTAGCCGTGGCATAACCGCTCTAGAATGATGAGCCCGTTCTTGCAGATATACGGAGTACGAGAGCAGTTGTTGTGCTGATGGGTAGATTGAGGTAAAGTGCGAGTCCGAGTACGAGGATGCGATTCCGAAACCGCTAAAGTAGCGTCTGAGAAAGCAGAAGATCGGCATATATCAACCAATCAGAGTGAAGTGGATTTCGGCGTGTGAAATAAACCATTTGTGGATCATCGCAAAGGCTCTTATATAGTCGCGAGCCCGCCGATCGAATAGAAGATCTCTTGGCGCACAGCCATGGTTTAGGGTTCGTCATCCGTGGTGGCTTCACCTCCCAGTTCCTCCTGCAATTTCGTCCGATGCACTTGAATGGTAGTGCTTGCGAAGATATCTCCAGTCCGTCGCTTCTTCTACGGCCCTATTTCAGCGGTGACGAGGATTTCTCAGAGATGTCGGACGTACTTAAGATGGCTCGGTTGATCGATATTTCTAACTTCCTTCACATCGCCACATCTCGAAACATTCCACAATTCCTACGCCCTTCTCTTCTCTCCAGCCTCGATCTTTCGCAATGTATTCATCGGTAGGGGCAGTATTTTGCACCCTTCTAGCCAGCTCTTCGGCATTCCAGAGCTTCGAGCTTCGAGCATCCACAAATACGTCTGATCCTTCGACGGCCTGCAGTGTCCTCAAGCAATCATATCCAAACATTACATTCCTCCCAGAGGATGACAGATATACTACCGAAAACGAAGGTTCGCACAATCCAGCCCTATCCATTTTCCAATTTGCATTCTCGCTACTGACCCGCCTCAGCTTCATGGACCTCAGCAGCATGGCTCGGACCCGCCTGTATCTTTGCCCCGGCCTGCGCGAATCAACTTTCATTCGCCGTGAAGACCTTGGTCAATACTTCGACATTGTTTGCCATGCGTGGAGGCGGTCACATGCCGATCTCGGATGCCGCAAATATCAACTCTAGCGGGGTCCTAATATCCAGCACGAACTTGAATACCCTTCAGCTGTCTGACGACAAGCAGACCATGTCCATCGGTCCAGGGCCACGATGGGGCGATGTATTTAATTACTTGGAAGGCACGAACTTAACAATCGTTGGCGGAAGACTGGGTCCAGTGGGCGTGCCTGGCTTGCTATTAGGCGGCGGTATTTCCTGGTACAGCTATAAGTACGGTATGGCATCTGCAGGCGGGAAGATAAAAGCATATGAGGTATGCCTCCAAGCCACCAAGCTAGCCCGCCAACTCCACCAAATCACTTCCTTCTCATAAAACGGAGGTTGCTAACAATCCCCAGGCTGTCCTCGCAGACGGGACCATCGCAACCATCACCGCTAATTCCTCCTACTCCGACCTCCATTGGGCCCTCCAAGGCGGCGGAAACTCCTTTGCACTAATAACCCGCTTCGACTTACAGACTTTCCCCTCCGGCCCTACCCTCATGGCAGAAGCCTCATACGGCTCCTCCAACACCACCCGCGACGCCTGGCTCTCTGCAATCCTAAACTTCGCGCTCACTAGCCACGAAGACACGTCCGCTGCAATCATACCGGTAGCTAGATGGGGACCAAATTCAACAGCTCCGAGCTACGAAACCACGCTCTTCTATGCCAATTCCGTCGCTCCTTCAACCGGCGTATTCGCGGAAATGGTGAACGGAAATACCACAACGGGGTTGAAAGCGCTGAACGGGTCTTCAACACTGCAACCACTGACACTTGCGCAATATGGAGCCGCTGTTCGTCCAGCGTTTAAACCTGGCGGAGAATCCTACGGCTTGCGGCAGAAATTCCGGGTTATCAGTACGAAAGCAACGATGGAAGCTTTGCGCATTGTCCACGATACATACATAGCCGGACTAAAATCCAGCGGGATAGCGAACCGGCTCCCAGGCTTCTTTTCTGGCCTTGCATTCAACGCTGTCACCAAAACGTTTGCAGAGAAATCGGCGGGTATGCCGCAGAATGTTCCCCCCGAGCCGGCGTTTTGGATCGAGCAGAGTTTAACATGGGAGGCTGCGGAAGATGATAAAGAGGTTGAAGAGTGGCTGTCTAGGGTTGATGAGGAGATTTATGAGAAGCTGGAGGAAGTGGGAGGTGCAGGCAGGTATGTGTATTTGAATGATGCGGATAAGGGGCAGGCAGTTTTTGAAGGCTATGGGGAGGAGAATGTAAGGAAGCTGAAAGAGATTAGGGGGAAGTATGATCCTGGGAGGGTTTTTACAGAGCTTATGCCTGGGGGTTTTAAGGTAGAAGGGTCGTAGGGTTGTGGGGTTGTAGGGCAGGGGGGGTAGTATAACTGTTGGAAAATTCGGATCTAGGATATGAAGCACTCACCATAGCTTTACTTCTCCTTCTAGAAATTCACCACCAGATATACTTCTCTGAACTCTATCTCTATTACACCAACCTCTCACAAATTACTCGTTAAGATACTCCTTTCTTTCCTGCCAGCCTTCTAAATACCTCTTGATCTCATCACCAACCCGCCTTTCTTTTGCCACTGTAAAATTTCCGAAACCCAAGATCTCCCCACCTTCTTATGCTGCACAATTTCCATAGGGCTGGTTATCTTCTGGCACTCTGTCGTAGTACGTATGAGACTAACGCTACTACCGCTATAACTCCTGCTTCTGTTTCCATTGGACATTGGTGAGCGTGCGTTATCGGGTGCGAAGGATACTGGTGGCGTGGAGAAAATCGGACATTCCACAGAGCGACGACCCCTGGGGTGAGGAGAAACAAACTACGACAGAAGCGCAGTTCCTAAACTAAGAGCATGAAGCGTAAAACTTTGCTCACGTCTACCATAGCCACTTCAGGGTTTTCTGCTTCCACAATGAGCTACCAGAATATGCCCTGCGGCCGTTTACGCACTATATTGACCCGCGTCCGATCTTTGGGTTTATCGGGGTCTTCAGGATTGTCTAGGTTATCCAATCTCGCGAATCAACCAAGTTACGAGGATGGGCCGGCGGCAGTAGCGGTTTTCATAGCTTGATACTACTGAGTAGTCAGCGGCTGTAAAATAGGACATTGTAAATAGGATGAACATACGGGGCTCTGTGGTTAGAGTATCTATATTGATATGTGCAAAAAGCCTCGCGGCGATAGTATGCATGTGACAATGAAAGGATTACGGAAGGCAAATCTGCGTGGTTGAGGAATTTGGTGCAAAAGAAGGTCATAGGAGTGTTTGCTCGCAGAACGCCTGCCCAGGCATTTTGCCTTGAAAGATCACATGGGACACTGCAACACACACAGAAGACCTCCTAGCGAAACATCTCGTGGTGATGAAGAACAGATCCAAGCGGCACTAGTTATGTGACCTAAAACAGTGACTAGTTAAACTGTCATCATATACTGCGTTATGGTCTTGCGTCCGAGTGAGATATAAGTTCGCACTCCACTTCCATCATCCCCTTAACATTAAACTTCTCTTCATCAACTGTCTCAACAGAAATAGCAAGAAAAACTCAACATACTTCTTCCAGTTTGCAATATATTACATACCTTTTCAAGAATCCCAAGCACTTCCAGTGATCTAGGTCAAAGTCCACTAAGCTTTCACCTACACCACCGCCAGGTGTAATACCGCCCAGGTTACTAGCGCCATCCACTACACTAAGAAATCAAGACCGTACGCTTCAATTGCCACCCACAAGCCACCAACCTGGATTCCTATTGACCCATCATTGGCCCAGTTTAGTACAGTGAGCTGCCGAGCGCAGCCCTATTCCAGAGCCTCCAGGAGGGGTCCAACACAGAGTTCTGCCCTCCTATCATTTCTAATGGATAGTATGGTAAATTCTCGATGGAACATATTGCCGAAAGAATTGGGAGAGGAGATTCTAGCCAGATCCTAACATCAATAGTATATACAGCAAATCTCATAGTCAACCTTCCGTTGTATTAATGGCAATAGCCTACTCTCTCTCTCATATATATACCCTGGAGACCCCTAATTCAGGAGGTTTTGATTCGTGTGTTTCGTAACCATCTTGTGATTCACGGAATTACATCACCCAATCAGCTGTGGAGAAGAATAATCCAAATCCATTAGAATAGTAGTTACGTGGAAGCGCATGCAACAAGTAGATCTTGGACTGCTTCTACGCAGCGGAAGTAAATAGAAAGGAGAGCAGAATCTCAAGTAACTTTTGCGGAAATCGTCTACGTTTTGTTGCTTGCTGTTGTGGAGACTTTTTGTTGATATTTTAAGAGTAGTGGTAGGCAGACTAATATATCGTAATCGTAAAGCTAGAGGATTCTGACGAGGATTAGCTACCTCGCCAAAATCATTACAGATGAAAGGCAAGAGCAGAGTAGGTGTGAGGTTATATGTAAGAGTACAGTGAGTAGACAAATTTGATACGGTTGTACGCGCACTTCAATTACTTCATGGACTTCATTGACTCTAATAGACTTCATTGACTCAAATAGTGCTTAAAATTCCATATCGTCATCGCTGAAACCGGCCAGTTCATCCACATGAATGCCGCCAATATAGTTCCATATATCTTTCAAGGAATCATCCAGGTATCTGACTGGAACCCGGTCACTATTTTCGAAAGCGCTGCCCGCCCGGAGACCGTTAACGCCCTGGCTTTCGAGAAAACGGATGCAACCGTGGGATGAAACTGAGCCCGTACAGGGGCCAATAATCCCACCATCTTTAGGAACCAGGTTACCGTTCACCATTTCCACTGCTCCATACCAGGGGGCGATGCGAGCATTTACAACATTGTCTCTGACCCCTCCTGGTTTTGCTACCGCCGATAGAGGCTGTTTGTTGACTGCCATATATATTCCACCAGCAACGATTTCCCCACAGTTTCCGTTTTGGTTGTGCCTTAGCATTCCTGGCATTGGATATCCTTGCTGGCTAATACCGCACTCATTTAATGTTCTCGTGATGTCGGATATCGCAGGCTGATTGTTGGCCATGGCATCCGCGGGCTTGAAAAAGATGTTCGGGTTGGAGTTCCCTTTGAAGGAGCTTGCAAAGTAGACCCGGTTTCCGATGGCCAAAGCAGACATGACCTATACACAGTGAGCAGGGTGTCAACAGGCACATGTTTGGGCCACGAAAATAATCACTGACCGGAGGGATTAGTGGATAATTTGAGCCACAAGTTACGCGATTGGCGGCATAGATGGGAACCATCTCCGCATACGCTTGACGGGCTAATCCAGCCAACTGGGCATCGGAAAGCCAGTCCTTTGTATCTGCATCGTATTCCACAACGCTGGTGTATGTTACATGTCTGTTGGAATATGCCTGCTGCCAGATGTCGTTTTGGTGAATGATAAGATCAGTCGTGTAGCCATTTGCAGGCGTTGCAAGTGAGGGGTTGGTCTGTAAAAAGAATGCAAGAAGCAGAAAAGAGCAATGGAGGGCATTGCCGAACATTTTGTGATGTGATGGAACGATTGTAAAGCCTCAGAATATGCTTGCACCCTGTAACTAGTCGGGTAGAAATCTCAAGAGATGATATGTTTAATGCCAAATTTACTCTTGAAGGTTGTTGGTACTTATAACCATCGATCATTGATCACGTAAAGCAGTCATAGGGAGAGTGGTAGTGTCAAATATTGAACCCCCAATTTCTCGATTCAATCCTTAAGGATTGCATCGTGCCAATCGATTGTTCGTGAAAGTTGGCTCCGCCCGCGTAAACTGCACAACTCAGTCCACTTTTTCCTACAAATTCTAAAGAGTGTTTCATGGCGTTAAAATTTAAATTTTTTAGCGCGAAAAGAAAGCTACGCGCCGGCAGTCTCAATCCTTTAGTGGATCAAATACGGTAGTTGTCTAAAAACAACTCGTACTCGGCCTTTTATAAGATATCATACCGACACAAGATGTTTTAGTCAACAGCCACACATGGCCGTAAGTTTCCTTTGTTTTCTGCGGTTCTATAGTAGGATCTGGGCAGCGGTTGAAAAATGTACCCAAAAGGCCTAGCTCACTCCGCATTAACATATAGCCGTATTCGTTTTAAAAAGGAGTCCATATATCAGTATTAAGTCCAGTAATTAATCCTTCAGGTTGTTCGTATTCAGAGAATGAAGCCTTCATACTGCTGTTGGAGAGGCCGAATTGAGTTCCATTCGTGCGATTTATTCGAAGCTAACAGATTTGGGGGCTACCAAAACAGCCTCGCTGCCTCGGACCCGAGATTTTGAGTTTCGGGGCCACGTGCAGAATTCTCCTCACACGGCGCCAAGCCTGAGGTAGCCGCTGCGCCTAGTTCTAATTCCCCAATTAGAATCGGTCAGCCCATAACTTTCCTGTCAGCGGGAGATATATACTACGCTTGGGCCTAATCCTCCAATCACGATTTGAGCTAGCGGGTAGACTACAACTTCGAAGGAGTTTACACTCTTTCCACCAGTTTCGAGCACTCGAACTAAAGCTGTTCCTTCAATCCTGTCATATCCTTTTGAGTTTGCCAAGCAAGACTCAGCGGTAAGGCCGTAATCCCTACCTTGTTTGGGTGAATTCTTAAGGTATATATTCTTCATAGTGGAAGCATCGGTTGAAAATGCCAGACGACTTGGTTCATACTTGATCCCATTTGCATTTCCTTCTCTGGCGTCATTGTTGGCAGAACTTATTCAGTTGAGCTAAAATGAGGGTGTTATCTCACCTTATACCACTTGTCTCTTTGTTTTGTACCTCCACACATTCATACCCGCAAGGGGATGTAATATCGCCAATATCAGCAGACCCGTTTGACTACCCATCGGACTTTTCTTGGATCCAGAGTTATGCAGCCGTTGGCGACAGCTATGCGGCCGGCATTGGTGTCGGCACAGTACTTGGCCAGCCTGATGCAGTGCAATGCAGCAGATATGATGGTGCCTATCCCCAGAAAATGAATAGTGTTATTCAAGCCCCCAACTTCCAGTTCATCGCCTGTTCTGGGCATACCAGCAAGGACATGATAATGAACCAAATTGGCCAGCTGCAAGACAACTCGTACGACTTGATCACCGTCTCTGCAGGCGGGAATGATGTCGGGTTCTCTGATGTGTTGAAGGCTTGTCTTTTCTTACCGACGCCGGTGAGTTCTACATCCATTCATACATTGAAGTCCGAGCGCTGCTTATCAAACATTAGATGTCGAAGTGCACGGAGGCATTGACCAATGCCGAGGCCTTCATCGATACGAGCCTTGAGAGGTCAATATACGATCTTCTTAACGGGCTTGCCCCAAAGCTAAGACCGGCTGGGTTTTTCGTCCAGACTCTGTACGCCAAATTCTTTGACGAAACACCAGGCACATGCGACAAGCAGTCTTGGTGCTTTTTAAACCCCACTGTTGATGGGTGCTTGAAAGTTGACGTCCCTATGCGGTCCGAGTTCAATCGCCTGGTGGGAAAAACAAACCAAAAGCTCTTTGATACTATCAAAAGGTGGAATTCAGAGAGCTCTGCAAAAAATGTTTATGCTGCACACTGGGGTGGATGGCCAATCGCGTTAGACGGACAGTAAGTATATTCTCCCTCTATGTCAACGTTGAACTAATATCATTAATAGACTCTGTGAACCTGGCTCAGCAGATAGATATAGCGACCCAAGCAACGCTGGGCTCGCTTTCATCCGACCTGATGTCGGGAACGTTTTCATTCCACCCGAAAGAAGAGAACTGGAGTTGATGAACATCACGGCCCAGTCCGTCGACGACCACAGCCTCCAGAAAAGGCTTCCAGATGTTATCATGCAATATTTCCATCCAACCGACTGGGGGACGAATATGCAGGCCGCCGTAGGTTTGTCTGCGGTCTCAAAAGGGCGAGCGCATATGGATGCTGCGGACCGAAACCAACCTCACCTCTGCTCAGTCGACCCTCCACCAGGGGGGCAGGATGTCGTCGCCCCCACTCCAGGCCAAGGCGTTGCCGCCCCCTCTGCGGGCGGAGGCAACGATCCCTCGCCGACTCCAGGCGGAGTTAGAGTTCGAAGAGGTAGAGTGGGGCGCTAAAATTGCGGATCTCGTTATCACTGTTTCTCCCAATGTAGGAGTAGTTCTAGGGTAGTATATTAAATATATTGGTTCACACTGAAAACTCGTTGTTATGGTCAGACAACTATTCAACGCGGCAAAAAAGCTTACGAATTGTTTCGCAACTTTATCCCGCTACACTATCAGCTATAGTAAAGAGAAAATAACTTGCAGTCTGAGTCGTCACTCATACTAAGAACGCTGCTGGATATTGTTACGGTCGTTTACCTGAGAACTAGAACCTCACCGGTCAATTGTAGAGCCATGCGAGGAAGGAATTGTTGAAACGATCTAATTGAGCGTGGGATACAGTTTCGCAATCTCATATAGACCGAATTCCTACATGTACTGGTGCGCAGACAGGCTGCAGGAAAATATGGCGATATCCAAACTCTTGAAAAGCAGTCTTTGGAGCGCGATGAGCCTAGGCCGGTGGAATCTAACTACTTCAAAAAAGGGTGTGGGTGTGGGGTAAAGCTAGGTGAGGGTAACTTTTATGCAGTTGCAATCCAGGGGAATACTAGGGAGAAATGACTGTAAAGGAGGGTTAGAACAACTGCATAGCTTAAGAGAAATATCTTGCTAGTGCAAAGCAAGGATTTGTGAGGGTAGGTGATGTTGGGGGTTGATGCGTACATGAGAAAAGAACAAGGCTGTCGGCAAACGGATTTTGATAATCAATGTTTGGGTACGAGAAATCTGAATTGAAAGTTTCTTCGCAGTTCATGGCCTCAGAGGAGACGATATATAGCGACAAAAGCACATGAATTCCGCAATGACTGATGTATGACTGCTATCGCATTATTTTGTGGAAGGAGGTGGCACTGGAGTAAGCATCGTCGAATGAAATTTGATTGACAAACGTACGATGACCTGGGCATTGCGCGTTTGCTGGGAGGTAGCCATCATATTAGAAACGTTGTATATCGTAGCAGTCATGAGTTTTGCTATCAAGTTGCTACAACCTGTAAATTTACTGCGCAACATTCAATTTACAGAGTGAAGTATTCGCGGACGTGAAAGAAATTGCCAAGAAGACGCAGAGAGCCTGAGACTTCATCCACGCTCACGTGACTGCGAAAAATTACATAGATTCCTTAGATGACGGATCAAAGCTCACAAGACTTACTGAAGGCGAACAATAAACAACCACATAACACACACAAGTTCTCCACACCTACACCGAGCGGCATCCAACACCCCGCATCGCGCGCAATGAGCAAAGCATTATGCCGAACATCTTTAACGGCACCCAAAATGCAATGATGAATCAAGGTATTGCGGACTTGAAACTCTACGATACTTACGGGCAAGGACTACACCGGAATGTGCAGATTTCCCCGCACGATATGCAGCTCTTCATGCGCGATGGTGACCTCATGTTCTCCAGACTGCCTGATAGACATGTTAGAAAACCGCGACCCTCCTGAGAGGAGTTACGTCAATGTGTACCATGGACATGGTCTCATTGGCTACGATTAATGAGACGGGGTGGATATGGACCTTTGTCATCAGCGTAAGTAGAATTTCGTTGATGGAGAAGGGGGTTGGGAGGTTGACCATCGGATTGAAAATAGCCGCTTGAATGTGAGGTGGGCTGGCGCGGCTAGAGCGGCTGGCAGCGACACGTCTTCTGCGGAATCGCAACGTCGTCAGGGATCTGGTGGACAAGCTCTGCCAAACCAGATGATGTAGGACTGCTTTGGCGATTGAAATCATGGCCTAGCCTTCCTTGAGATGCTCATCCTGGCTCTTATGGAGAGGCCGAACGCCTTGGGATACGGGTGGGCGACATTCCGGGCCGCTGGCAACCTTGTGGTTAGTAAATTGTAAATGGTCGGCCTTGTTGCAGGCGACTGGACTAGGAAAGCTTGTCCACTAGTGTAACCGCAAGCCTCGCCAATAGTTTATAGAAAGTTTGCTTCAGAAATCCCGTGGACAAGGACCGCATGTTGGAGGAAATGGCGACGTACTAGCTGGATGGGGTAGGTCTTTCGAGCCTGGTGCTGGGGTGGAGTGGAAATCCTTTGGGATGTGGTTTCTATCTTAAATTTGTTTCCTGTCATGATGTGCGGCACCTTTTGAAAAGCTTGGGTCGCTTGCTGTCATGTTGAAAAAGGCCTGGGCGTTGTTAAGTATTATCGCCAGATCATGTTCAAATGAAAGGCCATTGAATATTCCTAGCATACCACAAACCCATCGCTAGCTGTCGTATTTCTGGCTTCAATCGTGGGGAGAGTTGGTGGGATGTGACCAGCGGCCCTAAAACATATGATATAGACCTTGTTTCTTCCTTCATCTCCAGTGTGCCGGGCCTAGATCGAGTGAAAATGTCCCTGAGAGATGCCCAGATGTTGTTGAAGGTTGAGAGAAGGTTGATGCTTGGGGAAACATCAGCCGGCTTCGGTAGCAAGAACCCGACGCCCAGTGCTCTCTTGTCTGCACACATGCAGCCTTACAGTCCAGGCGCCCACTACCATGGCGCCGTCACCGAGGTCCGCGTGGCACACCAGCATAATCCTCCTCGACAATTTTCACCTGTTTTGTCTTTTATTAATTGTGAACAATGTCTTTGTCACTTCCAAGATTCTTGTCACTCTTGACCGCTGGGGATGTCCCGAGGCCTGTTCTGCGCTTGCGCTGCAGAGCTGAGCAGTCAGCAAGCAGCCAACGCATCCACCACCTTATCACAGTGCTGGTGTTGTTCTCCTGTTCGGCTGGGAAGAGCTGGGATTTATCGGCTGGATAAATAGTTCAGCCACACCTGATTGAGCACGTATCGGACGAGTCAAGACCCCGCAGGGGCTCATTCGAATCTTGATGGCCTGTGTTCACTGATCAGAGATCACATTGGAGCTAGCGCGCCGGAACACTTCTAGTGGCTCCCCCCACTCCAATCCAATTCTACGCTGCAGCATGCCTCTCCTCCTGCTGTTGCTGCAGGACGTTGGGCAGATATACGAGCTGCGCCGTGTCCACTGACATCACGCCTCACAGTCGCATCGCTGCGTCTTGAGTCCCCCTTAGATTATTATCTCCGATATCCACGCACACAGCATGCCCCTGGATACCGACGACTTGGGCGAAGGTACGGATTATCGTGCAACATCAATATCTCCTGTCTGTACTACGGAGGATAGCATGGCAACGCTGACCACGGTCGAGCAGTCCCGCAAGCTTCCTCGTCGTCGAATGCCCTAACGCAGCAACCACGCGTGCGACGGCGCGCTAGGAAGCGCAATGGACCACCCCAACTCCAGTTTCTGACTGCGACCGACCCCTCGCAGTTTAAAGATGAGAACGCCAAACGCAGCGTGCGGTCGCAGGCCATGATACAATATCGATACCGGGCAGAGCAACAGAAACAGAAAGGGAAGGAGCCCTCGGAACGCAGTCCTGTTTCTGTGGCAAGACCGCCAGTGGCAGAGCGCATCGCGCCGGTAGTGACGAACGAGCCGCCATGGCAGAGCCGACCCAGCACTCTTATGGCGCGCGTGCTGGATGCGGAACAGGAGCAGGAGCACCTCTATTCTTCTACTTCGGCCGCCTGGATGGGATTGAACATAGACGAGGGCCTGGGAGACTCGCCCCGGCTCCCTTCGCACGAGACTTCTCTCACTCTCGCTCCGTCTTCCCGATACCATCGAGCTCTATCTGTTATCCCTCTTCACGATGCTGCGCAAAAAATATCAGACTACGAAGACAGTGACAAACACGAAGACACCCTGATGCGAATGCTGTGCGCGAAGCTCGCCACAGTCGTGCATCTGGGAGACGGTGTAGATCCGTTCAGTGTCATACCGCAGTTTGAGAGCCCTGAATTGGACTCGCTATATCTCGTCCGAAAATGTAAGCTGACAAATCGAGAGAGAGCAGTGTCATGTGTATCATGTTTACTTGGCATACGCCACGGTGCTGATGTCGTCCAGGTAATCGCGCATTTGTATCGAAAGCCACCATGGTAAAATGGATGCCCTCGATGCTGGCGCATCCGCACTCGTTGCTGAGCTCCACCATCTTGGCATCAACTTATCTCGACATGCATGCAGGCTGTTCTGGTGATAGCAAACGTACAGTCCTAGTCAAGGGCGAGGTCATTGGATGGATCAACGAAAGACTGCGCAACGCTGAGACTCAGTTTTCCGACTTGACGCTCACGGTCATTCTCCATCTTCTCGCAGGAGAAATGTGGAGTTGTAACGAGAAGACCCTCCGCATCCATGAATCCGGCGTCGCCAGACTCATTCTGCAACGGGGTGGCATGGAGAGCCTCGGTGGCAATGGAGCTCTTGGAGAAGTGGCTGCTGCGTAAGAATCTCCAGACCAATACCTAAATAGGTAGCTAATCGTTTTGCAGCTGCTGCTTCCACACCGACATTTTCTGCGAAGCCACACCGCATTCAATTTTCCAGTGTTGGGAACCTACTGAATTTGCCCCCGTCGAGGACAGCGCTGCTATCCCAGAATCGCCGCTGTTCTGTCCGAGAAGCGAGTTCTTCACAATCGCTCGGAGCCAATATTGCTCGGAAACTACATTCGACCTCTTGTGCGACATGCGAGATCTCACAGACCTATTCGTTAGCTATCACGGGTCCCTCGACACAGCCCTCGACGTCGAGTCACCCTCAGACAGAACCTGTTTAGTACCCTCCTCATCAGAATACGACACTAAAGTCTCTGCGATCTGTGCCCGCCTAGCCGCCCTCCCATCTGCCTACACCCCTGGCATCCCCATAACAAACGACTGGGTTTACGAAACTTGCCGCATTGCCTCCATCATCTACGCCTCTGCAATCCTCTACCATATCCCCTTCTCGGTTGCCTCCGAACCAGGCCGCTCACCCCTCCTCTCCAACTCCGTTTCCCTCACAAACTCTACAGCAGGCGGCCACCTCCTAACAACCCGGCTAACCGACGCCCTGTACGAAACACTGGAGAAGACTAATCTGGGTGATGTCTGGGGTGGCATGTCGGGGGTCTTGTATTGGGTGACGCTAGTTGGTGCGGCGGCGGCAAGAACGCCGGTGAGTGTTAATATGACGCAGACGCCGAAAAGTAGGACGGAGGCATATGCCACGTGGGTGAGGAGGTGCCTGATTATGTTTGCGACTAGGGCGATGATTGTGCTGGTTTTTGAGCATCCGTTGCCGGTTATTATGGCACAGAGAAAGATGTTGAAGGTGCAAGAGTTGACGGGGAGTGCGGGTGCGAGAAGGCTGGTTCCGTAAGTCGGACCTACGAAATACCGTACTTACGAAGGTGAGGGCATCATCAGCATCACCACATTCACATTTCAGGATTCTCGTGGTGGCAGTCCGCCATCTCTCCAAGAGCGACTGAGATTCATGGGACCCAATGGGATGCACCGGATTTGCCTGCCGAAGGCACCATAACGCCGGGCCAATCACAGAGGACGCCTTCATCTTCTGCCACATGCAAGCACATGTCGTCGCCTCATTCCACTCAACTCTAGACATGACAACAGCACATGCATCTGCAAATTCAAGGCCTAAAACCCCATTCTAGAAGCCTGTCTCACTCATGATCGATTCCAAACATCCATCATTGGCGCGCCTTGGCTTCGGGTTCCAGCGACTCTAAATTCTCGCAATAAGCAGTTACCATGCGCCCAGCTCCCAGGGAATGGGATAAAAAAGATAGTAAAAGCCCCGGGGTCCTAATCGTCTAGACAAGGTGGATAAATAGGCAAGCGATGCATGCAGGCGTACATAGACGACCTCCGAAAGAAGCATGTTGAATGTTCCAGAGCGAAGATTATAAGTACGGCTCTGTTGGAACGGCCTGGAATATTGATATTATCGATGAATACATATATTCCAGGAAATCTCCTTGCTGCGTTTGTTTTTCTACCAACTTTCAAGTGTCTCAGAAAACGGACTGTTCGCTTCCCGCCTCCCAACCCCCGTTGCCGATTCTTTGAAATCCAATCCCGATCCAAGACACCGACCAACCCAAATTTGTAGGTAGAAATACGGATTACCTCTGACTCCCAATCCAGTCAGTCATGATGTGCATTTGTAAGGCTGATTGGCTTGTGCAAATACATGACTGGTTATGGAGTTCCCAGTGCTTAGCGAGCTCAGACTCAGATCAGCATGTCTCTTTGCTGGACACGATAATTTTTCGTCCGCTCTACATATGCTCTCGGACAGCTGGATCGTCTTACAAATTCGAAAAGGCTATTTTCTGAATATTGTTCCGATTACTGGCTAGTCACCCGCCAAAAATTTGGAAGACCGTGGCTCGATTTTGTTCTAGGAGCAATTTCCTGTTCCACTTCCTTCGCAGCTGCCGCACGCCCCCGATTGGCCGCTTTCACGCATTCCCTGCATCCTCTGACTATCTCCGTGACCATCACCGTACCATCATACTGGAACTACGGGTGGGGGTGTTTCTGGTATTTATCTAATGCCTCCCCATCCCATCCACGATGCACACGAAAGCCACCATCGCTCTAAGTACTGTGCTCGGATTCTGCGTCGTCGCGATCATCATGCTACTTACTGCTCGCTTTCTTTGGCTCCACAGGTCGGCCAAGAAGACTGGCATCGACCCCGACGACATCGCTAGCTCGAAGACGATGAAGTACACCCTACATCCAAATACTCCATTTGAGATCCCATCGGCATCGCCGGAGAGGTCGTTAGTCAGGATGTTGATTCCCCGGATCCAGACTCAGACTCAGAAACAGAAAGAGAAGGGTCGACACGTGCCGAGCCTGTCGGGGATTCTGATTGCTGGAGATGAGGGTGTGTATACATCTGCGCTGTTTGAGAGGTTGCAAGAGCGTCCTGGGGATATTCAGTTAGGGGCTTTGATGGAGAGGTTTGCGGAAGAAGCGGCAAAGCGACCGGTGTTAGAGGAATCGAGATATCCCTCTGAAGTTGTAAGGTTTTTGGCGAGCTGTGGACACCGAGTGAGGAGGGGGCTTTCGGTGAAAAGGAAGAGAGATGCCAGTGTGCGAGCGGAGGTGTCGCAGGTACCACAGCGGAATTCTGGAGATGTGGATAGAGTGGAGAAGGGATTGGGATTGGGATTGGGGAGGGCGTTGTCGAAGAAATCGACTCCGATCTTGATTCCGACATTCAACGGATTGCCGTTATCAGAGGAGTCGGAACCACGAGGCGAGGGTGAAACCGCGGGTTCATCACCAGCTGCACCTGCATGGACAAAGCATATCCAACAAGTGCAACATGACTCGGGAAACCCTCGCATAACAATTACTATAACCCCATCAGAACTCGCCGCACTATCCGTCACTCTGGGCGCACCTGTCTCTCCGACCACTAAAACCACCGCCACTACCACCACACAAACCCCCCAAGAAACCCCCCAACAGTCATCCACCACCAAACCTCCATCTCCAACTTCTTCGGTACGCACTCAAGGCGCCTTCGGTATCTCCATCTCATCTACCCCTCTCGAGAACGGAGGATACAGCATCTCCCTACACCAACACAAACGAAGTATATCCCAGCTGCCAGCCCGGGGATCAGGCTACTCCCTCATCTTTGCGAAACATTTGGCTGCGAGTGCTCTGCCGTTCTCGCAAGATGGAGGGAGGGAGGGAGGGAGAGGGAAGGGGGGTGTTAATTCCATCGTTGTTACGAATGAGACGGTTGAAGGGGTTAGAGCGGGAATAGGAATGGGGATGCGGCGCTTGAGGGAGGAAGACCGAAGCGCGAGCGCAAGCGTGAGATGGATTGAAATGATGCCACATGCTGTGCCACCAACCCTCCACGTCCTTGTCCCCTCCCCACCCTCTTTCTCCCCCTCACCATCTCCAACCCTATCCCTTCACCCGCTCATCCCTCCCATCGCCGCTCTCCCATTCACAGGTGGTCTTGCCCCCCTCTCCTCCACCCCTATCATCCAAACTGTCAAATTCATTGCATCTGCCGGTCTACCCACAGGCCGCCTTCTTCAACGACTGGACGCGCTGGTAGATAAATTGCACCGACAGGCGCCGAGCCTAAAGCTATTCGGTCCGTTGTTAGAAGATGGGAATGCGGGGGTTTGGTACAGGGAACGACAGAAGGTGGGGAGGATGGGCGTGGGTAAGAAGGGGGAAATAGAGGAGGAGGGGTTAGCGGAGAAGGCTGCGCGGATGAGGAGATATGTAACGGTGTTAGAACGGCTGATGGCTATTGCGATCGGACCGGGGATGACGGCAAAGGAGGTGCTGTCTGCGGCGCAAGAAGCGACGAAACGGGAGATGGAGAGGGCGTATGAAAACGCGCTGAAGGCGTACCGGAATAATGGGTTTGACCCTACAGCCCCGGCGATACCAGAAAAGAGCCGGAAGAGGAATTCGAGTTTGTCGGTGCGGACAAAGGGCTCGACAAGTTCACATGCGTCTACGCTTGAGTCGCCAACACCAAGATCCATACCTGCGCCTATCTCACCGCCTACAACACCCCCAAGGCATTCTCTCTCCATATCCCTAACCCAGATTTCCCCCGTGTCCACTCCGCGAAATCCCATTACCCCCAACCCAAGTCCCAACCCCAAGTCCCCACGTACATCAATGGCCTCCACCTTCTCTACCCCGACCGCGACGCCCAATCTCGGGAGCCAAGTCGAACATATCCTAAAAGCAGAGCTTCCGCTGGATATTCCGAGTATTGCAGTGGTGGCACGATTGGTGCTGGTTGCTTGGACGCTGAGTGTGGGGGCTGTGGCTTGGGAGAAGGACAATAAGAGTGGGTCATTCAATGTTGGGGGACTTGAGGGGGTAGAGGGAATAGAGGGGGGAGGGGTAGGAAAGATAGTTTTATATTGAGTCAAGTGAGATAGCAGGACGGGGCTGGGAGTGAAGTGCGTCTAACAGAACTTCGGAATGAGCAGCTCGGGCTGGGAGATTTTGGGTATTGGTGAATAATGGGACAGGATTCAAGCCGCAATTGAAGGTCGATTTGCTTTCAGCGTTGGCGTCATGGGACATGCCATGGAGGCAGACATAGAGAGATACCATTGCTGCTAGTACTGGAGATATCACGATAGACAGACGATTACCAAATCGAATTTAACTTTAATATCAACAGACCATTATCGTCAACCTTCACATCCTACCTCCACCAATTCTTCCTCTACGCTCACGTGCATGCATGTCGCTTTGTCGGCGCTGAAGATGTCCGAGGTATTAATTCCGTTTCGGCCAACGCATCTTCCGTCTTGTGCTCGTCCACGTTCTCAAATCCAAGAAAAATGTCACGCGAGCAAAAGACTCGTCTATCCGGCCGTTCCGCCCTGACTCTAGGACCCGTGATTATAGTTAAATTTAGTTTAGCAGAAAACCTTGATTTAACTTCTGTGACGTGATGGTTCCGGGCGGTGGTTCAGAGGTTCAAAGGCAGGATTCGGAAACGGGAGTTTAAAGAAACCGAGTCTGGATGCCCGGAGATACAGACCTAGAACAGAAGAAGAAGAAGAAGAAGATGATGATGCATGTTTAGGTGCTGTACTGGATTCTGTTATTGTTCAGATATGAGCTACTCACAAGCCCGACGTCTATGCTAGCCCAAGGTGTTTATGCCGAGTCTACAGGAGGGTGTTCTGAAAGCCCTTCTATGTGTACCGTGCCTGTACATGTACAAGAAGCACATTCCCAACTTATTCCAATCTTATCCATTACAATCATTCCATGATATACAAGCCTGCTCATCATCGGTTTGCCATGCTTATACTTCTCGCAACCCCAAACTCTACCAACCCATCCTTAATCCCCCATAACCTCCAGCCCCCTACAAACGCTAACCCATCCATCTCTCATCCCCTCCCAGACAGCTTCTGTCATAACCTCCTCAATCCCATCCCTCTTCCTTTCCCTTCTCTCCACCACGTCGCCTGTCCCATCCCTTAGAGTAGCACTCCCAACTCTGGCTGTCCTTCGGCCCGTCCTTTTTCCATTCCCTAACATCATATCAGTTTTCGCACCATTCCCATCCAATTCACCCTTAACCTCCCAGCCGTGGCGGACAGGCCCGGAGAGCGTGGCGGGCGTGACGAGAGTGCTGTCGAGGAGGGAGTGCCAACGGGAAAGGTACATTCCGGGGCCGTGGGTTGTGCCTCTCAGATGGTGGGGTTTAGTAGTGGTAGTAGCGTTCGTGGCGGAATTGACGTTGGGGTTGGGGGTGGTGTTGAAGCTGGCGGAGGGGATGGCGGAGGGGTTGAGGTTAGGGTTTAGGTTGCTGGTACTGTTGCTTGAGGAGGGGCGGGAAGTATGCGCGATCAACGTTTTGAGTCGCGCTGTCGATGTAGACTTTAGGTGTCTTAAGTGTTTGGAGTGGTGGTCTAGAAGAGCGCGGAGTTCATCTTGTTTAACCGAAGATAGGCTTGAAAATAGCGATGTTAATGGGGCTGTCATATCGCCTGCTCCAGCACCTGCTCCTTCCTCCCCTCGTCCCTTTTCAACGTGTTTTGGAGGATGGGCTTCTGTGCCCACATTGTGGACCCGTAGTTCGGCCGCACACACTTTCGCATATTCGCGGTACTGATTCGCCAGCTCTGGCGCGTTTTTTGCGACTTGATGCAGGAATTTATGAACGGAGGGAATATGTTTTCGAAGGAGGTGGACGTAGTCTTCGACTGTAGGTATGCCTGTATGGGTACTTGGCTCGGCTTCTAGGACACTAGCATTTGGGGTCGGAGAGGAAGTTCGACTATTTGTCCGACTCCCTGTTCTACTATTGCAGTTGCTTGTGCCGTTTCCATTCGGTTTCTTCGGCTTGGAGATTTTAATCAAATCTGTAAGGAAGTTCTCAAGGTCATTAAGAGTGGATGATAGATCCACAGCATTATGGACGCCTCGGATTATCGGGTCGTATGCGCTCACAAGTTCTCGAATTGCCGAGGTGAGCAGATCAGGTTGTAGTTTACATAGGATCTTAGTGAGCTCCTCGCGGTCCCGGATGGACAACATAGTCGAGAAATATTCCATGGCGATATCGTGTTGGTGTTCAGTCAATGACTCAGTTGCAACAGGTGGATCTGCAGATTCGAGCATCACGGCGATTATCGATTTAGATTCTTGCATCGAGATGCCACGTGCGGCGTCGTGTTTCTCGCGAGAAGCGTAGACGTAGGATTTTATAGCTTTAAAGACCGCTTTAATAGGGGCGTCGCGGCCGGACTCGAGCTTTTGCGCGCGGCGAAGGAATTCCGAAGTGTCCCAGGCCATGACAGTGGAGAGGATTTGCTGCATGAGGTTCATGCCGTCATTTGTGCTGTTGGTCCAGCCAAGCCAATTTGTGACGGCGGTTACGGAAAGCTTTGTAAGGACGAGTTTTACCATGCCGTTGATCATGGTGGCTGCGTTGCCGACCTTGAGCGTCTGCTTGACGGCATAGTACGGGACCAGGCGGTGAACGTTTTCAATGAGGCGGAGGATGTATTGCCCGTCGGGGGACATGATGAAGACGTGGTGGAGGAAGGATGAGAGGCTTTTCCGCTCCATTAGCCCACTTGATATAAGGAGTGGATGAACTCACTTTAACAGGATGTACTCGTGCGCCGCCTGGACGAGACTGGAATGGTCCTCCAGTTTCCCGGTCTCGGCTATTCTTTCGAACAGCTCGTCTAGCAAGTTTCCATATATCAGTTCACGCATCCCATCATCCCACGCCTGCAATACATTCTCGGCTTTCGTGAGGTCATACTCATCCTCTTCCCCACCCTTCTCCCTCGGACCCCCAGGATACCCCCCCAACATTCCCCTCGCCACATACTCCAACAGACTACTTATAGCCGTCGCCAGCGCCTTCCGAGCCCCAATAGCCCCCTTATCATAGCTCTCCGACAACTCCGCCTCCCCCATCTTCATAACCAGCATGCTAACCTTCTCTTCCCAAAACCCCTGCCCCACACTATTCAACCCGGGCAGCCGCAGAACAAACTTATTCAGCATATTTTGCAGCAGCGGGCTTGTTGTCTGCACGCCGTCCGGTTTCCGGAACGGGTATCCATATTGCTGAATGGCGGGGGGGTACTTGAAGGCGCAGATTTCGGCGTACAGTTGGTGGTGAATTAGGATGTCGAAGAGGGCGTGCGTTTGCGTGGGGGTGAGCGGGGAGTGAGACATGTTTTAAGAGTGTCAGCAGAGGGTGTAGGATGCATGGTGAGGGGGGGACGTAGGCAGGAGAGGGTTATGGGACTGCCCATGAAGGCGCGATGCAACGTCATGCTGTGGCGGTGCTAAAGTGTGGCGGTGTCTATGTTATGTAAGCGGGTATATGACTTTGCCCTGTTGCAGAGGTCTTCACTCTTCACTTCTCTATGCCGATATCAGTAAGTATTGTTAAATATTGTTTCTGCCTTATAGTCCTACTCTGATGTGTCTTAATGCCCCCACCTTGGATTCCTCGAGGGCTTGGCATCGGGGTTCGAGGGCGGAAAGCCAAGCCCAAGGCTGATTGTCCATCAAATAATACACTATCTCTACCGCCAAGCCCTCTCTCCTATTGGTCTGGATATAAGCCGGTTATTGATCTGATTAGTAGAAAATTAAATAACTAAAAAGCTTTGTTGTTCTACGTTTTTAAGCTTTAAGTAATTATTCTGCTCTGCTACATGCTTAATCTAGCCTTCTTTTTTCCCTATCATAATTACCCGTTTTTCTCGCTTGACGCACGGGCTCACCTGGCGCACACTTTGCTTAGGAACACTAAAATTGTCACATAATACTAACTCCACTAATATAGACCTAATTTTGGAAGCGCTTGCAGCGTTAGAATCCCTAGAGTTTAGAGAAAAAGTTAATATTACTTAAGTTACAAAAAAATATAGTGTTAAATAATTAACACTGTCGCAAAGGTGGCGCAGTGTCACGATTGTGCACGAGTAAGGTTATAGAGCTTCACGGAGGTCTAGTTTAATTACTACGTGAGGTATTATAGTAAGTACAAGATGTTGTGTGAGAAATAGAAAAGTTTAAAAGAAAATTAGTAATTAAATACTTAGCTTAAAAGTCTAAGCGCTTTAAGTATAAATTAAGCCTATTTTAAGTTTAGTTAGTGTTAAGGCAGTTTATACTTAAGTTTATGTCTATGTTATGTTATATTTATGTTAGATGTGCACTAATAATACTCTAGTACATGTCTAATATAGTTATGTCTAGGATCTAGAGAGGATACTGTAACAGTATCCCCCCTCTTATTAAGAAAAGAATTCTTTATATTAGTAGTTCTAGCATTAAGTTGTTTTTATTAGAGTATAGGTTTAGTTTAGATAAGTATTAAGCATAAAATTAAGTTACTATAGAGTTCTTTTATAAAGCTTTTATAAGTTTCTATAACAGTTTATTATATCTAGTCTATTTTATAAAGTATTTATAAATATGTTTTTTTTTATTAAACTAGATTTATTTAATATTTTTTATAACATATTCTAGTTTATTATTTATAATAATAAGTTTAAGTAGCAGGTTTAGCTGTCTAAGTAAATAGTTAAATTTAAAGGCTACTTAGCGCAGCAATAATATGTAGAACACAGGGTGTATCTTTATGCTGTTAGGTAAGATTAATTAGTAAGCATGTAATAAAACTATATAAGCTACTATAAAAAAGCTAAGGTTTTTTTAATTAAGTTTTTTTAATTATTAGTTTATTTAGATATTTCTAGTGTCTAGCTAGACCTTCTTGCTAGCTGTATATGTAGGGGTAGAAGTTTAAGATTAGTTTATATACTCTTATTAAAAAGCTTAAGCCTATGTAAGCTTTTTATAAACATATTTAAATATATTTTAAATTTTATTAATAAGTCTATTTATATTTATTACTTATATAAATTAATAAGTTAGTTAAAGAGTATTTATAAGTAGTTTAAATCTTATTTAAGAGTAGTATTTATAGTTTACTAAAAACAAAGATACTTATGTTAATTTAAATGTTATATTATTAGCTTTAAACTATGCTGTAGCTAACTATTTTACCTAGTTATCTTACTAATAGTTTATGTACGCTTATAAGACTTATTTTATTATAGTGTTTATATTCTTAGTCTAGCTATTAGTCTCTAGGTAAAAAGCTATAGATAGATAGAGAATAATTTAGAGCTATTTATAAAGTTTATTCTAGAAAGCTAAGACAAACTGTGTACCTCTGTCTAATATAATTATATTAGGCAGGCTATAGTAAACTTATACATATTAGTAGAATAACTAGGCTATATTAGGGGCAGTTATAAAAGAATATAGTATTAAGTGTTAATACTTAGTTAAGTAATTAACAACTACTATAATATTTATGTACTTTTTAGATAAAGGTAGGTTTATAATAAAATTAATTAATATGTTTTTCTAAGCTTATTTAAAGATTAGAAGTAGTTTAAGTAGGCTATTATACCTTTTTTAAAAGGCCTTTACTTTACAGCAAGTATAGCAACATAATATATATTAGCGTACAGTATAGAACATTTAGGGCTAGTAGTACTCTCTTTATAGTAGGTTAAGAGTCTTTCCTCTGCCTAGGTGTCCTTTAATAGGCAAGTTGTGTACAATTTAGAGTAGTTTAATTTTTAGTTTATTAGAATTAAAAATTATAAGTTAGTTATAGTAATATAGCTTACTATTTTAGTTTTTATAGTTAGCTAGTATTACCTTTTTTAACTAACTAGCGCTGTTTTAAAGTAGGTTTAAAGTTTTTTAAATAAATTTATTATTTAGATACTTATTAGTAATAATTTAATTAATTATTTAATTTATTTTATTTAGGTTAAGGTCTAAAAATAGCTTAAGTTAAAGTAGAGTTTAGTGTTAAGCCTTTTATACTTTTTTCTAAGTAAAGATGTTTTAGAATTACTTTATAAAAGCATCTAGTTTCCCTCTGTCTTAACTAAGATAATAAGTAATTTTAAAATTAAAATAAAATAAGTATTTAAACTAATAGGCTTATTAGTAGCTAAGTTATTTTATAGTTATAAAGTACTATAAGTTCTTATAGTTAGATAGGACCTATATTAGATGCGCTGCACTTTCTAGTTTAAGTTGCTATTATTTAAAGTAGTATACTATAGTAAGTAATTTTTTATTATAAATTTTATAATTACTTTCTGTAGGACTTATTCTTTTTAAAAAGTATATAATAGGCCTAATAGTCCTATCTAGCTTAGTCTAGAAGAGAACTTCTGCTACTATGTAGTCTAAGGCATTAGCTTCTATAAGTATTAGTAGTTTAAAGTTAAAGTAGTAGAGTATTAGGGCTTTAGTAAAAGCTTTTTTTAGCTAGTTAAAAAACTATTAGTAATTTAAGTTAAAGTTAAATTAAACCTCTTTTTTAGTAAGTGTAATTATAAGGCTTACTAGCTATAAAAAGTTATTAATAAATTATTAGTAAAAGTTAGTAAATCTTATAAAGGCTTAAACATCTTTTATATTCTTTAAGTATTACTAATTTAGCATAGTCTAAACTTTAATAAGGTCTATTTAAATACTATTTATAAAGATTACATATCTTAAATATATAACTTTTAATTAGTAGAACTTACATTTGTCTATATTAAGTTATAGACCTACTTCTTCTATAGCCTTTAGCACTAAGCGTACATGCTGTTTATGCTCTAAAAGGCTATTACTATAAATTAGAATATTGTTAATATACACAGTGTAGAACACGTCTAGGTAGAGTTAAAGCAAGTTATTTATAAAATGTTAAAAAGTACTAAGCGCGTTAGCTAAGCTAAAGGGCATTACTAAGTACTTAAATAGTCTATATTAGGTTTAAAACACTATTAGCTACTTATTACCCTTTACTATTTTTAGCTTATTAAAGGCAGTAATAATATTTAACTTTATAAAATACTTTACTTTACTTAGTTAGCTTAAGGTTTCTTATAAAAAAGAAATTAAGTATTAGTTTTTAATAGTAATAGTGTTTAGTCTTTAGTAGTTAATATAAAATTAAAGCCTACTCCTAGGTTTCTTTATAAATAGTATAAGTAACACTACTAGTAAGAAGCTAGCTTAAATAAACCCTTTTTTTAGGTTCTTATTAAAGTATTTTTAGAGCACTTTTAATTTATTTAGTAATATTCTATATAGTAGCTTATAACTAGGTTGTTTACTAAGCTTAAGAGTTATTTAGTAATTATATAGATGTTATATTAAAAGCTTATTAGACTTATCTTAGAAAAAGACATGTAATAAGTTATAGTAGTCTTAAAAGACTATTATCTTTAAGTTAGTGTGTTTTTAAAAAGCTAAAGCTTAGTCTATATTAGAAATTATAACTGCGTAGATTTTATAATCTAGTTATTAAGCTAGGGTTATAAATAGAGCAGGTTTTATGTAGTAGATGTCTATCTGCTGTTTAAGTCCTAGTTTATGTTTAAATTAAGTAAGTAAAAGTTTTTTAAAGGCTTTTTTTTTTTTAAGTTTAAGTAGTTATTAAATTATTTTACATAGCCTATTTTAGTAAGAGGCCTAGCTTATTAGCCTTACTTAAGTAGTTCTTTTCTAGGTTATTAAAAAGTAGGTCTAAAAACCTTTTATATTAAGTGCTATTTAGGTGTTATTTAGGTATAAGTGTAAGCATATATTTTAGCATTAAAAAAAGTTAAAGTTTAAAACTTACTTTTAGTAATTAAAGGCAACTTTATGCTAATACAGCTATAGTTGTCTTAAGATTAGGTTATAACATTCTATGTTTATTACATAGAGCTTAATCTACTCCTTATAGTGTTAGTAAGTAATTATAATAGTTATAGTATAAAAGATAAAACTTTTTTTAAGTTATTTTCTATTAAATCTAGTTAAGTAAATTGTTTAGGTAAGTAGTGTTAATTAGAGATTTAGTTTACATGCTAGTTCTTTATTAATATAACCTATGCTATTTACTTCTAAGTTAATAAGAGCTTATATTAGAGCTAATATAGTTTCTTATTATAAATATATAGGAATATTAACTTAGTACTTCTAGTTATTAGTAGGGGACTTAGCCTATAAGTTAGCAGAGATCTAGTGTTAAATTAGTCCTAGGGGGCAACTTAGCCCTAGGACAAGCCTTTTTGCAGGCTTCTACTGCTATAGCTGCGGCTATGTTAAGAGTAGTAAGAGGGATTAAGGCTTAAATATAAGTTAGAGCCTTTATAAAAATAAAATTAAAATAGTAAAAATCTTTAATAAGTGCTAGCAGCAC